TGATGAAAGCATGGATTCAGACAAAAAATAGATGTGATATAGGAATCGGCATACAAGATTGTGTGCATCTTACAAGATACATCCAGGAACACATGAGATACCCTGCAATCGAGCCTTTGTGCTATGAAAAGATCAAGAAGGCGGGAATGTCGGAATAAATTTGTTGGATAACATTTAATACTATTTGGTTTGATGTGTTTTAATCTGAATCCATGCTTTCATCAAGATCAAATGTTTCTTCATGAGCATATGGAAGTTTTCTATAAAGCTTTTTATATTCCTTGTCCAGTAGTATTTTTTCTTTTCTTCCAATTTCTTTAAATATAGCATCTCCTCCAATAACAATATCACTTAGATTATTCATATCATCTTTAGTCAAATCATAAATAATCATGTCATCAATTGCTTTCCTAAAATTGCCATTCTTTAAATTGTACACATACTTCTTTAAAATCAGTTCTAATGCATATTTTCTCAATTCTCCAGAAGATGTAAATATTTTGCATGAAGAATGCACAGAAAATGTGTTCAGAAGTCTTTCTATTCTCAAATGCTTTGAATTCTGCCCAAGCCATGATGGAAAGTTCAATCTTTTTGATAATTGCATGTTATGCGTGGGAATAACAACACTATATACTGCATGTAAAGGTGCTAAACTCCAGTCTTGGTTTGCACCTTGAATTTTACTTTGAACAACATCACCTATGCTAATTGAATCAAAAGAATCTCTTAGCTGCTTTATTCCCTTGAATACAGTCTTTGAAAGATTTTCATGTACAAAAAGAGGAATCAATGAATAATCTTCAAAATAAAGATCTATTTTCTCATCAATTGTTTTTCTTTGAAACACTTCAACTCCAATATCAAAGACACCTTTTGCAACCGTTTTCTTTATAAACATATCTGCCTGATCAGAACCAAGCTTATGCTTCATTGTTACACTTTGCAACATATTAATTGCATATCTGATATCTCCTCCACTCTTAAAAACTATTTCATTAAGCAATCCATCAGGTACATTTTTCGCCTCCTTATCAAGAATGTACTTCAACTTGATGAATATCTGCCTAGAATCTGGTTTCTTTGCCTTTAAGTCAATACAATGGCTTACAAGACTCCTTATCTTCATATCATATCTATCATTGCAGATGCATAATATTGGAATCCGTGTTTCTTTAATAGTGCTGATCAACTCAGAAATGCCACCCATGTCACCTGACATTCCATCAATTTCATCCATTATCAGCACCTTACCTCCGTCACTCAAATCAAAAATAGAACGACTCGTAACAAAATTTCTTATCTTATTTGCAATTTCCGACTTGTTTCTAACATCACTCGCATTGAATTCAATTATATCGAATCCAAGTGATTTGCAAATAATATGTGCCAGCGTTGTTTTTCCAATTCCTGGTTGGCCACTCAATAGAACTGCTTTAGTATAAACTCCTGCTTTAAGATATTCTTCCAACTCATTCATTAAGATTGTATTCCCCACAAGATCTTGTTTTTGCTTCGGCCTATACTTTTCGCACCACAACTCCTTACAGATTGCATTTGCCGACCCTATTTCATGAGTGTTACTATTACACTTTACATCCACATTATCATCAAATCCTTTTGAATTCTCCTCAATCAACTTCAAGAATCCATTTTCATCCAGTATGTTTATGCCTAATTCATTTGCTCTTTTAATCTTTTGCGGCCCTGGATTCTGTCCAGCAACCAGAAATGTTGTACGTGAGGAAGGAATAGTTGTGCATCTACCACCTAAAAGAATTACCTTTGTCTTGGCATCATCTCTTCCTATGGACAAATCCCCAGTAAATACAAATGTCTTGTCATGCAATGGACCGACTGGCATATTACTAAGGACTAAAAAAATGTTTTCTGATGCTTGAATTACAAGAATGAAATCCAGGTTTCACTCTACCCCTTACAATAACTTTGTATGGAATTTATAAAGATATCGAAAGAGAATGATGAAGCATTTAAAGGAACTGATCTTTGGTCGCCACTTCCTGGATACCCTACGTTTGGTGGCCAAATAGCTGCACAGTCTCTTATGTCTGCATTTTCCACTGTTGAAGATAATACAATTCCAATAAACCTGAGTATCCTGTTTATTAACAAGTGTAGGTCAGACCAGAATACCAGCTATCAAGTCAAAAAACTCAGAGATGGAGGTATTCTGAAGATGAGGCAAGTTGATTGCTATCAAAACGATACTTTGGTCTCGAGCATGCATGCCAGCTTTAGTAGACCTGATGACAATGCACATGATTATGAGGACACGCCATACAAACTCTACGAAGATACTTTTGTTCCGTTTGCAGAGTACATTTCGAATGCCCTTAATAACACATCTGAAAGCGAAGCAAGCATCAAGATGAAGTTTCAAGTCTTGTATGATAACATGCAGATGCTTCTGAATGTCATTGACGTAGAGCTGGGAAAAGAGACTGGTGATATGAGGCAGATCCGTATTACGATAAAAAGCAAACAGGATAGTATTGTAGCCAAGGCTGCGTTGGTTACGCTAGTATCAGATCTTCTCCTTGTAGAAACTGCGCTTATTGCATGCAATCTGACTATTTTTTCAAAGGAAATATCTCTCTTGACCTCTATGAATCATGTAGTTCACTTCATAGATCTTGAAAGAGATCTTGGAGAATGTGTATATTACATTGTGAAATGCAAGGGGATTAAGAACTCAAAAGCGATATGTGAAGGACAGCTTCTCCATGAGGATGGTAGTTTGATATGCCTAACAAGCCAACAAGGAATTTTTAGAGTGAAGCCTATTTATTCCAAGAATTAAAGTGTTGAGTACATGAATCTGTGAATTTTAATCCCAATAGAATGGTCATTGCAACTGTGGCAAGGTCAAATGCAGATGTCAATGAGAAACACGAGGAAAAGTATTGGAACTACGAGAAGCATGTTATAGATCTGGGTGATATAGAGAAGTATCAGATATACCAGCGGATTGGAAAAGGAAAGTATTCGGAAGTGTTTGAGGGCCGTAAGGACAAGGAGAAGGTAATAATAAAGGCACTAAAGCCTGTGAAGATACCAAAGATCAGTAGGGAGATCTTGGTGTTGAAACACTTATCGCATGATAACATCATAAAACTTATTGATGTGGTTGCAGATCAGGAATCTCAAGTACATTCTTTGGTATTTGAGTATATAGAAAATGAAGATTATGCAAAGATATTTGAAAGTTTAGGATATAGAGACATTGTCAACTACTCAAAACAGATTCTTTGTGCACTTGAGTATTGTCATAGCATGGGAATAATCCATAGAGACATCAAACCACAAAATATGGTAATAAATCATGCTAAAAAACAGCTGAAGATAATTGACTGGGGCCTTGCCGAGTTCTATCATCCAAAGAAAGAGTACAGTGTCCGTGTTGCAAGTAGATATTATAAAGGGCCTGAGCTTCTAGTGGACTATCCATATTATGATTATTCTTTGGATATATGGTCATTTGGATGTGTGCTGGCAGAGATGATATTTAAAAAAAGACCTTTTTTTCATGGAGAAAGCAACAATGACCAGCTTATGAAGATAATTAGAGTCCTTGGGTATTGCGATTTAAAAACATATATGGACAAGTATCAGATTTGCTCTCCAAATATAAGGTTTGATGCAATGGAACAAAGAGTAGCACTTGCTTCATTTATTCCCTTTGGAGAGGAATCTGTATATGAAGATGCAGTCAATCTCTTAGAAAATATACTCATATATGATCACCACAGACGATTTACGGCTAAGGACTGTCTAGGTCATAGTCTATTCAAGTCCAAGTGTTAATAAAAATGATTGATGTTACCATGAGTTTATTTTTTAAGATTATTTGGTTAAGCTGGCGTCTTTATCTTTATAAAACCTGCTTAATGCGTTTTTTCTAGTATTATTGAATGAGAAGCTATCAAAGTACCTTTTTGATGTATTATCAGGCATAGAGGTATTCTGTGCTTTGTGTATGCGCCCAACATTAGATTCAATTGAGATCAGTTCATAAGGAATCTTGTCTATAAGCATTCTAACTTCCTTCTCTGATCTTGCTTTCTTGTAAATAAAGGGCGAATCTTCATATGAATCGTACACAGGATCTCCACTGCCTGGAATAATTATGTTTGAAACACCTGTACCATGCCCTATTGATAGTACATCCTCATAATTACAAAATCCTAGACTATAAACATCATTGCCTACTTTATGCTTCATATACAGAACATCCTTTCCATTAGACTCAATAAAATCCTTCCAAACATGAACCTTGTTGCCATAAGACATAGCAAGCATATTCTTCTGACTCAAAGATGTCACCATTCCATGAGATCTAGAATTCAAGCTGTTAAGCTGTGTGTAAGTATTTCTCAAGTCCCATACATTTACCTTTCCATCCAGGCCACTGCTGATCATGTACTTTCCGGTTCTGTCTATTTCTATACTGGAAACCGTACTTTTATGGCACAGTATCTTCACTAAATATTCTTTGCTGTTAGGTGACCATAGATTCACCACTCCTTTTGCATTACCTGTGTGTACAATTCCATTAGAAGTATTGTGTTTCATCGATGCAATATTCCAATCCTTCATTTGTATTTCACTAACCATCTTTCCTGTAGATACGTCCTGATACCTCAAAATATTCTTACGAGATACTGTGGTCAATAAATAGTGGTATGGCAGATAGTCCATCTTGTATACTCCACGATTATCCCTTATGCAGTGTATCTCAACTCCTTGGCCGTCATAAATAAAAACATTGTTCTTCTGTGCAACTGCAATGAATCGTTCATTATGAAGATACAAAGCATCATGTACTTCTTCATTCAAGTCAATCTCAAAATACATGTCCATGGACCTCGAATTAAACGATGCAAGATATCCTTTGTTGTTCCTGAGCAGCATATATGTTCCGTTTCGAGAATACTTAGAATATATCGGCGCTTCATCAAGCTTAAGCTCAAATGCCTGCTCACACGCCTTGATGCTTACATGGTTTAGCAATTGTTTCTGTGTAATATCATATGTATTTTCATCAGATTCCGCTTCAATGTATCCACACTCTTCAGTTCTCAGTATTTCATGGCCAATAACATCTTTCCGAGCCTTCTCTGCATACTTCTTTCTACTGATTATCGTTTCTCTTACTGCTTTCTGTGACATTCTGGGCTTCTTTATATTCTTTTTTTACTTCGCATTCTTTTCATACACTTACTGCATTTATTCTGTATTAATAGCATCAGAATGGAATAAAAACTCATAATGCATAATCATTTTCTCACTCAGTATTCTAAAAACCCTGTTCATCTGTACTCTACTTCAACACATTCTCCATTCCTTAGCTCGTAAGTATCAATATCAATTGCATCCACTAATTCCCTTTTGCATTTAACAAGCATAACTTGCTCCTTTGGCTTTCCAATTCTCTTACACATCTCCTCCTTGAGTTCTCCAATCGTTCTTCGTGTATCTATCGCAATTACAATCGACATAGACATCCTATCAGTTAACTTCAACCGGATCTCTCCCATTCCTATTTTTTGGGTTCAATACTTAAACACATATTCACTTCTTACTAAACGCAATACATCAAAAATAACCAAATAACTTTAATCCTCTTTTGCAGGTATCAAGTCTGCTTCGCCCTGATCAAGAATAGATATACATCCCAACCTATGTCCTCTCTCAGTTATACTCCCAAGCTCATTATTATCTGCACTGTGAAAAATTATCGGAAGCCCTCCAGCTAGCACACTGTAGTACTCCAATTGCTTCTTCTTAGTTGCAGGGAAATTCGATGATATCACCACACATTTTGCCTGCCTGTTTATCACAGAATTCAGAGTGCTCTTAAATCCAGCCACATACTTTCCAGACTTCATTGCAAGCAGTAGCTCAGATGTCACATTGTCGCCCTTCACACCGCTCATTTCTATCAGGGCAAAAAATCACAAATAAAAATTCTCTCTCATTCATTCTTGCATCATTCAGAATAACACTTACATAACCGCCATCCCTTCACATTACATATTTAAACATCTCCATTAATAACTTCAAAACTTAGTTTATTGTGCTTTTGTATATGATAACGGATCATCATATGCTTACCTAAGCTTGCTTCCACCGTTCTTCTTAACATCTATGTTTCCATCATGTTTAATCTCGGCTTTTTCTGCAAGCTTTTTTGCCTTGTTTCTATACTTCAGCTTTGGATTCCTATCCTCAAACTTCCTCTTCTTCACAAACTTGTTTCGTTTCATCTCCTCGCTTATCACTCGTCTTTTCTGATCTTCTGTATTTGCTTCTACTTCAATAGCGCTTGTTGATCCATTGGCATTCATTGCTCTCTTTTCCATCTGACAAACCTTCTCCAGAAGAATATTTGTCTTCAAAAGCATCTCCGTAATAGGACTTCCAACTTTTTCTTCTTCACTCAGCTCCTTGTACAAAACCAAATTCATTAAATACACCGATAACAGGTCGCATTTGATTCCAAGAATCTCGTTAGAAACGCATGCCCTCGCTGCATTCAGATTCTCACTAACAAATTTAACATCTTCGCTGTAAATTTTGCACTCCATGGGCACACACACGAACACATTTTTCGTAGTCATAGGCAACAAGCAAATGTCCGTACTCACCGGATCTTCAACAGCACAGATCATATCAAAAGAAAAAGGATACTCCATCAAAAGCGTAGCATCCTCAAATACATTCTTGATCAAAAAAGGTTCAACATACACAAAAGCAAAGTTGGTGCTCGATCTTGTTGAAAACAAGCCAGATCTAAACGAAATCTATAGACATGTTCCATTCTGCTCGGTATGGAATATCTCAAACGGCATCAATATGCAGCAAGTGTTCCACCTAGGTGATGATCAAGTTGTGGAAGTTGCTAAAACATTGAAATTATTGAATATAAATAACATTCATTTCAAAATATGTTATCATGACATCAAGGAAATTGTGTGTTACATGAACAGCGTCAAAGATAATCCAGAATTCAGCCAAATGATGGATATATATCCTCCAGACATCAAAAAATGGGCACTAGAGTTCTTTAAAGGAGATCTAAATGAAATAGGACTGTACTGCATGCTGTGTTTAGATGAAAAAAACAATCTACAGGCATTCTTGCCAATGTGGAAAGAGTTAACCATTGAAGATATAAATGTGAATTCACTCATCGAATACATGAATACTGTTTTTGTAGAAAATAAGCAAAAAGAGCGACTTATAAAGTATCTGAATACAATTCATGATTAAAATATTCAATTATAGCGTATTGAAATTCTAAACACACCTTGTAATTACATTCTAATTTGTACTCATTTAAAATCAACAAATACCTTTGTTTAACCTCCTTGTAATAATGGAGATGCTTTCTAGAATTGATCCTCTCGAGAAGAAGATGCTGATTTCACTCCTTCTGACGATGCTCATAAGCTACAATATGAAAAACAGATCCGCAATACATAGTTTTGTGTCATCTCTAATAGTCTTGCAAATTGCATTCGACCACAAGCACGTACTATACCTGCTTGCATCACTTACCTTGAATATGATCCTGCTTAAATATGCCTCAGCGTCAAGATATTTATTCACAGTCATAAACATAGCAATCCTGTACATATACAAAGTATTTGGAATACATTTTGAACAAAGAATTTCAGGTGCGTTTGATATTTCAGGTGTTTTAATGTTAATGACCATAAAAATGTCATATCTTGGTAAGGAGTATAAGAAAGACAAAAATTCGATTAGAGACGCATTGTCATATGTTCTTTTTATCCCTGGGCTTCTTATGGGGCCAGTTCCAACATTTGAAAGTTTTATGAAAAACAAATACGAAAGACCAAAAAAGCTTTTTCATGGCGCCTTTTTGAAGTCAATTCTCTTTTTGGTTTTCTTCCAGATTATACGAATCAACATACCTAAGGAGTACATCACACAGAATTTATTGCCACTACCTATAAGATTAATATGCCTGTATCTCTTCACAGTGGGTAACAGGCTAAAATTCTACTTCGTATGGTACTTTTCACACGGATGCTTCATGTTCCAAAACTTTTCCAGCTTACTGAATATCGATTTCTTTAAGGTAGAGCTGGCAACAGATGTCAAGGAGTTAAGCAATTATTGGAATATATATGCTGGTGTATGGTTAAAAGATTGTTTCTTTAATCCTATCAGAGCCAAATCAACGTTTTGGGCAAGTATTGCCACAACCACAGTCTCTGCACTATGGCACGGCATAAATCCATGCTATCTAATTATGTTTCTTTCAATAACGACATCAAATGTTGTTGTGAAAAATAACAACATTCTGATCAGGAAGTTCTGTCCATCAATGCTCTGGATATTATCAAGAGTTCAGATGTTTGTAATCACCTCGTATTTTACTCCTTCATTCTTCTTGCTCAATCTTTCTGAACTCATTAGCACATGGAAAGGCGTATACTATATCGGGCATGTGTTTCTTGCATCAAGTCTTATATTGCAAGCTATACTAAAATCTACCATTAACCAAGAGTTACAGAAATGCAAACGCGCAACCAAAAGTTCAACAGCTTGTAATTAAAATAGCAGGTATAAAAAACTAAATCGTACTTTAATGTAACATAAGTATAATATCATCGCTTTACTAAATATAGGACACCCTTAAAGTATGCTAATGGCTACAAGCACAGAGTGCATAGACAAAGGACAGTATAAAGTCTTAGGAATGATTTGTATATCAAAATCGCTCTATAAGCTGAGACTTGGCACCGAAAAACCTGATGGCATTCATAAAGTGCTGCTGCAGAGTGACTCAAAGCTCAGCGTTGCCTATTTCATAGATCCAATAGACTTCGGCGCAGAAAGCACAATATTAGTACATGAGCGCACAATTCCTCCATTTTTATCAAACACATGCTATACAATGGTTCATAGGAAAAAATACAGCGTGCCAAGTGCATTAATAGAAAAATTGCTATATAAAGGCAAAGAAGTATTATGCACCAAAAAGTTGAGTAAATGAGTCACGAATTTTAATCAGCCATCCGTCTTTTCTGCATCCCCTTCAAAAGCACCAGGTGCATCACTTTGTGTCTCTGCAGCATTTGCTTCGGTAGTGTTTTCGTTCTTCACATGCGGCTCCTTCTCTCGGATCTTGTATTCATCCTTTGGAAGATAAGATCTTGTCTTGAGAATATGGCCATGGTAATCTGCACCGTCAAACTGCTTCATTGAGTTGTCCTTGTCATCAAAATTCTTAAATTCAATAACAGCATGATTTCCTGTGTATCCAAGTCTGGCATATGTTGGTTCAAATCCGTTCTCCCTCAAAAACGTCTTGAAGTCCTCAATAGAAGTGTTAGGCGCAATGTTTTCAAATACGACCTTAAGATAGTTGTTTGGATAGTCCTTTGGTGTCAGTGGTTGATGCCTTTTCCTCAGATCCATTGTCTCTCTTATTCCATGGATCGGACATCCATTGCAATAGTCGCAGTACTCCCTATCCCTACGAGGATCTCCGCCCATTCGCATTGGTTCTCCACGATAATAGTCCTGTGGCGCATATCTGTTGTCTGGGTATCTCGGTTCGTATCTTCCAGGAGGCATTGGCCTAGTTTCATACGGTGCGCGTGGCACATATTTGCGATCATACGGTGCACGGCTTACATCTGCATATCTATCACTATATTCTGTTGCCAGCGACCTCTTTCTGCCATTCGCCTTCTCCACAGCTATAACTCCTCCATCAATCACATGGGATCGTTGGTTCAACACCTTCGTCACACTATCCTCAGATGTAAAGCTCAGAAATCCAAATGTGTCCTTCAGAATAAGCTCAGAAATCTCTCCAAATTGTTTGAAGTATTCTCGGATACCCTCCTCAGTAACTTGTGCCGGAATCTTTCCTATGAATATCTGCATTGCCTGCATTGGGGTCTTGAACTTAAAATATTTTTATCATGGCATCCAGACATTTCATACTACACGTCCGTCATTCACATGCCATATTGAATCGGCATTACAGATTCAACCCTTGCTTCACAATGTCTTTTGCTTTTACTGATACGAACTCACCCATAATATACAGAGAAGATAGAAATACGGATTCTTCTGGCCATTACCCCTGGAAATGATAAGCTCAAGCTATATTAAAACATACAACATGTTTGGATTGTTTGTTTCAGTGTCTTCATTGCTTGCAGGGCTAAGATTCTATGCAACAGGGAACATAGGCTATCTAAAGATAATGGGCATGCTCCAATCGTTCTTTATCATGGAAATAGCAAACATATGCACCAAGAAGAGTAATGCAAGGTATCTCCCCACTGTGATGCAGGTGATCTCGCAGTTACTCATGGTATGGATTGTTTTCTGGTACTATAGAATAATCAACTGGTCCTTTCCATTAATAATAGCGTGTTGGTGCCTTTCAAACATGATACGGTATGTGTTCTATATATTCAGAACGCATACAATAGGCATCATACGGTATAATCTCTTCCTAATAACCTCTCCAACAGGATTCTTATTGGAAATGTATTGCTTAAAGACGCTTTATGATAGCTCAGGTAGAGTGCTTTCATATGTAGTTGCAATATCTGCACTTGCATATGTTCCAGGATTCATGTTTATATTTTCGCATATGCTCAGGCAGAGAAGATGGTCTAAGAAGACTCGAGCTGCAAGGCACAAGAAGAAAGCTTAAATTCAAGAAACCATTCACCAAATAAATCAGTCGTTTAATATCTACAGGGGCCTTATATCAAGAGAGCACAAATACCTTTTCTGGATATATCTCTCCCTCTAGCACATTGATGCTATCGATCTCTGGATAAGCAATCCGCTTCTTAACTATTTGCAGGTACTTCTTGATCTTAATTGGTGCTCCTTTGCTGAGTCCAAGGCTGATAAACAATACAATCCGCATTCCCGCATCGTTGTCAGTGAATGTAGACGAAGTTGTGGATGGAATCCTTAGACATAGAGTGGAAGCTCGTCCTTCTTCTTCGTTCACTCCTTCTCCGCCAGCAATGTATTTCGTTCGTATTTCTTCTTGTCCATTTGCTGATATACTGAGGATCTCATATAGAAAGCATTCCATGCATTTTATTTTTGGTGTTTTTGACGGTATACATGCTCTGATTGCCAGTGCATCACCAGAAAAGTAAAACTGCTTGTTCAATTCAAAGCTTACGTCGTATTTCCTTGTGAAAAGACAAATCGGAGACTGTATTTCAACAGTAGCGTGGAAAGCCTTGGGTTCTGTGCAGTTTTCTATCACCTGCATCTCTTTATGTGCAGAATAGACCGGATTATGGATCCCAAGCATGTGTATATCCGCATGCAATTCATAAGATCCTTTTATGCTGCATAAAAGATCAAAATACACTCCTTTCACCTCAGATGATCCTCCATCATCTCTTCTAAGCCCAAACTTGAATGGAAATCTGTGATGCCCGCTTGAAATCTCTTCTAGGGGATCGTCATTCGCATAAACTTGGAACTGATAACAGTACTTGTTTATGCTCCTATTAATTGCTTCAAATGTATCTTCTTCATGCTTTCCTTCCTCTGTTCGTTGTATATTCATTTCCATCTTTCTCAGTAGCTTCAGGTTAATTTTACTGATGCAGAGTGGATTCCTAGTCTTTATCTCTATTGCTCCTCTAACCTCATCTCCACATACATAAAGTTCCTTATTTAGCTCAATTCTTACACTTGTTTCCATTGTTACTTGCGATCTATTCTCTGATATCTGTGCAATCTGATACTCTCCTATTTGCTAAACCAATCCCTGTGAAGCCTATTTTTATGCTAACCAATCAAATATGCATGAAAGAATAAGGGTGCATGAGCTTTCTCAGAAAGAAGAGCTTGGCAAACTTTGGAGAGTTTGAAGACGCTAATGAGATACTGGGAAACGATGCAGAAGACTGGATGTGTGAAGAAAATCCATCAATGCTTGCTAGTATATGTAGACGTGTTGGACAGAAAAGCAAAGCAATCCAGGCATTGCAGAAAAAATCCAATCAGAGAATCAACAGGAATACCTACTTACTTGAAATCCTTTCGACGTATGTATACTTCGGAGACTACGAAGGAGCCATCCAAAGAGGTAAGCTTATTGATTCAAGGGATGAACCGATAGAAAGACTGATGACACAGATAGAAATACACCAGAGCACAAATGAAGCAAAAATATGCTGTGGAACAGATGAATCTAGAATACTAACCGATCGCATAATACAGTATTTATCAAAATACTTCAATGTAGATGTTTTTGAGCTTCTAAAGAATATTCTTACTAAATTCTGTAATAACAATGTATTATGCAATGATAAAAATTGTGGATCCAAAATCATTGATATGCTTGTAAAGCAATATAATATGGAATATCTTCAAATGCAAACACTGGATGCTCTCAAATATCTTTATCATAGCATTGGAATCTTGGATGCATTGAGAGTCATGGTAATTAGAACTCCAACAATTGATGAAATGTACTTTGATGAGTTTGTGCAAAAATGCAATCCCACAAACGATGAAATACTCTCAATCCTAGAAAGAATTTACATTCCATCGGTACATAATGCAATTGACAACAGCTTAATGACTGAGTGTGCTTTAAAAGTCATGAATCATACAAAGAAACGTAGCAATAGAGAAGTAAAGCTAAATACATCCTACTCTAAGAAAATACCAGACAGCCAGCAAAGCAAGTACATTAAGATAATATCTCAAGATAAAAAACACAATAAATAAACTTTTGTAAAATAAAAAGAACCTTACGAAATTTACTTCATAGATACTTTGCAATCTCCTCAGGCTCCAGGAATTTGGTTTCATCTTTAGTAACAATTGCAATCTCTACATTGTCTTTGCTGATCTTGTCCTTCATTGCCTTGGCAAGCGTCAGCAATACCCTTTTTAATGACTCTTCAAGATTTTTGTATTCTTCATACTCCTCCTCAAGCAATCCTTCAATTACCTCATGTCCAGATCCTATTGCCTTTGCCTTATAGCCAATGTATGATCCTGAAGGATCCAAAGAGTACAGCCTTGGCTCAATGTCAAACCCTGCAACCAGAAGAGAAACACCAAAAGGTCTTCTGAATATCATTTTTGCCTCGTCCTCTTCACTAAATCTCAGACTCAAGCTAGACAAATACTTCAACAATCGTTCAACACTTGTATTTTCATTATACATGTATGTATGAGATATGCAAAAATCCCTAGACTTCTTCACAATTGTTTTTGTATCCCCGCTTATTCCAGAAAACCCAAGCACAATGTTGTCATAAATCTTGTGATGTTTCAGGATGCTTCTTGGATTCTGCAATGTCGACATCACCTTCTTTTCGGAGCATAGAATCACAAACTCGCTTGTACATACTCCAATCGTTGTTGTTCCGAGATTCATAGCCTTCATTGCATATTCAATCTGGTGGATTCGCCCTTCAGAGCTGTATGTGTTTACACTTTCCTTCAAGCTATCCATCTTTGGGGATCTAGATTTCTATTTTGATCAGGCACTACAATCGTAATTCACACATATCCAATCAAATCCATTAATACTGTAGTCAACAAAGGCCGCATGCATGAGTTAATTACTTAAATACTCAATTCTCGATAGTGTACTTGGATGCAACGAATTTAGCAAATTATACATAGGAGAAGGCGCTAGAAATTCAAAAGATTGTATAGATATTTTGTACAAAACACTCGCTAGTGTATCATTATAGTTGTACTTCTTTGTAAGAATGTCTGCAGATATCTCTGTGCTTTGAGATGTAAGATTGTATAGAATAAATATCCATGGCCGTACAGACACAAAGTAAATGCATGCTAAAGCAACAAATGAACACTCCTTTGTAATGTTTTCACATACAAATTTGTCTGTATACTTGTTAAATATAAAAACCAAAATCCCCATCTCGGTAATCAAAAGTAGGAAAAACACGAGGATCTTCTTTGCTAAGCTATTGTAGTACGAATGGCCTGCCTCATGCATCATTATGGACTCTAACTCTTTTTTATCTATGTCTTGTATACTTCCATATATCTCTATCCTTTCTTCACTTCCAATCCCTATAAGTGCTGCATTCACATCATTTCCAGCTATTCTTTCTCTGTATATGGATTCAGACAATCCCTGCTCACTCACAACCATCTGTACGCTTTCCGAAAACATTTCTGGTGCCACCTTGATCATTTTGGCAGAGTTCACGTCTGAAATAAATATGACCTCCAATATCTCCAATGCAAAGTATGACAGGTAGCATGCTATTATGAAGGTAATGTCAAATATCCTCAATAACTTTGTAGATATAAACACAAACACTGGTAAAACAATCACAGTTGCACAAAGGCATATCAGCAGCACTGTTCCAAATGGTGGGTTTTTACCAAGAAATGCAACAGTATAGTCAAATATCATGTCTATCATCAGCATGCTCAACATGAATGTTAAAAACACAAGTCCTAGTTTGAAGATGTTGCCAAACAGCTTGTCCATCAGCTTCAAACTTTTATTCCTTGCACTTGTTGCAAAGAACATAATACATGCAAGTAAGTGCATGGTATGTACCGCAAGACTCACAAATATCTCAATTTTTCTCTTTGATAATGTTTGTCTAAGTGCTGGTGCATATGATTCATCGCTTTTTGCCATTTCATTTGCTGCAAGGTTTCCTTCAAGACCTGTTTTTCCAGAGTCCAAATCTTTCTGAACACTGAATATATTTAGAGCCTCAAGAGAAAGCGCCAAATACGTTAGTGCAAAGAATACATAAACGCTGCCTTTCCAAAAATGTTTCATTGTCTTTGTTTGTTAGGTTCTTCTAATGTAGATGATTGTACCAGAATTCAGTAAACAAAACGGTTTTATTCTAGAATATCCCAAGAAAGTTTTTAGTAAGCTGCCCTTTTGCATTCATTTGCTTAATGACATCCAGCCCCCCTACAAACTCACCCTTGATATAAACCTGAGGAAATGTAGGCCAGTTATTCAACACCTTCATCTTTCTACGAACATCTTCGTCTTTCAAAATGTCAAAGTATGCGATCTTATCCATTGAAACACCCACGCCAAGCAGTGTGTCAATAAGCGATCTGGTGAACCCGCACTTTGGACTTTCAGGTGATCCTTTTATAAAAACAACTATCTTTTTTGGATCCATGACTCCCTCAATTTTCTTCATAACATCTTGGTCTTTTAATTTCATGTACTCTTCGACTTTACTTTCAATATTATCCAACACTGGCATTCCATTCAATATTAGCACTGGAAACTTTGACAGATTGAAATGCTTCATAAACACAATCTTTAACTCTTCAGAACCGCCAACGTATGCTTCAGCATATTCAATACCAAATACACTTAACTCATTATAAAGCTTGTCTTCTTCGTTTTCATATACCACAAGCATTTCATGCTCTTTTAAATCATCAAATAAATCGTCTTCCATACTTAGGGATTGCATGTCTGTGTTTATCCAAACCACTACATTTTATATTTGCACATTCAACTTTGTTAAGTGTATTTATAAATATATAGATGCAAAAGCCATTCATAGCATATAATTAATTATCAGGTTCTTTACATGAGACAGTTGAGCTACACACGATTCAATCATCAGCATTAATTTCTATTCTTTTTCGAATACTCGGATGCAACGAGACCATTGCGTTGTATAAGAAAGTAGTGTCTACAACACATCTGTTGTCGAGTGTCAGCTTAAACAATATCCTAAACAGGTCATCCTTGTATCCTCTATCCTTCACAACACTGTCAGCAAATATTTCTGAGTTCTGTGAATATAAGTTATAGAATGTGTAAACCACAGCCTTTCCCATGCAAACATACAAAACAAAAGTCAAGATAGTAAATGTTTCTGGCGACATGTCTACATTTCCGAGTGCTTTATGTCCCGAATTGAATATCCATGCAAACATAAGCATTTCCAATAATGTTATGAAACATTCAAGCAGCAGCCTTTTAAGCATGATGTTGTCTATAGAATGTCCTATTTCATGGATTAAGATTACATTCATATCTTCAGGAACAGTCTCTGCGATGCCTCCATGAACTTCTATTCGTTTTTTATCTAGCACACCCGCATGAAGAGCATTCATCGTTATTTTTTGCTTTGGTGTAGCATAAACAGATTCATCAAGACACTCACATTCGAGCATGTGTTTTACTTCGTCATTGAATACATCTACAGGTATCTTTATCATATTATCACTGTACTTGCCTGTGTATCCGGATATACGAAATACAACCTGAACACACATAACAATATAGCACAATGCAACGAACTTTAGTCCAAACATACCGAGCAGGCAAGCCACCAGATGCATGAATAAAAACACTTCTAGCATAAAAGCCAAAGGAGCTATCCATGATGGAGAGAAATATTTGAATAAGTATGATTTTTGTATAGCCAAGGATTTATGCCCAGATAATGTATCTATTAGTGTAATTGCAAAAAGCATAAGTGTAGACAATGCAACTTCCGGATCTGGAATTTTGATTTTTTTCCAAATACCAATTATACAGTTTTTGAATCTGTTGGTAAGGAACAGAAATATTGTTACTGTATGGAATGTTATTAGTCTCATTTTAGCGAGCACTTTCTGTGATCTTAATCTGTATGCGTTTTCTTGACTTGAAAAGAATGAATCTGTGCTTGTTGCGAGTTTGCCCATGGTAGAGTCATAGTTGAACCAAAGCGTCTTTTGTTTCAAGTGCGCGATGCACGAGTGTATGAATATGAGTTCATGAAGCATGACGGCCTGTCTGTATATAAAAAGAATGACAACAGCACACTTGAGGCCTATCTTCATTGTATGAATACCGAGCTATAGATTTAACATCCCTGAAACCAATAAGAGTGATTTTAGATCCCTTGTGCTTTATATGTTTGAGACGATTATTTTGATAGGGCCAGGAGCAGAAATGTTTCCAATAGTAAATAAAAGACTTCCAAAGGCATGCATTCCGATTGTTAACAGGCCAATAATACATCATGCAATCAAGCTTTTAGAAAGTGTTACCAGAAAATTTATTATTATCGGATTGAATGAAGAAAGAGACGCAGTACTGGATGCAACCAGATCAACTACTAAGAAGCCCATTAAATACATAGGGATTGAGATGTATGATGGAACTGTTGCATCACTCATGGCAATTAGATCAATAATTGAGTGTGAGGATGTGATAGTATGTAAGGGAGATATAGTGGGAAGCATTGATATTAAGGAAATGGTTCAGAAGTATTTTGAAAGCAAAAGGATGCTTATGGTGACTTTACAGAATTCCAAGATGGAAAGCACACTGATGGGATATAGAGCAGGCAATCTGATGTTTTATGGAAATAGCCAGGATTATAAGATTTCTTTTGGATTATTAAAGGATGGATTAACGTTGACGAAGGATTACGATGTTGTTCCATTGTATATGATGAAGAGTAGTTTATTTGAGATGCTTGACTCGAGATTTTTCAGCTTTAAGCATGACCTGATGCCTAATCTTGTTAAAGAGCTTGGAGTAAGCAATCCAGTAGGAATATACAGCCCAAGAAGCGGAAATGTGTATCACATAAGAACGATTGATGATTATTTGGAAGTGAACGCATTGTTGAAAAAGCAGATTGTTGGAGCAAGCGCTAAGCCAAAGACAGATGATGTGAATGCAAAATTTGTGAAGGAGTATGCAAAGAAAAATAGCATAAAAGACATAAGCAACTTGATTGATACTGATGTAGTGATAGAAGAGAATGCTTTTATTTTTGGTTCGATCATAGGAAGTAAATGTATTGTTGGCAATGAAAGCAAGGTGATGTGTTCGATTCTGATGGATGGGGTTAAGATTGGAAAGAAATCACATATTGAAGGCACACTGATTGGAAGTATGGTGAGTATTCCTGAAGGTAGCAAGCTTGTGAATTGTAAGGTATCACCAGGATATGTGTTTTCTAATTCGGTATGTTCATCAGATGGAGTTTTTGGACTATAAATAAACAGAATAGATTGTTAGTGTTTATACTTGTAATGAGCAAGAAAGTTACATGATGTATAACTGATAAATTGATTATTAGAGGAGGTGATTAATTGTTTATGATATATTCATGAAGGATGTAAGGCTATATAATAAGTATTAAAATTACTTCATTACCATTGATAAAACTGATTTTCATTATTACTATTGAGTTGAACACTTGATTACTATTGAATAAAAGAAATTATCGCCATTGAATAGAATACTTCATCGTCATTATTTAACCAAATATTTTCGTTACTATTGAGTTGAACACTTCATCGACAATGAACAAACCAATTTTCTTTGATAAACTACTTTTCTTTAACATCATTTAGCCATATATTTTATTACTATTAACACTACCTTGTCGACTTTGATATTCATACCCCAAGTGATGTATAAAAAGTTGCAGCACCCAGGATTCCCGAGTGGTCTCCCAACTCAGTACTAACCAGGCTCGCACAGGCTTAACTTCGGAGATCTGACGAGTTCCGGTGCTTTTCCGTAGATATGGCCGCAACTGTTCAATATCACACTCCTCATTATATACAATTCATGAATATCCTCAGCATGTATTTATTTATTATTCATCGCATACTCTGTCAGGTAAGTCTGGAATATTCCATGCACATCTATTTCTAACAGATTCTCACAACTCCTTATCTCACATGTACTTCTCTTCATACAGCTCATCTCCTATCCTATGATAAACCTCAATACAAACACCCATTCCTTTCTCATTCATCTCATCAAAGTCAATAATTGCTTCTCCAACCGCCACAATAGACTTCCCAATTATGTTGATCACCACCACATCGCCCTTCTTGAACTTGCATTTCAAAAGCTCCTTGCACTTCATCACTCCTGGAATCATGACATCAGCACCTCGGCTCAGTGGTCCAACCGCTCCTTCATCCAAAAAAACATCAATGAACCCTTCAGTGCCTTTCTCTTCAAGATACCTTATGGTTGGGAAATACTTCTTATTCAAACAGAAAAGAATCGTATTTTTGCCTAGAGCTATAAGCGCTACTTTCTTCTTGCTTTTATACACCATGTACGATTCGTCCTTACTTAGCAACTCTTGGTCAATATGCTTATTTATGTCTTTCTTTTCCTTCTTTCCAAGACAGCACGATGAACTTATCTCCATCTTGCTAAACAGTCCCTTCATGTATCCAACAAGGGTTACATTTGTTGCAAATCCATCGATGCTCAGGTGTTTATGCCTGCTGCTCTGCAATTAGAATACAAAACACTTATGCAAATCATTTGCTAATCACAAGCCCTCAACCATGGAAGACAACAAACTCAAGTCTAACATATTCACAGATGAAGGCAGGCTGCCACAGGTTGAGTTTGCAATCAAGAATGTGTCCAGGGCAGGAACAATAATCGGACGTGTTTGTATGGATGGAGTAGTGCTCATCGGTATCAACAAAGAGCCTACAAATGGATCTATAGAAAAAATATACCAATTGAGTGATGATATCTATTGTGCACTCTGCGGATTGTTTGGAGACGCAATGAGAATTAAGAAGTATGCACAGATCAAGGCACAGGACATATTGGAGCAATTCGGCGTGGTCTGTCCTCTTCTAACACTTTGTAAATTTATTGGGCAAAAAAAGCAAACATTTACACAGCATGTAGGAACCAGGCCGTTTGGTGTGTCTTTTTTATATGCAGGCATAATTGACAATCAATATGCATTGGTATCTACCGATCCAAGCGGTACAATAAACCGCTGGATGGCAATGTGCTATGGAGAGAATGAGGAGTCGATCAACAGTGTTCTGAAGAATGACGTTCCTGATGAAGAGATGGGCATGGAAAAGGCAACGTTCGAAATTCTCAAGGCTCTAGGAAAGGTTCAGGAATCAACACCTAAAATAGCCGAGAAGATGGAAATTCTACACTTTTCAAGCACTAGCAAAAGATTTTTGCAAAGGAGCGAAATCCAAAGCGTTCTTGAAAGCATCAGCGCCAAATAACAGTAAATTTTCTTGTCTTGCTTTTTTCTGATGTTGCATCTGGGATGATTGACATAATGCATGGCCACATATGCATTCCCGCCAAAAACAAAAATAATAATGGGCAGAAGCCAGGCTGCAAGAAATGAAAGGCTACAAGGTATTCAAAAAACCTTATGTTCTTATAGAAGACATTCAGAACAAACATCAGCCATTCTACAAAGAATACACAAACGGAGGAGCTCCAAAGTTGCACTTAGACAGCCCAGCGCTCTGTTGTCCATACCAAACATCAAAGAGATACAAACAACCTGGAAAGCGGAGGCAAACAAGAGAGGGATTTTGCGAAGTTTGTTATGTGAAGTTTAGCAACTATGAAGAGCACGTCAAAGAATTTGAGCACAGAGTGTTTGCAAAAGACAACACAAACTACCGTAAGCTCGATATGTTCATCTCCACAACAGTGTTTGAAAAAATTGATCCTTCAGAAAATTGCATTCCACAGTCTCCGACATTCAAGCTGACTCCAATCTCGAGTGGACGAAGTCATATAGGTCTCCGTCGCAGTGAGGATGAAAAATGTGCACAGACATTGCACTTTTCATTGGCTAGTACAGAGGGAGACATTGGGCAAGAGGCAATACCTTTTGAGCATTTCATTGCAGAAGTATTTGATAAGTAAGTTTTATAGCATTTACTTCTATGTCTTGAAGATATACATGAGTCTAGGTTATGTGAGAGATCAAGCTAAGACACTTTGGACAACTCTTTGTTTATGCAGATGAAGTGCATGCAAATGCTTGAACCCATGAGAGAATTGAAATTCCACGAGAAAAAGCTTTTAAAAAAAGTAAACTTTTTGGAATGGAAGAGTACAAACACAGCAAGAGAGCATCTCGTTATGTCTAAATACCATCTGAGAGATAGGGAAGAGTATGTAAAGTACAATAGAGTTGTTGGAAAGATAACCAAGATCACAGAGGCGTTGGCAAGATTGAAAGAAAGTGATCCTATTCGTGCGAGCATCACCAGAAAGCTTGTCAATAAACTCTATGGAATTGGAGTCATCAAGAACAAAAAGCTTGTGGACTGCACAAAGGTCACTGTTTCAAGCTTCTGTGAGCGCAGGCTACCAATGATTATGAAAAACATGCACATGGTTCCAAATTCAAAAGATGCTACGAGATTTGTTGAGCACGGGCATGTCAGGCTGGGATCAAAGATTGTTTATGATCCTTCAACCATCATAAGCAAGGCAATGGAAGACTTTGTGTCTTGGGCTGATGAGTCAAAAATCAAAAGAAAAATCGACGAATTCCATGGAGAAAGAGACGATTACAAGTATTTCTAAACCTCATTTGCATATGCTAATAAATAAATAACAAAACAATGTTTATGGATACTTGACTCCCATCCTAGTTATACCATCTATTTGATTCATCACACAGGTATAGCCCTAGATATATGGTAGATGAGTATTCAATTGATATGAGAGATTATGAAGCATACCTCGAAAAGAGCGTTGTGGTCATGCTCAGAGACAAAAGGCATTTGTATGGAATAATGAAATCATTTGACCAATTTAACAGCATAACCTTAGACAAAGTTGTCGAGAGGATCTTCCATAACGACAAATATGCAGAAAAAATACATCAGCTATTCATCATAAGAGGAGAAAACATCTCAATTATAGGATTGGGTAGTTTTGACATCCCTTCAAACTTAAGCCTGACAGATTTTGATGTGCTAAGCAATGAAATGTCAACATCAGCTCAAGGTTGTCAAGACAATACACACTCCGCCAATGAGCAATAAACCATGTTTATTAACAATTACTCTTTCTTCAGGCTCAGTCCAACAAAAACCCTTATTTCTCGTTTCTTGTTTCCCTTATTCTTATAGTAAATGCTGTATTCTTTGTTATCTGTCCTCATTGTTCCGCATCCTTTTATTGCCACTCTAGTGGTGTTGTCCTCTATATACCCACGGACCTCGTCATCACAACACTTCTCCCAGAAAATTACAGAATCTGTTGTTCCAGACACCATACAGCGGAACTTCATGTTCTTAGACAGTCCTATACTACAATCAACCAATGTTTCGCCTCTGAACATTTCTGGAAGACTGATAATCTTATGATGGATTTTTGAGTTCCTGTTGAACTTGGGAACAAGCGTAATCACCACTCCTTCTTTCCCACCCACACTCGGAATAACCATTCTAGCCTTCCTCGATGTAATCACCTTGTATATCTCATATACAACCTCTCCACTATTTGCCTTATGAATTGTAAGTGTATAGTCATCAGGCGCATCCGTAAAAAACTCTATGTACAGTGCACCTTGGTATACATCAATCTCTTTCTTAAACATCTTTTCTATAGGAGATGTCTCATGTGCAACTGCAGACACAATGGACATGTACTCATCTTGCCTTATCCTCAGCATAAATGCCTCAAAAAAATAATTTGGAAACCTTATACATGCAGACTCGCTGTAATAAAGCTCAACTTTTGATTTATAACCATGTGTGTTGTCTTCCATCTTATCAATCTTATACACAAAAACATCTTTGCATTCGCCAAATCTCAGGTCAGCAATGATCTGCTCCCCAAAGTACGAATGCACAACAAAGTCATTTGCAATTCCACTTCTAGACGCTTCGATCAATTCATCCTGATGCACATCACCCAGTCCAGCATCAATTCTATCAGTAAAAACTTTGTTCTCAACAACAATGCTTCTAATCGCATTCGTTTCTTGTACCACAGTGTATATCTCACTATATTCAGAAAACAGCTTCATTCGGACTTCATCTTGTTTTAGAACTCGATATATACTCTCAGGCAATGCTCTGGAGCATATACTTTTCAAAACATACTTGGATGTATTGACATCTGCAATTATATCCTCAAATATCTCCACAAGCTCAGTTGTTGGCTTTTCTTTAATGTCGGTAATTATAATCTCTTTCTGCTCTTTATATACTCCGCATCCTTCGTCATCTTCATTACACAAATCTGAGGATGGCTTGAAATAACTGAGTGCTGTTTGTTTTGAAAACTTAATCAGTCTGTATAACGACACCAGTCCTAGCGAAGTAAAAGGCTTCAATTCAAGCTTGCTCTTCACTTTCGACATCCTTTTCTTGTTCATCATAAGTTTCCTTGTCTTCACATACTGGTAAACATACAAAACCTCTTCAGATATCCTGAACACAATAAACTCTGGACTGTTAGGATCGTTCCTTTGAAATATAATTCCATTCTTCATCACTATCCTCACAAACTCATATCTATCCTCATCAAAAACGGCCTCAACTAGCGAAAACTCAGAACTAAGAATATGCAACGTCTTCATCCCCTTGAATCCTGAAATAACATCCGAAAACATCTCCCAGTTGTACAGCAGGCTCATCACTCGACTTTCCTGAACAGACAGACCCTTGAAAAATCGGTTATCTCTATAGAAATGTGATGTTTTGAGTGATACCTGTGGAATCACAAAGTGTGTGCAATATATTCTTTCACTTCCATTAATGAAATATCCTATTCTCCTATATACGATCTCGTTTTCAATCTCAATTATCTTATAATCCATCAGAATATACAGTTTGATTTGTTCAGATATCTTTTCAATCTCTGCTTCAAAGTTGCTCGGTGTTACCTTTTCAATAGAGTACAAAACATCCTTAATCGATGGAATCACAAATGGGAGATATTGCTCGTTCCAATATGGATACACCATTGTTCCAAAAACAACCTGTCTAATGTATCTCTCAATAAATTTCGATATTGACTTTCGGAATCCAAGCTTTCCCTGCGAGCTTACTATTCCTGACTCAACTGTAATAGCAAGATCAGGTTTCGAAACAAAACAATACTCGTATCTTGTATCATAGTTCTTAGATGGCATCTTAACAAGCACATTTCCTCTTACTCCTCCAATGCTCACAACCACCTTCAAGAGAACTTTTCTAGGAAGTTCTAGGCTTAGCGAGATTTGAAGCCCTCCTTTGTAATCAATCCCAAAAACCACCTGAAGATTCTCAAATGCCTTCCTTGACGCTTCATCTTCGTTGCCATTCTCATTACTCAAATTAACTGATCCACGTGTATTAATATAAGGTTCTGTGTGAATCGTAGACATGCTCTTCTGTTGACTATCATTCGTACCGTCACACCTTCTTTTACTGATCTCAACTCCATCAATCACATCCTCAAGCCCATTGCTGAGCATTTCCTTGTCTGCCTTGCACATCTCATTCACAGAGTTTCTTATATCAATCTCAGTAGCACTTCTTGGCAAGCTCTTAATTGTATCCTCATCAAGGCCAAGATCTTTCTTTATTTCCTCTCCAAGTGACGATAACCTCTCAGCATCTTCTACACTCACGTCCTCATTGTTACAGGCTGCCATTCTACGCACATCTTCATCAGATACCACTTGCACACTGCTCACATATGGCGCCTCACTTCCCAAAGTGATATCTGACACCTCAATGCTTTTGATATACTTGTTCATTCCCGATGACTCAACTTTCTTGAGTATCATGGACTTTACCTTCAGTTTTACAGCATGCGACTTCGACATCTCCACATAAAGCCTTTGTAGCATTACATTCATCCAATGCACATCAACACATCTGTGCATCCCTTTGAGAACCGCATTCGATTGCCCTGCACTTATGTCCACTTTCTTACTTCTCTCAGCAATCCTTAACATTCTTTTCTTATATGCCTTCCCTGCTACAAAAGGAATCAGACAGAATGCCAATGGAAATGACAACAAGCCTGCTATAAATCCTGCTGCAAATACAAGCATTCCAAGGGCGCTGCTCTTCAATTTATCCACTATATGCATAAATAAACTTGCATAAGCACTTATTATGCATCAGTAAACAAACATAATCATGACAACAAAAATAGTAACATACACATCATCTATGAAAACGTCTTCTACAATCTTCATCGATAACGTTCTTCTGCAAAACACACAGATTAAACTGTCGTACATACACGTGCAGTTTATAGACAACCTACAATCTACTGGACTAGATCAATTCTCAGATATTCTTGCTCTTGATGGAACCTATATTCCTGTGCATAGCATTGAGCAAATATCCACAAAATATCATAAATCAATAGTTTGGAGCAAAAATATAATAGAAGCAGTTGTTTCATTCATCAATCATACCAAAGATACACTCACAACTAGTTACATTATTATCCACACTGATCAAGGCATAGATATAAAACAAAGATCACACAATCCAATACATAACAAACCTCCATTCATCAATACATGCAAGCCTCAATCGCTTCATACCTTTGACTCATCCCAGTATCTATATTCCAGGTTTACTAACTTACATAAACACAAAAAGAAGCCAATAGAAACAATATTTAATCGTTTGAACAAGGCAAACCAAAATCGCAACAACACATTAAAACATTAAGCAAATATCATCATATACCATTTACTTCAATAAACATCTTATTTATCATCAACTTTCAAGATGCTAAAGATACTTTGAAAAAGAAAAAGATCCATCTGCACTTGATTCATCCCTATCCTTCTTTATCTCCCTCTTCAGGCATTCCTCCTCTGCCTTACCTACTTCAACTCCAGTCATCCATCTACATTCCTCAACATTCACTATATTCCTATTATCGTTTCGTATAGACTCTTGATTCAAATTGTCAATCTCCATACACTTATCCTGCTCTCGACTGATCCTCCTCATCATAAACTCTAAATCTTCACTCATAACAGAAGAATAGTCAACCTGGCTCACAATCCTTTCTACTCCATTTCTGATCATCGTATTAAATGCATCTTTGTCTCCCTTCACAAACTCATCTAGGCTTTCACAAAACCTTGATTTGCTGAGTATTCCAAACTCTACATTCTTCAGGCCTTCTTCAAGTATTCGTGTTATCCCAATCTTCTCTCCTCTTGCATGAACTTTTGATTCGCTTACATTCCGAGGTTTTCTAATCAAACTTATTGCATCTTGAGGATTCACAACCACATTCGTTAACAAATCAATCACTCTATGTTTGTTCACCACACATCCTTCATCAATCTCAACCTTTAATCTTACAAGTGGAAAATCTCTCACCGTACTAAATAATTTATTCGCCCCAATCAAAGACACACTTCTTTTAATTGCAATCCTACTTGGTTCAAATCCCTCATATTTGGTTCTTTTTGGATCTTCTTCCTTATAAACTTTGCTTTCCACATACACATCTTTACTATCAAGTCTTGTAATCATTTGTTTCACTTTTGTCTCCACTATCTCTTCCGCATTCTGTTTTCCTTCAATCTTCAGACTTCCAATCGCCAGCGGTCTTACACTACACAGCTTTATTTGCTCCACCGCCACTTCCTTATTAACATCCAGCACATATACATATTTGTCATAACATTCTGCTTCAAGAAATGACGTTCTTACAGTAGATCCCGGTTGTATCACCATACTTTTTCCTTTAAACTTGCTTATTAGGCTCTCATGCTCATGTCCATACACTATAAGATCAAAAAATCCATCTTCCAGTTTCTCACTAATCTGCCCTTTTTCCCTTACAACTCTATTCTGATGCACAACAAGAATATTGTACCATTCCTCACTGTCAGCTGGTCTTTGAAACAAGACTCTACCCTCAACAAACATCTTGTACAATCTCCTCTCTTTAATATGACCTAATCCATATATCGCCACTTTTCCCTCCTTCTCAATCAGCAACGGTATTATTTCTATAATGTCCAGGCGTCCGTGCTTTCCTATATAATTCACAAGCTTTGCACTCTCCAATATATCAATCGGTGAAACCATGTCAACTCCACTCGGATCATCGTGGTTTCCATGAATAATCACAACAGGAATCGACACACTAATATTTGGATCATCGGTATTCAAACACACATTAGATTTAAGCTCAGACATTTTCTCTCCAAAACAGTACTTTCTAAAAAGACCAACAGTTTTACTAAGACATCCTCGTGATGGCCTGTTCTCATGAAATAGATCCCCTCCTTGTAATATCATGTCAACTTTCTTCTCATTAGCAATCTTCAGTATCTCTTCAAACGTACGGTAACTATCGTCTCCTCTTATTGGATCATTCTCTTTAAATCCAAGATGGTTGTCAGATGTTATCAGGATCTTCATCCTTGGGTAATGCAAAACTGCTCAATTTTAACTAAATCGCATAAACTTTTTCAATTCAGTCTTGGTTCACCTCTTCATTCTTAGATTCATCATCAGAACTCATACTTCTAACAATCTTGAGTATCCACTCCTTATCATACTTAAAATACATTGCACAAGGGCATAACTTCTTGATCAGCATTATCTATTCAATATACTTCTCATTCAAGCATAAGTTCTTCATCAGCATTCAGAAAATCAGGCACTTTCTTCCCTTTTCCTACAATATGCCTCTTTATCTTACTATACATCATCTTGTCCTCTTCGTCAATCATAGAAAGAGATTTTCCCATTCTTTGTCTTCCTGTTCTACCGCACCTGTGTATATACGTCTCAATCGTACTAGGAAACTCATAATTCACCACAAGATCAATATCCTTGATATCCACTCCCCTTGCTCCCAAGTCCGTGGCTATCAGAACCCCTGGCGAACTGTCCATCCTTTTCATCGCATCTCTTCTTTCATCCATGCTCTTCTTAGAATGCAGTACCACAGATTCATTGATATTTTGGTTGAGATAATCACACATTCGGATCGTGTTGCAAAACACAATCACTTTCATTCTTTTAAATTCAGAATATGCTCTTTTCATCTCAGCATTTATCAGATAATCTCCAGATAATATTTGTCTGAGAACCTTAAGCCTTTCGTTCCGCTTCACATACGAAAAAAATTCATGCACATTATTGCTTACAGAAATATCTCCAATAACAATCCTTGCCACTCCAGGATATTCAAACAACGTTGCTGAAAACAACCCTATCATCTTGGCTTCAGCCATATTCAAAACATACTCAGCATCCTCCTTCAGTCCATACGACATCACCTTATCGACTTCATCAATAACCAAATAATCAATCCTTCCAAAACATCTCGCCTCCATCAACTCACGTAACCTTCCAGGCGTTCCAACAACTACCGAAAACCCATCTGAAAGCTTGAGCCTCTGCATATCCACACTAGATCCCCCCGTCACCTCAATAATCCTGAGCAAATTCTGTGAAAACTTTGCAAATAGCGCAGAAACCTGTACTACAAGCTCTCTTGTCGGAACAATCACTAGCAATCTCGAAAACTCTTCTTGTAGAATCTTTATATACGGCAAAATATAAGATAAAGTCTTTCCACTCCCTGTCTCAGAGGTTGCATTGAAACTCTGTCTAGCAAAAACATACGGAATAATAATCTTCTGGATGTCTGTAGGACTTGCTGGTAGTATTGACAGATCAAATCCAATCGGCCATGTATCTAATGGCATAATCTCAACATTCGACACAATCTTCATCAGGCCTTTCCTTCCATCTACTCCAACCACATACTCATTCATCATTTCACTTGCTAATGAATTCTTGAATACTTCCCTTTCCGGTACTCTTGTATTAATCTTTTCAACAATTTTCCTTTTCAATCTCTTCAGTGTATGTGCTCTCTCCATCAAATCAAAGGCTTTTTATCATCAGAATATCAATCTCAAAGACAGTTTAATCATTTGACATCGAAAGCTGTTTAAACAGCTCAGAAAGCTTTTTATCATCAGGCGGATAGCTAATGTAATCCCTTGCAATGTCAAATATCACAGGGACAAACGGCATCTTTATAACGGGTTCCTTTGGAATCAATGACTCCTCCAGCTGCTTCATCAACTCCGCCTTCAAATACTTCTTCGGAACCTTCGAAAAGTCCTCTCTTGCTTGCACAATCTGCAACTCAAGGTTTTTGAACATCGTCGGAACAACAAATGCATCAATCATCTCATCATTCTTCAAAAATACTATGAACTCATAAATCTTTGCATAGTACATACACAAGCTCTTCGTGTCTTCAAGTACCTTATTAATATACTTTGATTCAACCAAGTTCTCTCCCAAAAACATCTTCAGTCCCTCAAGCTCTGACTGCAATACTTGTGCTTTCTTTCCAATACATAGAACCTTTGTAGGTCTCTTCTCAATCAACACAAACAGCTTTCTCTTCGCTTTTTCTATCTTCTTCACTCTTCTTGCCACCTCAGCATCATATCCTCTCCCTTCAAAAACCACTCCTTCATGAAAAGCCTTTCGCTCTGCATCTGTATCAAATCTAAGCTCAACATCATGCCACATCTCCTTGACCTTTAGCATCGATGTATCAACATTGTAAGGTGCATGCTCAAGTATTCCATTTATCTGGTTCAAAAAGCTTTTAAACTCCACCAATCTTTCTCGTAGACTCATGAAAACACCTGCTTCAACATCCCCGGCTCCTATCATTCCCTTCATAAGATCCCTGTACATCTTCCCAAACTCCGACGTATCTTTCTTCAAAATATGTAAGTTGTTCTTCAAAAACTTCACGGACTTAAGCATTAGCGACTTACACACATTCGACTCAAGCTTATACACTCCCATCTTCCTCTTTTCTGCGTCTCTCAACTTCACTTTCAAATAATTCTTGTATCCTACATAATTCTTTGCTGAAAACCTGTTTTCGTTTCTCATCGTCTCAATAATCTCAAACTTCTCTTTAAAGGTTTCCATGGGACCAACTTTTTTTCCTTTTTTATCCAGTTCATGCATTTACATATCCCTTCAACATATTCTATCATAATCCTAGCATTCTACCATCTATGGTTCAATAATATTTTAATGCAAACATAAAATATCTATGTATCATATGTGCAATAAGCTATAAAGTATCTGACATACCTGAGATGCTGCATCACATCATGTACAAGCACTTCAATTATTCAGTGTTTTTTTATTCTGTCAAAAATAAGATGCCTTCTCAGTTAAGTTGGCATTTAAATATACATGATACTCCATAAGTAACTCAAAGCTCTAGTATCCAAATGACTCTCCTCCCTTTCTAAGATCAGACACCGCATGGATTGTCCTGTCTCCGTTACTTCTTTTGAGGAGAATGCCCTGCACAGATGTAAATACAGTGTTCTGGAGCGATTTTTCTATCACATGGCCTGAATCAACAAGATACTGCTCAACTGGCCCTTGAATGTCATGCTCTACAAAAGTAACATCCGGAAACAGATGATTATGCATTCGTGTCGTCATTATTGCTTCTTTCAGGTTCTTTCCAGTAGATAGATGAAACAGCGTCGATACAATAGACGTGGGTATCCTTATTCCACCCGCTGCGCCTAGTGCAAGTAGTTCATCGTCTTTTGACAAAATAACCGGTGATATTGATGAAAAAGGCCTCTTTCCTGCATCAAGTGAATTTACCGATCCTGTAATATCACCATGCACAGGAGGATAGAAATCATCCATTGTGTTGTTAAATACAATTCCAGTCTCAGGATCCATGAACTTTGCTCCAAACTCAAGGTTTATTGTGCTTGTCAGCAGAACCATCATGTCATCCTTGTCCACCACATTGATATGCGTGGTTCCGTGGTCTTCAGCTCCATGCTTCTTCATTCCATATTCTTTGGCATCTAGCACTTTATCAAGGTCTATTTTCTTATATATCTGCTCAGCCGTTTCCTTCAATGTTATTTCATTCACTACATCTTGCCAGCCTTGAAGAAACTCTGGGTCTGCAAGCTCTCCTCGTCTTGCCATCATGAACTTGAATATCTCAATAAGCAGATGTAAGTTTCTGAATTTTCCTGTTTGCATGTCATCTGCAATCAATTTATCCAGATTGTATTTCTCAAGTATATTTAGTGCCTTTAAAACCAGCGGTCCACTTGTGGGAAGATTCGTTGTGTATACTTTGTAATCGTGGTATTTTCCTTCAACAACTGGCCTATGTACTGGTTTGTATTCTTGTAGATCACTCTTTAAGAGCACACCACCTTGGTTATTAACAGCTTTGACAATTGAATCAGCAAGACCTCCATTGTAGAAATCTTCCGGATTGTTCATGATGGTTTCTAAGGTTTTTGCATAATTATCACGTACTACAACATCTCCTTCCTTTAGAAGCTCGTTGTTACGCATGTATGTGCTTCTCAATCCTGGATCAACTGCTATAAATTCTTTTAGCCTGTTAATTCTTCTTACTAGCTGATTGCTTACAGGAAACCCTTTGGCTATTTGTATGTTTTCTTGGAATAGGTTCTTCCATGGAAGCTTCCCATACTTCCTATGCGCTTCATAGATGCCATACACTTCACTTGGAACACCCACACTCAATCCACCAATTTTTGATCCATTCTGTGTTCCATAGAGTAGTTTGGCATTGAGATTCCTTGGAGCAACTTCTCTGAAGTCTATCATGTCCACAGTGTCTTCATTGCCCGGCTTCTTTATGAGCATGAATCCTCCTCCTCCGATTCCTGATGAAAACGAATTTACTATTCCAACGCATATAGCAGATGCAACTGCTGAATCAACTGCATTACCGCCTTGCATAAGCACCTTGACACCTAGCCTCGAGCACATTGGAACCTCAGTACTGCATGCGCCGTTAGAATACACTTCGAGAATACCAAAGTCTGGGTTTTCAAAGCCATTCCGCTCTTGTGCAGACACTATGCATGATACAAATAGCATCATAGCAAATCCCAGCACATTTCTCATTGTTTTGCAATACATGCCGTTATTTATCAAAATACTTTGAAACATGTTCATGCATGCTGATATCTTGCAGCATTATCTACTAATTCCATCAGAGTAGCCATGCAATCCAACCCCATCAAATGCCAAGGATTCCAATCAATCCTCCGGCAGAATTTGAGAAGGTACGAGACTTTTTAGAAAAAGTTGAAGCAGAAATGAGAAGACTTGAGAATGCACCACTGGCTCCCAGGAACCAAGAGAACTTCTGGCCAATCTTCCAGCTGCATCACCAACGAACAAGGCACATCTGCAATCTTTATGACAATGGAGAGATAAGCAAGGAATTGTACAAATATCTTGTGGAAAACATGTTTGTTGATCATAGCTTAGCTTGTTATTGGAAGAAAATGGGCTATGAAAATCTGTGCTGTGTTAGATGCATTCAACCTATTGATAGTAAGCATGGAAATGTATGTGTTTGCAGAGTGCCTCAAAGAAGCATTAATGCAGGTCAGGTTGTTAGATGTGATAATTGCGGATGTATGGGATGCTCTGGATATTAAAGTGGCATGATTTAAATGATGATATAGAGGTTCATGCTGGTTAGATGCATGATTAATATGGTTTTGTATACTTCTTTGAATATTAAAATATGAGTTGCATGATGAATATGATTTTGTATATTTCTATCGATAGTAAAATTGCATTATCATTCAGATAATGCTACAGAAGTCCATACTGGTCATGTGCATGACTAGCATTTATTCATGCGTACAAGCATTATTACAGTTTTCAGATGGCAATATTAAAACCTTGTTTCATAAGACGAATAAGAATGTTGCATGAATAAGGCAACAAGAGTGTGTGATGTTTGCCAATAGAACTCTGGAGTATAGAAGAATGGCGAGGATAAGTAGCTTGAAATTTGCTCCAATATCAATGACAGGCATACGAAAGTCCTTGAGTGACACCAGAGAAAGCATTTCGAAACTTGGAATTTTGCAAGAGAAGCACGGCCTGCCGTCATTTACAACCAGAATAAAAAGGCGAAAGGAAATTGACGATCTGAAAAGAACCATAGTAGAAAGTATAGCATGTATTGAAAGAAAGATAGAGGACCTGAATGGATGTACAAATTCGAAATGTCTTTCTGGAAACATAGGAGAGTATTTTTCAGCACAGTTGAGGGCAATAATATATGATTACAGAAGTATACAGCAAGAGTTCTTGAAGAATATAGATCTGCATGAAGAGCTTGAGCATGAAGAAAACGAAAACATAGATGAAAAGAGCACGGTGGTCGTTGAAACAGTAAAGGATCTTAGAAAGTCAATATATGACCTTACTTCGATTCTTCTGAACATGAGGATGGCAGTAGGACAGCAGTCGTTGCAAATAGATAGGTTAGACTTCTACTTTGATTCGATAAACTTCTATCTTGAAAGTACAAACAATGAGTTAGAAAAGATTCCTGCAACACACGGGAAACTCAAAGATAAGATTATGTATTCCATGCTGGTGATGTCAACGGTTCTTACGCTGATGAGTCTTATGAAAATGGTTAGAAATAGATGATCATCGAAATAAGATACTCAATTACTGGATTGATGAATAAAACCCTGGGTTGTTAGATGTTATTTTCGATTAGTTTTATGCGTCCTGATGAAGAAGTTGAAGGTTTCAAGAGCAGATGAGAAGCCTGAATTCACATTCTACACTACTCTCCAAAGCAAATATGTATCTTATGAAGAGTTATCAAAGGCAGTAAAGAAGCGAACGCTGATTCTGAAGCGTGTTGATGAAGACCGGGTATTAAAGATGAGAGCTGGTACAAACATGTCAGAAGATGTCATTTCGCACTTTTTGTGTAGGATGGTGTATTCACAGACACAATGGGCAAGCACGTGGTTTGTAAATGCAGAGACAAATCTTTTTCGTGCAAAACTCACAAACGATGTGTCAGGAGCCAATGAGTTTTTTTTGAACACTGTACTGCCTTGCATGAACAAAGTAGATATTACTGGTGATGCATTGTTTGTAAGTGCCAGAAGTATGTATGATCCAGACTCAAAGCATGTTCAGAATGAAATACCTCAGGATATTTTTGTACACTTTACTAAGGTGATTGATCTTGTTGGTAAGAGGACAGTTACACTTGAGAATGGGTATGTCAGATTAGATGATCAAGGCATTCGGTCTTTCCTTGTGAATGAGTTCAGAATGCATTTAGAGATGAAAATGTGTGATCTAGAGGATATATTCCACAAGGACCATGATGAAAGGATGGGAAGGCTTCTATCTGAGGTAATGGTGAGTACACCAACAAGACAGCAAGATGTTTCTGGCTTTTCGTTATCTACCTCAGAAAGATATTTCCCTCTGTGCATTCAAGACATAATGGCGAAGCTAAAAAGTAACAAGCACTTGAAGTATAATGATAGACAAATACTTTGTCTTTTTCTGAAAGATTGTGGAATGAGTGTTTATGATTCAATAGAATTTTTCCGGAGTTCGTTCAGCATTGACAAGGACACGTTTAGTAAGGACTATCTTTATTCGATAAGGCACAATTATGGACTTGAAGGCAAACGTGCAAACTACACATGCTTCAACTGTACAAAGATGTCGAATACAGTCAATGAGTTGAGAGTAAGCAGTTGCCCTTTTGTTGAAAATGAAGCATATGTAAGGCAGCAGGCTCAAGTGCATCAGATTGACATTGAAGATGTTATGAAAGCAGACACATTTAGAGGCAAATGCACAAAGTTTCTTGAAAAGTTAGTTCTGCAAAGACAAGAAAGAATAATAACGACGCCAGTGAAATATTACTTTGAATACCGAGGAGAAGGAGATGGAAAGCAACCATCTGGATGAAACTTATGTCGTGGTTTCTGGACAAAATGTGCAATATTGAAGCAATGTAAAAGATTGCATGAAACCCATATAGGAATGAGTGAGAATGTTTACTCTCTTAAACTGAAGTATTTGAAGAAGCTTGAGAAATATCCTTTCAAGTCTGCTGAAGAGGCTAAAGAGCTTGGGATGGAAGAGTACGACGTAGACTATCAAAAGGATGCGATTGCATTAGAAACACCGTTTTCAATGAAGTCTACACAAAGGAAAATAAGTGTAGAGGTACAGGAGAGTGTAAGTGGCACTGAGGATTATTTTTCGTCCGAATCATCTGGGGAAAGCACGGATTCTGAGGACTTTATTGGAGACGTGTGCTTTGAGATTGACTTGTCTGTTAGAGGAAAAGAAATAGTTAGGGATTCGCCGATCAGTATTATTCAGGGACGCAAGTATGGACTAGTTGGAAGGAATGGAATAGGAAAGACCACTCTTTTGAAGGCGATCAGAAAAAGGAAGTTTGGGATTCCGAGGGGACTCAAGATATACATGATAAAGCAGGACTCGTTTGTTGATGCCACAGTTGAGGAGTTTGTTGGAGTGAATGCAGGAAGGATACTGAATGGGCTTGGATTCAATAAGGAGATGATTGCAAAGAACATGCAGGATTTAAGCGGAGGATGGAGGATGAGGGCTCATCTTGCAAAGGCAATAAGTATGAATCCTGATCTTCTGCTTCTTGACGAGCCTACAAACTACCTGGACATCAAGGCACTGAACTGGCTTGAAAAGAAGATATCTGAGCTAAAAACAGTTATTATTGTATCACATGACAGAAATTTCTTGAACAACACCACGGAAATGATTATGCATCTGAATGATTTGAAGATAGATGTATATAAAGGAAATTATGAAAGCTTTGTGAAGCAAAGAAGTGAAAAGATAGCCTCAATAAAGAGAGAGTATGAGAATCAGCTTACGGTTAGAGAGCATATGCAATCATTTATTGATAGATTCAGATATAATGCAAAGAGAGCATCACTTGCGCAAAGCAAGATAAAGGCACTTGCAAAGATGCCTGTGCTGGTACCGCCTAAGCAAGACCCTGTGATAAAGTTTTCGTTTTTATCAACGCCGTGCCAAGGACTGCTTGTTGAGTTTTCGGATGTTTCTTTTCATTATGGTAAGCCAATCTCAGCCGATACAAAAATGATCTTTTCTGGATTGAACATGAAGATTGATTCAGGTTCACGAATTGTGATTGTAGGTAGCAACGGACAAGGTAAAAGTACATTTTTGAAGATACTAGCAGGAAGGCTCGAGGAGGCTGAAGGAAGTGTAGTGAAGAACTCGCATTTGAAGGTAGGATACTTTGCACAGCATCACGTGGATAATTTTGACGTAAATGAGAAGGTGTTGGATCTGATGATGAAAAGCTATACTCTAGGAGAGAGTAAAAAGGCACTGGCATCTTTTGGACTGAATGTTGACAATCAAAGAATTGGAACTCTTTCTGGAGGACAAAAGAGTCGTCTTGGATTTGCATTGGTAAATGGGATGAAACCAAATCTACTAATTCTTGACGAGCCTACAAATCACTTGGATATGGAGTCTATTGATGCATTGGCTGATGCCCTCAGAAGGTTTGAAGGGTGTGTAGTGTGTGTAAGCCATGATCTGAATTTTGTAAGCTCGGTATTCAAAGAAGTGTATGTGTGCGAATCAGGCAGCATTAAGAGGTTTTATGGAGATGTGATTGAATACAAGCAAAAGCTGGGTGACTGATCTTGACTTTATTTAAATTTGTTTGATTTATATGTTGTTTGTACGGGATTCTAACCGTTTTCTTGTGTCTTCTGGCATTTTTGAAGAGTCGATTGTCCATTTCTTATTCTGAGGAAGCTCATTTCTGAAATGCTCTGGCGTGAGGAGCAATTCAAGATGTTGCTTGATTTCTTGGAATTTCTTTTTGTCCATAGATACCTGAATTGAGTATCTTATATGTTTAATGTGAGTGTTAGGTGCCCTATCAATTTTATTGAATGAAGCAACACATATGATTTCTGCACAACTAATCAAAGTGTAGCCGTTTTCTAATTGATTGTGTGTAACCTGATAAATAATGTGATTTGTTTGTGTATTTCAACGAAGCGACGGGATGGATTAAGAAGAGGAGTCAATATGGAATGGCACGATGTGTGTATTTAAAAACAAATATGCAGAGCCCCAAAGATGATTAAGCAAATAGTTAATGTCTGCGTGGCATTAGTTGTTTTTCACAATGTTCTTCAGGCTTTCAAAGCCTCTAAGAATGACAAGAGCCTTTCTAGAAGATACAGCAAGTGCTTTATGATGATTTCTGTATTTCTTGTGATTGACAACATGTTTTCGTTTGTTTTGAACATTGTTCCGTTTTACCAGCTGTTTAAACTAATGGTTGTTGTCTGGATGTCGATCCCAGCATGCACAGGTGCAGTATTTGTATACAAATTTTATATACAAGGTTTTTTGGACAAGCATGAAAGCCGACTTGATGAGATGGTTGAGAATGTAAAGAAGGTTGTGTCTAGATATTTCAGTGAATGTTATGGCAAGGCACATAAAAGATGCTATATAAGCAAAGACACAAAGACAAAGGCTGAAATCGTAGATGAAGAGGCTGGAGAGCAATTGAAGGAAGAAGAGAATGCAGGAGATGTGGAAGAGTCTGGGTTTTCTGCGATTGACTCGACTTCTGTCAATGAAGATAAGGCTGTGTCTGAAGCCGGGCTTAAATGGCGGAGCGGATCGTTTATGGATGTGGATAGTAAGTCTAAAGACAAATAAATGAATGTCTTGTGTATTTTTTGCTGTTGATATGAGTTGAACTGATTTTGATACCCCATAGATGGGCGTGGTTGGAAGGATCACGCGTGCAGCAAGTAAAGTGATTAGAAATGGAGTAAAGAAATTGAAGAAAGGAACGAGGTTTATTATCAAAGGAAGAAAGGGCGATGTCGGTGAGTGCATTTATTCTGGAGAATATGAAGAATGTGAGAGTAAGTGTGGGCAACAGGAGGTAATTAATGATCGAGTGATGCATGAGGATATACCCGTGGAATATGAAATCATGAATGCTAGAAGCTTTAGCATGCCTGTTTTTATAGAAATGGGGCAAGAAGTTAATAGCCTTGGATTGAAAAGAATAGGTGGAGAAGTGCTGTTTTTGTATGATATTGATGATACGCTGTATCATAGATCTAATGGGCTTCAAGAGGAGGAAAGAATGTTTTTGAAACAGAAGTATGTTTCTTTGAAAGAAGGAGTAACGTATGATCTATTTGAGAAGTATATGTCGATGTCTTATCTCTACTCGCATATGTTTAATGAATATGGAGGCATCTCTCTTGAAGAGTATTGGAAAATGCTTTCTGAGTTTGATTATTTACAGTATGTTTCTCCTGATCCAAGTTTGAGAAGTTTTTTGTTGTCTATGAGCAATGTGAGGAGATGTTGCTTTACAAATGGACCAAGAGATAGGGCAGAGAACATTCTTACGAAGATGGGTCTTCTTGATTGCTTTGAAGCTGTAATATGCATAGGAAAGTATGATTCTACGTTCTGTTGTAAGCCAAAATATGTATCTTATGAGTTTGTCATGCGTGTCCTAGGCATTGATATGCCTGAGAATATTCATTTTTTTGATGATTCTGAGAGCAATGTGAATAAAGCCAAGGAGATGGGATGGAACGCTTGGCACATTAATGGCGAGGAGCACATCATAGATGTTTCTTTGAACGCCCTTCGGGCTGTTCATACAAGCAAAAATTCTCTTCTAGATCCACAGAGCATAGAGGACCTGTGCAGACTTTATTCATCATCTTCAATGCATAAGTTTGATATTAGCTAAATAGCTCAGAATTTAATATTTAAAATATTGGTTTATTATATCAAATATACATCAAGAAAGCAGGCTTGGCTTTACTATCTCTGCATTGTTATTGACAAAATGGATTGGCCTGACAGTATCGAAAATATCTTCATATAAATAGTTTCTTGATTGTTCGAATCCATTTGGGACTTCTCCTTTTGCATATCTTTTCTCGATATCTATCTTTGCCTGAAGAAGATTGAGTGTTTTCTTTGCATTTGTATAGAAATTGCATATGTAATCAAGCAATACGTAGACAATATGGCTACGAAGACTTATATCTGTATTTGGACTCTTTGTATATGCTCCAAGGATCCGATCAAATCTTTCATCTACAAAAGATTGCAAGTATGCAAAATATGAATATTCTGAATTGCTTAATTTGTTTTTTTTGTGATATTGTGTAAGTTTATGTCCTGTAAAGCAATCTATCGCAGTGGCATATATATCGTAGACTCCTATTGGATTCAATGCATCATCGTATGCAATCATAGGTTTCTGCACAAATAACTGTAAATGCTTTAGATAATGACAAATAAGAGTGCCTTGCTCATAACTAATACCATGCATTTTGCATCTTTCTTCTGATGGTTTAGCATTAATAATCGATTTGATAACACTTCGCAGCTTTACGAATAGAAATTCTCCGTACGTGCCTTTGCTTGTATTAAATGAAATCAGTCGATTCCTTCTTGATATTAATTGATCCTCCCAAGCCATCTCGGATGTATGATTCTCTGATTGACAATCAGGATATTTATCAGGTATCTCTTGATGGCTCTCCCTGCATTCTGGATTTTCTCTCGCTTCTATGCTGTATTCTTCCTCAATGTTTCTGTACAGATTGAATGGTTTTGCATTTGCATTTTCATTATCTATTTTTGTATTATGTATCAAATTATATCTGCAATCATGTAGATCTGACTCATACACAGATGAACTCTCGTCAGCATGCATTTCCTTGTTGTCCAGCTTTGCAGAGCTTATTATTGCAATGCACGTCCCTATCACTAGCGCTATAAGCAACAATACGACCGCTACTATTTTATGCTTTCGCGCCATGATTTATCAATGGGACTGTATCCAAAACATTATTTCACTTTGATTAGAATCTAAAAAGATTGTTTAATCCCATTTGGTTTTCCCATTGATGTATCCCTCAACAATCAAATGGCAGTCATCAACATCGACTCTTACCTGCTTCATGCTATCTCTTTCCCTGATCGTCACCATCCTATCGCTTGCAAATCCAGGATCAAAAGTAATGAAAAACGGAATCCCAAGTTCATCGCATGATGCATACTTTCTGCCAATGCTGCATGAACGCTCATTAACCTGCACTACAAATCCTTTTTCAGACAAATACTTCTTTATCCTTATAATATGTTCATAATATTCATCAGAATAAATCAAATATCCAATAGCACATTGGATAGGCGCAACCATTGGTTTGAATCTAAATACAGGCTTCATATCTTCTCTTGAATAGAAAGAATGCTCTATCAATGCATAAAGGATGCGCCCAACTCCAAACGAAGGCTCTACCACATCTGGAATTACATTCTCAACATGCACCATCTTCTTACTTCTCAAGCATTCCACATCAACATCATGTCCGTCATATTGAAATCTAACATATGATCTTCCTTCTGAACAAACCAAATTTTTCTGAATAAACTCTTGGGAGGTCGACAAAACAATCTCCTCAAACTCTCCAAATTTTTCTCGAATTCTAGGGCCCCATTCCTTTTTGTTCAACTTCAGTACCCATTCATCAACTTCCCTGGGTTCGGCTAATCTTCGCTTGCTCCTCAGGCTAATGCCAGACATCTCCTCATGGCACTTAAGATCATAGCAAGACCTATCTGCTATTCCAACACATTCAACCCATCCATGAGAAGTGTATATTTCTGCGTCCCAGCAGTCCTTTGCGTAATGTGCCATTTCATCTTTCTTGTGCTGTCTGAACCTAACCATGCTCATATCCATCCCGAGATCCTTGAAAAACAGCGCTGTCCTTCCAATAAAATATCCAATAGTCTCGTTAAACACAATTGCCTGTCTCACTGCATCTCCCAATGCCATTTCTACATCTTTGTCTCCATAAAGAAGTCTTAACACAAGGCCTCCAACCGATGCAAACTTCGGGTGATTCTTTTCATCCTCTAGTACAAAGTGTTCAATCTCTGCTTGCTCAAACTCTCTCACTCTTATTAGCCCACCCCTTGGGCTGATCTCGTTTCTATACGCTCTTCCAATAGATGCAGATGCAAAAGGTAGATTCTCATTGTTATATTCATAAAGCTTCTTAAAATTCAAAAATTGCCCTTGTGCTGTCTCAGGTCGTAAAAACACCCATTGGTCTCCCTTATATCCTATCTTTGTTCCAAACATAAGATTAAACTGCTGAGACTGCTTGAGTTTGTTTCCAGAAGTACCTCTAATGTCATATTTCTCAATTGTTGCATCCACCTCTTCACAAGTCATACAATCTACTCTTCTCAAGTCACTAATAACCTCATCGGTTTGCTCCATCTTCTCCAACACTGCAGAAATCAAATGGTCTGCACGGAAACACTCTCCAGACTCTTCATCAAACACAAGAATGTCACAGAATTTATCCACATGTCCGCTCGCTTTCAGGACACTGTATGGCAGCATTGCCGTTGTGTCTATCTTCAACATGTCTTCTTCAACCACAAAATGTCTTCTCCACAAAGACAACATGTTTGCTTTCAATGACAATCCTGGTGGTCCAAAGTCATAGAGACCTGACACTCCACCATATATGTGTGCAGACTGTGCTATGAAAAACCTCTTCTTAAGAATATGCTCAATTAGCTGTTGATCAAACTTTTTCATTTAAGGGATACTGCATGAATGAATGATATTAAACAAATCGGTCGTATGAGCTTTAAACCCTTATATGAATGATCTGGTCTCAAGAATATCAAGGTATGAGTCATTAGATTTAGAAACATACCTGAACAACACAATACAGAGATATGAGGAGTTTCTACTTGAAGCAGAAAAATACAAGGCATCCAAAGTCCATCATGAGATAGACACTGAGATACTGAAGATATTCCTAGTGAATAGCAACGCTCTACTCGATATTCTTGATGCATATGAAGAGTCATACGTGGTCATTTCAAACATGATTGATCTTTCAAAACAGCTCCTTAGATCCCGTTTAAGTGTATGCGAGGAAGACGTAATTGTTGACAAGGAGCAGGTCAACAAATTCAGGGCTATTATTGAGAGCTTCAGTGAGGATGCTGGCGTATTTGCCACCGATGAGCGATTTCTTGTTCATTTTAACACATTTAAGGAAAAGTGTGGGCAGAAGTGTATATTGGTTCTTACGAACGATATTCTTTTAATAGGTATACTGCAGCAGGGACTCAGGAAATACAGACTGCTCAATGCATACAGCTATACAATTGTGCGCATGGACATCAAGGATGGCATTCTTAGAGTAAGGGTGGATCCCACAACATATGAATTTAGCAGCAGTATAAAAAGCGTCGAAAAGACGTTCAAGGTTTTTGAAGAGTTAACATACAAGTATAAAAAGAAGCATGAAGATACAGGTAAAACGATCGTTGATCAAGAAATGATTGAATATCTTGCATTTACAGAGCAGTACGAACTTCTGAATCCAGATGAGTTTGCTGGAGGCTGTCCATCAAAAATGATGTTTTACAGCAAGCAAGAGATTGTAAAGTATCTTTCTGTGCTTACAGAGTCCAAACACGATGCATCGGTGTGTTTGTATTCCTTTCTTGAAAGCAGATTTAAAGATGGAATGCGCAAGATTAACCAAATACAAACCCTTGATGGATTGATTGCAGATGTGTTTGCATATTTCAAGGAGTTTTTTGATGAGCAGGATGAACTAATAAGAGACTTAGAAACAATCTCGAGCATAAGGAGAAGTGGAGTCACTTTATTAATAGAAAAACAGTTGATTGAGTGCTTCAAGGCATTTGAGCACAGGATATTCAATAAATCGCTCAATTCGAATCAAGCAGATCATTACATAAAGCTTGTTGTCCAGAACCTTAAATTCTCAGGATGCAATTTCTGCTATCTCATGGACAGCTTCGTTCAGAAAAATGAAGACTACAAGCTACGATGCATAGAAAATGCAATGAAAGAAATAGAGAAAATCATCAGGTCAATAATTATGGAATAAAAATGAAGTAGGATTAAAACATTGTTTATGCATTTCAAATCCAAAAGGATTAATTAAACACATTTCCTATAACCTTTGTTCATTGAATGCATGATTTATAAAGTGATTTACAGTGTATAATATCTTATACAAATACATTGATTTAAGTATATTTAGAATCAAGATTTTAATTGATTTTCTGAGACAGTTTCTCAATAATCTCAATCAGAATTGGGACAGAGCATCCAGTTATGCTTTCTCCAAACACTGCCTTATTCCCGTTGCTTTCAGAAACTCCTGCAATGTCAAAATGTGCCCACTTAAACTTCTTTTCAACAAACTCATTCAGGAAAATTGCTGCTGTTGATGACCCTGCTTCCCTAGATTCCCCAGTATTCTTCAAATCAGCCACATTTGACTTCATCAGCTGCAAGTAGAACTTAGAGAGCGGCATCCTCCATGCAGGGTCGTTTGCCTCAATACCGCTTTGGTATATCATGTTTGACAGCTCATCATCCTTTGTGAAGTATCCCATGTATGTGTCACCAAGAGCTACACAAATCGCTCCAGTTAGTGTTGCAACATCAAATATATACGATGGATTTGCCTTTTGTGCATATACAAGTGCATCTGCCAGAATAAGCCTTCCTTCCGCATCAGTGTTATCAATCTCAACGCTCTTTCCATTCATTCCAACATACACATCTCCAGGCTTAGTAGCCGTGCCACTCGGCATGTTCTCCACAAGAGGTATTGCAATGTCCACATTGATCTTCATCCCAAGGTCAGATGCAAGTCCAATCACGCTCAGCACAGATGCTGCTCCCAGCATATCTCCTTTCATTCGGTTCATCTTTGGTGATGGCTTCAATGAAATCCCTCCAGAATCAAAGCATACTCCCTTACCCACTAATGACACATCTACTGAATCTCCTCCTCGTCCACGATACTTTGCAACCAAAAACTTTGGCTCCTGTACTGATCCCTGTGCCACACTTAATAATAGATTCATTCCACTGTCTTTCATGAACTTCTGGTCATACACCTCCATCCTTATATTCTTCTTTTGACTCAGGTACTTACTTGCATACTCAACAAACAGCGTTGGATTCATAAGATTTGCAGGCGTGTCTCCCAGAAACCTTGCAAAGTTTTGAGCATTTCCAATCGTTATTGCCTTTTCAATCTTCGGGCACTTACAATTGATCGCTACTTTCTTTCCTTTATTTTCTTCAGAGTCCAAAAAGTCGTACTTATATGATGCAAGAACTATCCCAGACACAACCTCCTTACACATCATTTCAGAACTCAGTGCAATCTCGACATCCTTCAGATGCGAAACAGCCTTGTATGCAAGTGCGCCTGCCTTCCTGGACACATTCTTTACCTCAAGCTCATCTTCAGCTTCATCAATCGATCCAAGCCCCACAAATACCACCATCTTCTTGTCTTCTCCAAGATACACATAAGTCTCCCCTGCTGCTCCCTTGGCTCCAACTCCATTCAGAAAATCCATGTATTTGGAATCAACACTGTCCATGTGTACCTTAACACCATCCTTCCCTTTGCTGAACAACACCAGCATCGCCTTTGCTGAATCTGCGCTTGTCTCATTTAGCACAGCCAACTTCTCGTAACCTAAGAGCTCTGCCATTTGGGTGTCAACAAACAAAAAAATTAAATTACCTCATTGTTTATTTATGCAATATCCAGGTTTTAGCCCATTAATGCGCATAATGATTATTTTAGGTGCATCAATGCTCTCCATCGTCTGTGCATCCTCATCATTGTATAAAGGCACGCCTTATTTCAACATACAATATACAGTCGTTGATGAGAATGGAAATGAAGAGATTCGACAGAAGCAGATGCAGTTTATTCTTGATTTTGAAAACACGCCACTTGCTGCAGAAAACTTCTATAACCTTGTAAAAGGAGGAGAAGAATTCAATAAGATTCCCTTGCATTACAAAAACAGCATCTTCCACAGAATCATTCCTGGATTCATGATGCAAGGAGGTGATATTGTCAACAGCAATGGCACAGGTTCCATTTCAACATATAAAGACGGGATACCATTTGAAGACGAGAACTCAAAAATACTACATGATACAGCAGGTGTTCTTTCCATGGCAAACAGAGGCCCAAATACAAATGGATCACAATTTTTCATTACTTTTGGACAACAGAAGCATCTTGATGGAAAGCACACTGCATTTGGCAGAATCATTGGGCAAGAAAGCTTCGATATTCTGAAGGAAATTCAACAGCTGGTCTCCATCGACAGGAAAACAAATGAACCAAGAAATAAAGTCACAATAATCGAATCAGGGATTAAGCCACTACCTGAGGATACACGAATTGAGCTAGACATAAACAACAACAGAGAGCCTACAGAGCTTTAATAAATCAATCTAAGTATAATATTATCTTTTATTATGAACCAGAGACACTCCAATTCAATTAGTGTATCCATCCTTTATAGTCCATAAACTCACACAATCACATACTTCCTAAGATCTGACAGTGATGTTCCAATCAACACATTCCCTGACTTCTCAACCATTTCACAAAGCACATTTTGTATCTTCGAGTCATCAAATAAACACACTCTTGTGCCTGCATCCATCAAACAATCTTTCAGTGAATCAAGAACTCGTTCTATTCCTCCTTCAATCTGGCTTTGGCAAATAATCGCATCAAGTGTTTTTTCCACACCTCTTCTCAAATCATTCAAAGGCATTTCTCCACCAGCCAATGAAAATCTCCACCTGAACGAAATAACTTCCTCAAATACATAATAACTTATCTTATACACCAAACTTGTATACAATGCAATTCTTATCCTTGTGGGCTTTTCCAATTCCATCGCCGATAACTTCAGAACAAGATGCTCAACAAGTTTAAGCTTCCAAAGAAACTGAAAAATCATCACAAGCTTCAATACACACTCATTTGTGATAACCATATTTGCAGGATACTCCACGTGGCTAAATAGCGCAAAATTCTCATATCTATTTTTTTCATCAGCAATGTACACGCCCAGACCAGATGCAAACTCATCTACTTGTCCATATGTGTTCCTAACAGCCATGTCAAGAATATAGCTGAAACTCTTGCTGCTAAGATTTTTACTATCCTTTAAATACATGAAGAGCGTTTCTATAAAGTCGCCTCTTCCAAAAAGAAAGCAATTTCTTGCTCCATCTATATGCTTCCAGATTCTCATGTCTCTCAAAAACCTTTTTTCTACTTGCTTGTTGGATATATCAAGAGCCAAATCAACATCATCAGCTAAACCAGGGCTGAGTATGTCAAGACAAGCATGTTTGTACAAACCTTCATGTGTATCACAGGCACCATCTACAGACATATTTTCAATTCCAAACATGCGATTTCCTTTTGTTTCGGCATAACTATCAATCTCAGATGTATGTATCTTATCTATACTGTCAGCATTATACTTTCTAACAAGCAATGCACATTTACCTATATAAAGTATTTTCTCAACCACACTGTTGGGCACAAATCTAGGAACAAGGCCAAAATCAACCGTAAACTCGTCCCATGGATTCACAGACATGCTTCTACAAATAAAAAACTCGTTTGTATCATCACTAAATTCACCTCGGAACACAAATGAATTCAAGCACCTGTTGATGTGCAAAAAGCTCGATTCAAGCACTTTTCTATAGAAATCACGACCTGAATACATATCAGGCTTCAAAAACTCAAATGGCATCTTTGGATAATCTGTGAAGCACTCATTGAGTTGATGAATGATCTGCAGCTTTATATATGCAGAATACATTCCTGAATAGAACTCAAGTAGTTCATCTTCCTGAGCCATTACAGCGCATTCATACTTCTCAAGCTCTTCTCTAACAACCTTATAGAATTGAGAATGCGCCTTTGAATGGAACGATTGTAAACACTTCAACTTTTTGTAAATGCATGCATTCTGGTACACCTGGAAAACAATTGTACATGTGTGTAGATCTATCTTATCTCTAAGATATCCAATTCCACAATCTGTAAAATATGATGTTTCAAATCCTAATGCACCTTTCTTGAGGTTTCTATTCAACTCATCAACAATTGAAGATTGAGAGTTTGACATCTTTATGATTATGTAGAACATTATTTTGTCAGCATCAGTTTTGCACATTCTTCGATACATCAGATATGCATTATATGATCTTGCCTTGATGAGTCTTTCGAGGTATGTTTCATCAATGGTTCTATTGGATATGCGTGTGTGTTTCAGTGCACTTTCAACAAGAAGAGGCGAAGGTGTCACTCTTCCACTCTTGAATATTGAGCTGATCAAACCTTTGAGTAACTCCTGCATGTCAAGGGCATTGACGGATGGAATTGAAAGTAATGCATGTGTACATGATGGATTAAAGGCGTACCTGCATAAATGTCACAGGTTTTTTTCACCCATGGAAAATAGGAAGCAAGAGCTTAAGAGAAATAGCATCAATGTGCATCAAAGGCTTGGAACAGATGTCCACGTGACATCAGAGGAGATGGATATGGAAAGAAGAAACACAAAAGCATATGAGTATCTTTGTAGACTGGAGGAGGCAAAGACATGGATAGGAGAATTTGTAAATGTACCTGAAACATTTGAAGAGTTTGAGGATGAGATGAAGCGAGGAATGGTGTTGGCAGAGGTGTGCAGAGCATTTGCTCCAAGATGTGTCAAGAGCGTGTTTAATGGAAGCATTCTTCAGTATAGACATACAGACAACATCAACTATTTTCTGGATGGGATTGTGCAGGTGGGACTGCCTAAACATTTTCATTTTGAAGTGATTGATTTGTATGAAGGGAAGAATTTTGCAAAAGTGATATATTGTGTTCATGCGCTTGCACACTTTTTGAGTTCGAAGGGAATATCGAGAAGCATAAAAAGTGCAAGGGGAATGGTGTTTTCAGAGGATGATATGGCAAGGGCGGATGTACAAGTTGAGAACATGCTGATGCCTAAATTTGATGAGATTGGAGAAAAGTTATGGGAGAATTTGAAGAAGGAGGAAATGGAGCACGAGAACAATGAAGCAAAGGCTGAGAGTGATGTGGAGCAATACGATGCAATTATTGAAGACAACGAATGCAGTTTTTTTTCAGAAGATATGAGTATGTGTGGAGAGTATGTTGAGATAGTGAAGTTGACTCTAAAAACATTTCTGTACAAGAAGTGTTTTGATGACATATATTTCAGGAAGGACGCATCTTTCTTTTCTATAAAGAAGCTTGCATTTTTGTTTTTTGGCGTCTCACCTGAGATGGGCAAAGAGAACCAGATTGAGAACCTGCACTACAAGATATCGAAGATGTTTGATAGCATCTATGAGAAGGATATGCAGATCAAGGACATTGAGATGAGGATAAAGCTGATGATACAGAACAGGATGGAGGTAGGTAATATTATAGTCAAGAGCCCAATAAGCGATGATATTGACACGAAGGTGTTTGAGAAGGTGTTGATGCTGTTAAGAAATAATCCAAAGTATCTCTCTGGATTGCTTATGCATGTTTCTGACCTGGATGCATTTGTGGTATCCATAGTAATTCCGATATTTTCAAATGTGTGTTCGAAGAAGGAGGAATATATGTTTGTGAGCCTAGTGTTGGAGACATTCCGTAAGGAGCTTCTGAATGAAGGACTTGATATCAGCAAGTTTGTGTTTATAGACATGTCACTTGGGATGCATTCTAGTGCTTTTTTTTCACTCGAGGTGTTTAAGGAGATTGAGCTTCCTATTCAGCATGAATTACCAGCAAGCTCGGCATGTCATAGATTGATGGTGAACTATTTCAGGGTTGCAAATAGCAGCTTTGCAATGCGAGATGGGATTCTTAGCATTGTGAGGAACCTGGAGAATATTGAACTGGATGCAAATCCGATGCTTATATACAGAGTGCTGTTCAACCAGGATGTGCTAGTTGATAAGGCATTGGAGAACGAAAGAGTAAGAGAAACCGTCCAGACAAGATTGATGGTGATACGTGGAGTGGTTACGTCTGTTCTTGACTTCCTTGAGTCGAATGTGGAGTCTGTCTCGTACATTCTAAGATATTTCTTTAAGCTTTATGGATCTGGAATGTTTTATTCTGAGTTTGTAATGCCGTTTATTTTGGCACCTGATGCATTCATCGAGTCTTTTGTTGTCAGCAAGGCATTGAGGAACAAGTGCTTTATTGTATCTAAGGTTCTTGGGTATGTGACAGATGAGGTTACTGTATTTGAAGAATCGGATTACGGAGATGAGGGAATGAGAGATGAAGAGGTCGACACATGCATGAATGACATTGAAAATGAGAAAAGAAGCTTTGAATTGAAGTTCTATTCTCCTTTGTATCCGTTTTTCAAAAAGTGCCGTGAGAGATATGTCGAGATCCTGAGAAGACTTACGAATGTGAGTAGTCTCGACAATTATTTCCAGTTTGAATCCATGAATGATATTGGAAGAGTCAAAAAGGCAACAGTGTATATGCCGAGTAGTACGGCTAATCAGCTCACAACTCTGCTTATGAACAACACAAATCTACTTGATCCTGAGATGTGTGAGATTTTGGATACTTTGCCCTTGTTTCCAGATGACAAGAATAAGACACTCTCATTTATGATTTTTGGGCCTGAATGGCTGTGTTCTCAAGATTCTGAAAAGATGGCACTTGATAACTTCATAAGGGGATTGAAGAAGAAGCTGATATATGCGATATCAGTATGCAAGGGAAGGAACCTGATTGAGATGCTTGTGAAGGAATCTGACGAAGAAGAGCAGAATGCATATATGGAGCTGCGCAAGAATGAAAAGTCTGTGAAGAATGATGGAGAGCCTATGGGAGTGTATCCACCTGTGCAGTATGAGACTATTGATCATTTAAAAGAGTCTATAATTGATGATCTGAACTTTTTGGAAGGCAGGAGAATCACAACAAGACATAGTCTGTATTCTGAGATGCTGTGCATGTTGGCACATGACATTGTTGTTCTGAGGTTTATGTCTGAGGAGCGTAGCAAAGAGTTAAGGATTAACAAGCTTAGCTATGACAACTTGTGCTACAGAGATGATTATCTGTCAAACAAGATTGAGCTATATCAGAACTACTTGGAATCGTTTATAACAAAGCTCGCTATTAAGAAGAGGCCATTTTTTGCATTTAGCAGTTCAACAGATGAAATGGTAAGGGATTCAAAATATGGGACATACAAGTATAGTGCAGAGAGGTTGATGAGCATGGGAGTGTTGGCGCAGATGTACGAGTGCCTGGACATGTCTGAGATATTCCTTCTATTCCTTTCTGATTCGCCGCTACTTTTCAGCATTGAAGTGTATGTCCAGAACATACTGGTTTCACATCCTGTTTCGTTTAGGTTTGATGATCTCCTTAAGTTGAGGAAAAATGGAAATACAATTTGTGACATAGCAGGAATATGTTCTTTCAGTGTATGTAGATTTATTGATCTCATGAACTCCAAATATGTTGGATGTGAAGGCTAGCTTGATTGATTAAACCTTTCGCTACAAAACAACAATGCTTTTTACTACCTCATATAAAATCTAGTTTCTGGCTAATAATAAAGCATGTATATCTGTGTTTGTATCTCAGGATGCTTTGCCATCCTCCTTACCTAGGCGCATTATAGTCCCCTCCAAGTCTCCATTGCATGCAATAAGGGCATCAAGATTCCTTCTTGTGCCTCTGAATCCCATTTGCTTAAGCTCTGCGAGCTTCTCTCTATATTTTACAAGCTGGCTTTCTGCCTTCATGCCTCCTCCTGGAATCGCCTCATGGATGGGGCTGTCGATCTTTCTTCCCTCTTTAACCTTGCATCCTCCAATGATTCCGTCCTTGAGAGATGCTGATAGTGGATCTTGCACATCCTTAATCATACTGCTGATCATATTAATTCCTCCTGGAATGTTCTCAAGCTTTGACATGGTTATGTCGAGATTCTTCAACTGTGTGTTCATGTATTCAGGATTCATGGAAAGCATCTCCAGCTCTTCCTGAAGACTGGAACTATTCATCATCATCCGAATCTCAGGATTCGCTTCAATTTCATCCTTGAGCCCAGGAAACATCTCAATGATACTTTTCATTGCATCAGGGTTCTTCATGAAGTTCTTCACAAGCGGGTTCTTCATCATAGATGCACTGAAATTTTCCTTTTTGCCTCCACTCTGCATCTCCATCCTCTTCTTCAGATACAAAACGCAATCTGTGTTCACACCTAACTCTTTGAGCTCCTTGTTATTGTCATTAAGAACCCTATCATTGAACAAAAGTACTTGGCACTCAACAGAAACGCCCGTCATCTCCTGTATTTGAATCTTTAGCATCTCTAGCGTGTCTGTTCCCATAACATTTGCTTCAATTGCATTTGCCCGGTATCTAATCGTAAGCCTGATCGCCATGATAATGCATAGGGATGAGTTTTTATTTTTATTCTTTGGTTCAGCAAGATCACTGATGGATTAAAAGGAGAAACAACAAACCATTGGTGCTCTTACAATTATAAGCAAATGTATTAGTGCATAATAAAATTATTAGCACATGCATAAATAACTACAAGCACTTTATTACCTGTGCCATATAACATTTATAAAATACCTGCCCATGGATAAGGTAATTCATGAATTTGTTCTTGAAGAAAGCATTACAAAGCTTGGGGAGAGTATATACATCGGAAGGATTGATGAACTGAAAGCTATCATTATATTACAGAGCCAAAACGTCTCTGCCCATCTGCTCCACCAAATATTGCATCTTCCTAAACAAATAACACAATCAAACGACATTTACTATTCATATAAGGTTTGCATGCCAATGGAAATCCACTTCAGAGTTATCTATCCAGCTACTGAGGAGCATCTCAACAAGTATCGCTCTGTCAACAAACACATCGTTGAGACATACAACGAATACCTGCATTATGTTGAAAATAATTCACACATCAGCTCGAATTGGATGGCAAACCTTGTTAATAAAAGCGGAGAAAATATGAACGAACGAGTGCTTTATGAAGATAGTGAAATAATGATAGTTCCAGATTACAAATGGAACTTGGAATCAAAAGCAACACTGCACATCTTGGCAATATTCAAGGATCAAAACCTTAGAACAATAAGAGATTTAAATAGTCCAGACATTCTGATAAGAGCACACAAAAACATACTAAACACACTAGCAACGTACTTTGGACTTGGTGAGCCTGATGTGTTTCTGTTTTTTCATTACAGGCCAACATACTTCAGACTGCACTTGCACATCATAAATATTAACATTATTCATAAAGGAATTGCTTCCTCAGCAATATCAATTCCATTCCATGATGTCTTACACAACCTTCAGAACTATCCAGAATACTACAAAAGAGATATGCATGTTATAAAAAGAGATATTTAGAATAAAAACAAATCAGTGCGTCAAAGACTAGCTCTTGGCCCAATAGGCTACACTATTAAATTATATTACACTTCATAGTGAACATATTATATCATATGCCTGCTTAAGAGCCTTAAGTGTCATTTCAACCCCGGTTCTTTCTGTCTTGATTGTTTCTGACTCAGATGCTATTTCATCCAGATCGTCTCTATTGTATATTTCCATGAAAAGCATCTCCTGTATTTGGCTCTCTGACTTCCTGACGAGCTCACACATAATTGCCTTTGGAACCTGGTCAATAACAGTTTTCTTGATAATCTCGAAATAGGAGTCTACCATTGATTTGATAATATTCATTTCCATTGCCTCCTGTCCACTCAGTCCATCTCTAATCTTAAGTACATTTGGAATTGAATCAAGAACTGTCTTATTGTCCATTCCCTTGTAAAAGTCTATCTTCTCTGCTTTCCTGCTTTCCACTGCACCTTCATATTCCTTTGGTAGCATTTCACTCCACTTGATGAAGTCAGGATGCTTTGTACTGATGTACGCAGTATTCCAGTCAATGAATGACTCCACAAGCCGATGCGTTGCATCGCTTCGCTCCTTTAACATTGCAACAGCACTGCTGATTATCTTCTCGCCAAGGACCGGGTATCTTGCCATTATAGACACACTAACAATATGCTTAATCATTCTTACAAGCTCTGAAAATACAATACTCACAAGCTTCAGGCTGTGCATTCTAAATGACTCAACAGACTGCTTCGCAAGCTTCTCAAATGCTCCATGTCCAAAAAGCACCACTGATGACGATCCACTTGAATTGTATAACAGTGTTCTTACCTGATCGTCCTGGATGTTGTCAAATGCATTTAGTTTACTTATGAACCTTGCAAAGTGGTGATTAAATGCATAGCTGAGTCTTGCACCTCCCATTAGCTCACTTCCCTTAGACTCAAGATTTCCACAAAGAATGTCACTGAACCGCCTTGAAATGCTATTAATTATCCTCATTACGTTCTCTTTAGGACTCAAAGGTACATTTCCGAGATCCCGAAGATTTGCCTGTGCCTGAACAATCCCATTAGATATCTTTTCTTGAAGCTCAGGAAGACACTGTCTTATATGTTCATGAAGAATATTGTGCAACTTCGATATCAGATATCGCGTTCCACAATATGCTTTGTTTCTCTTATATGATTCATGTGTTGCAAAAAACTCCTCTTCGTCATCCAGAGACTGTTGAATGCCTTTACTTCTCTCTATGTCTAGTTGACTTCTGTTTACAACAGGAACAAATCCCAGTCTAAGGCATATCACACGACCTGCCAATACATCAACAACATCAGTACCGTTATCCATCAGGTCAATTTTTGTAAGGACGCCGATTGTTCTTTCATATCCGTGATCAACCTCTCTGGCAAGCTGAAGTGCATCAGAATTTGATATATCAGTATTTGCAGATGATACTGCAAGTATCAATGCATTCTTATTCGATACATACTTCCTGCATATCTCAGATATCTTGGCACATATATCTTTTGGCTGATCATTCGTGGGCACTCTTACTAAGCCTGGGAGATCAACTAGTGTTAGTGTCAAAACCTTTGGAGAGTAGTACTTCAATGTGATTGGCAGTGGCGATACATCGTTCTTGGACTTAAGGATTCTGCTGGTTTCATTTACTATTTCCCTTCTAACTTCTTCAAAATTAGTGTACTTTGTGTCAGGTGCATGGTTAAAAACAGCATAGTCTTCTGTGCTATTGTGGATGAGTTGAAGAATCAATGGCCTTCTTGTAACAACTCCGGTTCCTCTTGGAAGTATGTCCCTCCCAACAATGTTCTCTAAAACACTGCTTTTTCCAGAGCTCTGACTTCCGATAACCACTATCTGTGGAAGATCCATCCTGCTTGCTATGTTATTTTCCATGCATATGTCTTGCAGCTCGTTGATTTTCTCAATTAGCAAGTCCATAATTTTTATACTCGCCATGATTTTTGTTTATATTCAAACCGTGAAACATGATGAATAAGTTTCGGAGATGGCTGCTACCTTCCTCTCATCACAATCACCTTTTCTATCCCACATCTGCATTTTGTCGCAAGACACAGTCCGTTCTCACGTCTGAGTATCCTTGACACACTGTTGACTCCTGGAATCATGACTGTGTTGCACTTCATGCACATTGTTCTTTTTATTTGCTTTGCAAGTCGAATCTGATACTTGTTAGACATCGTCCTCATCTTCTTTATTTTTCTACGATGTAAATCCTCGAGATTGATCGCCTCCACTGCAACTGCATACAGATACTTCATGTGCTCTTCACAATCCTTGTGCATCCACTTATATGAGGATTCGAATTCAGCATTTTGTATTACATCCCTAACAAACACAGATGAAGGTTAAGGACGTGCTGACAAAGATAGTGCCAAGGTCAATATTGACGAGCAGAGGATATCCGACAATAGAGGTTGATCTTCAGACATCAATGGGAACATTCCGGGCATCCTGTCCATCTGGTGCATCCACCGGATCTAAGGAGGCTATGGTGATTTTGGACGGAGACGATGAATACAATGGAAGAGGAGTGAAGCACGCCATACAAAAAATTAATGTAATGGAACAAAATTTAATGATGCTTTCATGCAATGCCACAGATATAAATGGCATAGACAACTATCTTTTGAGTCTCGATAGCAGCCCAAACAAATCGAATGTTGGTGGAAATACAATGATTGCACTGTCTATGGCATTTTGTAAGATGTGTGCAGCGTTTTCTAGTATGCGTGTTGATGAGTATTTATCAATTACTAGTGGATTTGATAGGAAAATGCCTGTTCCACACTTCAATCTCCTGAATGGTGGGGCACATTCTGGAAATGGAATGAGTGTTCAGGAGATCATGGTTGCGTATCAGTATGATGATTTAGAAAGAAACATCGAATCTGTATGTGTACTTTACGAATCTTTGAGAAAGCTTATCGCAGAAGAGTACGGAAGTCTTTATGTGTCTGTAGGAGACGAGGGAGGCTATGCGCCTCCAATAAAAAGCATTGAAGAAGGACTTGATCTTATAATAAAAGCATCAGAGATGTGTGGAAGAACAAACTTTAGGTTTGCCATTGACTTTGCAGCCAACGAGTTCTACAGAGATGGGAAGTACATCTTTGATGGAAATGAATACTCCACCTCTGAGCTAGGAAAGAAGTATCTTGGAATACTTGCGAGCTATCCACAGATATACAGCCTTGAGGATCCTTTCAACGAAGGCGACTATGAGGGATGGAAATGGCTCACTCAAAATGCCGGTGCTAGTGTTAATATAGTTGGAGATGATCTGACAGTTACAAATTCTCGTCTTGTTGATGATGCAGGGGCAAAGAGGTTATGCAATGTGCTTTTGGTAAAGCCAAATCAAATTGGAACAGTGAGTGAGGTGATTGAGGCAATAAAGATTGCACGAATGCACAACATGAAAATAATGGTATCACATAGAAGTGGGGAAACCGAAGATTGTTTCATCAGTGATCTTGCAGTTGGTGTTGGCGCAGAATACATTAAGGCAGGTGCACCATGCCGTGGAGAAAGAGTTGCAAAGTACAATCAATTACTCAGACTGAATGAAAACAGACATAATGTGTAACAAAACCAAAATATGTTTGCAATAAAAGCATAATCAATTAAACGAACATTTATTGCATTAAACATTGAATACTCACTCAGAATCGTCCTCTCTACCTTTATGCTTTGTGTCTCTTTCAATCCCAAAGTAGTTATATAAAGACGGCATCTTTTGTATTACACAATCCGAATACTTCCTGCTACTCATTGAAATAAACTTTTCATATGTCACAAGATACTTCTTGCAATACTCACCGATTTCTTCATTATGCTTAATAAGACCCTGAACATTTCTATCTATTGGATTTACCTCGATCCTGGGTCCTTCGGATATGTCATCTAATGGTGAAGTATCTTTTGATTCAGGCTCCTTGCTCTTCTGAACCCATCCTCTTTTCTGTATATCTGAAAGAATTCTTTCCTCGCCATGCACGAGATACAAGTATGATTTCCCATTATTATTATTTCTTGCAGTCCTTCCAACACGATGAACATATGTTTCTATGTTGCATGGACAGTCATACTGCAGCACTGCATCAACATTGGGAAAGTCAAGTCCTCTAGATCCTAAATCTGTGCAGAACAAGTATCCGTTATTTTCCTTTACAAATCTTGTAAACACTTCAATCCTTTGCTTCTGTGTCATTCCACCGCTCAAGCAGAAAATTTTGCTGCGTAACTTGAGCCTCCCAAATAACAAATAGTGGAACTTCACTTCTTTGCATGTGCTGAAAAATACAATTGCTTTTATATCTGCATTCCTCTTCAAAAATGCATAAAGATTGTTTATCTTGTCTTTGATTTTCATCATGTAAAAGTACTGCTGCAGCCGTGATGGAAATCCTTCTTCTCTGTACACACAAACAATTTTTGGATCATCTAGTTCAAGAATCCTTGCAACAGATGCCTTTGGAGTTGCAGAAAATAACATCACCTGCTTCTTCTTCGGCAAATGCCCAAGAATAGACACAAGGCTTTCTCTGAATCCCATTTCAATCATTTTGTCTGCCTCATCAAGCACCAAAATTTGAACATTTCCAGTGTTCATGTATGTGTTTTCGTGCAGATGCTGTATAAACCTCCCAGGCGTACAAACAAGAATGTTTACTCCACATATCTTTTCAGATTCGCTTTCTGCCTCCATGCCTCCCATGACCAGTCCCATACTGAATCCTGCATACTTACCTACTTTACCCAGTACATCAAATATCTGTAGAGCAAGCTCACGTGTTGGCGTCACAACCAGACACCCAAGACCGTCCTGCATGTTCCACTGAAGCTCCTTCAAGCGGTGAAGCATAGGTATAACAAATGCAAGTGTCTTTCCACTTCCTGTTTGCGAGGATCCAATTACATCACCTCCTTCAAGACCAACAGGAATGACCTTCTGCTGTATCTCTGTCATTTCAACAAATCCATGCTCTCGAAGTCCCTTTTTTATGCTATTGTCTATCTTAAGACTGGAAAACTCCATTGGGGTGGCAAACAGTTAACATATACATATACCATTTTTGAATCGCTTTATTTACAGCCTCGAAAAAGCAATTGTATTTTACAACTGCCATCATATACCTTGGCTATACAGTTGCATGAAGCATCCGCTCCTTTACTACAACAACATAGTGTTTACAACTTTACTACATGTCTGGTTGTGCTAAACACTTCCAGGTAGAGGGGACACAGGTTGTGTTGGCTGTTCTGGCTGTGTTGGCTGTGTTGGTGGTGTAGTTGTTGCTGGCGGCGTAGTTGTTGCTGGCGGCGTAGTTACTGGTGTATTGGTTGATGCAGGTGGTACTATCGCTGTTCCAAACACTTTGTTCATGATTGATTGAATCTCAAACAATGCAATTGCCTGGAAGTCTGTGGATGATGCAGTAATCATTATATCAAGGTACAGGTATAGCTGAGCCAAGTCTGCCTGAGCACTCACTTGTTGAGCACAGACCTGTGCTGTGAAGAATGCAATGAAGTCAGTGCCATTCAGATGTAGTCCAATCACTATTGCATCAATTGCTTGTGAGGTGAACTCAATGTTCAAGCTTTCAAAGACTGCCATCTGCTTTGCAAACAATTCATCTGCATATGAGTTAATCAGAGGCTGCATGTTAGAGAATGCACTCAAGACCTGGCTTGAAAACAGACCACTGTCAATAAGACCCATAAGATCGGAGTGGCACATCTTATTGACTCTGCACAGGAGATCCTTCAGGACCTTCACTGCAGTCTCTTGTATGCTTCGTGCAAGAGCACTTGCCTCAGCTGTGTCCCATGCCTTGAGTTGTGTCACAACATCTGCAGGAATCACAAATCCAAGATCTGCAAGTGCTGCCAGCAGAGCAGTGTATTGTGTGCTTACGTATGCAGAGCTTATTACAGATGCTTGTGAAATTTGTCCTTGCAAGAATGCAACTACGCTTTCCTTGTACTGCTTTTCGAATCCGATCAAGTATGTGAACAAGGTGTTCTTCATCTTCTCAAGTGGGATCTCAAGCTCTGTTGCACACTTGCCTTTGTATTGCTCGCTGTTTGATGCGCATGACGAGCTGCTAGACGATGACATACAAGACGAGTATGATTCAGAGCAATCGCCGCTGTATCCACTGTCGGAATTAGATGAATCTGCGCATCTGTTCCTTCTGTTGCTTCTATCACTACTACTATCTGAGATTCCGCAATCAGACCTGCTGCTGGAGTCCATTTCATTTGAAGATGACTCGCAATGGCGTTTTTTCCCCATGAAATTTATGACGTCCCTCTTAGGCACCTCACAAGTACCACAGTCGTTTCTGAATGCATATGTATTGGCAATAGTTGAGCTGAAGCCCATGACGCTCAGGATCAATGAAAGTCTTGCCATAGTTGACAATGTTGTGCTATCAGATATTTATATGTTTGTGGTGTTGAGAATGTGTTCTATGGGATGTTCTTTTACTTATTTTAGAGACATGTAATTAATCAGAAGTCTGCAGATCTGAGCCATATAGCACATGTGGAGATTAAATCGATTAAGGTTTTATTGTGATTAGGGTATTGATTGCATTAATCACGAATAGTGATGAAACAGATGACATGCAGCAGAATTGCAATGTGGATGCACATATGTACAGGTGATTTTATATAAGAATACTGTGTGATAGAGACACTGAGAGAGTACAAGAGAAGACAGTGTAGTCCTTTTGGAAATACAAAGTGATTTTTGACCCCATTTGAATGGAAATCAAAGAGAATGGAGAGGACATGTTGCATTGCAGTGAAGGATTGACGGCAGTTGTGGATAGGCTTGATATGAATAATATGCAAGATGTGATTTGGGCATATAAGCATATTGACAGTGTATACAGGCATTCTAAAGCTGACTTTGGCAAGATTGTTGGAATGCTGACAATGCAGAAAGGAATTGATTTCAACACAGGCCTGATGATTTTGGAGGAGATTGGGAATGTGATGCATGCATGCTTTGGAAAGAATGTAATTGATGAGGAGATTATGTTTGTGATTGATAAATGCGGAGTGGATCTTGGAGATAGGGGCAATATGCCACTTGAATGGTGTGCAGATTATGTTTACAAGCTTGTATTACCGCTGTCGAGGCTCTTTACTAAGCAGGTTGTTGACATAGTTGCATTTCTATTTACTAGGACTACTGTTGCACAATTTGATGATTTATTTGAGATATTTACAGGCAAGAAGGATGTTCTGGCAGAGTTACATCTTTTGAAGGTACGACTGATGAGAGAGAGAAGTGCAAAATACATATGCACGAAATGCAGAGCACAGAGAATGGAAAGTGATGCAATTGAAGATTACATAAAGGCATTGAAGATATCTGGCAATAACACAGCAACTAATGTTGAGAACGATGTCATGCGTGTTAATGAATCTGAAATTGAAAGTGATAAAGAACAAATAGTTAGAACTGATTTTTATGCAATGGATGAGTTTGAGAGATGCAAGTCAATGAGTGTGGAAAAGCAGCCTGATGGGCTGGAGCTCTGCCAGGACAGGCCTTTTTCTGAGGATTCTCATGAAGAGAGTAGTAGCAAGGTTGAAGATGCGCAAGAGTGTTTGAGTGATTGCAAGCAGACGATAGTTAATGATTTTAAAGATAGTTTGGAACTCACAAGCCATGGATCTGGCACATTGATTGTGAATGCAGAGTGTAAATGCAAAGCATATGATCAATCGGAAGAGCGCCGTTGCCTAGATGAAGCAAAAAAGTATCTTCTGGAGATTGAATTGGCATCAGCAAAGTTTTTTATTGAGAATGCAGCATTGTATCTTGCTTTTACATTCGACAAGGACCTGCTTGATATGTTTAGCAAATATATTAACACTGAATATCGAGGAGTGTGTGCGATGAATCTTTTTAGAATGAAGACGGTGGAGGCCAGTGTTTTAGAGCAGATGGTTTGTAAGATGAGCGATATGAGGAAGGAGATACTGATGGCTGAGAGTCTTGTTGTTTCTTTGGCTACTGCAAAGATGTATGTTGCATGGTGTGCTGAGACATTTGAATCGATATCGACGCAGTCGATGAATGATTATTTGGAAATCAGCAAACTGTATGCACGGTTTCTAAGGGTGTTTAGGCATAGAAAGATGTTTTTTGTATTTGATGGAATATGTGGAAGCCGAGTTGAGAGAATAAGCAGCTCGGTGGGGAAGCATCTTGCGAATGATCTGAAGGAGATAATTGAGATGATTCTGAGTTTGTATGAAAGTAACAATGAGATAGATGATGGTGTTGATAAGTTGAAGAGCTGTATTATTATAGATGATGAACAGTGTGAGGGTGTAGTTAATGGTGCATGTGCTTCTGATGATCTGAATTGCAATGTAGCACATCAAGAAGCACATTGCAGTAAGTGCAATGAAAATAATGAAGAAGAAATAATTTTTGAAGGGATAAAATGCAATGAAGCATCTGAGGCATTTGTAAGAGACAAGCTGAAGGAAAGGATTCTGGAGATATGCAAGTGCGATAAGAAGGTGTTTTTATCGCAGATAGGAGTTATTGAAAACTTTGATGAGGAATTCCGAACAAGAGTGATTAAGGTATTGTGTAGTAATTATGATGAGGATTGGCGATATAGAAGGGCATTGTTACATTGTTGTAAGATGCATCCTTTGATATTTAAGGATAGTGGGATAGTTGAGTTGTTTGCCAAGGATCGAGTTTTTGCTGTCAGAAGGACTGCATTGGATATGAAGCAAGAAGAAGATGAAGTAGAAGCGAGGCGTGTGAGTGCCATTCAAGAGCAAAGTGAAAAGCTATGATAGAATGACTGATATGAATGGAAATGTTTATCAGATGATAATAAAGATTAAAGAAGTATTTTGTAAATGCATTTTGTATATGATATTTAAGTGATGAAAGTGCAGTGATTAAGTGTTGTTTAAGTGAATTGTAAGCAAATGATACTTAAGTGATGTTTAAATGATGTGATTTTAAGTTATTTTAGTGAAATAATGTTTAAGTTATGAAATTCAAGTGAATTTAAGCTATGTTTAAGTTATAAAAGCCAAGTGAGTTTAAGGTATTATATTAAATGATATGATTTGAATGAGTGTGTTCACCCATGATAGATTTTCCAGATGTGAAGGATGATCGCAGTTTATATATGTGCACAAGAATATTGAATGTCAGTATGCTTGGGTCTCCGAAATACAATGGCATGTTTGAATTTGGTAGGAAGAAGCTGCATGTCCCTGATATTTTTGCTCGTTCAAAAACCACGATTTGTCTGAAAAGATCGAAAAGAGGAATCTTTCTTGAGATGATCGACAGTGACACATTGATATACTCGCTCAATGGGCGGGTTTTCAAAATTGTTGGGAAAGAAGAGTTTGCATTTAGTGTGAATGAAATATGCAAGAGACTTGTTGTTGGGCATGGAAAGGCATTTATTCTGACAAGTAATCACTTATATGTGTATAACCGCATGAATGTAGAGATCCTGAGAATGGATGCACTTGATCTTGTAACTTCTCCGTTTAATGAGATATTTGTACTAACAGCATCCAAGATCCTGATATTTAATGAGAAGGGAGCTAAAGAGGAGTATGAATATAATGGAAATGCTACACATATACACTTCTATCTGTTCAGGGAGCTTATTGTTGTTAATGAGAACACGGTGTTCCATTTGAATCTTAACACAGGATTTGTAAGTACTTTGTATTGCTCGAGATCGCCGATAAAGACCAGTGTTTTCCGAAACAGACTGTATATTGCAGAGACAAACAAGATGACCTCTTTAAACATTGAGGAAAGAACGTCTGAATCCATATACACAGGCAGACACCTGAAAATTGCAGTTGGGGACACGATGATTGCATTGTATAACACAAATGGAGAGTTTATTTTTTGCGACAGATTTGACCTGATAAACTCACACGGCATGATGTATGATATTGATGCGCATGAATTTCTTGGATTCTTTTTTTGTGGAGATAAGTGTTATTTTTTGTTTAATAACAGGATAGTTAAATGGAGCGCTGATGGGATGAATGTATCAGAATTAGTAGATGACGAATCTGGGGATTATAGAGTTGAGTTTCCAGATAATATGGAAGAGTTGAAGAAATGGCATAGATTTAATAGAAAAGTCAAAGAGAAATTTGAGCCGGGCAATGTAAACAAGAAGTTCCATGAGATGCTGAGGACCGTATTCAGGAAGGATGAAGAAGCGACAGCTAAGAAGGAAAACAAGAAGAAAGTAAAGTATGTAGAGAGGAGACGCGGAGGATTTTGAGCATGTAATTTAATGTGGGATTCTAATGTACTGGTTGTGATTTATTACAGTATATGTTTAAGGTCTTTTATATGTGTTGAGCTATTAGATGATTTTTATTGAATATTGTGATTTATCATAAAAGATGTGTGCGAGCCCTGGATGGACGAGTTTGTTTCGCTTCTTGCAGTTCTTAAGAAGAACGACAAGATTGTACAGAACGTGCTGTTTATGATTTCCGAAGGATTTAGGTACAAAGAAGATGTTGTTGGAGAAGAATTGTTGAGGCAATACAGGGAACACAGCAACACAGATGCTCTTTTGGATTTTTTGCATCTTTTATGCAGCAAAGATATAAGATATCTTGATTTTTTCATGCAACATAGAAGGGAGTTTTCAGGAGATCATGAGTTTTTAAAGCTGCTTTATGGAGAAGACAACAGCGGAAGCAAGAGAGTCAAGACTGATACAGATGCTAGCGATATTATTGGATGCGGAAATTATAATGACGAGATAGGTATTGCAGATGTAGAGAAGACAAAGAAGGAAAGCAAAAGCACACAATCTGTAAAAATTGAGAAAAACAAGGATGTGCAATCTGCAAAGAATGAGAAAAGTAAAGACACTCAATCTGCAAAGAAAGAAAAAAGTGTATTTGAAGAAGCGGTGGTTAAGAATACAGGTGGTCGAAAGAATGGAGACACCAGGACTCTTAGCAACGAATATCTGCAGGAGACTGTAGATCCATTCATACTGTACCTTCCAAACCAATGTAAGCTATGTGGATTGAGATATGAAAATTCAAAGAAAGGAGATGAACAGATGGGAATACATATTGAGGAGCATCGAAGAAAGGCAAGGGTAATGGGAGAAAAGGACTGTGTTAGCAGGGAGTTTTTCCCTACTCTAGAAGCATGGACAAAAAACATTGAGAAGATTAAGCTGAAGCTTGAGGTGGAGAAAGTGGAGAAAATTGCTCATTCTGGAGGAGCCGTGTTCTGTGGTGTATGCCACAGCCGAATTGAGGTTGAATGGGATGATAATGAAGATACATGGATGCTTAAGGATGCAGTGCCACTTGAAAAGGCAGGACAGACGAACTTCTGTCATAGAAAATGTGTTTTATAACTCGGTGTATGAGGCATATCAAAGATTAGTGATCCTATACAGTTGGTCAAATATAAATAGAATATAAAATAAAATAAACTTCAATTAGTGTTATTGTATTCTGATTTGATTCGTTTTTCTGGGCTTTCAATATCTGTACCGTTACTACTTTGAGTAAGACAATTAATCCTGAATGTTATAACCTGTATGAGTGGTTGATTGTATTGCGGAGCAAGATTGCTTCTTACTGAGCATTTGAGGGCCTTGAGAATTTCAATGTCCGATTCATTCTTGATGATGAGCTTGGCCAACTTCAGGTATCTTTCTGGAAATTCTGTGAAAATCAAGAATTCATAGAAGCAGGCAGGAGAGAAATACTTCCTGTCTATCAGTCCAAGATCTATCTTTTTGTTTGTCTCAGTGCATCTGAAGAACACAGTCCAGTCAAATTCTTCTTTGCACACATCAATAATAAGCATTGTCATTCTTACCATGTCCTCGTTTTCTTGTAGTAAGCTGCAAAACATTTCAAATAAGTGTGTCCTGTCTGTGCACTCTCTATGTTTGAACACAATCTTCATGAGCTTCATGGATCTTTTAAATATTAAGCTGATATGAGTGTGACAAGAAATAAACATAAGAACCGGAGCAATATCATACTTACATGATACGTTATTTTCAATAATTGCTTCAATTGCATCAAGAACTTTGACACACGTTACCAATGATTTTGATGATATCTTCTTCTTCATATTTTTGAAAATCACAGACAGATTCTGATTTACCTTATTGATTTCTTCACTATCTTCACTATTAAAAGCATCTGTGTGCTCATCATTCATGTGATTTTCACAATCCACCTGAATATTTGAATCACTGTGGCTGTCACTTGTATTGATATCATCAATAGAATCTTCGTATTCACATTCTGCATTTTCTTCTGTAAATTCAAACTCAGACATAAACCCGTAGAATTTACTTTTAAGTCCTGTTTCTGAAAGAATAAGATCTGAAAGAGCATTCATGGCTTGATCAATTCTTTCTTGCTTAGCACTCCAGTTTTTAAAAAAGTATATAACAAATGCTCTTGAGAATGTACTCGGGTCCTTAAACAACTCGATCATACTTGCATTAAACTCTTTTCCTATTATGTCTTTCGCTGTAAACACATTCAATGCGATCTGATCCATCACATCTAGCTCGGTGTCTATCTGCTTGGATGCTTTGTGATACATATTCAACACCTTGATCTTGCTTAGAAGTTCATTCTTTTCTGGAAAGCTCTGCAGCATAAATCCTATCAGATGGTTTACATTTTCCCTTAGCATTTCCTTGTTCCTTGCCATTTCAATTGACACAGCATTGATATTGTCTACCGTTAACTCAAGTGATTTCATGGGTGTTGCATGTTTTGACTTTGGTTATATGTTAATGCAACATGGCATAAAAGCCCTTAGAGATGGCAACAGTTAGAATGAAATCTGACCAGAAGAAGACAATCTTACTCGAGATGATACGGGAGAGCAAATCATTCTTTAAGCTGCAAGAATTAGAGACAATAGGATCAAAAAAGGGAATAGTTACCAATACCATTAAAGATATATTGCAGCAGCTTGTTGACGATGGACTAATTTTCAACGAGAAGGTTGGCATAAACAGTCTATACTGGTCTTTTACATCGGATGGACCACAGAAGAAAAGGATGAGATGCAAACAGTTGGTAGAGGAATGCGAACGCTTAGAAGAAAACATAAACAACAAGAGGATGTATGTTGAGAAAGAAAAGAAGATTAAGAAGTATACTGAGGAGAGAAATGAGCTTGAACAGACGCTAAACATGTTGATGAAGATCGATGAGGATCTGAGGAGAGAGTTAGACAAGTTTCAAGATGTTGATCCCGAGGCATATAAAAAGCTTATTTCAGATAAGGAAAGTGTTGTTGATCAATGCAATAAGATAATCGATAACATCTTTGTTGTGCAGGATTATGTTTGCAATAGGTTTTCAATGGATAAGACTGATTTCAATGCAGGATTTGCGATTCCAAACGATCTTGATTACATCCAATGACTTATGCATGAGTTTGAAGTAAATGGTTATGATTTGATCATTTGATTTGAATGCAATTTGATTAGAGATTGCATGGTTTATTTATTTGTTGAAGAATTGGCCCTGTATGATTGATAGAGCAGATGATGTGAATGAGGAATATGTTATGATGGCGCCTACTTATCCAGATGGAAATGTATTTGAGTATGAGGAGATAAATACGGAACCTGCTAAGTACAGAGTTCCTACAAATCGACCGGTGAGGATATACTGTGACGGAGTGTATGATTTGTTTCATTATGGACATGCAAGAAGTCTCAAGCAGGCCAAGAATTTGTTTCCAAATGTTCACTTGGTTGTTGGGGTGACAGATGATGACATAACAGTAAGGCTGAAAGGAAATCTCGTGATGAATGAGAATGAGCGTGCGGAAGGATTATACCATTGTAGATATGTGGATGAGGTGATAACAAGTGCACCCTGGGTTCTTACCATGGACTTTTTAAAGAAGCACAAGATTGACTTTGTTGCACATGATGATGTTCCATACAAGGGAGAGGGGATGGACGACATATATAAGTTTGTGAAGGATCAAGGAATGTTTTTGCCGACCAGAAGGACACTTGGGGTGAGCACAAGCGGAATCATAGCAAACATAGTACGAAACTATGACATGTATGTGCGAAGGAATCTTGAAAGAGGGATGTCTGCAAAAGAGCTGAATGTTTCGTATCTGCAGGTAAAAAGAATGAGGATGAGTAAGAAGATGGATGAGATAATCAAGAATGTTGATATACAGAAGGAGCTTGATGACATCAGGTGGGAGATCAAGATTGCAATGAAGTATTGGGAGAAGATATCAAATGAAGTCATTTCTGGGTTTATTGACAGCTTTTACCATAACAAGACATCGAACAAGTTTCTTAATCGCTTGGTTGGGTTTGTGAAGCACAAGAAGACTTGCCCTGCTGTTTCGTAATAAACAAGTATTTCCAAGTATTTTAATATTGGCTTTGTGCCCATTATGTTTCTCCCAACCAATGCTAGTCCTGGTGAAAAGGAGGCAATGGAGATGAAGGGGCCTCTTATGCTTATCCGGAGATGTATGGTTACTAAGAAACCTGTGATTGTGAGCCTGCGGAATAATAGGAAGGTGATAGGCTGTGTTGTGGCTTATGACAGGCATTACAACATGATACTTATGGATGCAGTAGAGACAGGAGTTACTGGCAGTAAGAACAAGGGAGCAAAAAAACGAAGAAAGCAAGTGAGTCGAAGACTTGGCAATGTGTTTGTTCGGGGAGACACTGTGGTACTGGTTGCAAGTGGAGTAGGATCTGCATCACATGCACAAAAGACGATTGATGAGTCACAGAGTGAAGACAAACAGCAATTGAGGAACACTGCAGATTCAGAACAGCAACCGTACAATTAGATTAAAATGTATGCCTTTATCAATTATATGATAGTTAGCATTTGTATATGCATCCACTTGACAATCCAGGCATTAACCAGAAAGCTTCGAAGGTTGCATAGGGGCAGAAATATTTTTTGTTATTACTCTTGCCTGATAGGCTTTAACAATATAGAAAGATCAAGAACGATTTTATTTTATCATTTCTTAAGACTGAGCATTCAGCTTCATCTTTCCGTTTGCATCGAAGTATCCAATTTCTGATCTCTTTTCAAATCTCAATCTCTGTCTACTGCGTCCGCACACTTTTCGTTCTTTGTCCTTGACTGGATCCTTTGGTGTCTGGTTTCTGACTTTACCTGCCTTGTTGATAGTTATAGCGCCTGCCTAAAGTTAGATTTGCTCCTTGAATGCTTGCAAGGTCTCACTTACCATTTCAAAGGGGTTGCATCTCTTGAAAAAATATCGTGGATGCAACATCATGCTGGAAAAAATTATCCCTTACAAAATGGTAGGTGCCTTTGAAGAAGTTTAACTGTAGAGTTTGGAGCTTGAGATCACAGGTATGAGAGATAACAAGCTTTTGTCAAGAAAGGAGCTTGAGGTAGTTGCGCATCATCCAGGAATGGCATGTCCGTCAAAGGAAGAGGTGCGGGATAAGATTTCGGAGCTGTATCAGACAAACAAGAAGAACATTGTGATTGCAGGGATGAATAACAGGTATGGGACGCACAGGTCGATGATGAATGCAAGGATATATGCATCTGCAGATATGCTGACACAAATTGAGAAGAAGAACATTGTTGCAAAAATGACAAGAACAGAGATAAAGATCAAGGCCAGGAGGGTTAGGAAGGATGAGAGGAAGAAGAGCTATAAGATGTTTGGTACTCTTAGGAGGAACACGAGGAAGGCTGAGAAGAGGAGCAATAAATGAGAGGTGTTATGAATTTATTTTTGATATCTTGTGATTTTGATTAGAAAGGAGGTTGATTTGGGATTACACGCTATACGATTGCTAATGAGAGTGTATAAGAATTTTGTGCTTGCTAATGAGTGATGATGAATTATCAGTGTTGGATGATGAACCTTAAGATGACGCACTAGCTGAATGTATTAGTTGAATATTAGTTGAGTGGTGCATTAGCTGAATGTATTAGTTAAGTGAAATGTTGAGTTATGATTAAGTTGAATAGCAATTGAATAATAATTGAGTAATGCATTATTAGATAACAATGGGATGTTGTTAAGTGATTCCCTGCTGACTTAGTAGCTGAATATTGTTAAGCGACACATAGCTCAATATTACTTGAATGAAGTGTTGAAAAAACTGAAGAAGAAAAGCCTTCTATAGATGAAGGCTAGAATTAAAGAATGGGAAAATGTTGAAAGTAGAGGAACACCATCGAGGATATTTGTTCAGGAGAAGTATGGCTATATAGAAACTTACACATGCCCAAATGGAATTTCTGCAGTAGTGATTCCACAAAATATACCTTATGAACTTGTTGAAAGTACAATCAATAAGAAGATTGCAAAAGGATCGGTGTTTATTATTGCAAGTGGCAATCAAATTTGCTTTCCATTCGACTTTATCATAAAGGAAATCCCAGAATCCAAACAGATGGAGTATGTGGCAATCATACAAAAATCAAGTTGAAATAAGATATCTGATCTGTATCGTTTGGAATACACTAAGGATCTTCAGATCCCTTTGCAATTCTTACGAATTTGTCATAATCAGAATCTAGTAAGCGCCCTGCACATGTATTCAATGCATCCTCTGCAGATATATCAACAAATATCACATGCAGGTTTGCAAGTATACATTCAAGTCCATAAATAGGTTTCCATCCCAACCTTAGAATTTCCATACACAAATTTCCATTTTCATCTATATTAGGATGAAATACACGATCCAGGCATATCACCTTTGGTGATTTAAATGGATATTCGCAGGGGATCTTCACCATAAACCTTAATACTCTTCCTTCATATATTCCCTCAAAAACCATCATTGTGTATTCAAATTGTGCACACCATCCATCGTCTGCATCAACCATTAATAGCTTTGTTGCAGAAAGATGGTGCAGAGAATCAAGTTCATTCTGTAGTCTGAATTGTGCAAAACATGCTTTGTGTCCTTTTTGCCGAGAATCATTCATGCATTCATGCTTCATAATCACCAGGGGCTCTATCTATACCAGCATCCTGCCCTTGTTACACGCCATTACGTATTTCACACTCTGAATAATGATGGAGTGCATCAATAAACACATCTAGTGAAAATGCTTTTCTACTGAACCAGATCTCACAGTCCACAAGCGAAAGCGGATTATCCACTCTGAATTTGAACCTGTTGTTGCAAACAATCACCAACGAATAATGTGTTTGTGTTTCTTCAAAGTCGATTTGGGTACCATTAACCTGGCACCTAACTAAATCTTTCATTAAATTGGTTGTTGTTCCATACATATCAACCACAAGTATCGTTTTTGGATACTTATTCAATCCATGTACACTTCTTTTGTTCCATCTCATACATCCAATCATACAGAGCACAGGGTCTGTAGTAATTACCTTCAAATTTACAATACAACATAGCTTAGTCAGCTTTATTTAGATAACTTCAAACGCATTTGCGGACTTACTCTCCTTCCCAGTAAAAACAAACTAACTCCAACCACCATCACAATACCGGCACATCCATACATCCACATAGCATAATCATTAATGGCCTCATCATCATTAATGGCCTCAGCAGAATATGTAAAAAGGATTTTATGGGTCATGACTTGAACATCCGGTTCCCATAAAAAGAATACTTTCAAGAAATACTTGTATGGAATGTTTTCTTCGTTATTAATAATCTCATCGTTCCAAACCTTCTTGACGTATTCGATTTCCATCAGCGAATTAAAAAACTTGAATGGCCAGAATAGAAGAACGAAGTATATAGCATTTTTGAAGTACGAAAAGCATGGATAACAACTAAGCATGTGCAGAGTAATAGGTACTGTTGTAATTGCCATTATGGTATGAATGATCAAATTACAAGCGCTATAAAGCACTGCATTGTTTTTTGGTGAAAACATGCATCTCAGCATAACATTCGTCATGAGCATAAAAATGAATGTTATGAACAGTCTTATGACAAAATAAGACGTAACTCCTTCTCCCATTCCAATTCCAAAGTAAATCATGCATATGGCAAAACATCGGTACACAATAAGCGGAATCTCTGCAATAAACACCGACAAGTACAATGTCAGAATCCCATATGCTCCCTTCTTTACCTCCCTTGTGATATAGCTGAGGTCTCCCAGCATCGAGGTGCAAGGCATCAGTCCAAATATATTTGTATTAAACCCAAGATATTCAACAAGAGGAGTCTCAAGCATGTTGCTGTGTAAAGACGGATCAACATCCTGTCTATACAACTCAATAATCTCCTTAAAATTCATATCATAAATAAACTTGGTATTTCTTATAGGAAGGCCCGCTTTAAAATCATTATGGTGATTATATTCAACATAAGCTCCCGCCATAATGTTACCAAGTACAAAATACGGTAGAAATCCGAAAATAAACAATAGAAAGAGCATCTCAACAGCCCTACTCCTCAAAAACTCCCATGTTCTCCACTCAATGGCCATGTGTCTCAATGCAATCTGCAGCGACTTTTTAGGCTCAACTAGCAAACAAACCTTGTACCTCGTTCCTGTTGTCATGTCCTTGCCTTTGATGGTTTCTTCTCCCCTTGCTGCTGCTGCCTTTGCAATCTCTTGAATTTTTTCTTTGTTATCAACTACCTCAGGAATCATTGAATCTTCAGAAAACAGCTCAAACAAAAACTCACTCAGCGAAAGCTTACCCTTTCTCTCTACTCCATTCTTCTTCAGAAATTCATCACACTCACTTACTTGTCCAAAGTACACAACAGATCCTTTGTTCATAAACAGCAGGTCATCAAACAAATCAAACAGTCCTGGTCCAGGCTGATGTATGGTTACAATCACTATCTTGTTGTGCTCCTTGGCGTAGTCACGGATGCCCATAATCAGATTTAGTGCAAGGTGTGAATCAAGACCAGATGTTGGCTCGTCAAGCAGTAGTACATCTGCTCCAACAACCATCTCTGCAGCTATCATCACCCTCTTCCTTTCTCCTCCAGATATCGCTTCCATCAGCATTCCCTTGATTTTATCAATGTGCAGCTTTTTCATCACATCATTGACCACTTTGTGTTCCATATCCGTCTCGTTTTTGGTCTTGCCTGTTCGCATTCTAATAACATTCTGCATAAACTCACCAACTGTTTGTTTTGGAATTGAACAATCATCTTGTTCAAGATATACCATCTTCTTCAACCATGAGTTCCATCCCCTTTCTTTTTCCTCATGCAAGATGCTTCCGCACGTCAGCGAGTTCGAGTGTACATATCCAGCAATAAGTGACATAAGCGTTGTCTTTCCGCTTCCACTTGCTCCCATTACCGCAGTAATCTTCCCTGACATAAAATTCACATTCATTCCGTTCAAAAGCATAATCTGCTTCTCACTCCGCTTCATGTCTTTGTTGTCGACTTTCAATGCAACATTTCTCAACTCCAGATATTTTCCAGTCATATCAAGGGTGAGCAACTGTACACAAATATTCTAAAATTAGATACTGTGATTGTTGTTCATATAAAATTTTATAATAAATCGAATATTTAATATTTTTACGTTAATATTCCAATAATATCATTAGTGCCTATCATCTTCCATTCAATAGCATGGTGTGAATGTTCACTGGATGTGTTATTAAATACTCATCCATACTTTATTATACGTTTATTGATAATTGGTCTTGGATTCCATCATTATCATGTGTCTTCAATCATGATGAATAATTATCACGCATCAACAATTATCATGAATTATCAAATACTTCTTGTATTATCACATCATGCTCTACTTATGCTCTCTTTACCACTTTAATCAATGCTATTATCCTTTGTTCTTCATATTTTCTTTCATAACCTCCTCCATTTGCCAACTACCACATCTACTTCATAACCTCATTCACACACTCCTCCACATTCTACTGTTAGTTCATCTGTGCCGCCTTCTTCTTCACATTACTGAATGCTTCTCTTTCGCCATCTGTCTCTTCACACAGTAGCTGCTTGTGCCTCTCAATATACTCCAGATCGCTCTGTTTGTTTACCTCCTGTCCACTCAGTATCCTGTCCTTGATAAAGTAGTCCTCTCTGCGCTTCCTCACTGCTGCTATCTTCGGCATTGCCGCCAGTGTCTTCTCCAGTCCTTCACGATCATATATTCTCAGCTCTGCAGGTCTGTGCTCAAACTCAAGCACACGGTCGTTGCACAACTCCTTACACATCACCTTCCTTGAGATCTTCGTCCACCTCACCTTCCTCGGATTCACTCGCCTCTCAAATAGTTTCCTGCACTTCGACCTACAGAAACGAAACACCTTCGAGTCGTTCCTCACATACACACTTCCATGCCCCTGATATATGCTTGACGAGCAGAACCAACACTTCTCAATTCGCATTGGGCCCCTGTGCTGCATTGCTTTTTCTATGCAATTCATCGATCCTATGCATAACAGAACAGTAGATGCATAAATAACAGTAAATCCATTCCACCATAATCATACTTAATGATAGATGAATAACAAAGTAATCACACTAATGAGATATCTCCTCACTTCATTCACATAAACATATAAACTCAGTTCATTCAACCCCATCAACCAAATGCTTCCAAAAATGAATGTTCCCACACGTCTTGGAAAAGAGTATCTGCTTGAGCACAGAATGCATAAAGCCATCTCAAAGCCTGCCCAGCATCCCCATCAGGAAGATAGCAGATCTTCAATCAACCATCGTACAGTCCTTTGTAAATTTTTTTTGATGAACTCTTGCAGGCACGGCGAAAACTGTACTTATTCTCATGAAACAAGTAAGTTTCCATGCAGAATGTACTATCTGAATAACAACTGCAACAAGAAAGATTGCTCTTTCTCACATGGCCCATTCTCAGATGATGTGATATGCAATCTCATAAGCGAAAAACATGAGACTGTGCAATTCAAGTCAACCTTGAAATAGTAATACATGTTCACAAAGACTATGGTAATAATTTAATCAAGTTTATTTTCTTCATTATCCTCTCCCAACTCTTCAAAGAACTTGACTAGCTTTCCAACACGGTTATTCCTTGTGAACGACGCATTCAGCTTCTTGTCTGCTGAGTCCTTTACTTCAATAAAAAGAATCATGTTTTCATTTTCCTTTACATCTGAGCTTGCTTTTTGATTACTGGCCAGTTGCTTTTCGCTTTCAATCTGTGCTCGTACCTCGTTCAGCTCGTCTTCATTGGCTCGCCTTGTAAAGCTTGTCTCAACAAAGGATGCTTTACTAGAGCATGTGTCACTTGGAGCATCAATTGAAGGAATAAATGCAGCAAGCAGAGCAGTTTTCAGCTCTCTGTCTACACAACCAAAGTCTGGTGTGGGTTTCCCTCCGCTCAGTATTGACTGACTAGGATTGTTCAATCCGATTTTCTTGATTGCTGTAGTGCCTCCAAACACCTGCGCTTGTATTTCACTAATTGCATCCCTGATCGCATTAGGCTCGTTAGTATCGCTGCCATTTGTATTATCAGGCGTCATATTGAATCCATTCGTAGATTTGCTTGAATCCGCCATTATATCGTACGGACCTTGCATCAGCTTGCATGTAGATGAAATCCCAAGCTCTCGCAATACATCTTTATCTGCACCCTGGTTGATAATAACAACTTCTCCCTCCACCGGTATTTTCAATCCTTCAGATAGAAGATTCACGCTTGTAGGTCCTTTGAACTCATGATTATGTCTACTATCACAAATAGTCTTTTCTTCCAATGATGATGAGTTGCTCTTATTCAATGAGCAGTAACTTGATCCAGATGAGTTATTCTTATTTGACGAACGACAGCTTGAATCGCATGGACTTATGGTGTGTTCAAGCATATCGCATAAAACTCCATTAACTGAGCAATAACTATCATTAGTACTTAATGAGTCACTTTCTTCATTATCGAGTTGCGGCAGTGGAAATTCATCATGCATATCATTTAAGTACATCACATTATTCATGCGATCAGATTTGTTCTTCCGGTACTTCTGATCTTTTGTGTGTGCTTGATGTATATTTGGCTCCTCCTCTGACTCATCAGCATTATATGCACTGGATATGTCAGAAATCTCAAGGATGATGGGATCATGGCTACCTTTGGATGCAAGAGTGGCTTTACTATCGCTCTTCACAGCTGAGCCACGCGATCGTCTTCCATATAACTCCTTAGGTGGCACACTCCTGTCCTTTCTATCAAAGTGGAACGATCTTATGCCATCTACAAACGAGTCTCCCTGAAGACTTTCAGACTCAAGATCTTCAATAGGGCTGATGTGCTTCAGCTCATATCCATTCACTTTTCCACTGCCATTCACAATGTAAACATCAAACTTCGAGACCTTGTCCTGCTCATCGTCATTGTTTTCATGGCTCAGCATGCATGCAGCGCCAAGTACATGCTTCATTATGCTTGACTCCGATGGAGATTCAGTGCTCGATGCAAACTCTTCTCTTGCCGTGTGCATTGCATTGCTCCAGTCACTGTCAGTTGCATGCTGATCCTCGATGGTTTCCTTGTCAGGCTTTCCATCCATCTTACGAAGACATGCTCGCACATACATATCCAAATGGTCTTTGCATGAAAACCAATCACATTCTTGAGTACTGCTCTAATTGGTTTATGCTTAAATCATGCACACAAGTGTCCAATCACAACATTCCGTTGTATGTAACATTGTTCACACTAACATTGATTCAAACATGTAAGGCATCGTAGTTTCCACTGATGTATTCTTGCTACATGATTTACTAGGATTGAATCATTTGTTGACATTATCAGGCATCAGCTAATCTAGATTTTAGGATCCAAATAGTTAATATGTAGATTTACAATGCCCTGAATGCAAAGAGAATACGACTTCATCATTTACGGCGCATCTGGATACACAGCAGCCTATGTTATTGATTTCTTCAAGAAAGAAGACGTAAGGCTTGCACTTGCAGCAAGAGACATCAGTAAGATCGTAGACACTGATCTTCCAAAATATGAATGCCAGGTGGATTGTATTGATAATATTGCTGCAAAAGCAAGAGTGTTGATTAATTGTGCAGGACCTTATTATTATCATGGAGAGGATGTAGTGAAAGCATGTATAAGAAACAAAACACACTATATGGACATTACTGGAGAAACATGCTTTGTGGAATTGCTTATTAAGAGATACCATGAAGAAGCAGTCAGGAACGGTGTTTACATCATCAACTGCTGTGGATTTGATTCAGTTCCTACGGACATTGGCGTGATGTATTTGAGCAGCATGCTTGAAAAGGCGGAGATTGAAAGCACACTCAATATCAGCAATTTGGTTCTGAACAAAACCACATGGGAGTCTCTTATTGTTTCTGTGTCAATTCTTAGGAATTCCAAGGCATTGCGTAAGAAGGAGGAACGTTCAAGTGATAAAAATCAAAAGATGCATCATGAGAAACCTAGTGTGCCATACAGAGTGATTTTTAGAGGCTCTGACTACTTTGTTATCAGGAGAAGTCAGGAGCTATTGAGCCAGGTTGGACTGCAAAAGGCAAGATTCTCTGCATACTTACAGCTGCATGGCATGTTTGGAGTGATTGGTTACTGGATCATGGTTGGGATACTATGGATTTTATCAGGTTCTAGGGCTGGAAGATGGATACTGATGCATGGATACAGAGTTCTTACATTTGGTGTTGTGAAAAAGAATCCAAGTGTTGATGAGGTGCACAAAGCAAAGTTCACAATAAAGATGAATGGTACAGGAGAAATAAATGGGCGTGCATGTACCAAAAGACTTGTTATATCAGGACCTGATCCATCATATATAACAACATCTATATGCCTGACACAAGTGGCAATTGCGTTCTTGAATGCGTTGGACTTGCAGGCCGAAAATACAGGTGTAATGCACTTCAAAGGTGGAGTAATAACGCCAGGATGTGTTCTATTCAACACTGACATTGTCAAGAGACTGACGTCAAGAGGAATACGATTTGAGATTGATTAAACAAATAACTCGATGCTGATTAACCAAACGACTTTAATTGTATTGTCTTGCATTCCAAAGGCTTCCTGTAATAAACATAAAATTACAAACATGAATGCTCAACGATTTGATTATATTCAATGTATACGTAACTCACCTGATGCATAAACTAACAAAATACATAAATTACCAAATGTTGGAATAAAAAGTATAAGAAGTTTACCAAAACACTCTTGGCTTAGCTACTATTTATGGCTTTGATTGAACTACTCGAGCTTAGTCAAGGCATCTATTCGCTACACTGTTACCTACTTAAAGTTGGCACACTCACCTTTCATGAATGGCAAGATTCTTCGCCTGGCATTAATGAACCAATTATTGATCTGTGCAAGTCCAAGGCCTGTGCTCTGGCACAGATACACCTTTTCTGCATCAGAAGGATATGGATTATCCATGTTATCTCTAAGCCAGGTCCTTAGGAACTGAGAGATGTCCATGGGGAAGTTGATCCTTGTTTTTGGGACAGCATATTTCTGCTCGTTCTCATGGTTGCTCGTCTTTCCATCGTCGTTGTACCTACAACCTGCACTGACTGTCTCAGATAGAAGCCTCTTCACTGTGCTCTTGATGCATGAAGTTTCAGAGTCAACCATCTCAATAAGTCTGTCCTCAAGAATAATTGTCTGCTTAATTCTTCTCAAGACAACTAAAATCGCCATGATATATCTTTTATCGCACTCAGACATTTTCATAGACTGGTATTTGCTTCTCAACTGTCTTACTAGGCCCAGAAGGCACTCTCTATTTCCTCCACTTAGAAAATACGTTTCTTCAGCTACTACTAATTGATTGAGAATATCCATTGCTCCCCTTCCTATCAATGTTTATCTAGCACTGATCATACTAATTAATCGTATTTGGTGAGGTAATTTAATTCTAGCACAGCTCTTGTAATACTTGGTAAGAATCAAATTCTACTAATACTTAATCCAATTAAATACGAAATTCAAAACCAAATGAATATTTGTACAATTTATGATTACCTGTGGCCATTTGTGTAGCCAAAGATATCTGGATGTCCATGAAAAATACTACACACTCTTGATGGCTCTCAATACTCTCGGTAATCCTCATGTCCCTTGTTTCTATTTCGCTTGTTTGTGAACCAGTTGTTTATTTGCTTGATAGACAGCTTGCAAATCTTCGAGAGCTTGGCTTTTTCGTGATCAGATGGATACTAATCGGCCTCGAAGCTTCTCTCAAGCTCGTCAGTGATGAACTTTGGAAACCTTCTTGATTTTGTGCTTTCTTCGCATGGATTATATGCAGCCTTAAACTCACATATTGCCATTCCCACATGGTCAACAACAATCTCTCGCATGTGCCTTATGCAATCCTCAATATACGATTTTACGCCTTCTGATATTTCAGGTAGCATGCCCATTTCATTCACGAATTCCTCAGCCATTAAGTCCATTTTCTCGATTATCCTATTGTTTGCATCGACATAACTGTTCCTCATCTCGTTCATCTGGAACGAAACAAAATGCGGTAGGTTTTGCATGGGCAAGCCAAGCTCTCATGCAAATAATGCGCATGACATGGCATGTATTTTTATGCCAATCCCTTTATGTTAGATTTATGCTATAGATTTAAGAGTATTTAATGGTATTTTGATGCATTTTTATAAATTATACCTTATTGTTTATTATCTCATATAATGCATGGCATCTTACCGCTTGCTTATACAGGTTTTGATGCATAATACTTGTAATCAATAATTAATTAGATGCTTGAGGTAATGAATGCATAAAAACATTTTTTTGCTCCTTATACAAAGAATGAAAAAAACAATGAAGAAAGAGATTTTGAAAAGCCAGGTAGATACGGCGGAGTATGAATACGTGGAACTATCTAATGGCATAAAGGCGATTGTTGCATCAGATCCTGCATTGGATAAGTGCAGTTGTGCGGTGTCTGTTAAGGTTGGATCGTTTAGTGATCCTGAATATGCTTTAGGACTTGCACACTTTCTGGAGCATATGCTGTTTATGGGAACGGAGGAGTATCCTGGAGAGAATGAGTTTGATTGTTTTATGAACCAGAACAACGGATCGTTCAATGCAATTACATGGGGAGAAGTGACAGAGTATTTTTTTGACATATCACCAGATGCATTTGAGGAGGGAGTATATAGATTTGCAGACTTTTTCAAGGCGCCTTTGCTACGTCAAGATGCAGTTAAAAGAGAAATATCTGCGGTGAATGCAGAGTTTGTGAATGGACTGAATAGAGATGAGTGGAGGATACAGAGGATGATTGAAGTTCTCTGTAGTGATGAAGAGCCGTTGAAGAAGTTCAGTGTTGGAAATTATAAAACACTAGATCATGATGGAATATGGGATGAAGCGAGAGAGTTCTGGACAAGACACTATAGTAGTGAGAAGATATGTGTAGTGATATACGGAAACCAGAGCATTGAAGATATGAAGAGATACCTGAGCAAATTTGAGGGAGTACAGAGAAGAACAGCATCTGAGGTATCTGATGGCATACAAGAATTAAGTATTAAGCAAGAAGAGAAAAGGAGTGTGTTTAAGAGCGAATACTTGAATAAATGGATCACTATAGAATCTTTTGCAGAAGTGAGAAAGGTTATGGTGACGATTACGGTTCCATCTGGATACAAGATGTTTAGGAAGAATTCGTATGGATATGTGCTAGGCATGCTTGAGCGAAGCGATGAGAGAGGATTTATTTGCGGAATGAAGGATCTTGGGCTTGTATTATCTATAGATGTGGAAGTGCAGGACTATAGTGATTATTCTCTGTTTGTTGTTAGTATCTTTGTGTCTGAAGAAGGTACAAGAAAAATGAAGGAAGTGCTGGAAGGTTTTGTGCGGTATCTGAGGGGAATAGAAGTGAACGAAGAAGAGTATGAGGAATTGAAGAGGAGGAATGAGAGTGTATTTAGATACAGTGAACGACAGGAGATGACTGAACAAGTGAGCAATATTGTAAGGAGCATGCAATTTTATCCGATTGAGAATGTATTGAACCATGAATACTGTTTTGAAGGATTTGATGAAGGCGAGATACGAGGAGTGATATCGAAGATGTGTGATGTATCGCAATGGCTAGTGTTTGATATAAATTTTGATTATGACAAGATAAGTAGTGAGAATGAAAGGAAGTACAAGGAGAGAGAAGAGATATATGGAATAGGATATGAAGTAGGAAAGCAGGTATTTGCAGAATCAGCGTATGAGATAAGTGTTGCTAGATTGGATGAGATCAGAATGATGGCCATTGATAAAGATATGCGTAATGAAATGAAACAAGTTGAGAAAGACGGTGGAAAGCTTTTGTATTTGTTTGATGAGTCATATAAGGTTCCTAAAGTGTTTGTTGGGTGTGTGTTGAAGTTTGAGTATGAGAGGAAAGATGTGTTAGATTTTATGTTTTTGGTTAATAAAGCAAAGGATGTGTTTTTAAAGAAGTATGGAAAGCTGGTGTATGCAACAGATGTGAGTATTGATGCGCATGTATGCTTGGGTGGAATAGAGATTGTTGCGGAAGGATTTACTAATGTGGTAAAGAATGCATTTGAGGTTTTCTTTAATGTGCTGTTTGAGGAAGCAAGTGAAGGAGAAGGCAGGAACTTGATGATAATGCAGGAGATGATGAATGTATTGGAGCAAGAAAGGACCAAGAATCCTTATGCATTGTGTATGCATGGAATGATGAAGATGAAAGTTGATGGATACATGCTTCCTGAGGAGAAGATGAAGATGGTGAAGGAGATTGATGTGCAGAAGATGATACCAAGAAGTTTTTTTGCAGATATGGTTGTAGTTGGGAATGTAAAGCATGAATGGGCGGTTAATGTGTTTGAAAGTGTTTGCCTGAGGCAGCATGGAGATTGTGTGAATCTGAAGAGCAAATTAATGGATTTGAGCAGGAAATGCGATGTGCATACGGAGGATCCTGCAAGCAATGCATGTGCGATATATTTGTATGGAGGCAAGTATGCAGACAGTAAGGAGACAGCGGTGATCAACTTTGTGCAGCATGCATGCAAGGGAATGTTTTTTGATCAGCTCCGAACTAAAGAGGAACTTGGATATATTGTATACTGTAGGATGGCGTATGTTGAAGACGAGCAGTATATAACATTTGTGGTGCAGAGCGAGAGAGAAGTGGAGTATTTGGAGGGCAGAGTCAAAAAGTTTATTGGTGACCTGAATGGATATTTTGCAGAAATGCAAGACGAGGAGTTTGAGAAGTTTAGAAGTGCAGTAATGATGCACTTTGAGGAGAGGAAGAAGAATTTTGGGCTATATGGAGAAGGGATATGGAAGAGCTATCTACGAGGAGTAAGTGATCTTGAGTATGAGAAGAGGGTTTGTGAAGCTCTTATGGGAGTTACGAAGCATGACTTGAGTAAGATTGACTGGATGGCAGATTGTTATGTGGTGCGAGTGGCTTTACAGTACTAATCTAATGGTTTTATTTTCTATTAAAATGGTTCTATGCGAGATGGAGTGTTTTGGTATTTTAAAGGTGGTGCACATGAATATTGTGTGTATGCATGAGGATTGTGACTTAAGTGGATCATTATGTATGATTATGCATGGAAATGAGTTAAATAGTTGATTGTGTATGGAAATGAGTTAAATAGAGAATAACGCATCCCTGATGAATGAAGAACACAGGAGAATCAAGAAGATAACTGAGACAGTGAATATTTTGTTGAAGCGAGCAGAGAAGAGAAGGAAGGCGATTGTTGAGGAAATCCGAGTAGCAAATGATTACTCATATGAGTTGAGGATTAAGAAAAGAAAGACCATACGCCATGATGCGGATGAATGATTTGATGAATTTTGCTGAACCCTTGATGTTTGATCCTGATGAGGTTTTTAGAAGACTGGAGATATCGGATGAAAAGCAAGCGCAGCTAAAGAGGAAAACACAGATAATGAGCAATTTGGAAGAAGTGTACTCTGGAAGAGACATGTCTAATAAACTGTTGTATGCTCTTGCATGCACAGCATCTCGAAAGATTGATATTGTAAAGATAGCTGATTTGGTTGATAATGGAGTGATTAAACACGAAAGCATGCTGAAAGAGTGTATGAAGTATGCAGAGCGAATCGGTGTTAGCGAAGCGGAGCTTCAAAAGTTTGTTGAAGAGAATGATGTTGGGCAGGATAGGATATGTGAAGAAATAGAGAAGATGGCAAATGAAGGAGTGAAGAAGAAAGAGATGATGATGGAAATGAGAAGAAGAATGCCTTGTGCGAATTTTAAGTTGGTTTTTGAAGAGATAAGTAAGATTGAGGATAATTGTATGAAAATGGATGATGAACAGAAGAACAAAGGAACAAATGCAGACTGGCTAGAGGAGGGTGAGTTAAAGAAGCTATTTAAGCCTGGGGAGAATCCACAGCTTAATGAGAAGATTATGGAGGAGCACCTAAAAAGAACAGGAGGAAAGGTTGTTACGAGGTTTCCACCTGAACCGAATGGGATACTGCACATTGGACATGCAAAGGCAATGAACCTGAGTTTTGAGTATGCAAGAAGGAATGGAGGATATACGTATCTGAGATATGATGACACGAATCCTCGAAAGGAGGAGGAAGGGTATTTTGAGTCGATTTATGAGGATGTGAAGTGGCTTGGATTTGAGCCATACAAAGTGACTGCATCGAGTGATTATTTTGGAAGGATGATGGAGTTTGGATTTGATTTGATAAAGAAGGGAAAGGCATATGTGTGTCACTTGAGCCAAGATGAGATGTGTGAAAGAAGAAGATTGTATTTTTCTGAAGGAGGAGGAGACAGGAAGTATCTAAGCAAATATCGAGATAGATGTACTGAAGAGAATATGCAAATTTTTAAGGAGATGATTGATGGAAAGTGGAAAGAAGGAGAGGCGTGCTTGCGCTTCAAGATGGATGTTGATAGCAAAAATCCATTAATGCTTGATCTTGTTGCGATGCGAATAGTTGACGAAGTGCATCCTGTGAAGAAGGTGAATTTCCATGTGTATCCGACATATGAGTTTGCGCTTTGTGTTTCTGATAGTCTAGAAGATGTGACACATTCTTTCTGTACAAGGGAGTTTTACACACGACAAGAGAGCTACAATTGGCTGCTTGATCAGCTTGAGATATACAAGCCTGTGCAGTGGGAGTTTAGTAGATTGAATATAAGTAACACAGTGCTGAGCAAGAGGAAGCTTGTTCCACTGCAGAAGTATGGAATATCTCTTGATGATCCCCGATTATTTACAATTAAGGGGATGAGAAGACGAGGATTTCCAGCGAGTGCGATCAATGAGTTTTGCAGGAGTGTTGGATACACATATGCAGAGACAACAGTTGATGTGAGGATTCTGGAGAATTTTGTCAGGGCTGAGCTGAACAAGACTGCAAGAAGAGTGATGTGTGTTAGGGATCCATTGAAGGTGACTATTGTTGGAGTACCTGAATGCATGGTGAGAATTCCAGATTTTCCTGGAAGCTCTGAGTATAGGGATGTACGTTTTACGCCTGTGGTGTATATTGAAAAATCCGACTTCCAGGATATTGGAGAGGAAGGATTTGAAAGGCTTACGCTTGATCAGCCTGTTGGACTTTACATGTTGTATTCAATCAAGATGGTGAAGGTTACGGATGATGGTCTAATTGCAGAGATGAGTGATGCAGTGCCAAAGAAGTTTATACACTGGGTTTCTGAGGATTGTGTTGATGTGGAGATGCGAATGTATTCAGCGCTGTGGACGTCATTCAACCCTAACGAGGGAGACTACATGAATGAGATGAACAAGGAGAGCTTGAAGATATACAAAGGAAAGTGTGATAAGCGGATTCTTGATTCAAAGATTGAAGACAAGCTGCAATTCCAAAGGATAGGATATTTCTGTGTTGATCCTGATACAAGTGAGGAGAAGGTAGTGGTTAACCTTACTATTCCTTTGAAGAACACTGTTTAATGGATGTGATGAGTTGTTTATTGATAGTTTGCATGAAGATAGTGTTAGTTGATGTGAATGGATGTTATTATGAAGGACCTGATTAAACATAGACCCTTGATATTGAATTTGTTTCTTGATGTGTTTAACAAAGAGAAGGGATGAGCCCTTCGATGGTAATGAGTGAGGTGATGACAGGCACAACCATTATTGCAATCAAGTATGCAGACGGGATACTTGTTGGAGCAGATTGCAGGGTGTCAGCTGGGAACTATATTGTAAATAGAGTGATTAGTAAGCTTGCGCCGCTTTCTGACAAAATCATTGTGTGTATGTCTGGAAGTGCTGCAGATGCAGGCATAGTCAGGGACTATGTAAAGACATCGCTAGACATGTACACACGACTTGAAGATGGAGTTCCTATGGTGAAGAAGGCGGCAACGCTTGCTAGCAAGATAATTTACGAAAATCCTGATCTTTTAGCCGGTCTTATCGTGGCAGGATATGATGAAAGTGCAAGGATCTTCAGTATTTCGCTTGGAGGTAGTTTAGTTGAGCAAGAATGGGCAATTTCAGGATCTGGGTCGGCCTATATATATGGATACTGTGATATGAACTGGAAAGCGGGGATGAGCCTCTGGGAAGGGATAGCGTTTATAAAGGAGGCTGTTTTGTGTGCGATTAATAGAGATAATGCGTCTGGAGGATGCATAAGGATCTCGTCGATTACTGAGACGGGGGTGCAGAAGTATGTCTACAATGGAAATAATGTGCTACAATAAATGGTTTGTGAAGTGATTTTGGTTCGTATTTATTAAATGCAAGATTGCAAAAACATGGGAGGCGTGATTTTCAAGAATGCAGTGAGTGAGTTGGTGGCCGTGTTTGTGATTGATGTGGCACAAGCAATACTTTCGTATGTTGTGGGACCGTATGAGCGGGTGTTTGATGAGTATGACGTGTCTATTTCGAAGCCACATGCAATAAACGAGACTATTTCGTATGTTGAGGTGATAGGATTGGCGATTGTTGTTCCACTGATTTGTTTGTATGTGGTGTTGCATAGTAATCCATCCAGAAGCAGCAAGATGTATTTCTATGTGATATTTATGCTTTCATGTCTCACAACGTTTGCAGCAACGGAAGCAATGAAGAATGTGTTTGGGAGGCTCAGGCCTGACTTCTTGAGCAGATGCATGCCAGTGAATGGAGTGTGTACAGGACTGCAACCGATTGTTACTGAAGGAAGAAGAAGCTTTCCGTCGGGACATATGTCGATGGTGGTATGTGGAGCAAGCTTTTTTATGTTTTTTACATGGAGAGAGTTTAAGCTGCACTTGCGCAACAGAATATGGAGATTTGTTGCACTTGCAGTTGTCTGGCTGTTGTTATTTATTGGATCCATGGCTATTGGGATGAGCCGTGTTACAGACAACAGGCACTTTGTTTCTGATGTTATTGGAGGAGCAGTGATTGGAGGATTATCAGCAGCAGTTGGATTTAGGTATCTCAATAGGAGTATTGAGCTGCAAAAGAACAAGAGTACTAGAGTAAGAGCACGAGCAGCAGATGTTTAAGGCAAGTGGCACTGATTGCAGAGCCCCAGATGATGAGAGGACGAAGATATGCTTTGGATATTGGAGGTAAAGACAAAAGCAAGTCTGAGAGTGCTTTGCACAAGGCATTTACTGAGGGACGATTGAGAATAGTTGTTGAAACAACGCAGGATAGATGTGTGGATGCTATGATTCTTTTTAAAGCCAAAAATCTTTTTGGAAGGCAATTGTCTAAGATGCCGGGCGAGTACATATTGAGGCAAGTTTTTGATCCAAAACATGCATGTATGATGTTTGTTGATGAGAAGGATAATGTAGTTGCAGGGATATGCTATAGGCCGTTTTTTGAGAGAAGTTTTGTAGAGATAGTGTTTCTTGCTGTTGATTATGAGTTCCAGGTGAAAGGAGTTGGAGGGTTTCTGATGGATGTATTCAAGGAAATGATCAAGATGGATATTAAGAGCTATGAAAATGATTACATGAATGATGTGATGGCGATGTGCAGGATTTGCAGGAAAGAAGTGAAGTATCTTGATATGTTTGAGAATGAACCTGATCGCAGTGGAAGACAAAGTTTGTATTTGATTGCATATGCAGATGTTTTTGCAGTAGGGTTTTTTAAGAAGCAGGGTTTTTGTGAAGATGGAGTGTTTGATAAGTGGATTGGATATATCAAGGATTATGATGGAGGAACTATTGTTGAATGCAAAGTGTTTTGGGAGATCAATTACCTGAGGAAAGATGAGGTGATTGAGCTTATGAGAAGGAGAGTTGATGAGGAGATGAGGAATGTCAATGGGTATTCTGAGATGCATAGAATTGAGGATTATTCTAAGGTGAAGAGTGTAAGAGATATACCAGGTATCAATAAAGGATTAGACAATATGAAATGTATATCAAAGATTGATTCTGGAGTAAATGATATGAAAGGTATACCAGATATAAATGAAGGAGAAGAAAGAGCAGGAGATAAGGATAAAATAAGTGAAGAATCTGAAGCAAAAACAACTATGAGGATGTTTATTATGTATATGATATGTGATTTGAAGATGAATGCATGTGCCTGGCCTTTTCTTAAGCCAGTGAGTGCAAATGATGTGCCTAATTACTATAAGTATATAAAGAAGCCGATGGACATATCTAAAATGGCTAAAAAGGTTGAAGATGGGATTTACAAGAGTGTAAGGGAGTTTGAAGAGGATGTAAGGCAGATGATAACTAACTGTTTGAGCTACAATGGAAAGGACACTCAGTATTATAAGTGTGGACAGGTGCTTCTAAAGCACTTTGAAATGAGAATGGAAACATACAAGCATGTGGTTGATAAGATTGGATGAATGTATTCTAGGCGCATAGTTGGATGTGCAATGAATGCTAGGATGTGTTGGCATATGCTGATAGGATGTTTATATAATATGAGTACTAATATATCATGGATATACTTATATAACCTGAGTATTAATAGACTCTTAGTATGCCTATATAACCTGAACATCAATACATGCCTATATAACCTAAATATTAATACATCAAGCACATGCTTATATACTTATATAACCTGAGTATTAATACATCAAAGTATATAATTTGTGATCCATGGATGATTTGTTGTGGCAGAGATAAGCAAATAAAAAATCAAGAAGAACCCCTGGATGAGCCTTGAGGAGCTTGAGATGATGGATCAAAGCAATCCTGAGGAGTTTTTGGGAATGGTAAAGGAGAAGATCAGGATGCTTGATTCTGAGACAAGAATTCTACAAAGCAGGATAAGCACGATTAAACACGACATATCGACGAAGAATGTTGCGATTGCAGAGAATATGGAGAGGATTCGACTGAACAAGCAGTTACCTTATCTTGTTGGGAATGTTGTTGAGGTATTTGATGAACAAAGTGGGGTTGTAAATGCATCTACCAGGATGTCGTCGTACCTGCCGTTGATGGGACTTGTTGCGAACGAAGAGCTTCATCCAGGAGATCTTGTATCACTACACAAGGACACGAACATAGTGTTTGAGAAGCTTCCGGCAGATTATGATGTGAAGGTAAAGGCTATGGAGCTTGATGGCAAGCCTGACGAGACATATGAGGATATTGGAGGACTTGAGAGGCAAATAGAGGAGCTGAACGAGGCAATTGTGCTTCCACTTACACATCCTGAAAGGTTTGAGAAGCTGAATATCCGACCGCCGAAGGGTGTTTTGATGTATGGGCCGCCAGGAACAGGAAAGACACTTATGGCGCGTGCATGTGCAAGCAAGACAAATGCGACGTTTCTTAAACTGGCTGGACCACAGCTGGTGCAGATGTACATTGGAGATGGAGCAAGGCTTGTAAGAGATGCATTTGCACTTGCAAAGGAGAAGAAACCCACGATTATTTTTATCGATGAGATTGATGCAATAGGAGCAAAGCGATCGGACTCTGATCATACTGGAGATAGGGAAGTGCAAAGAACGATGTTGGAGCTTCTTAATCAACTGGATGGATTCTCGTCTGTTGATGAGGTGAAGATAATTGCAGCAACTAACAGAGTTGATATTCTTGATCCAGCATTGCTGAGGAGTGGGAGACTGGATAGAAAGATAGAATTTCCATTACCAAACACTGCAGGAAGGAAGAGAATTCTGCAGATCCATGCAAGGAAGATGAGCACCAGAGAAGATGTGAATTTTGATGAGCTAGCAAGAAGCACAGAGGGATTCAACGGTGCGCAGTGTAAGGCTGTATGTGTGGAGGCAGGAATGTCAGCACTAAGGAAAAACAAAGCAAGTATTTCGCAGAATGACTTTATGGATGGGATTCAGGAGGTTCTTTGCAGGAAGAAGTCCAAACTGCAGTATTTCACATAATGAATAAAGAGTTCTATTGGATGTTTTGGATGTGTTTCAGTGGATAACTGTTTCAAACAGAAGGGATAAAACTGATGCTGATAACCTGTATAATGAAAGAACGGCACAAGATTCTGTTGCTGTCAAGCACAGTCCTCTTTTCGTTTTACTTTGCATATGACATTCCGTCGGCACTGAGCCATCATGTAGGGTTTGAATCAGAAGATGAGGTTGAGTATAAAATAACCTTACTTTACTCGGTGTATTCACTGCCGAATATAGTTGTGCCGCTGTTCTTTGGATGGATAACACAGATCAAGAAGTGCACACTTGCGAAACTGCTGTGTGCATTTGTGTTCGTGGGTCATCTGATGTTTACAGCTGGTGTTTGGTATCGTAACTTCAAAGCTATGCTTATTGGCAGGTTTATATTTGGAATTGGAGGCGAGAGCTTCGCTGTTATTCAGAACAAACTGATCTCTTATGAATTCAAAGGTAAAGAGTTAGGCTTTGCAATGGGGTTGTTTTCAAGTATTGCACGATTGGGGACGGTTGCGAACTTCCTTATCACACCGCTGCTTGCAGACATGTTTGGTAGAATGCTTCCATGCATTATGGGTGTTGCATTAACATTTCTAGGTCTTTGGATATGCTTCAGGATCAATCATTCTGGAAGATCGCATAAGATACTGAAGCAGAGACTACTGGAAATACAGAAGGTTAGTAATGCATCCAAGGAGCAAGATGAGTGTGTCAAACCGGTGTTTGATGATGATGCTGGCAACATGCTTTCTTCACCAAAGTACTACGAATATGCACCTCATAGAAGCATTCAAGGTATTGATGGAGCATATGGAACGTCATTCTTCCATGATTATGGCGATACAGACTATAATAGCTCCTCAGTAATAAGCTCGGCTTCCAATCCAATTCTTTCTGAAAACCCATTTCTACCATGGGCAAAAAACACAGCTGAGGAGACAACAGTCAAAAGCAGACTTGAAAAGTCAGATCCAAAAATACTATTTGAGGAATCAGGTACTCTTTTCTACGAGCCAAAGATTGAGGGAAAGAATGCCTGCCATTCTGCATTCTATGTTCTTGTTGCTATATCATTTCTGTTCGCTTTGGTATGGGCGCCTTTCTATTCTGTCGCACCAATGCTATTCCAAAAGAGATATGGGTTATCTGCAATCTCATCAGGCAACATACTTGCAATAATCGAAGGAATTTCGCTTGTGTTGGTTATTTTTACAAGTACAATAACGGACATGTATGGAATGAAGCTGTGGTTTATTGCAGCAGGTTGTATGCTTTTTATTGTGGGGCATTCTGGAATATACTTTGGATTGATGTCTCCACATCTATCTGCAGTAATGCTTGGGCTTTCGAGTCCTCTTATAGCATGCTATTGGCCATGCATCCCTTCTCTTGTATCTGATGAGTCTCTTGGCACAGGATTTGCCACCATATACTGTATCCTCAACCTTGCATTTACTTTTTCTCCGATAGCGGTGGCGTTTCTTGCGACAGGCGATGGCTCATATGACAGTGTGGAAGTGTATATCCTTGCAATCGGAGCATGCTCGCTGGTACTGATAGGTATTCTTTCGTACCTGAATCTAAAGCAATCGCTTGGATTGAATAACAGGTCGGCCAGTGGAGTAGAAGATGAAATGTAGGAGATGTGAACTAAAGATAGAATATACATCTGAATATGAATCAATTATTTGATGGCGCTATTAACTGTTCACATCTAGCATCGCTACATGGCGTTATTTTCAATAAATGCATCAATCAATGCAAGTAAACAGTTTATTTAAGTGTAGAAAACAGTGGACGTAGTGCATCTTTGCTGTTTGCCATCTTCATTCTTCGTATATCCTTGAGTCGGAGTAGAACTATGAATATCAGATTGACAAATGCAACACCAAAGAGAGCAATTATTATTGTCTTAAAGTGCTCTCCAACAATAAAATGTGCCTCCACCGTGTAGTTGCCATTTTCTTGAAGGTATACGACTAAATCAGTGTTTGGGATTGCAATTGAATTAATGGCATATGGTCCTGCATATGGACTTGTATTGCTTCCAGGCGTCCCTATCATCAGTATATCAACAATCAGATTCATTGTGCCAAGCCCAATATATGCCACGTGATGTTTTAGGTGCACATACGTGCTGTAGGCCATCTGACTCGAAATATGCACCTTCTCTCCGTCACAGTAAGATATCAGATAAGAAACGCCAGGAATAGCGCATCCATATGCTTCATGCCTTGGATAGATTGCTGAGAGACTCAGCTTGAGATTCTCTTTCGAAAGGTTGTTTTCATACACTTCAAGAACAGCTTCGTTGTCAACAACACGATTCACAAACACGGCTTCTCTTCCTCGGCTGTTATAGTCACAGCAGCTTATGGATATTACATTCTTCAGTTTGTGAATATCATCGTGATACTCTGCTTTTTCAAATAATGCCTTGCCAGGTTCAGAATGGTTTTCAAGGGCTCCAACTCTTGTGCTGCCATCAATGTCCTTCATCACAATAAAGAAGTCCACTTTACCTTTTGCTCTCAGATCAGCAGAGAATATTCCATATGGCATCCCACCAAAATGTTCTTCAGATTTAAGGATTGGCGTGCAATTCGGAAACATCAAGCTTAGATCCACTATCTCCATATCTCCCTCAGAAAACACAGTTGAGTTGATCTGTGTCGGGATAAATCCACCAAGAAGCTTGTTGGTATTTCCAACTCTTGACGTTGAGTTGAAGTATATCTTCAAAACATACTTTGTCCCGCTTCGTTGTATAAATGCCATGTCGTTCATACCGTTTCCATTAAAGTCTCCAAATACAATTGGGCCTATCTCATCTGGAAGGTCCATCTCGAAGTACCTCACATATTCTCCATCCTTATTATTGAATACCCTCAGTGATTTTTTCCCATTCCCGTTGTCAATGACTAGGCACAGGCATGCCTTCATACTCCCATCAAGCTCAACAAATGCAGAAGTATGCTCATTGTGTAATCGTCCATAATCATCAACATCCTCTGTTTTCAGTTCTCCATCTTCACTAATCCGAACCTTTTTCAGACCATCGCTGTATTGGATAAGCAGTTGAGGTCTAAGATCATCGGGGCATGTAAATAGCAGTGGAGTGGCTAAGGATTCTCCAATATGCTTTGTTTCATCTCTGTCACGGAAGTATATGTGATTGTCAAATGTTCCATCATTCTTCCTTGTTACAAGCACGTAACTTACTATTCCACTTCCATTGAAATCTGCAGGAATGACAAGATGGATTTTCTGTTCATGCTTGTAGCTGAAAACTTCATCGTACATGTCTTTATCTTTATCGTAGTGGTATCCTTTGAGATTTGTATATCCCTTATCTACACCAACAAGATCATAAGACCTGTTGTTCAGAATATCTGTGTATGCGAGCAGTACGAATCCTGCTAGCAATGTTTTCTTGAGGTTGTTCATATCAAGCATGCGTCGTAGGGGATGAATTCTTGTACTGATGCTAATCTAAATAATGTTATCGAATGCATTCTCGGGATATAAATGATTGGTATTTATGCGCATAAGCACTCCAATTGTATTTATGTTTACTACGAATTGAATGTATTTGATCATGCATAACAGCCCTGGCCGATGCTGAAAGATCCAAACATCCTTGCAAAGCTCAAAAGGTATAATGATGTTAGTATAGAAATAGACAACCGTGCAAGAGCATTGGACTCATTGATGAGTAAGTTGAATTTAGACATAATTGATGAGTTCAAGTCGTATATTGAGCCAAAGAAAGGCATTGACAAACTTTTGATGTTTTACAACATGTTTATGCAATCTAAAGCAGTGATCAATCAAGAGAAAAGCAGCCTAGAAGAGCAGTTTGGGGGAATGAACAATGCTTCGTTTACATGCAAGCTTGAAACGCTTAAAGAAAATGATGTGATGGGATCAATACAGAGGCTGATGGATGTACGCCAAAACCTGGTGGAATACAATGGAGTTATAGTAGTGGAAGTGGAAGTGATTAGTTTGGATGAAATCATTAAGGGAGCTATTGGTGTAGTTGAGGAATCGTTTTTTGCTTCTCTTTCAAAGATCCCAAAGCTGGAACCTGAAATACAAGAATTTGCGGTATTTCTGCTTGCACATGTCGATAGAAAACGGACTATAAGCAGGTATACAGACATGATGTACTCGAAGTTTGGTTTTGATGGTGTTGGATCAGACAACAATATGCTATTAGAACGAACAAGTAGGTTGAGCCATACACTATTGGAGATTGCAGACATCAACGACAGTGTAATTGGAAAAGAGCATCCGGAGGTAACGATTGGATTGCAGAAGATGCTTGTGATTGGATTGAGAAGAGAGATTATAGACAACCTGATGAGGATGGAGAAGGAAGAAGGGATAAGTAGCATTCCGTTTCTTGTGGAGTTGAATTCGAAACTCAGGCACTCTGGAAACAGAAGGACTAGAGCAATGGAAGAACTTTTTGTGTTTAAGGATAGAATAAATCAGGTTATCTGTAATTGCATGTCTAGGTATTTTGAAGACCTGGATATGGTAATGAATGCAAACAGTAAGTGTGATGCAGAAAGTTTGTGTGTGGACATGAGAAGTATATTGGATTCTTTTTATGACCATAAGGACATACTAGAAGTGTTTGTGAAAACATATGGAATGAGTTTTGGGCTTACAGAGCCACAGGACATGTTCCAGGTATTCAGTGGAAAATCTATGGAGAAGATTCTACTTCTTGCTGAGACACTGAAAGGAATATCTAAGAGTGTGTATGTGCTGAACAATGCACATGTATTTGATGGACACCTGAAGCATGTTGACAATATTTCAATAGAACAGATAGTCAGCATCAACATCGATGACATTGTAAATGTGTGGAAGCATGAACTTGAAAAAAGAAGTGAAGAAGACATAACAGTATTTCTTGATAAGAACATTGAGAGTCAAAACAGGCACTTTGTACCTGAAGCATACAGAACAAATATTGTGGAGCAAATAGATACCATAGTTAATAAAGCACTGAGCACAAAGAAATACATGGGAAACACCACAAAATTGTATCATCAAATCAAAAAACTATATTCACAACCTCATACATAAATCTTTTATTGCTTATATGAATCCAAATCCTGTAGAGCATTCATTGATTGCTGTTGTAAGGCATTTCAGCATTGTTTCATACGATGAATACGAAGGCAGCACTAGTTGGTTGAAACAAGTGTGTGCCGTAGGCAAGCTGTCCATTCTATCAGGCATCTTGTGGATTGAGAACTTCTGTATGGTATTATTTCCCTGTAAATGAGAAAATCCCTCGAATGGTAATGTTGATGTTCCTGTGGCAAACTGCAACAGCTTTGCTTTCTGAACTGAATCAAGACATTTAACAGCTTTCCAGAACCAAATGATTGTCTTTGAGCTTTCAGTGTATCCGTAATAAAGAGTATTACTTTTCCAGTCATCAACATTTATCTCAGGAATACCACAAACAAGCAGCTCAAGCTCATTTTCATCAAACATATCCAATGCATCTTCTCCAAGGATCTCAAATATCCCTGCTTTCAATGCAGAGAGCTGTGCTTCTATTCCGTTGAAAAGCCTATGCCATGCAGCAACCCGCACATATTCTTTCTTGTTACTCTCGGAAACAAATACATCTCGTCCATTATCAATCAGATCGGTTGTTATATTCACACCAAAACTCACCTCAGTGAATGAAAACATCAATCCAAGTGATTCATCAACACTGTGATCTCGTATCCATATGAGTGATTTGTAAAACTCATTGTCAACAGACTTCAGATCATCTAAACCACATGTCTTACCAAGAATATGTTTATACACAAACTTTGGTAGCTGTAGATTCAAGAAGTATCCTTCCATGATGGCCTTTGCCATTATTCTTCCTACAAACTTGAAATATGAAAGATGTTCAGGATTCACGTGGCTATTCTTGCATGGAACTGCAACTGTTTTATCTTCTGTTGAAAACTCAAACAATGCAAAGTTTGGGTCAAGCAGATCCTTTGCAAGCAGTAAAAGCCACTCTCTTGTTATTCCTCCGTAATCTAATCCTTCTTCTCCTGCAAGCTTGATTTCAAATCGCTTCGTACGAAAATCTTCAGGGCTTTTTGCCATCACCTGGAAGTACGAACTACGAAGAACATCATCTCTGTCAACATATACCTTGTAGAACACAGACAACTTGTCTGTCCCTTCCACTCGCAATTTCCTACATAAATACTTCTTCTTGTTGCTGAAAGTCAATATCGATCTATTGATAAGCCTATTAAAGCTCTTAAAAAACCTTTCTGGCCTCTCCTCAACAAGCAGATTGATTTGTTTCGATTGCTTTTCAAGTACATTCGTATAAAACTCTTTAAAAGACATGTCTTCTTCCAATCCTTTTCTTGATTCAAATGCCTTTCCAACTGCAAAAAATGACTCAAAAATATCAGAAACATTCATCAGGTCCTCAACACATACTTTTCCATCTTGACGTTCAAAAAACATCGTCCAGAATGGATCAGTAACCAACTCCATAAAAACTTCATCTTGTATGCTTTCAACTTCATAAACCTTTGCAAACACATTCGTAGCCAGCTTCCAAAGACGCACAAATCCTCTTTGTGCATTTGTATACCTTCCAATCCATCTCCCATCGTCAATAATCCTCTTAAACTCATTCATCTTCTTCCTTATCTCTTCAAATATAACATCCATATATCTTGATCCAAAATGTATAGATGTGTTTTCTACAAGCACTTCAACATGTGTAAACCATCCACATTTCATCTCTTTTACAAACATACATATCACTCCATCAAGATTCATATCAATACCAAGAATCTTATTTTTATCTTCTTTGAAAATAAAACTGAATTCAGCCACAAGCTTCAATATCTCCTCAGTCATCTTGATTTTACTCATCACCTCAAATACCTTACACACGAGTACTGTATTCTTCACAATGCATCTATCTTTCCAGGGCCTTTTAATCATACTCACCAGCAGTAAAAGGCATCTTCTAAACTTGCATTCTGTGGCTTCATTCATATTGTCCACATATATAGATAAAATGGCATCATTTACAGCTTTAAAGGCAGCATCTCTCATCTTAGTGCTCGTGCACATTCTTTCTATCAATTTCCTGCTTTTCAAAAAAATGATCTCCTTTTCAGTAATCACTTTGCTTACAAACATACAAAACACATTCTCATCTACTTCAACACATTCTTCCACACTCATTACAGAATCAGACACATCCTTATTGCTCTCAATTTCTGTCTCATGCCTGAAAAAACTCTCTCTATACACTCTCTCTTTCTCTTCAAAAATAACTCTAACCTCATTAGAGAGCTGTTCGTAGAACTCAACTGCTAGTCCTGCATAATCCATCGACTTTGCACGTCTATCAATAAAATAGCTGTCTAAATATTCTATCAAATCACTCATCTCCATCGCATTGAGTGTAGATGCCTCAAGCATAGGTATTTCTCCACCAACTACTCCCAAATCAGACTCTGAAGATCCTTCTTCATATTCATATTGTGTAGATGTGCACTCAAAATCATTTATATCAATTTCATCATGCATCTCAGACACACTATTGCATGCATACAATTCATTGCACCACTCATCCCATGTCATTACTTCAACAACATCTTCCATATTCTCAACAATATTCTTCTTTAAACTTTCTTCATCATTCACATTATTTATACTTTCTTCATCATTCACATTATTTACACTTTCATTCATATCCATATTTACATTTCCACTTCCACTTCGATCCACACGCTGAACATAGTCGCCATCTTTCACACAATTCAATACACATGCAGAGACATGCAATGCATCAGTCGCTTTATTCTCACAGCACTTCATCTCCTTCATCTCCTTCTGCACTAAATCTTCATACAACTTCCTGCACATGATTCCTTCAACATCATCTTTGACTTCAGAACACAGCCCGTTATATTCCATGCACATCGTGTACATCGCAGTAGGCATCTCATACTCAGTTTCAATACTCTTTATAACAACTACATCATCCGATCTTGATTCTTCGCTGCTCATGCTATCATCAATCGCTTCATCCTCTACTTCTATTCCATGGAACGGCATATCTTCAAAATAACCTTCTTCAGATATCCCACTCTCGCTGAACTCTTGCTCGTCAGACCCAATGCTGAAATATTCATCATTCGATTCATTTTCATAATCTTCAATTGCATTCACAACACTTCCATGGCAATGCGAGTACATCCTGTTCAGGCAATCCATTCCATAGTGCACGCATAATTCATAAATACTGCTGCTTTCTTCCATACATGCTAATCTCTTGATAATTTCACTGAATATCCCTGATGCACTTAAAAACAAAGAACATCTTCGAAGATCTTCTTTCGATCTATCATCCTCACGCTCGTGCTTCAAAACTACCTGTGGCACTAAACACCTTCCAATTATATACACTGCACGCATAAATGCTTCTTCATCCTCATCCCTGACCTTCGAAATCAGAAATGTACACACTGGCATCTTATATGCATCCACTTTAGCCATCCCTTCATTAAATTCCAGAATCATCTCTTCACTCACAACTCGTGACTCAGCCAACAATCCAGCTGCAAATAAACAAACACCACGCTCTATCTCTTTATCATGTCCGTGTCTCGGCGAAAGTTCCCCATCTCTAATGCATTTCTCATAAACCTTGTTCAACACAGAAGGTGTGCATATCTTTCCAAGAAGCGATGCATGATTCATCATTATTTCAGAAAGAAATTGAATCGCTTTGTTCATGCATTTTTGTGAATCAAGTAGTATAATAAGCTTCCTGACATACACCTCTTCATAATCATGCACCTCGTCATTTGCATTACTGCATACTTCTTCATCTGCATTACTACAAACACTATCTGTCTTACAGTAGTCATATTCTGTACAGTTCATCTTATTCCGTTTTGCAATAGCCTCTACACATTTTCTCACAAACATTCCATAGTCTCTGTACATTAAAAAACACAAAGGCTTCAAAAACTCATCTGCATCTGTTAAACCTGACATTTGCTTAGGAAACGCCACATTTCCCAATACATCTTGAATACCAGGCCGAATCGCATATCCCAAAAGCATCCGCATCTCCATCATCTCGCTGCATGTCCTAATCCGCATCATCAGCTTCTCAAGATCAAAGTTGTAAGGCATTGGCATTCTCAAAACAGTTAGTAGCCGGAAATACATCCTGAGAAAATAAAGTGTCTTAGACACTGATACATCAGATTCAATCAACACAGGAATACTCTCCTCAATCATTTTCACATCAATCAAGTGTGGACACATCCCAACACTTGCAGATAGAAAAACATCTCCTGCCATTTCAACAAATTCATCAGAATATTCAAAATTAGCAATAGATGCACAAACATACTCATAAACCTTTCTATATCTCATTACAAAACATCGAATGGATGAGTAAGCCTTGATTCTCATCAATCCCTTCAAACAAATTGGTGATCTTACAAGTCTTTCAATTTTAATCTTTTTGCATTCAGGTGGTATATAAAACTTCTCATATATGCACATAACCATATTCATGTCATATTCTAGCATTTGAATCTTGTCGCCATCTTCTTCATCAAATATGCTTTGAACTGCATCAATAATAAGATTACTCAATGTAAAGTTACGCTGGTTATCATCAATACTACTTAAACTGCCATCTATCATATCAATATCAAGCAAATATTGCAGAAATCTATGTCTCAACTCATTATCCTCTCTCATTGTGTACAAAAGTTCACTTATAATAAAATTCACAATTGCAATAACCTTAGAATGCTCTCCACGAATCCCAAGTAACTGCTTTGCAAATTCACACCCAGATACCACTTCACAATGCTCAGGCCTGAAGTATGGACATAGCTTCTTGAATAGCCGTGTCATCATCACCACAGACATTCCATTGTCCTGTAAACAAGTATTCACTGCTTTCTGTAAAAACTTAACACCATGCACAGGCGCCACTTCTACTAAAACTTTCCACACAGATCGTACAAGATAAGTCACACACGAATAAATCGATCTAATTAAACACAGGCGCACACTGCATTTAGAAATATCAACATCAAGATCTACACTCACAGCCTTACACAACAATACAAACATATCTGCATCAGGTACATCCAAAAATACACCAGAGAGTTCAGACAATCTCATATACATTTCTTCAACTCCATCAAACATTTCTAAAAGCATTTTCATGCCAACACTCTCTGGCACCATCTCAAGATCAGTCGCCAAAATGTAATCCTTATTCTGCAAAACATCATCAATCAGTATGCACATCAATGCAGCATGGTTGCTATACGAAAACATCAATTTGTCAACTACATCATCTTCTTCTTCTTCATCTGTCCATGAATATCCATTAATCACCCCATCATGCATTCGTTTGCACAATAAATCAGCCATCATCTTGCTGTCTCTTATGAACATTTGTATCATTCCTACATCTCCATCAATCATGCTGTAAATATTCCGAAGCATCCCCACAACAATCCCCTTCATCGGATTGTGCATCCTACACGCATAATTTACATCTACAAAAAAATCATAGACCTTACGGAAAAGAATACATGCTTCTTCTGCATCTGGATATACCTGCATCTTTCCAATAAATCCAAAAAAGTTATTCATCACATTTACCTTCCACTCATCAACCACAAATGCATCCTTAGATTGCATTTCAAATACACTTGTCAAGCATTGCATGTATGTCACATAGAACTTCACTAAATCGTCTCTGAATACAGGATGGTGCATAATAAGCACATTCAAAAGCGACATTACCTTACTACTTCCACTCACAGTCTTCAAAAACTCATCCTCTCTAAGCATAAACAGCAACTTAAATAAATACTCAGAATCACAAATCATTCTTTGTGCATCAAGGTTCAGTGAAAACGCATCCATACATGACACCATCTCAGAAAAACATTCAATTGTCAATTCAGCCATTAACATCTTCTCAAACACAATCATAACTCCCCTCTCAACAAGTCTCCCTATGCTCAAAGGATCTCCAAATGCAAAGCACGATAGAACCCTCATGCAAACACACACAGTTCGAATATCCACAGAATACAGCCTTCGTATCATGCTCACCAATATGTCAAGAAACTCACTTTCCTCAAATCCTCTAACACCTATCTCGCCTCTCCAATCCTGCATGTATATCTCACCAAGAACCTTCACTGCATACCTTACATTCACATTCTCATTTATCCCATATTGCCAGCTGTCTTTCAGATATCCTTCTAACATCGCAATTCCACCTCTTAAAATAAACTCAGAAAGTCCCCTTGATCTAGGCTCTTTACAGTACATCTTTAATGATCTTAGAATGTGATATCTAACATCTGCTCTACACTGTCTGAAAACTTCAACGCATTCCATCAACACATCCATCTTCAAATACCGCGCCTTCTGGTTTAAAACAAGCGCATTGCTCACAAAAAAAACCATATGTCTTTCAAATGCCTTCTCATTCAACCCTGCTGAATACCTGCAATAAAATGGACCTTTCACATCGTCCAATCCAAGTGCCACTGAAACCTTCAAAAAGTCAACTCCATAATAAATCAACACATCTATCAGACTCATCACTGCAAACTCCATGTCTTCAGACATCCTTCCATTCATCATCTCATTCATCTCAAGTGCGTCAATCTTTCGTGTAACACAATCAAACATTTCTCCTCCTTTCGCAAGCACAAGAAAAACACATCTTGCAAGAATCCGTATAACATCCAATCTCTCTGTTCTATCGCTGTATATCTTCTTTCTCAGCTCAAAAATATACTTCCCTCTGCCATACCTCTCTGCTCCTACTATCAGCGCTTCTTTCGTTTGCTGAGCACTTCTAACACACACATTACACCGCACATTCCCTGCTACACCATCTAATTCATTGCAATCACATCCATTATCTGTAAACATTTCAATATCAAGCATCTCATCAGGTATCCTTTCATAAAAACCTTCAGATACATTCAGCTCACCCATTTCATCCTCATCGAGTGCAATCTCAATGCATTTCAGAAGCATCTCATGATCCTGAGCATACTCCTCCAATCCAATACAAAACTGCAGACTGAAGCTAAGCACCTTATATGCCTCAATCACCACATCTGCATCAACTGCATATATATACTTCATCACATACTCTGATACATCCAATGGATACTTGTGCTTCGAATACCCATACATTCTCTGATAAAACCTGAATATTTCAACAATCATCATCTTGTCTGCATCACACATCTTGCTTATCTGCATTCCTTCACAAAAATACCTCTCTCCTATCTCATGAACAATAAGAAGTATTCTGTCGCTTGCATTCTTCCATAATTTCAACGAGCTATCTTTGAATATCCATACATCATCACTCAAACACAGGCGTATCTTCTCCAAGATGCAAGATGTATCATTCTCCTTTGCAATCTGCCATGCAAGCTCGTCCAGTTCCTCCTCTACTGGTGTGTTTGCATACTTCCAATTGCTGGCTTCATTATCCATCGGGGTTTGTTTAGTAGATCCAAAAATACACACAATGAGTTTATTAGTACTGCCTTCCTAATTATCAATCCTTATCTATATCTTTACATCTGTATTTGTATCATTTTTAAGTCTTGCATTTATTGCCTTGATAAGTACAACCACAAAAACAGGAACTACGGCAATTATCAGCATAATGCTGTAGTATTCATGCATAAAGCAATATATCCACGTTGCAATGCGTGTAAAAACATGGCTCTTATATCCAACATCAGGTACCGCTTGTCTTTGGCACTCATCAGACATGTTTTCTGCAACATTGAATTTGCATACAATCGGCTTGTGATCACTCAACATAACGCTTGGATCTGTGATGTATTTGGTAAACTGGATAACATTGCATGATGAAACAAGCACTCGGTCGCACCAAGACGGATTCTGCTTATTGCTAAAACAATTCGATCCCATCTCATATTTGTATGTTGGCATGAATGTTATTTTATCCTCGTGAAACATCGGATACAGTTTATTGAATTTATTGAACTGATCATACTCTGCTTTGTATATGCTTTCTGAATTCTCATATAAAGCTCTATTAATTGATGATCCAATTACTGATTCATTTGTGTCATGTATACTTTGTGTATCAAAGGACATTCGCTGAGTCATGCGGAAGTTCATATCACCAGCAATAACAAGCAAGCGTGTGTTTGATACTGTTTCTTTGTCATTGATGCATTCAAATACTGTTCTGATCTGCTGCATTCTTCTCTTATTGTTTTCTAAATGTGCAGACAAGTGGCAGCTTACAAACACCACTCCATTCGACAGCTTAGAAATACACGCGCCTTTGTTGATCATGCCTAATACTCCAAGGCCAATTCTCATTGTATTCACCTCTACATCACGTGCACATCCAGAAGTCTTGCATAGAACAACAGACCACAGCCCGCATACTCTATTAACGCTTGCTACACTGTAATGTGGAAATGCCTTTGCCATGATCCTTCTCACTTTGTTTTGGGAAGGACTGAAGCATTCCTGAAACGAAAGCAACACAATATCCGCCTGTTGGGAGTCTGCAATCACTGAAACTCTTTCTAATCCATCTCTTCCATTCATATTCCATGAAAGAACCGCAATCTCCATTCCACTGTTCATAATAAACACCAAGCATACATTATTCACAAATCAAATAAACTTTGGATTTAATAAAATACCATAAATTATGCATACTTGCTACATTAAAGCAAAGCACACATTCATTTCGGCGCAGCAATGCCCATCACTGCTATTAATGAACGTAAGAAAGTAGTCATCTCCACCCTGAGTAGAAACTTCTTGGATTTATTCTTGTATCCTTTGCACTTGAGAATCATCAGACAACTGAGCACATCAATGCTGGTGAATCCTTCTGTCTTTGCCTGCAGAGAAAACGAATCGTCATAGTCAAAAGGCCTTGACTTTACAAATTCATGTATTTTGACCTTGAATCGCATAAACGTATCGACTTCTATGTTTGGATCCAGCTCAAAGTTGAACACAATGATCTTCTCTGGCGCACGAGTCATGTTGATCAGATTCTTCTTCCACAGATCACTGTTAAGAAGCTTTATCTTTCCTCCATTCTCGCCAACTAATGATGTGTTAGATAGACCAAACTCATAAACCTTATAATCAACTCCATCCACTACTACATCATCTCCAACATCAAACTGGTGACTTATCAACATCATAAAGTTGTAATACACATCAGAAACAATTCCACTTGCAACCAGGTTGAATGCAAGCGCTCCACTTAGTGCCAATGCCAGTAACTCCTTTAGTGGAATTCCAAATACGATCATGTATGTAAAGCACAGGCATGCAAATACTACAGAAATCAATGTGTTTGCAATAACACGAATGAAGTCCTCAGCCCTTTTGACATTTCTCTCCAGATTCACTCGCTCCATATAGAAGTAAACTATTGTGCTCTGGAACTCCTTCTTCGAAATCATTCTGTCATTGTTTGAGTCAAAAAATGCAAATGCATTCAATGCATCTTGCACACTTGGAAAAATCACGCTGAAGTCATCGAATGAAAGCTCTTCCTTTCCCTTACTTGCCCTCACAAATACATCTCTTGCAAGTGTTTTTGAATCCATCACTCCGTGCAGCTCTGGAGGATTGATCCTCAGGCCTCCTGCAAACTTGTGGAATCCTTCCTCACACTCCCCACTTCTGCCCCTTGGTGCATTTTCAGCCGATGCCATTCTAAAACAGAACATGTCTTTGCATGAACATTCAGGTGTTGCCATGCTTACAGATTCTGAAATGTCATATCTGTAATTCTTCATTGCACACAAGATTCTCTCGCTCTTCTTGACATCATCGAGCTTACTGTGCAGTGTTCGCTTCATGAAGAACGTTTCAAAGTACGCTATTGCCAGCGTAGTCACCGAATATGCAATCGATGTTATCAACGCTGCAACAAAAATCCTCCTAGCAATGTCAAACTGATATCCATAAACAATTTTCACATATCTCAACCAATACATACAGCACAGAATCCACACAGAAAGCATGGCGAGCTTTTGTAGTTTTGTATTTGATTCAGAGTTCTCAATAAGACGCATGTTGATCACCATAAGTGTCAACGCATCTCTCAGGATTGCAAGCACTATGAATAGGAGCGATCCAACAGTGATGCTCATGAGTATGACATTTAAGCTCAGGCCAAGTACATATGGATCTGCTCCAAATGCATAAAGCATCAGTCTCAATCCTAAAGAAACACCCAAAATCGAATAGAACATCCCTCCAAGAATGTCTATCAAGTAATTTGTATGCAAGCTCCGGTTAGGTGCAGGAATAAACTCATCTGCATCTGCATCTACGTCTCCTCCAAGCCAGTCGAAGCTATCTTCAGACATACTGCATCTTCATGTTGTGTTTATATAGTCTAAGATACGATCTCAAACATCGTTTGATATCTGTATCATGTCTTTATAGTTGTGTATATGTCATAATAACCTGTATCTGATCATTCTTTTGTACTTGCATCTCTAGCTGTGTAATCATCAAGATAGTTATCACACTCAACAACTCCACAACAGCCTTCTTCTTTTTCACGAGATAGCTTCATTCTTACAAACACCTTCTTTTTCGAAAGATGTGGTTCAAAACATCCATGTATCTTTTCTTTAGATATTTTCAGGTCAACTGTGTTTTTGCTTGGGATGTTCACTAGGACACCGTTAGATGGAAAAAACGTAGGAATTGCATATCTCTGTTCAATACTCTTCTTAAGCATCCTCATCCTGCTCTTTTCGCCATGTACAAGCATCACATTCCTGGGCTTACATTGCTCAATTAAGCTCAATATGCCTTCAGAGTCAGCATGTGCACTGAATGCAAGATTCCTTACCTGTATTTTTATTTCTTTACTTTCTCCAAGGATATCGAGTCGCTTAGCTCCGTTTAGAACTTTCTCGCCAACTGTGCCTCTCACACAATATCCAGGAATGATCACAAGGTTCTTTTCGTCCTCACACCACTCCTTGAATATTTTCAATGACATCCCTGAGTGTAACATTCCTGGTGATGCAAATAGAACCATTGGTCCAGGCATGTCCAAGTAGTACTTCTGGAATGCTTTAATGTGTTTGTAGTCAAATAGGTTCCTTTCGAAAATCTTCTGCTTAATTGTCTCATTTGTGTATCCGATGTATCTTTTGTATATTTCGTTTGCCTTCTCAGTCAATCCTCCTGAAAAGTACACAGGAACATTCAATCCACTGCGTTCCCAGTATCCGTCAAGAAGGAGACACAGCTCCTGTGCCCTACCAAGTGCAAATATCGGGATCAGCACTTTGCCTCCTTTCAACACACACTCAGACACAGCTTTAAGGAATTCTCTCTCTTTGACCTTCCTGCAATCCCTCACAACAGATCCATATGTTGACTCAGTAATCAGAATATCAGGCTTGACACATTTGATAGATGCAGGCCCAAGATGTTTGTCAGGCGTAGTGCTGTAGTCACCAGTATAAACCACAGATTGATCTCCAACAACGACATGGAACATTGCTGCCCCAAGGACATGCCCTGCATAGTATGGAGTGATGTAAATCCCGTTTCCATGCTCGTATGTCTCATTCATGTTAATTGTAATAACCTTTTTCATGCAGTTGAGTATATCTTGATATGTAAATATGGTATCATCGCCTTTGACTGCAACAATCTTTCTGAAGTCGTCCAGCAAGATTGGGCACACTTCTTTAGTGGGCTGTGTCATGTATATTGGCCCGTCGTATCCGCAAATTTCTGTAAAATGTGGAAGTGCTCCGCAGTGATCCAAGTGGAAATGGGAAATGATCACACAGTCAATGACCTTGTTGAAGTTCTGAGTTTTAGAGATATACGAAAAGTCTGGAAACCGTCTCTCGTCGTTAAAGCCCATGTGCATTCCGCAGTCAAACATTATTGTTCTTCCTCCAATGGTTGCAATAATGCATGACCTGCCCACATCTTGCCCTGCACCGAGTGGAATAATGTTCATCTAAGGGCATGTGCAACGTGATTATGTGTTATGAGTGTATTTGCTATTGCTTGATGTACCCTGATTTGATGAGTGAAATAGCTGTTGATGCAGAATTTGTAGATAAAAATGAGTTTAATAATAGCGAAGGTAATAGAGCACGAGCAAATAATGTGTTTTTACCAGGAGATGAATTGATAGATGCAGATGGATATATAAGAGGGCATGGAACACACATGAGAGGCAAAAGTATCACATCGACGTATTTTGGAAATATGAAGGTCACTAATAAGTTAGTTACGGTGGATCCTATTGTACCTTTGAAGTATTTGCCTCAAGTTGGGGATGTGGTAATTGGAAGAGTGTCTGTAATCCAGAGTAAGAAATGGAAGTTGGAGGTGAACAGTGCCTGTGATGTATGCCTTAGTCTTTCTGCAATTAATCTGCCTGGAGCAGTGCAGAGAAGGAAGCTTGAGTCTGATGAAATTGTTATGAGAAGTTTTTTTGATGTAGGCGACTTGGTTGTTTCTGAAGTGCAGAAGGTTAGTAAAGGAGGAATGGTGGCATTGCATGCAAGGAATGAAAAATATGGGAAGCTGAGTGATGGAATACTTGTTATAGTTCCGTACTTCTTGCTTGATTTACTAAAAACAAGATTTTTGAGTAGGAGTGGAATTGATGTGATAGTTGGATGCAATGGTTATATATGGATTGGTGCGAAAGACAAGTACAAGTCATGCCGTGATGTAAGCTGTTTGGCATCCAGTATAAGGAATGCAGTAGAGTTTGGGATGAGGATTGATATTGAAAAGTTGTTGTATAGCAATGATTGAGTAAAATGCTGTGCTTTTGAAGTTAGATTAAGCATATTTGATGTAATGAATTCTTAATGAAGTGGATGGATGAGAGTGTGGATGCGTGAATGAATTAGTAGATGAATAATTGAGATTGTAGATGAATTAGTTGACGAAGCCAACCCAGGATTCATGATAAAAGTTTCACCGGTGCAGAAAGGAAATGCATTACTAGAGTATCTTTCGAATGCTTCATGGCATTATGACAATGCAATAACACCGGATTATGAAGTGAACAATAGTGTTGGTATATTATTTCTATCTCTTAGATTTCATGTGTGCAAGCCTGAATATATACAGAAGAGAGTTCGAGCGATGAGACCATATAAGGTTAGGATTCTTCTTGTGCATGTTGATATTCCGAACTATGGGCAGATTGTCAGGGAGTTGTTTGACAGTGTTCCACTTACGATGGTGCTGGGATTTAGCATTGAGGAGTGTTCGAGATATGTGCGTGGGTTTGAGATTGCAGGAGGTAGATCTGTTGATGCAATAAGACGTGGGCAGAATGATAGCGAAGGCTTTTTGCAGCGAATTCCAAAGATTAACAAGACTGATGTTCAACAGATTGCTGGAGAATGTAGAACACTGCTAGAGTTTATTTCGAAGACGCCTGCAGAGATGGAGGATATACCAGGAATAGGAAAGTTAAAAGCAGAGGAGATATCTAGATTTCTAGACATGAGGTTTGAATAAATATATTATATTTGTAATCAAATTATACTTTTTATATACTAACAGATTGAGAAAAGTGATCATAGTGAATATCAAGAATTATTATATTGATAGGATATGATTATTAGTAGGTTGATATGACTAATAGTGGTTTATGAAAAGCAAGATGAATATGCCATAGGCAGTTTGTAGCAAATAATAAGTAGGTATAGATAATATATGGTGTATAAATTGTAAGTAAGAAGAAGTCCCTTTTGAAATGAATGAAGAAATGCCAAAACCAATTCAAGGACAAGATTTTGGTAACAGCTTAGACAATCTTATTGAATTAATAAATAATAAATCCGAAACCAACAAAAAAGTAATAGATGATTTATAGAGAAAAAATAAAAGAATGGTAGGCAATATTGAGTTTTTATATAAATGTTTAAAAGACCCAGAAATAATTAATTTAACAGTTGGTCACGAAATGGCTTTTTTGAATCGTTTTGCTTATGATAAATATCCAGATCCTACTAAAAATATGAGCCGATGAAGAAGGCATTTGATTTAATTCGAGCAGATAGGAAAAAGAAGTTTTTAAATGAATATTTAAACAATAACCCTAATTTGTTAAATTCTTACTATGAAGATATTAAATATAGCCTTTCTCCTGCAAGCGGATTTGAGATGACTATGAAAATACTTTATGAATCAGTTAGATATCATAAAATGGAAGACATTCTATTTGGTCTTGATGATGTGAACCGCCAGAAGATGTTGTACGTGATGTTGGATATAGTGAATCGTTCTGTTAAGTATAATAAGACTATTAAAAAACTGTGAAAAAATATACTAGTAGCGCAATTGAAGTACCTGGAATGTGAATAGTATTAGGATCAGTATCAACACACAGTTAATCTGATGAGGTTAAACTGCATAATGCAGATATAGTGAGTGTAGTGCCTGGACCTAATAGCATTGAGGAAACAAAGCAATCGTTTGAACGTGTTGATTCTGTGATAAAGAAGTTAAAGGATAGCGGAATTTTAACAAACGAAAAGATTTACGAATTATGTGAGGATTTGAATAATCGCATGATAATGAAAAATGCTAATGGTGAAGTGATGAAGGATGTGGATGTAGCGAGTATAAAGGAAGATATTGATATAAATATATGCATGAAGGTTGCCATATATGAGCTTACAAAGCTGGAGTGAAGCATAGATGAAAAGAATATTAAGCAGAATGCATCGTATAAAATGTTGATGATTATGTTGATATTAGCGAATCTATTCGTATATACGCAGAAAGATAAAAATGCAAATGGTATTGAATCGAATTTAAAACCACTACAGCCAGAAGATGAAATAACATCTGATATACAATGAATCATTGATAGATGACACAGTAAGTGATAAATAATAAAATGACTATATTTTATGTTTAGTATAGTATAATAGTATATGAGAGTGATTTGTGTGATATTGTGAGCAGTGATATTAAATGTTGTAATTAGATGCATTATAGCAATTAAATGAGGATTCGAGAACCTGATATTACTGACAAGAATATAAGGTAAATATCAAATGAAGAATGATTGCCCTTACAATGGTTAATAACAAAAATGAAAAAATTATAAAACAGGCAGAGTTGAGCGCACAAGAGAAATTGAAAGAAGTTATAGTGAATGCATCACTAACGGCATCGAATTCACCAGAAAGGAATGGAGAGGAAATGGCAGCATTTCTGAATGGAATTGAGGGTATTTGGAGAGATGAATATTATAATGAGTTGGAAAAAATGATAGATCGCATTGATGATCTAGTAGTGAAATTTATGGTTCTGAAAGAACTTAGGGAGCGTTTTGAAAAGGCAAAGCTAACAGTACCTGATTGGATTAAACAAAAAATCGATAACCCATTTAAAGAAATTGAACTTGTAATAACATGGAGTAATGTAGAAGCATTGGAGAAAGAGTTTAATGAATTCAAGCAGAAGATGACTGAAAACCAGTTTGAAGGAAAAAAACTATATTCTAGAATAAAAGAAATTATGCAACTTATTATAACACATTTTTATAAAAACAAGTCATTTTTGACTGAACTGAGTAATAGACTAAGTAAGCCAGATCAAACGTTTACAAAAGAAACTATAGCAATTATATGGAGTATCTATGAAGTTAATGATATTGTAAACTTGTTGCTAAATATAGAGGATGATAAAAGAACGATGATATTAGGGCAACTAGGGAATATACACAGAACGGATATATTGATTTATGTTATCTATTACTATTACTATAAAATAAAAGAAAAAGAAAAAGAAAAAGAAAAAGAAAAAGAAAAAGAAAAGAATGATACAAAAAAGATATTTTATGCGGTTGAAGATGATCCAATTAAAGAGTTGTTGAAGGATCGCTCTATTAACAAAGATGGTTGTGCTATTGATACAGATGAATGTATTAAGTTGATGAAAATGCTGAAGGAATCATCTGTTGGACTTGATAAGATAGCAAGGATGCTAGTTGGGATAGAAAGTAAGGATTCGACATACAATTTGATTACTTTGATGGGAATTCATACTGGATATGGTTATGTAGGAGATGTATTGTTGAGTATTAAAGATAAGGATAGAGAAAGTGGAAAGAATGGAAAGAATGGAAATAGTAGAGATGATAAAGATATAGAGTTCAAAAAAATGATTTGTAAGATTAAGGAGAGCGATATGATCCTGATTACAAAAATACTTTTTGGAATTAAGGATGTAGATAAGCTTAGGGAGTTTATTTATAGGATGCCGAAAGAGATTGAAGGACAGAAAGTAATGAAGAAATTGGAAGAGATAAGTATCGATGATGTGAATGATGAGTATGGAAATCCTTGGTGTATTGGATATGAAATGATTGCAGGATTGTGTGTATTTTTTAATCCGTATGTTATTGGGGAGATGATACCTGATATGAATGAAGATGAGATAATAACGGTGTTGAATAAGATAAAGATGATTAGCATAGAAGATTTGGATATGTTGGTGAGCTGTATTTATGATAAGGTAAATAAGATGAATGTATTGTTGAATAATGTAAAGAAGATGAATGTATTGTTGAATAAGGTTAATATTGATGATATGATTATTGATGCGTTGATGAGTAAATCAATTGAAGAGCAGAAAAAGATACTAGGGAATGTTAAGAATGAACAGTTGCGTAAGAAGATAATTGATGCAATCAAAGATAAAGAAGCAAATAAGAATGCATATGAAGAACAACAGAAATTATTGAATAAAAATAAACGAGAACAGAAGATGAATATGATAAATGTATCAATAATAACGACAGTAGTTGTTATGATGATTGTTGAAGTATTGATGAGTGTGATTAGTGTAATAAGTGCATTGATGAATGGGAATAAATGTAGTGATTAACAAGGTTATAACAACAATAGCGAGTGTGATGGTAATGCTGAGTGTGATTGCATATGTGATGAGTAGAAACAGATCTGTGTTGTATGATGTAGTGATGATAGGATGAAGTGTATGTGTAGCATTGATGAGAATTTTTACAATGTTTTATGAGTAACTATGTGAATATAATTAGTATAATGATGATGCTAATAAGTTTTATTATGGCAATAACGATTGTAGTAGCTTTTTTAATAGAAATAAGATTAAGAAGAGTAATGAAAAGAATGAGAGTGACAAAGATGTAATAGCTAAGAATGTGGTATTTTTAGTGGCAATTTGTTCATTTTCTGTGGTAATAATGGAATGTTGTAAGAGTAAAGTAGAAATGGTATAAAGTAATGTTAATGTAGTAATATGATATATAAGATGTAAAATAAATGATAATGAATAATGAATAGTTTGTGTATGATGTAGAGTAGAGTATATGTGAATGAGATGTACATAATGTTAGTAAATATGTGATAACATGGATGAGTGATTGTGAATTACACATTGATATATATTACATATATTGAGTTATTATAGAATGATTGTATTCTAGATTGAGTTGTAGGTTGTAACTGTGATAATCACAGATGTGAAATGAATTGTTTCAAAAGTCTCTCAACCGCAGATATAATGAATGATGATTAAGTTGATATGATGAGAATATCTATGCAATGTGCAGTAACATACAATATGTGTGATAAATTTGTTTGATGAGAATGATATTTTATAGATATTGCAAATGCTAGTGAATCGATATAATATCAGAAACAAATTACCCTCATAATGACGAATAATGATAAATCTCAAAATATTAGTAATAAAAAAAAATGTGTGAAGATACAATTGGAAATTCTGCAACATTTAGAACGTCTGGAAAACGAAAACCTTATAACATTTCCTAATGAATTACAAAAAATTAAGAATGATCTACCAGTCGAAGAGTGTATAAACCGTATTTATTTATACTTACTTCATATTTTTAATACAACCATGGCAGAACATGCTATTTATATGGCTAACCTGAAGGAAGAACAAAGTAGTAGTAATACAGAAAAAACCGAAAAAGTTTCTTTATGGTTTGACATGTGCTATCGTCAAACAAAAGAAATCGATTCTTATAAATTATTAAGGCTTTTCTATGAGTTTATCAGTTGTCACGAAAACGTTGATAACTCATATGTTTATAAGAACAAAGTTGATAATATTGATCACAAAAATCAAATGTACTTGGTTTACAGACTCACTGGATGCCTACAACAATATAATGATGAGTCTATTAAGGAAATCCAATTGGAAAAGGCTTTAAAATCTAGCGATATTTTGGAAATTTTGATGTGGTATATTATTAAGCCGTATACTAAAGAACACAAAAAATTCTACCAGGAAGTGATGGTGCCAGTGTTCTTAGAAAAGATAAAAGACGGAAAATGCATAAAGGATGGTAATGAATTTATTGATATCATATTTTCAGCTAGATTTGGTAATAAGGATAAAGAATTTGTTCATAAATATCATGATCAACTTGGAATGTTTGTTGATAATATTAACAACCGGTATTTAAGATCAATAATTCCTATAGAACTCAATGAACACCTAATGAATACGCATATAAGTCAAAATAGAATAGAATTATTATCGGGATTTAAAGCATGTCATTCTAAAATTAGCGAAACTTTAAAAGAAGAGTTTTCAGTAGATTGTATATTATGGATGATCAAAGGATCTGATAAAAGATTTTTTTTGGACTTGATTGGGAATGACAATGTTCAAAGATATATTGAGTGGTTTGAATCTTGTCTATCTAAAGATATATTAATAATAAACCAGATGAATATTTTATGGGATACTATTAAAAACATAGAAAAGCAAGAAAGAAAAGGCACAAAAAAACTAACTGAAACCATAAAAGATAAGTTTAGTGATACCATTGAATTAATAAAAAAGGACAATGATTGTATGTATTGGAAGTTACTATTATATACGTCTGAATTGATCGGATCTGAAAATATTTCTGAATGGGATGTAAAAGATTTGAACGATATATTTAAAGAATATGAAATATATTTTATGAAGAATATTAATAATACAAATAGTGGGAAGAAATTTAATCTTATTCGCAATCTACCAACCACAATTTTAAAAATCCTAATACGAAACCCATCATATACAGAGAAATTTAAAATACCAGATGAAATCTGTAATGAAATGATATTAAAGTATATGAAACAAGGGATTGGCGAATCAATCAAATACTTGTTAGAATGCATATTATGTGCTTTATGTGGATCAAAAAAGGATCATGAGTTTATACAAACATATATGGATGAAATTTATGATATGGTTTATAATACAAATATAAATTTTACAAAAGCAGTAATAGAATGCATATCTAAACATATTAAAAAAAAACATGATTTGGATTTTACTGGTACAGATAAAACGATAATAAGTATTTTTTTTAGTAATGTAGGCATTTTGCCTATTGAGGATAAAAAAGTGAATAAGGATAAACAGTCTGAGGATTTGTTTGATAAAAAGGTAAAATATATAATTGAAACAGCTAAAGAAGAGAAAAGAATGGAAGAGAAAAGAATGAAAAGAATGAAAAGAAAGGAAGAGGAAAGAATGAAAAGAAAGGAAGAGGAAAGAATGAAAAGAACGAGGAAAGAATGAAAGAACGAGGAAAGATGAAAAGACAAGCAGCAAGCAGGAATAGTCGGGATTCTAGACCTTCATATCTCAAATGATAAATTAAACTCTGTATCAACTTTTTCAATCCAAGTAGCGTCAAAAGAAAAACAAGAAAAAGTGCCACAAGTACAGCCAACTACATCAACAGAAAAAGAAATTCCTACGAAGAAGTCAGATAGGCATGTAAATTATATGGAAGAAATATATTATACGCCTTTAAGTAACAAAAACTATGATACCTTGATAGACCTGCAAGAATGTATAAAAGAATGGATTGATATGCTGAGGATATTTTTATTATTGATTGCAAAAAATGAATTTATAGAAAAGGAAAAGATATCGGAAATATTTAATGGAGCTAGTGATTGTAGTAAAGAGGCAAATGAATCAGGTAAACTAAATAAACACCGTCTATCAGGCAAGACGGTTAAATCAGGCAAGACGGTTAAATCAGATGAAGCAGCTAAACCAAGTAAATCAGATGGAAAATTGGATACTAATACAATTAGTAAAATAATAGACAATCTTGGATCAATAAAAGATGAACATGAGAATAATCATAGTGATAGTGATGATCTAGATAAAATAATTAATCGATTGCTTGCAATTAGAGATCATATTAATAATAATGAGCGATACCTGTACCAATTTATAGAGTGTGTTATTAGTCTTCAGAAATTAAAGAAGAACCGCCCTGGCGTATATGATGACGTATATGATGAAGGAAAAAAATTGTATGATGAAAGCAAAGATATTATATGCAGTAATATGAAGAAAAGTATTTTAAGTATTAGAGAGTTCAAAATTTTCAAAGAAATTGAGAACAATATTGATGAACAAATGAATAGTATTGGCAATGGTAATAAAAGTATTGAAATTAAAAAAGGAAAAGGTAAGAAACAAGGCAATGGTGCCACTGCCGTAGTGAATACAATCACAGATGATGAATATAAGAACATCATAGAAAATGTTGCGTTAATCATTTATCAAAAGATATTTACTAAACTTGATAATATTAATGACGAACAGATTGGTAATATTAAGGAAGAAAATAAGAAGATTATAAATGAACAGATTAATCCCAATATATCATATTTTGATGATATTATAAAAGTTGGTAATGAAGATAAAAATAGAAATACTGTGCTGATCAAAGCCAATGTAAGAACTGGAATGATATTTTATATACTATTTGTACTAACATGTGCTTATAAAATTATTGTTGATAAAGAGATAGAAGATAGACAAGCGTCACCTGCAGGTGAAGTATTGGAAGCAATATCTGCAGCTTGAGAGTATGATAAGAGTATATAAATAAAACAATTAATTACTATTATGTAGTTGTAATGTATTGAGTGTGATTGTATCTAATGAAATAGTGCATATATGATGATGAGAAATAATCTAGGCTTATTATTGGACCTGAGATTCTTATTTCTTTACGAATATAGTTGGATTGATGAATTCACTAGCAATAACATGTATACATGTGATTGTGTAGTATTGTGCAATTTTATTGGATGGAGATGTAATTGTATGAATATGGAGAATGAGATTATATGAATATGATATGATATCAGAAACGGGCTACCCTTGTCATGGTGAATAATAATGGTGGAAACAAGGTAAGTGAGATAATTAATGCGTTTACGAATGGAGATGATAAACAAAAAGATGTAGACCAAACAAGATTGATGGCAACCATAACAACCGAAATTTTCATGGAAGTTTTGAAGCATGATAAATTTGAAGATATAAAAAAGGTATTTTTTAAGAAATTCTTTGAGATTGATTCTGAAAAGATTATTGTAGACATTAATAAAGAGTGGATTGAATCAGATAAATATATAGAAAACGACAACTATAATGCACTAAATATTCTTTTTAAATGTATTGCAGATCCTAATCTTTATTCTGAACTTAAACCTAAGTTTAATAAGATTTATGAATATGGCATCAATATCTTTGATTCATTTGTGGGTAAAGAAATAGAAAGGTTGGAGAAAGATAAAGATGCTGAAAATGTTGAATCGATAATAAATAAAGATGCATGGTGTATTTTGTCTGTTGAAAAACATAAATTAATTAAACATAATGTAAGTAAGACATTGTGAATTATCTTGTAAATGATTATAAAGATACTAAATATTTGAATGCATGGGTAAAAGTAATTAGCACGATTGATCCAAGTGAAAATCAAAAGCTAACTGAAGAGATCATTGATAAACTTATAAATGCACACATATCGGAAGATAAAACGAAGGATTTTTGGGGTTTACATAATATAGATGACTATAATACTCAAAAGATAAATGATATACAACCTGATGATATTATAAAGTTTATAAGTAAGATTGATATAACTAAAGCAAAGCAAATTGGATTTTTAATGATTATGGTATGATGTAGTGATGATAGGATGTAATGCATTATTAATGGTAATGAGGATTTGTACAGTATTCATGAGTAATTATGTGAATGTAATTAGCATAGTGATGATAGTAATAAGTGTAGGAATGCTAATAACAAGTATAGTGGTGATTATAGATCCTAAGATTAATAAAGGTAAGAATAACGAGAGTAAGAAGAGTGGTGAAAAGAATGGGAATGGTAAAGGTATAATGACTAAGAATGCGATATTGATTGGATTTACATGTGTAATGATATTGAGTGGATGGATAGCACAGGTTATGGATATGAATAAGAATAATGAAACGAGCAATGAAATAATGCAAGAGTAAAGTGATATGAGAATGTATATAAAAGTATTAGTTAATAATAAATAAGTATCGAATAATTGATTATAGTGTATTTGAGAGATGTGTGGATATTATTGAGTAATGATGATATTCAGTGAAGTTCAGGTAATTATTAGCATAGTAGAATAATGTGAGATCATGAATATAAATAGATGTGAGATGATTTAGTTAGTGAGATAAAGATATTTATTATTTATTAATAGCATTGTGTTAGTGTGCGTAATTAGTCATATATCAACTTTATTGTTTTATTATTGACTGATCTGATTTTGATCAACTTACATTGGTATATCATCACCTCTATCCACTTAAACCATCATCAAAACTTGGCCTGTTATTTGGTGATATATTTTATTCATCTCCATTATGCTTATTAGTTTTTAATTGATTCTTCTCTAATCCAACAACTATATCTTTACCAAATTTATTTTTACATTTACAAAAAGCCTTTTCCAAGTCCTGGTATCCTGCTGTATTATTTACCTTATTGCCTCTTTTAATAAACTTACAACCAGTAATATCGATTTTTGTATACTTTTATTCTTTGCTAGTTTCGGTATTCGCCGCGGCAGTGATGTCATATCTATATCTATGTTACTGAAATCAATTATCTTCAATTGTTCATACCACTTAGTACCTTGAATTTTTCTATTTTATTAAGTTTTGGGTTATCACTGAGTTTAAGCAATGTTAGTTTTTTTCATCTGGTAATTGAACTGACTTTAAATAGGAACACTTTGTAACATTAATATCGACTACCCCATCTTCAATGCTTTTATCTGGTTCAGAGTTAAGTTTATATAGCATCTGTAATATTTCCATACATTTTAGATTTCCAGATACTGAAGATTTGTAAACTTCTCTGGAATAATAAGTGTTGTATTAAATCGAGTATCAAGAATAAGTTCACAATCCTTTAAATAAAGCAAAAGTAGTTTTTTGTACTTCTCTAAATGATTCAATGATCTGATTATACAATTTTTAAACGGAAAAATGTGATTATTTTTGATATCTTGATGTAGTAATTTTATAGTTCCCTYTTTATTTTTGAACGAATCTTGATCGATCATAACGTTATCTATCATATCCAATTTATTCATCCAAATACAACCTACGCATACCATGTACATCTGCATGCATATTGCAAATGTCTTGAGTGTTATCAATCTGTTTATTTCACTTATGTTTATGTATCTCAATCACTTTATACTTTTACATCAATATTCCAATATCTATGAACAAATACAAACTTTCTCTATGTCATATGTATATCTTTCATATTATATAATTGGTTGTTTACTGATAATGCTGCACATGATGAGTAGAGTGTGTTAAATGCTTTGAGAAGATCCCCAGATGGATACAACATCGAATGGATCGAAGATAGAATCCAAACAGTTTTCGAAGGCAGGTACTGGAGTTTATGTTGAAGACAGTGACGAGGATAATATTAGAGTGGATGTAGTGAGTGGGGAATATGATTCGAAGGAGTCGACAGGATATGTTGGACTGAAGAACCACCTTGGAACAACATGCTACATGAACTCGGTGATGCAGACGCTATTTGGAATAAGAAAGTTTAGGAATTACGTTTATGCACAGGAGCCAAAGGGAATAATGTTGTCTTTGCAAAGGTTGTTCAAGGCGATGCAAGAGAATAGGAAGATGGTTGACACGACGGATTTTGTTGTCAATAATGCATGGTTTGATAACATGCATGTGCAACAAGACGTCCATGAATTTTCGAAGATTTTATTTAATTCGCTTCAGAAAGATAGTGGAAACAAAGAGTTTATTGAGAAGCTTATACAAGGAGAACAGATAACCTACATCAAGGCAGATTGTGGATGTTTCCGAAGGAAAGAGGAGAAGTTCCAAGACATCCAGGTAGAGATTAAGGACTTTATGAACAATAAGTTGGACTTGAGTCTGATTGAATCACTGAAGAGATATGTGAAAACTGAGCGGTTAGAGGGGAGCAATCAATACAGTTGTGAGAAGCATGGACTTGTTAATGCAGAAAAGGGAGTGATGTTTGGAGAGCTTCCTCCAGTGATTTTTGTATTACTTAAGCGGTTCTATTTTAATCTTAATACTGAAACGAGATATAAATTAAATGATTATTTTGAGTATCCTGATGTATTGGATATGAAGCAATTTGTGGATGAGCAGAGAATTGATGGTTTAGAAGAATCAAAGAATGAGAATAGAGCTAATATGAATGAATATGAACTGTATTCGGTTATTGTGCACAGAGGAGATGTTGAGGAAGGTCATTTCTATGCATACCTGAAGCATGGAGGAGAGTGGTTGAAATTCAACGATGGAGTTGTCACAAAGAGCAGAAAGGAGGAAGTGATGGAGGGGAACTTTGGAGGCAAGCATCCGTATAAAGATATAATGCGTGAATATTCTGGGTATTATCTTGTATATATCAGGAAGAGCATGATCGAAGAGATCTTGAATGATAATGTCACTATAAAAGTATCAAAAGAAAAACATGAAGAAGTAGCAAAAATTATAGCGAAGGTAAATGGACAAATGAAGAATATAATACCAATAGTTGCAGCAGTGTTACTGATAGTTGCTGAAGCAGTGATTACAGGAATGAGTATAATGAATGCATTGAAGAATGGAAATGAAATATTTGATAGAGTGGTTATTAACAAGATGATTATGGCTACATCAATTGTGTTAATGATTATAAGTGTGGTTATGTATTTAATGAATGAGAAAAGGACTACTATATGGTACGATGCAGTCATGATAGGATGCAGTGCATTACTAGCAATAATGAGAATTTGTACAATAGCTATGAGTAATTATGTGAATATAATTAGCATAATAATAATAGCAATGAGTGTAGCAATGTTAATAGGAAGTGTACTAGCGTTTATAGGTTCTAAGAATAAGAATACTGAGAATAAGAAGATTGATAAAAATAATGAGAATGGTAAAGCTATAATGGCTAAGAATGCGTCCGTGATTTTCTTTACATTTTGTGTAGCAATAACAGGATGGTCAACACAGATTATGAATATGGTTAAGAATAGTGAAATTAACAATGAAATATTGCAAGAGTAAAGTAAGGTTAATAGTTAGATATAATATATAAAATAAATAGATAATGAATAGTTTATGTATAATGTGTATATGTAAGTGAGTATAATGTGATAACATCAATGAGTGATTGTGATTAAACATTGATATATTGCATTTACTCGACTACCACTAAATGATTGTGTTCTAGATCATAGCTTTGATAATCACAGATGTAAAATGAAGTTTTGTAAATAAATGTGACTAAACCCAGTAGATCAAAAAGCATGAAACTAAGAGTATGATAAGCACTGTAAGTGATAAGTAATAAAATGATTATTAGATTGTGAGTATGTTTGGTGGAATCGGAATCTAATTTAGTTTAATGTGTTGTAATATTGTGTTATGATTGTTTGTACATTTATGAGAATGCTGTTTTATGATTTACTGAGCAAGCAAATAAAATGGATATTGTAATCTTGCTGATTACTATGATATTGTTATTGAATTTTGTAGATATGACAAATTACAGTGGAGCAGCCCTTGGATGAACCTGGATGTGTTCAAGAAGTACAGGAGTTTTATTGGAGATAATGAGTTTTTCAGAACGTTCATACCAGGCTATAAAGAGATGGAAACCGGAGAAGCAGAACTTGCAGAGCCTTATGTGTTTGAAAGCAACCCAAAATACATTCAGGTAGAGTTGAGAGATTATCAAATTGAGGGACTGAACTGGCTTGTTAATATGCACGAGAATTCGATCAATTGTATACTTGCAGATGAGATGGGTCTTGGAAAGACATTACAAACAATTTCATTTCTTGGATACATCAAGTATGTGAAGAAGGAAGAAAACAGACATTTAGTGATTGTGCCTAAATCTACACTGAATAACTGGAAAAGAGAATTTAAGAGGTTTATGCCGAAGTACAAAGTGCGAGTGTTCTACTCATCACGAAAGGAGCTCAAGCAGTTGATGAAAGAACTCAAGAATTCTAAATGGGACGTGTGTCTTACAACTTATGAAATGTGTATAGGAGCCAAGAGTATGCTGAGTAAAATAGAATGGTCTTATATAGTGATTGATGAGGCACATAGAATAAAGAACGAGCATAGTCTTTTGAGTAAGATAGTTCGAGTCTTTCCTTGTGAGCACAGATTGTTGATTACAGGTACGCCTCTTCAGAACAATGTGCATGAACTGTGGGCATTGTTGAATTTCATTGTTCCTGAGATTTTCAATGATTCTGAGAAATTTGAAGCATATGTTGTACGTAGTGATTCTGGAGAAAGCGAAGGAATTGCAAAGATCAGGAGTGTGCTGCAGTTGTTTTTTCTACGAAGAGAAAAGATTGATGTGGAACGAACTCTGCTTCCAAAGAAGGTGGTGAATCTATATTCTAAGTTGTGTCCTATGCAACATGAATGGTATAAGATGTTGCTGAAGAGAGATTTATCACCACTTGGAGGAAGTAGAGACATCAAAGGGATGCTTATGAATGTTGTAATGCAGTTAAGGAAATGTTGCAATCATCCTTACTTGTTTCCAGGTGCAGAGCCTGAACCTTACACGAATGAAGAGCATATTGTTGAGAATTCTGGAAAGATGCAGCTTCTTGATAAATTGCTAACAAATCTAGCAAACAAAGGCTCGAGAGTGCTTATATTTAGCCAGATGTCAATGATGTTGGATATTCTTGAGGATTATTTGGTGTTAAGAGACTATGAGTATTGCCGGATTGATGGATCTACTCCTTATGAGGAGCGTGTTCAATTCATAGATGAATTTAATGCTGAGGGAAGTAAGAAGTTTGTGTTTCTACTGACTACAAGAGCAGGAGGATTGGGGATAAACCTGTGCACGGCAGACACTGTGATTTTGTTTGATTCAGATTGGAATCCGCAGATGGATTTACAGGCACAAGATAGAGCACATAGAATAGGACAGAAAAAGCAGGTTATGGTGTTCAGATTTATATCTGAAGGTACGATTGAGGAGCAGATTGTGTACAGATCATTGCAGAAACTACGCTTGGATGATATACTACTGCAGGGCAAGAGTAAGAAAGGTGCACCGAGCCAGTCAGAGCTGATTGACATTCTTGCGAGTGGGATAGAGATTACAGATTCGTTTGTGAAGGATGAAGAGATTGAGGAAGTAATAAAGAAAGGAGAGGAAAAGACCAGGGAAATGGACATGAAGCTTGATGAGTTTAAGATTGGAGATGCATCTGAAGCAGGACTTGATTGCTACAAGTGGGAGGGTGAGGATTACAATATCAAGAAGATTGATAGGTTTGTTTCAAGCAATGCTGAGAGCTATGGAAGAATGTCAAGAGTGAATTTATTGTTTGCACAGAAGCCAAAGATTATTGAATACCAAGATTATCAGTTTTATCCAAAGGAGCTGAAAGAACTGAATGAGAAGGAACTTCGGTTGTACAAGGAGGGTAAGGAACTCAATGAAGATGAACAGAATCTAAGGAAGCAGCTTTTGCATCAGGGATTTGATTGGACAAAGAAAGATTTCCAGGCATACTTGAAGGCCATGGAAGTTGTTGGCAAGGATGATGTTGAGGCGATTGCTGCATTGGTAGGAAGCAGAAGTGATGTGAAGGAATACCACAAAGTGTTTTGCGAGAGAATAGATGAGCTGAATGATGCAGAAAAGATAAAGGTGATGATTGAAAGATCGATTCGTAGAATCAAGAAGAAAGCAAGGATTAGGCAAATCCTAGAGGAAGGCATGGATGTGATTGAGATGCGGATGAAGCCCAATATGAGCGAATATGATAAGTTTTTATTGAAATTGTACAAGAAATACATTGATGAGCCGATGTGGCAGGAATGTGTTGCCATGGATGTGCTGAAAGCACCTGAATTCCAGTTTGATTACTATGTTTTATCTAGAACGGCATCCGATATTTTCAAGCATGTCAATCACTTGGTATCTGCACTGATTAGGTCATTTAATGAAAATAATAAAACATGATTGTTACTGGATAAGCAGTTGTCTAGAAGCAGTCAAAACAAATGAATCTTAAATAAAACATGAATATGAGTATCTATTTATTTGATGTATGTAATGCGCTGTGTGTTTATGGATCATTATTTGATGTATTAATTGGCATACAACTTTTAGACTCGTCTTTCTGCGCCTGTAATTCCACATCGACCCAACTTTTCATTACTAATTGCTTGACTCTTTTTGCATATGCATCAGGATCTGATGAGAAAAGAGAGGCAGCATCCAGATTTGCAGGTGACTTTGTGTTCGGATCGTTGAGCAACGATTGTATAGAGATGAGAACACCCATTACATCATAGCTTGGATTCCAGCGGTTGCTTAGTATGTCTAAGCAAAGATCACCGCTTGGATAGATGTTTGGATGGAACATTTCAGAAATGAATTTTACATTTGGCGGATCTTGAGGATATGACTCTGGAAACTTGAGCACCAAACTGAATGTTCCTGACTCAAATGGAGTTTCTTCTGGACCAAACACAACGGCTACCCATGTCATGAGATCATCCTCGAGTGGTTCTGCAAATATTGTCTTATCTAGACTCGTTCTGACTGTTCTCAAGTCTTTCATGAGTCTTCTTTTTGCAGGCGTAGACATTTGGGGGTGTTGTATGCGATGCATTTGCATAAAGATCTATCGCATGTTATGCTGACTTTGTATGTTAAACTCTCTTACATATTGAATGATATGATATGCTACAAATGCTGAGAAGACAGTGCAATGCTGAATGCCAAGACAAAACTTGAAAAAATTGCTTTGTGCAGAGGCCCTGAGAGATGGTGAACATTCCAAAGACAAGGAATACGTACTGTAAGAAGTGCAATGGATACTCCAATCACAAGGTTTCACAGTCAAAGGCATCGAAGCGTAATCCAAATGCGCAAGGAGAAAGGAGATACGCAATAAAGCAGAGAGGATACGGAGGACAAACAAGGCCTGTCCTGAGAAGAAAGGCAAAAGTTACAAAGAAGTTTGTACTGAAGCTGGAATGCACCACCTGCAAGTTTGCACATCAGAAACCTCTTAAGAGAGCCAAGCATGTGATACTGGGAGGAGAGAAGAAAACAAAAGGAGAAGCATTGATTTATTAAAGACAACTTCTTTTGAATTTTGTAATGCCTTGAACAAAGGCTGTGTAATAATATGCGAAGCAACAGCGCTTTGAAATACATATCTTTTGAAAATCTGTGTGATATTGAGCATGTTTAACCCCTTGAAAGATGAACATGTCTCCAACAGTTTCTGCAATGCTTGAGGAGAGATATCCAATTGATATTTGCAACGGATTGTTAAGGAATGTTACGCCATATGGTATTTTTGAGCTTATCAGAGATATAAAAGATCCCGAGCATCCATATACACTGGAACAATTAGGTGTTATATCGAAAGAAGACATTCACATCGAAACTTTTGAGTGCGATGGAATTACACCTGATGTTGGGCTGCCTATATTATGTGTCTGCGTAGAGTTCAAGCCAACTATTCCGCATTGCTCCATGGCAGCAATAATAGGACTTTGCATAAAAACACATCTTGATCGTTTCATACGAAATCATGCAATAAGCGTTAAGATTGCAGATGGTGCACATGTGAATTACAAAGCACTCAATAAACAGCTCAATGACAAGGACAGAGTCATGGCTGCATTAGAAAACGAGGTATTGATTGATTTGATGAAAGAGTGTCTTCCAGATGTGTTGAATCTATCGAATGGTGAATCACATGTAAAAGTAACAAAGTGAAGTATACAGCTGCATTAGCCATCAAAGAAGTCTGATTGCATAGAAGAGTCTCTGAACTGCTGTTTGCATTTATCAAATATCCTGAACTCATGGCCGTTTTCACTGATTGCCATGACACATGCAACATTACCTGATGAGTAACAATAGTTCGGAGCACCCCATATTGTGAATAGCTTGTCTCTAAAGAATGACTTGTACCCGTCGTTCACCAACTGATGTGATCGTACAACATGGGAAAACCTGTTTGATTCAAGAAAGTCATCGATTGTGTCTTCTCCAAACAGATAGCCTGCGCCTCTTGGATTTTTCCTATATCCTGGCTCTTCATCAGGATCACTCCACAATAGATTACTCAACTCAGTAATTTCACCAACTCTATCAATACTCGTGATGAAGTCTAATGTTATTCCAGGCACAAGTCCTCCATGAACACAGAAGTATTTTCCAGAAACAACTGCAGCGATTGGAAGGTATTGAAATGCATCACAGAATCTCCAGTATGTTGTAATGTCATATTTCCTTATGCATTCGTCCCTGAATCCATATACAGCAGATAGCATGCGTGTTTCGTGGTTTCTTCTAAGAAGGTGAATTTTATCCGGATAGAGAATTTTATATGTAAACAGCAACAATATAAGATCCACTGAGTCATATCCTCTGTCTACGTAGTCTCCAAGAAACAGATACTGTTGAATAGAAGGATCGCCCATGAGATCCAACATGTTCAAGAGATCGTAGAACTGGCCATGAACATCACCTACAACATTGACCTGTGCTTGTATTTGAATAACATTTGGTTCTGAAGCAAAAACTATCTTTACATCATTTATCAGCATCATGGCCTCGCTTCGTGTAGGCAATACTGAGTTCTGGATGGACCTGAGGATTTTTAAGTAACATGGGCTTTCATGCTTGGAATGCATTGACGATGGGTGGAACGCAATCAATATTGATGAATGTGTGGCTATTTATACTCAATGTAAACAGTTGGCTAAGATTGAAACCTATTGAAATTGAAACAAGTTTTGAGAAAAATATTTAGATGCATGAGGAAATAAGGGGAATGATAAGAAAACTCTGGAATATTCTGAGTCTTGTGGCAATCATGACTGTTTACTTTTCATACATTACTGCAACTTGTGGATTGATTTTTGTGATTGATCTAGTGATGCCTCGGTGTCTGAGCAGAGATGCTATTGTAAAAACTGCAAAAGTAGCATGGCTAAGCCTTACAAAGACTGCTCTGCATGGATATTTCCCAGGAAAGGTGTTTATAAGGTACGACACTGCAATTCTTGATAATAAAAGGAATGTTGTGATCTCAAACCATCTGACTGAGTATGATTGGCTGTTTATTTCGTGTGTTATGCATTATTTCGAAAGGTTTGGCGATATGTACATTATACTGAAGATGTCTTTAAAGGACATTCCACTGTTAGGATATGGAATGAGATTCTTTGAGTTTATTTTTCTGAATAGAAGGTTGAGCAAGGACAAGGAGTTGATTATGTCTGGAGCATCGAACCTGAAGAAGAAGACAAGATATGATCTTCTGCTGTTCCCTGAAGGAACGTACATAGACAAAGTCTCGCATGAAAAGTCGCACAAGTGGGCACAGAAAGGCAGTACAACAGTTGATGGGCATGCATTTGATCCTGAGGAGGTGATATTACCAAGGACAACTGGATTTGATATTCTCAGAGCAGGTATGAAGGACGATATGAATGGGATTCTTGATATAACGATTATTGGAAATCCTTATGCAAAATATCCAAACGATGTGTATTCATACACAGAGGTTTTGGTGAATAAATCATGCATGGTGAACTTTGTGTTCTTCCTTGATTACATTCCAAACAATGATGATATGGATTCGAAAGAATTTTTGTTGAAAAGATTTGAAAGAAAAGAGAAGATGATTACACAGTACAAAGAAATAAAAGGGTGTGATAGGATAGAAAGTATGGATGAGTTCCGCAAAATTGCTGATATGTTGTGTGATACACGAGTAGAATACAAAGATATTGAAATTGACTTATCATCTCGATGGGGCCCTTTGTTCTATGCGATGTTTGTATTTGTGTGGATGATGATTGCAGGATGGCTTGCCAAGTGGATTTGGAAATAAATTTATTTTGTGTATGCATTAGAATGAGAATGTGTTAAATATAGAATTGTCAATGCTGTTAGTTCTTACATCTGTAGCGGAATAGAAGGATCTGGATGGTAAGGTTCTGTTTCATGTGGTTTATAATTACATACGAACAGTAGATTGGATATGGAAGGAATACAAACAGATGGCTTAGTTGAGACTGGTATTTTTGAAAGGATCCAGGCGCTTGTAAGGAACTCTGAAGATGGAGACTTCAGGTTTGTTAATCCATGTACATCAAAGAAGAGTGATGCATTAACAACCAATACAGCTAAACAATACACGGATACATCTAGTGAAGATCCAGTTGTTGATATTGGATGTAGTCGATTGAATCTGTGGAGAATTTCGACTCAGATAGTCGTTTTTGGGCAATGCTGGAACAACAGCACTGAGAACATTACTAAAAGAAATAATAAGGATGAGCTGATTACGTTCATGAATTCCAAGTACGGAGACAGATGCATGATATGGTGTTTTGAGGACATATTCTCAGGCTCATATAATATCCAGAAGATGCCTTTGCTTGATTTTGATCTTGGAGTTGCATATAGAATGTGTTGTGCAGTCAAATGCTGGCTGGACTTCAATTCGAATAATGTGGCAGCATTCGAGCTTAAGCATGGAGATAATGGCAGGTTCAAGTTTGTGATTGGATGTATAATGAAGTACTGTGGAATAGATGGAGATGATACTTGTATGGATGATACCTGCTTTGATTCTTTTCAGTCTTCTTTGATGAATGTAAATACAGTTAGGAGGTACATTAAGTATTTTGAATCAGCAAGCAATATGAAATATGAAGGAAATCACAACATTGTTTTGAAGCAGTTGATAATTACTACAATTCCAGTTGCACATTCTACTGACTTTCAGGTTGGTATTTCAATTAATGGAAAAGGCAGAATGTTGTACATTGCTCAGGAGGCTACTTGTGATGAAGATGCTGCTGGCTATGATTATGATGTTTACAGAGATGAAGATTATGTGGTGTTTAGTGAGATCGGATGCAATGTATCGGAAGATATTCAAATAGAAATGTGGTACTATTCGAATGAGAAACAGGAGAAGGTGCTGAGCCTTAGAGTCAATCCGCTTTTCTACAGACAAGGTGTCTACAGATTTACTCTCGATGACATGGAGCTTATATTACCAAGAAGCAGGTTCCAGGATGATTTTTCTGTTGATTTAGTGCTAGTTGAGTCAGGAAGGATGGAAAAAAAGAGCCTGTGTTTTGACAAGATTGACCAAATACAAGGCATCAAGATGCTGAATGATGGATTCTGGAGGGATTATGACAGAAAGATTTATGAGCGACTTGTTTCCCAGGGAATCAATGAAGTTGTATCAAAGATCTGTGCATATATGAGATATGATACACACAGATGTTCAGAATTCACACAAGATCTAGAGTCAAGAGGAGTATGTACCAATCGAAACGATTCTTGTGTCTCTGGTCATGTAGGAATGATGTTATTTTGTAGGCAGAACAGTACTAATGGACATGATGTTGAGGATACAGATAGAAAACAAGATGAAAATAACAACTGCACGGATGACAGCAACATCAAATCATCTTGTATTAGCAGCAATACAGATATTGATGTGCGAAAAGAATTATATTCAGTAGAAGTGGAATGCAGTAAACTACGTTTAATAGAGCAAATCAACTGCGAAATTCCAATTATAAGTACAAGAAAGGTTATATCAAAGAAACAGATCATTCGAAAAAAAACTAATTGTGAAGATAAAGCCATCAGTAGCATGGAGATGGTAGTTAGAAAATCACTGCACATGGTTCCATTAGCAAGAGTAGATGGAACGATATTTAGTGAGTGCTCCAACATTGATATCATAATGGATCTGAATATGTTTGAAGATATGCTTTGTGAACCTGTTGAAAATATGAACAATACAATTAGCAATCAAGCAATAGCAACAAGCGTTATAGACAGTAATAGATTATTTTTAGCTTCATTGGCATTGAGACACCTTGAGCTTAAAGGAATCACACCTGAAAACATTTATGTGTTCTTAGAGTCTCCATCTAGCCCTCTAGAACTTCAAGATTTGTTGAACATAGAAAAGATATATCCAAATAGTACGGAGGCATTGAGTCTGTCATTAGCACCTCCAGAGATGCTCAATGAAGTTGAAGAGTCAATGCTCAGGTACTCGCGCTATGTAGATGCGCTCAAGTTATTGGATATCTTGATATTTGAGAGAAAGCTTTTCAATGAGATATTCCTGATGGAGGATGCCTTGATTGAGCTTCTGATGCTGTACAACCGTATTATTGATAGCCATGGACTAAAAATTCTCATGAAAGCTGTTCTTGAAATATGCAATGCCATAAACTTCAAGTACTCAATGACCCGAAAGAAAATACCTGGATTTCGTATTTCTAGCCTGTGTGTATTCAGTGGATACAAAGGAAAAAACAATATGTCGCTGTTTCCTTTTCTATTCCATGTGATGGAAGCGAATGGAGTTGGGATTGGCGATCTACTTGATGAGTTTGCAACCATACATGAACTTAAAGCTGAAGAATTGCCTAGAATCCGTGAGAAAATCAATTTGTTTATTGAGATGTACACAAATAATCTCTGTGCGCTGAATGTTATTGATTCAAAGCATCAGAAGGCATATTCTGGATTTTTCTTATTTGCATGTAATAAGTTAGAATGTGTAGTGAATATGTATAAAGAATGTAACCTGAAATCAGGCATAATCAAACACAAATTTGGAGACCATGACGATGGCAAATGCACAAGTACCGTTCTAGTTGCTCTATCTGAGTTTCTGCATAATATGAAGATGCATTTTGAAATTTACAGTAAAAGTAAGAATGTTTGAAATCAAGAAAGTAAAGTGTTTGAGTCAATAAGGTAAAAGTGGATGATTCAGTCAAAACATAAAATTGATGATTCAAAAAGTAAGATTATAAGTAGATGATAATTCAACCAAAACAATAAATGTATATGTGTATGATTCAAAAATCAGGAATATATAAGAGTGAATAATTCAACTTAAATGGCAAAGTGCAGTAACATAAGTCAATCAGAATATAAGATTGTATAACTCAAACAGCAGAGATATAAGCTAATTAGAAAAAAGAGTGAATGAGCCAACCAGAACACAATAAATGTGAATGATTCAACTAAAACCATCAAATAAATTTAATTAGATTTCACTTCATTCTTGAAACCATAATAAATCGTTAGATAAATATATTTAATCCATGTAACAGCTTATCTAAGCACTTCCAGAATATGTCCGGCTCTGTTTCTATTCTTGTCATTGCCATGCTTCATCACATTATGCAAAAACTCCTTGATCCATGGATCATCCAATCCAAAGTTCTTTCCATACATCATAACAAGGTCATCAATCAGTCCAAGCATTTGCTCATGCACCCGTCCATTTTCATCACTTGCATTAATTACATGTGCTATGCTCAATATCCTTGGCACTGCACTCCTTACTTTCATACAGTCTCCAACAGCAACCAATGAGCAGTTCACAAGCTGAAGCGAATTCTTGCGCAGCTCCTCAACATAATCCTTATCATAACGAAAGTCAAGCTCAGCTATCTGCGAGAACAACATTGCAACCATCTCAACATGTGGTTCAAATCCCTTCTCCAATGCCAATGCTATGTCTCCAAACACAGATAGAATCACGGGCTTCAACTCCTTTGGCGTAGACTCAGATCCAAGGCACTGTCCCAATAACGGCATAATGACGCTTGCTATTATACTAAAGTCAGTTCCCATGGTGCTTGCAAGCCTTCCAACAAGATTTATCACAGAATTCAGCACAAACTTGTCTGTGCATTTCATATCACGTATGATGTATGGCAACAGGATCGATACATGTGGTACAAATTTTGTTGATAAATTAGACACACTGATGTAAACTTCTCCAAACGCTATCGTTGGTGTAGACTCAAGAATCTTCAAAAACACTCCCATCACATCCTCAACTCCATCAGTCTTCCTAGACATTGTAATCGCCTCAATAAGACCTATGTAGTTCGACAAAACATCCTCAACAACTAATATCTGATCCTGAGTTGCATGACCAAGCACCCCAACACACTCATCTATCTTCCTAGCTGTGTATTCATAAAATCCACTCAATATGCTCTGAAGCATCGGCGGACATACAGAAATCAGCGAGTTCAGTGCAGAAAACAGCGCTATTCTCAGCCCAGAGTCATTTAGACTAACCATCTCTGTTCCTTTCACCAACATATTCACCACATCAAGATACTGCTTCACGAGAAAAATCTCCACAAATCCATCAGCATTTCTCTTAATGTCTTTTGGCAAATGCTTTGCATACGTCTCGTTTTTCCTCAATTTATAGACCGAATCAAACACACAGTTCATCACCCATGCTGCTCCCATAGATGGCTTCGAACCCTCAAGAACAATCCCTCCACACTTGCTGATGATCGCAGGCAGATACTCAACCAATGCATAAAAGTTGCATTCCGCTGCCTTTGATAAGGCCCACAGGCATGATTCCTTCGATTCTTCAAAATTTACTCCGCCCACAAGCTGAGGCATCACCATCACCAGGTAATCTTCACACTCCTCACACATAATACTCCCTAATGCTATTGCTCCAATATCCACATCAAGTCTTACACTCGATCTTAGGGACGACTCTATAAATCCCCACACCACTTCGCTCTTCATCAGCTTGTTGCCCTTTATTTCTGTATACATTTCAAGGCATGAAGACGCTGCCTTGTGAGAGGTCCATCCATCGGCATTATATTCTTCTCCCTTCGAAAGAAGTCTCAGAATCTCAGGTAACACCACCGGTAGATACTTATCAATTATCCAATCATCCTTTTTCTCTGCAAATATACACCAGTATTCAATTGCCTGAACCTTAATTTCATCAGAATTAGATTTGAAAAATCTTCCTAGATACTGAGATAGCATATCCTCAAGCATTCCCTTCTCAGTATAATTGTAATACAACATCACCATCCTATTGAAGCATATCATCGACTTATGAATCAGTTCGTCATCAGATCCATTCCATATCCCCATCGTTGCATCAAGAAACACTCTCATATCCTCGGCTCTACAGAACATTCTCGGCGCTTCCATGCTGTTCATTAAGCACTTCAACCCTGCTAACTTCCTTCTGCTATTCGTTCCATTAATCAATGCATATATGCACGTCTCAAACACCATCCTTACTATCCGCTCTTCAAATACACCTGGCGCTTCCTTTGCAATATAACTTGTGCTCACTCCAACTGCTTCACACACTCCCTCTATCTTGTCATCTTCATTCACCTTCATCCGCATCTCTTCAAAAAACCTTGGATCAATCCCATTCTCAACCTCAATCCTTGCAATGTATCCAAGAATCGCTCCCGCCATCACACAGAACCTCGGTACATATCCTTCAAGCGCCTCCTTTAGCATTCCTTTGATATACTCACGCACCCCTCCATCAAGGCTTAACCATCGGTTCAAACACATCCTTTGAAGTTCCACATCATTCGCATGCACCGTATTCTTGAAAATAATCCCTGCAACCATCTTCACCTGATCATTTGTATTCACATCGCAGAAAACCTCCGCAAGAACCGGCACGAATCTGCCAAAATCATTTGCTTGCAAGTCCAAAATCCGTGCCTCCGATTGCTTTCCTGTTTGTGCATCAGATCTCAACACATCATAAAGACATGCCTCCAATTCCCTTCTATCCATCTTATGAGGGTGATATTTTTTGTCCATACATCTTCACTTCTACTACTTCACAGATACCTTTAACTATGCTCAACTCTATAAGCTATTAAGCCATAAGCATAACAAAATAGCACAAACCATAAACACAAAACATATTCATTGACTCTATTACTCACATAGCACAATCTCTACCCTCATAATGCACTACTTGTTCATTATCACTCCTTCATCTCATATACAACCTTCTCCCCAACCTCAACCTTCACATCATTTCCATTCAGCTGCACATTCACTCCTAACTTGTACTCATCATCTATCGCATATAAAACTCCTTTCAGCAGGCACGCTCCATCAATTTCCTCAAAAACATCAACCTTGCATTCATACTCAATAATCCCTGCACACATCAAAACATACTCAACTAAAAACTCATATCCAAACTCTATCCTCCTTCCTGCCTCAAAAACCTTAACTGATCTTTCATGCATCCCTCTCATACATTCAAATCGCATATCTTCAATCCTCTTCGATTCACATATCCTTTCAAAAACAACATGCATGCAGCTGCATCCATGCACAACTGCATCCACACATCCTGCTTCTCCTCTCTCAATAATATCTACTTTCTTACACATTCAATTCCACAGGGGTACACTCTATCTATTAATCCTCATGTGTTCCTTCATATTCACTTTGCAAAATGTTTCACTATTCCATCATACATCTCATCAATCACTTTGCTATTTGCTATCTTGCGCACCTCATCAAGTCTCTCTATGTTCTTTTCTTTCCTAAAACTCCCTCCGCATTTACATGCATCGCTCAACCTTCTCTCTTTCACTGCTCCACACCTTGCACAATATGAATCTCCACACAGCTCTAGTTTTAACAGATTCTTTGCATATCTCATGCACTCCTCTAAAATAACATCAGGCGCGTATGCTCTATAGCACCGAACACATCTGGACTTCATCGTGCTTTCAAATCCACATACAGGGCATATCACCATAATCCTTGCTCGAGTTTGCATCTTCTCTTCAAACTCACTTATTCTCAACAACTTGCAACAGTTCGTTATCATCCACTGCATACCCTGTATATGAGCCAATATCTCAATCATCACTCTGCTGCTTTCAGCTGGCACCCTTGTCACAAGCCTGTACACCATCTCACTGTCAATCTCCTGATCTCCAAAAATCATCTTCAAAAAGCTCTTGGGCACATTGCTTTCGCTGAATCCAACATATTCTCCTTCCGAGACAAAAAAATACATGTTTGGATTCACAAGGATTAGTCTCTCAAACATTCTGCATATCTTTATCTTCATCATTTCATATCCTTCAATGCTCGTCACCTTATTACGCATATGCTCAAAAAAATCAATTGCAGATTTCTGGCTCGTCTTTCCAGTATTCACAAAAATCGTCTGTCCAGCCACGAGAACTACCCCATACTCATCGTCACACAATCTCTTCACAAGATTCATCACATATCTTCTCTTCAACAGCTTACAAACTCCTCGAAGGTCTCCACTTATTATCTTCGATCGCCTGCTGATCCATATCTCAATTCCCTGCACAATAACCTTCGCTCCTTGATCACCTCGTGCACAGTCTAACACAATCTTCTTCAGGAGCCTCTGAAGCACAACAAAATCCTTTCTCTTCACTCCATCATACAGGCCCTCCTCTCCAAGATACTCATTATGCTCAAGTATTGCAAGAACCATCGCTCCAACACACTCCATCTCAACCACATATTCTCTATACAATCCAGCCTTGAATTTTTCATTCAAAGCATTCTCCATCACATTCTCCTCAGTCCCATATCCATCACATATCACTTCTTCATTCTTCAACTCCTTGTAAAAAAGTAGCTCCAAAAGCTCCTCATCAACATTCATAACAGGCACCTTTGTATATTCGCTTGCTGCAAATATCATATCCATCTCCACTCCAATCTCTAGATGCTTCTTCTTTCTTTCCTCACACTTCCTCTCATATCCTCCAATGCACAGACCAAATCCAAATACTCTTTCCACAACATGTCGCTTCACAAGCATCTTTCTCAGTCCAACCTTGCACACATCATCAGATCCAATAACAAATACCTGCCATCTTCCAACACATCCAAGCAAATACTTCTTCAGTGCATCATCTCCATTAAGTATCATAAAATTATCTTCTTCCTTTCCAATAAGATACACCACTCGTCCATCATGCATAAATCCACTCAGTAAAGTATATCTCATCTTCCCTCCATCGCACTCCTTCATGTTTCCATACAATACAGGCACTTCCTCTTCAAAAACCCTCTTAATTGAAAAATGACTCAGGAACTTCTTGTACAATGCATAGTTATTTCTAAACTCATTCTCATTTAGCATCAGCATCCCCACATCCATCTGCTCTCCATCACTCAAAAACCGCTTTACTATCTTAACCCGCTCAGATCCCTCAAAAAACTGCTTACCATTTATCTCTATATATATGTATCTCACAAGCTCTTTTCTTTCTGCTTCATGCTTATTAGCATAAAAAACATCTAGAAAGCCATCATTTGTTGCATTAACTCTAACAATATCGCCCTTATGTAGAAAGCTCCGTACACCATCCATCCATTCTGCTCTCATCCTTTGAAAATACTCAATAACACCTTCACATTTGGAATTATTCGCTGTCACTATCTCTGTATATCGTTCTCCGTCATTAGCTATTTGTTTATATCCTTCATTTTCCTTAACTACATTTCCATTAACTACATCATTCATACACTCAACAACACTCTTCTTACTGCCAATATCCTCAATGTCCCGTACCTTCACAAAATCAAAATCAAAGAGTACTCCCTTCTTCACAGCCCATTCAGGCACATTTACATCGCTCAATGGATTCTTGATTCCCTGTGATATGGCTGGAAGAACAACCATTCTAAGAATTACACTCTCCAATCTCTGTTTATAATATCCCCAGTCAATTATTGCACGGATATTTCCTCCATATCTTCTTCCCAACCACCGTCCTAGATACTTCTCCTTCTCACAAGAGCGGAAAACAATCACTGGAATCGTCCGCTCCGCTACACTCTTCCCCTCAGGATACACTGCAATAACATACTCGCACTTCAGCTTCTCTTCAAGAACATTCTTGCCCAGCATCTCAGACATCCTCAATGCAGTCGTGGTAATATTTGACTTCTTTCCTTCATACTCCTCATACTCCTTGGACATGCTTCTGCTCTCAGATAGTAGTTCAAGAATAGTCTCATCATCAAGGTACTCTCCTCTGCTTTTCAGAATGTCAAGCCAATATCCACACACTTCTGCAAGCGATCCATAACACTCTGTAAGCGTACTTCCATCTAAAAAATGCAGAAATAGCTCCTCTTGAAACTTCTTCACTATCTCAAGCTCTCCTCGTCTTTTCACTTCAAATCCTTTCAGCTCGGCCACACTGTTATCATCGTTGATTATTGCATACCGCTTCTTCAGTACTTTACTTTCCTCTGTAGATGCAGGCAGCAGCATCGCCCTGTAAGGTCCATCAATCTCAAAAAAAATCGAATTCTCACTCCTTCTAACATATTCCCCGTCTCTCAACTCCTGATACATCTCATTAGTAAATCCCTTGCACACAAAGTAGTTCAAAACACTCGAAAGCAAAGACATCTTTCTTCCTGATCGGAATACATACGTTGACATTAACGTGCTAGGTACTACACACCATATCCCATCAGTATCAAGCTCCAAAGACATTCCAATCATTTCAACAACCTCCTTAGCCTTTCTTATCACATTACCTCCAACATTACACACTATTGCAGCCATCTCCATGCTATACCATCTCGATCCTTTTCTCATCACATATCCATAGAACGAGTTCAACACACACTTATGCGCTACTTGAAGTGATGAATACACAACTGCAGACTTCAGCGCATGTCTTCTTTCCTCTTCTGTCATAGCTCCCTCCGCATCTCTCAATGCCTTAGAATGCAGCTTCTTGTATGTATATCTTCTATCCCGAAACTTCCTTACTGTTTCCACATAAAAAGGTATCTCTCGTTGACATACAACAGAACTTCTAGTGTCACATACCTTAACTTTAGATCTCTTGTATGATTTCTTACTATACTCCTTCACTCTGCGCACAAGCTCCTCCTCATCATTCTTTCCATCTTTAATACATTGTATCCTGATTCGTTCTACTTCATCCTTCCTCACTGGAATGTATTCTGCTTTCAATGTCCACTCCATTTTCTTCCTGCATCCATTCGCCTCGTCAGAAAAATCACACCTTATGCAAACATCGTCATTCACAATCGACACCGGCTGCAGCTTGTTCGTAAGTATTATGTTTGGATACATCGCTCCAACATCAAGATGGTATATCCTTCCTTCTCTTCGTATCTTGCCTGTGTTTTCCTCAAGATTCTTCATCACATTCATCTTCATCACCTCAAAGTCCTCCTCATCCTTATATTCTGCTAGCATCTCATCAATGCTTCTTCCAACATCCTCAATAAATTTCTTATTTACATCAAAGTCATACGAAAAGTCAGACCTGAACAGTCCAGCTCTCACACACTCAACATGTCCACCAACATACGTCACATTCTCCGCAATGTATCCTTCATACTCTTGGTACTTGCTTTCAACTCTTTTATCCGGGACAATCACTCCATACTCAACAGCCTCAGAGATAAGCAATGCTTCGCATAAAGTCCCCGATCCTTGGCATATTGCAGATGTTGGGCTGAGTGGAATAAGCGAACACAGCGAAAAAACATGTGGCTGCACATACTTAACATACAGAAAATACGTGGCAACCGCATCAGAAACCGAGTACGACGCCATCCGATCAGGATCAGCAATCGCAAGGTCTACCATCTCCTCAGGATCAACCTCATCAGGGAAGTATCCTAGCTTTGCTTTAGTAACAGCCTTAAGACCTTGGCTTCCTGCTGGCAAGTACGAGTCTCTTTTAACCCATTTGTAACAGTCAAGATGCACAATAAAAGGTGAAGTGTAATATCCGTCCTTGCATTCAAATCCCATTGTCTCCTTCAAGCAAATCCCATACTTTTGCATTCGCTTCTCAACAAATGGAAAGTCAAATCCAGATCCATTGAATGTGGACATCAAGTGTGGTCTATGCTTTTGCACTATCTCAGCAAATGCTACCAGCACTCCTTCTTCATTATGCTCATTTACTGCTTCAAACACACACTGCATGTCATCCTTCGGGCTGTATTCAAACCTTTTAATGTCCTTAGAAACCAGCTGCCTGTTGACAATCAAATACCCCTTTGATTCAGTCTTTACAGATATCATCATCACCTCATCATAGTCTGCACTTGGAAATTTCAGAGGCTTCTTGGATGTCTCAATATCAAATGCAAGAATCCGTAGGTCCGGAAACACAATTCTTTCGCTCCTCTCAATCATATACTTTTCTCCATCATACCAGAATACATACCACTTCCCACATCTTATTCCAAGCACATTTGCAACACGAACCTCTGCAGGAATGTCATATTCACATATAGACACAATCCCCTCCTCAGCACTCATCACTCGTTTTACATCAAAATCAAATCCTTCACTTCCATTGCTCCTAACTTTGTTTCTGGCTGCAATCCTCTTCAACTCCCTTACCATAGTATTAAACCCAGTCTCAGTTCGTACCTGCACTTCTAGGTATTCAGTAGGAGCTTTATTCAAGTGGTTATACTCCTTAAAATCAATCCTTCCCACTACTCGGGCCATATGCACATCTCCGCCATACTTCCTTCTCAAATAATCCTCTACTGCCTCATAGTCAACCGCCTTCACTAGAAACGATGGAAAATATCTCATCTCCGCAAGGAATTCAACACCTTGATCATCAATCAAATACAACCTTGCACCCATCCTTCCATCATCTCCACAAACAACATCATAATTCAACAGCCACCCATCTCTGCGTGCATCGCAGTAGTATGGCTTAAACCCATACTGCTCCTCCAATGCATCGTCCTTTATCATCTGCATAACCCACCGCTTGTCATAAATAACTGCCATACACAACTTCCAAATATGGATTTATTCTAGTTATCCTCCGAATGGGAGTCGTTATCATCATGCTTGCATATCCTGATTCCATATATCCTGGGAATATATTCCTTGCCTGTTGATGATGGAAAGTGATACGGATATGTAAGAATCAAAAAGTGAGGGAAGGATCTTCCCCATGCACATCCATCAAGCATGCGCAGCTTGCTGCCAGGCTCATACACTGCTGTACAAGAATGGCAATAGACCTTTGTTGCTTTTTTGCCTGGAAAGTCGCTCATTCCAATAGGAATCACTGCAGATGCTTTGCATCCCACTCTTGGGCATACGCCATACTCTTTATTCATGACTCTGTCTAGGACTGCCTCTAATCCAGGCTTAGTAAATATGTATCTCTGGTGTATTAAATAATACAAGCAAGACTCTTCCAGAAAGTCTCCTCTGGGTCCTCTGTCTAGGATTGAGTTGTATGCATCTTCAAGATTGAATATCCGCCTCTCTAGTCCAACAAGGTTGAACCTGTCTTCCAAAAACTCATCAGGAACCCGAATAATGCCATAATTTTCTTTTCTGTGCATGAAGTCACCTATCCAGTACTCTTCAGCTGCCATGTGATCCAGGTCGCTTGAGCAGCCATCAGATGGAATCTTCATTTAAATGGCTTTGGTTTTACAAGGTTAGAAAAGTTGAATATTTGATTTATACTGGCATGTGAAACATGTTCCACAGTCGATCAAAAATGCACTCTGCATCATGCACATGCAATCATCAGAGCTCAGAGCACTACACAACTCAAGGAATCACGAGGAGATATACAGCAGAATCAGGCAAGAGATGAAAAAACTGGATTTCAGGCAGAAGCTTTCAACCGATGATCTTGACGGATTGAAGCTGTGCATTGAAGATGAGATAAAGAAATGCGTATATGCGCATAAAAGCATACCAAAACCTGTTGTTAGCATAACACTATTGTTGGGCAATGAATTTGAGTCAAAGGTAAAAGCATCAATGGCTTCTCACATGACTATTCTGTGCTCGGTAGATTATCAGGATGTCCTGAAACGCAGCTTTCACAAGTTGTCATCGCTTGGCATATGCTTGATGTGGGTTGAAGAAAGCTTGGCAAAGGTAATGTTGAGATACGCTCTTGTAAGCGACTGGAACCTGGCATTAGAAGTACTACTTAGATACTATGTCATGACAAAGCATAAAGTATGCGACTACTTCTTTCACAATGATGTTGAAGAGGAAGACTTTGTACAGGCATTCGAAATAGTACTTAGGTATGAAAAAAGGTTTGCAAAGCTGGTTGATGTTAGCAAATGCAGTTTATGCATGTGTAGGTATCAGAGTAGTTCTGAAGAAGTCTTCACACAAGATCTGGTTTCTACAATTAATCATTCATGCATCCATATGAGAATGCTATCGTCACAATTTATCCCAAATATTACAATTTATCTAAAGGTATCGTTTAATGAACTGATCAGTGGTGAGTTTGAGCAGGACAATGTCAAATTATGTGTTGTTTCTACTGTCCTTGATTTCTTTCATGGAGTAGAGAAGATCTTGAAAAAGATTGAGTATCTTGATGATTTGTCAGCATACAAATGCTTGGTTAGATACTTTGATAGATACCTTGCAATACTGATAAGCAAGATCAGTCTTGGAAATACCATATATAAGTCTATTGTTGTATTGAACACACTTTTATTTGCACGAGAAACAATGTCAGACTTCATGACCAGGATTTTTGGACAAGCAGGAATCCTGGATGATACTCCAAATGCATCTGAAGAAATAAGGAAAATGGAAGCTTTCCACAGCAGCATCTTAGACATTCAACTCTCGGTCTGCTTTGCAAAGATCAACTTTGAATCGCCCAATGGCTTGGCAAAAGAAATTATCAGGCTCATAGATGCAGAAATCATAAGTGATGCCACAAAAGGTATTGGAGAAGAAACCACAATGGTGCTGCTCGAATCCATGGTTTCACAGATGCTCTCAAGAGTATACTCGATTAGAATCACTCCAGATACATCTGAAGCTCTTCTTCTTGAGGTGGCTGAAGTTAAAAAGCATCTCAAGCCAAAGGTAAGTGTCATTCCAATGATAGATGTCTTGGAAAAGTACCTGAAGGTCTTCCTCTGTTCATACGATAACGAGGACTGCTTTGTGAATAACTTCATATTCATGTCAGAAGACATTTTTTCCTTTGAGCAAATCATCAGTTGTGTGCAATGCAAGGAAAAAAGAAGAAGCCTTTGGTCTGCATATCAAAGGCATACTTCTACCTCAGTATCAAGCATTCCAAAAAGCTCAGATCTTACTTCCTTACATACCTAAGGTGCCATAAACATGTCTGCTGCATTTAAGAAGCTAACACTTTCAATTAGTATATTATACAGCTAAATCCTTAATTACCATCCTGCACTGGTTTATGCAAGTATAGTCCAAGTCTTGTCATTCTGATTGGCTTTACCTTATGATCTGTACCCATGATCTCGATGTATTTCTTGACTGACTTTTCTCGCTCGATCTTGTCTTTAAATCCAATTGGCTCCAGGAAGTCTACTGCAAGGTCTGTATCAACAATGTATATTCCACTGCTTGTTGGCTTTATGCATGCAACAGTGAATCTAATGGGCCCAATCTCATCAAACAAACAGAGAATTTCATCTCCTTCAGACAGCACTTGGTAATGTCTTAGGCATGACTCTAGCTCAATCTTTGGATTCTCCACCTCCAAGAAATCTGTAGAGTGCGGAAGCAGCTTTGCAAACCTTCCAACAGGAAAAACTTTGTGTCTCAGAACAACCTGACCCGAATCTTCCATCGATAATTGCTGATACATCCATGAAGGTACAAGCACTTCTCCTTCTGTGCCTGTAAACTCAATTACCCCGCAATGCGTCTTGTAAATGCCGTTCGAATGAGAAATTTCAAATGTAAATGGCGGCTGGATTTGGAACGACACCAGATCAACAAGCATCGATTGAGGAGCAATCACTTTTCCTCCAAAGTTGTTTGTACTTGACTCTTCAAATCTTCTTGGATGCAATGCCCACGATGGACGTTCTCCAAACAAGCTAAACAAATCAAATAGCATGGGTTTGTGCTGCATATCTTTGTGATCTAACTTTTATGCACGGCATTATGATGTGTTTGTGAAATATCTTATTCTCATGTATCACAAGGAATCTTTGTGGCCCATTAAATACACTGATGGATAATGCACTGCATGATGCAAGTTTGCAATCATCGGTTGATATGAGTGAGCAGCAAGATGGAGGATTTTTTGCAGAAGAACCTAAAGAAAACAATGTTTTCACTAAACACGTACTCGAGGACGATCTTCTGCAGCTACCGCTTTTCCTCAATAACAGGTGCATGTATTGCAATAATATGCCTATTGACACTGAGATATGGAAGACTTTCGAGATACCTGTGTGCATCCCATGCAGACATAAAATGCTGAAGCTTGTTACAAAGACAGCGTGTCTTGACGACTATCTTCTTGCAGAGGAGGATATAAAGACGTTCAAGTATCTTGAAAGGCCTAATCCTCGTAAGGGCACATGGTCAAGGATGTACCTGTATTTGCAGGAACAGATAGAACAAGCAGCAATATCGAAGTGGGGATCTCTGGATGAGATAGAAATAGAAAAGATAAGGAAAGGTAGGAAAATTGAGGAGAGAAAGACAAAAAGATTAAAGGCAAAAATAGGTAATTTGAGAAGAATGACTAGAATACCAATTGTAGACAACAAAAAACACGTGCATGTGTTTTCTAATGATGGTGCAGTCTCTAAGTGTTCATGCGGATTGACTGTTGAGCAGGAAGAAATCTAATGCTGAACAGATGTACTTGGTAGAGTCTTGAAATGCATTAAATACATTTGAGTAAATCATTAGTACATAAAAGTCAAGAGATAGAGGATATGAGGTGCATTTGGATATGCATGGCAGTGGATAAATCTTAAGTGCATAAACCCTCTCATGGCATTGAAATGGAATGACAAAGTGCTGATCTGGAATGTAAATGAGCTGAAGCTTAATAATACGATTATTGCAGTAGGGAGGATGAAGAAGTGGATTGTTGTTTGCACGCCAAGTAGAATATTCTTCCATGGTAAGGATGAAATGGCTCTATCAAGGAGAGTGAGAAAAGCAGTTGTAAAGCCTGAAGGTATTTACTACCAAGAGCATGGAAGTGGACGGATAATGCTGCTTGTACATCCTTTGGAGCCAGAAAAACATGTATTTTTCCAGCATGGATATACCTTGAAGGAAGTTGTTTCTGGTGTGTTAGTTCTTGAGGGTGATGGAAAGTACCTATTGAAACATATTCGGAATACAGCTTATAGTGATGATTGTGCAGATCAAGGTAATTTAGAATCATGTGAATATGATCGAAGTATAGAATCTAACCAATTTGATGATGATCAAAGCACAGAAGTGATGGTGATAGATATTTGTGAGGATGTGATGAGCAGCAGTATTGAGCGCTACGACGAGCATCATAGTACTAAGGGACATTTGGTTAGTATGATTGAATATATTGATTTTTTAGTTGGAATATGCATGAATCATGCAATGTTTATAAAACCAGGATGGTATTGCGGAGGAATCAAGAGAAGCAAACATAAAAGTGAAGTAAGTGTCAGGTTTGATAAGGATATAACATGTGTAATGAAGTATAGGATGTGTGTGAGTGGTTTTGGTGAAATTATGTTTCTTAGAATGAATGAGATGCTGTTTCTTGGGAATGAGGTAGTTTGTAAGGCAATTAACAGTGAGATGTGGCCGATGTCTGTGCTGAAAGATGAAGATGAATGGAAGCAAGAATATCATATGCCATTTTGGAGCGAAATAAGTGAATTAGAAATGTGTATTGTGATGTGTTTTCCACGGCATATTCAACGAGAGTTTTTTGAGGTGTTTTTTGAATGTAAAAAGAAAATATTCGAGCAGCTTGTGCCAAGTGGAGAGGTGCTAGATCGAGTAGACAGAGTTTTGTGGAGATTTATGATTAAATGTAAGAGTGTGTGGGAGTTTATGAATGCAGGAGTGCCATGTTTTGAGAAATCTTTGGCTCTACAGAAGTGTAAGGAGTTGATTGAATATTCTCAGGGATGCCTGGATATGGCCAGACGGGATGTGATGGAGATATCGTATAAGAGGATAGTAGAATGTGATATTGGATTGATTGAGTCTATGAATTATTCGGAGGTGATGAATCTTGCATACAGGATTATATTTCTGGAGAAGAAGAATGAGGAAAGGCAGAGAGGCATTTACATGAAAAATGTAATGAGAATGGTATATGGGATGCGCAAGTTCTTTGGCGATCCAAGGATAGATGAAGTACTCCTGTTATTTAATGAAAAACCTAAAGTTTTTGAGATCGACAGCGATGGGATTGAAGGGTGCGGAGAGAAGGGATATACAATTAGGATGGCATCAAGCGCTGGAAGAGCATATATGTCCTATGGAAGTGGCATGACAGATCGTAGAGATATAAGCAGACATCTATGCTTCCCAATATACAGAAATGATGAGTTAGGAACGATAGATATCAAGGATACAGGATGGATAGATTGGCCACAATTTGGTTATTCAGTTTACAGAGCCTGTGGATATGTCATACTTGAAGCGGAGATAGGTGATTATTTTGAGTCAAGAATAGATCGATTTGTGAACTCACAAGAGAGTGAATCTGTATGTACTACAAATGAGTTTGTGTTTGCAGGGGAGGCTTTTGGACATGGAGTATGTGGAAGATTGAAGGATATGACAGTGCAAAGAATCATGGAGTTTGTTATGCCTAAATATGCCATACTGTCTATGGCGATTCTTGCAGGTGTTGGAATTAGCTGCATGGGTAAGAAAGATGATTCGTATGGAAGGATGTATTTGCATTATCTAAGAACACCGCAGCCATTATGCATTCATGCAGGATGTATTGTAGGTCTCGGGATGATTTATGCAGGGAGTGGAAATGTGCTTGTGAGAGACACATTGGTTGCTGAAGCAAACAGATATGGAGTTTTTGAACATGAGCAGTACAACAAGGGGAATAAGGTTTGGTATGATTATGCATATCGAGTGTTGGCATCGTTTGGGATTGCAATGGTGAGCTTAAATGCAGAGACAGAAATGTTCAGGTATGTAAAGCTCGAAGATAAGTTATGTGAGCTGCTTGCAAATGGAATAGTTCTTTTTGGAAGCAAACAGCGACGATTTGCAAAGAGATTGGAACGATCGGATATATGTAAACCTGAAGAGGTGTTATATTCTGAGGTATTTTCTCTTGGACTGATGATGGAGGATGAAATAGATAAGGTTGTTGAGGATATTGAGAGACGCCTTGCAGATAAGAAGTGTGTTTTTAGTATTCATCAGTTATATAGAATAGCAGGAAAGGTGTTCTATGTGGCTCTGAACATGCTTTATAGAAATGAATGTGAATGCAATGAAGAAGTGTTTGAGAGATTGATTGTATTATGTTTAAGAGTCGAAGATGATATGAAAAGGAATGTGGAGATGAAGGTGGTGTTTGACTTTTGTGTTGTGTCACTGTCTTTGATAGCCAATTCATCTTGCAATCTCGAGATTATTAGGATAATCCGCCGACGAATCAAGATGATGGAGAAGGCGGACAGAATGTATGAAAGAAAGGACTTTTTCTTCAGCTCAAGCGGATTGAAGCAAGAGAAGCAGTTTTTGATTAGATATGGCGATATAGAACTATATAAGCTATGTCTAGGTATAGTAACATGCGGATTAGGATCATGCAAGATATCTGGTACACATTATGCAGTGTTTTATGCTATTTCGACATTTTTCATTAACTTTCCAATAACTACAACTGATCAGGAATATTTCTGGATGACAAGGTATTTTTTACTACTATCTATGAAAGAAAGCTTAAGTGGATTCAAGCACACGGCAAACTATACAAAGTTATGCAACAAAGGAAGCAGAAAAAAGGAAATGGCCGATATGTCAGCAATCAATGAAATGTTTGCCAAACAGTATGCAGAAGCATCAGATGCAGACAAAAAGTTTACAATTGATGTATTAACAGACTTCTATGAGGTGCATGGTGCAAATGGCAAGCTATTATCTGTAGAAATGCTAAAGAAAATGGCATGTAGGATGATATGATACATTCCTCATTGTTAGGTGTGTTGTAATAGAATTACACTTAGATATTGTGCTGTAATAGCATTTATTTTTATTATAGATAGATTGTATATGTAACCTGTTTGGATGTAATGTTGCACTGGTATTGATCAAAACGATTAAATGATCAAGTATGAGATGCATATGATGAGTATTAATGCTAGAATAAAGATTACTTTGTTTCTTGGGTCGTTGTTCATCCTTTTGATCGCATCTCCAAATCTATCGATATTTGCCATTAGAATTCTATCTGCCTTTTCAGTCTCTGCTTCTATTGATTCATAGAGCAGGTCTTGCTGATTGATCTTTTCTTGTATGATCTGTACTGTTGCTTTCATGTTTCTTGACGTCTCACTAAGCATCCTTTCCTCCTCATTGCTCATTCGATTCGAAACATATCGCTATTATTCATTACAACATGAAACATGAATACCTACTCTACATTCACACCAGTATTCCAATTGAGTCATGAACTTGTATTGGTATGCCTCATTATTCATCCCAGTATATCTTGCAAAGCATCTCAGATAATTCATCATCAGATAATTCAAACTCATAGAAAATCACGCTAAATGTCTTCAATACATGTATCATAGGTATCCTGCCTCTTGCATACAGTATAACATCAAACAAAGAGCAAACAAACTGTTTCGATCCAATTCCATCAACTACTGTCGTCAGTGAATACACATTCTCAACAAATAGCATTCTGTACAAGTGTTGTATATCCCTTAATCTTAAAAACGAATACACATTCGTCTTGATAAAGTACATCAGCAAACAAAGAACCTCTTCTGCATCATACTTGCTGAACACCATATCATCAACCTCCCATCTCTTCATAACTACTTTCACTACATCTTTCATCTCACAACACACTTCTTTATCCTCTCTCCATTCACATCGACTCTTATGCTTCAAAGCACCTACAAAGTACGACATCTGTCTGCTCAAGTATCCCATCATTGCCTTTGCTATTCTCGTCTTAAGGCTTTCAGGCACTTCATCTGTGCATTTATCTCCCTCAAATTCAACAATTCCGCTATCACTGTACTTCTCAACAATCTCTCGAAGCTTCATCCTGTACCTTGCAAATACATCTGGATATTCTCTAGCACCTCCTTTGCAAACTGCTCGTGCTCTTATACAAACAGTCATCTCCTTCACAAACATAACAAATCCATTCAATATCTCCTCCTTATCTTGGCACACCTCCAACTCCTCGATATTCTTCATCTTAACAACTCCTTCATCAGCATCAAGATGGATAACCGTCCTATCAACACTTCTGAAGTCATTTACATCCATGCACACCAGTAGCTCTCCTCTTCCTTCAACTTCATCGACACTTCTCTTCATTCTAAAAAACACTTCTCCATCTGCTGAATACACATCCTCCATAGATCCAATATCAGATCTGATGTATTCATCGATGAAACACTTGCGAGAATATTCAGAGCACCCTTTGAAATACATTGCTCCAACAAAGACATCCTCATAACTCTCCTGTATCTGACAAAACTCTCCTGCATCAACTGCTCCAGTAATTACCTTAAGACCACACTTTCCAATTGCAACAATTTCCACGTCCTCTCGTTTCAATATGCATCGCAGCACATATCTTCCATCATTTACATCACATATCGACAAAGAAGATCCGTGTCTGTCCGATATAATAACAACATCACTAAACAAAAATAGTGTCACAGACTTGTCATCCACATCCATGCAATTCAACTCATACAAAAATCCCTTCTCAATACACTTGCCTTTCAATCCTTCAACATTCTTGTTCACAATCAATGCATACTTCATGCTATCGTACTCCTCTTTCCTCTTATCAATCTTCCCAATCAACTCTACTATCCGAGTATACACCTCTAGCCCTACTATTGCATACTTTTCTTCTCCAACCTTCTTCAGAATATCCTCAAGCAATATTGGATACCTCACAATCCTTTGCAGACACTTACAAATGCAATCTCTAACACTTCTTTCATCAGGTATCCACATTTTGCCTTTATATGCATACATCCATTCAATCTCATCCTCCTGCGATAACATCAGATTCATATAACATTCAAACCCTTCAAAATTCATATCAAACGCATTCAAAATATTCTCAAGCGCCATATACTCATCAAACTCAAGCTCATCAATACATACTCCTCTCATTATAGCTTCAAAATAGCCTAAATCCGTAATAACCATTTCTACATTTGCACCTATCATCATAAGAACATTTCTCAACGATCTCATAAGCTTTACTTCAAACAAATACACCTTTGTAAGCATTCTAAAAACATCTGCAAACTTCCCTTCCATCTTCAAATCATTGTGACTGTAAAACTCATTCAGTTGGTTAAAATACTCAACTTCGTTCAGAATAAACCCAAGTAATGCCAAACGAAGTCCTTTTCTATTTTCATTCATGCATTCCATCCCAAATTGCTTGCACATATTCATTCCATACCCGTGAAACCTCTTCCCAAATACTATCTCAGACACTGTTTGCTCACGCTTCAGAACAACATCTACATAAATCCTCGTGCCCATAATCTCATTGTCAATGCTCTCCACATCATCATATCCTATCTCTGCCATCCTCTCCATTATCTTGTGTGCACAAAACTCCTTGCATTCACTCATCATTCCCGTAGTTATCACATCATACATCCTTTCACTCGACCTCCCATGATCATTCTTCAATGACCATCCTCCAAATAAAAACAACGACTTAAACATCCCTGCCATTGTCACATTCGCCTTCTTTGCAAAGACTGCCTCAGCATTCCCCCATCCTTCAATGCAGTCATTGAAGTACCTGTCAAGACTCATCCGCACTCCATAAAAATACTTACATTCAGAAATATGGCTGTTGTAGTACATATACTCCCTAAATCCTATCAAAGACCTGACCAGCACCTTCGTAATTCTCTTCTCAATTTGCACTGATAAAAGAATAGGTCCAACATGTACAACATCCGCTATAAAGCTTCTCGATCTCTTGTAATATCTTCCAAACATCCCTGCCATTGTATTCATTGCCATATTATCCTCCTTGTGGACAAAGCTATCCACAGCTTTCTCCATCACTCAGGGTTGGCAAAATCATGCGATTTGTTGATATCCTTACACTCGTGAATTACTTCAATTCATATCGTATATAAATTCAATTTATTCATCTCTTACAACTCCACTCCAGACCTATCATCCACATCTATCTGAACATCTTCATCAGCATAAACATCCAATCGCCCATCTGCTCCTTTATCTTCTTCAGCATTCAATTTATCACTCATTACATCTCCATCATCCACAATACTTCCTTCCTTCACATCCTTGCTTTCACTTTCATTACCTGATCCAATCAAACAATCTGACTCATTTGCGCTCTTCTTATTGAAGTAGAACAAAAAGTCTTCATTAGTTGCAAAGTCATACTTCACAAGCATCTCCATCAACTGTTCAACCTCTTCAAATGATGCGTATCCGCAATCACAGCATAGGCCAGATCCATTCAATGCCTTACTTACCCTCGAACAGAATATCTTGATAAACCCATTCGTCATCATTTGATCCCGAAGAGTAAGAAGAATCCCAAAGCTTCGTATAAAAAATCTTGTAAACAGCGGAAGACTGGAAGATAACAAATTCACTATCCAGAGCGTGTAGTTCGTCACATCCCTACTCCCCATCATATCTGCCTTCTTTATCATGTATATCAACCTCTTATCCATCTCATCAGCATCAAACATATTTTCATCAAGAGGACATCCAGACTTATGTATCATTCGAGCCTTTGATTGATTCATTACAGAATTCGACGTTCCATAAAAATTAAACAAGTTCGATGGATTAGTCAGGTTCTTTGCATACTTCTCCTCAACACTATAACAACTCAACATATCCTCACATGTCTGCTCTTCCATCTTCAGTCCCCCTTCAATCTTATCACTGCCTGCATTGATTGCCCTGCACACCACACTCTCACTTTTGACATCAACAACAAAATCAAACATATCCACTCCGTTGCTCTGCAAAAGCACTATGCAACAGAATCCATCCTCATTATACACAGTAATTTCTTTAAACATCTGAAAAACACTTCCACTTACAAATTCAGGCTCTTTCTCTAAAATATTCTTGTACAGTTTCAAAAGACTTTCATAGCATACATGCTTTGCAATCCTACAAAACTTCTCTTTCTCATTCCCTTCCACACACTTCTTCATCAAACAGACCACGTCCTCTTCATCAAGCATAGATAAGTCTCCTCCATCTTTACTGCTTCTTCCAAGCACCTCAACCACAAACTCCCTTACAAACCTTATTTCACTTTGCTTTCTATACCCAATCCCTTGCTTATCTTCCCCATGTATCCCTCGTTCTCCATTCTCCACAAACACTTTAAATGCATCACACAACACATCCAGGTCCCATTCATCTGCTTCAGCCATCTGCTTCCAAATCTCCTTGCTTACACTTATTCCTCGCTCCTTTGCTGCACTAACCTTCAAAAACGAAATCCCAAGATCAGAAAATACATTATGTCCTTTCTGTCTCTCAATCCTTGTAAGAGCTTCAAGCAGCAGCACATACATATCAACATTCGCTCCCCCTATTTTCAGGTAGAATACAAAAGAGTCCGCAAACGACTGTAGATCATCTTTGCTCCTCACCAAATACATCATGTACTCTTCAAACACACAAATCATCTCCAGCTTATTGCATACTAGGTAAAACTGCTTCGCATCCATTGAAAAAAACCGCTTAAAGCTCTTAGAAAACATCCTTCTATATGCTTCTTTCTTACATTGCACACACATCTTCATTGCATCAGGCAGATATACATCAAGCGCTAATCTCTGATTTACATCATTCTCATCTGCCAGCTTCTCACACATTCTCTTGTACATCTTGTAGTGTTCTTTACCCATCTGGTTCTTCACTGCAAACTCAAGAGGATTCCTCTTAATAGATGTATACATCGCTTCAAGGTACTCCTCTCCAAACCCATCTGGAATCTCATCAGCGCTGAAATCACTTATGTAGTCTTTGAATGTTGGCTTTAGCTTCACATTCGGATTGTGGAACTTCGTGTTCAATGCAAGAAAAGAAAACGACAGATTAAACACAAACTCTCTTGTTTTATCATCTGAATCCATGCGCATAAACGTGCTTTTCCCTGCATTATCTGCATAATACTTTTGTGCATATGCTTCCACAACCCTGTGTATTATTTGTCCCTCTCCCAACAAGTAAAAAGAAAGCAAATACATTCTCAAGCCTTCAAGAACCTCCATGTCATGAAAATCAAACGTACTGGTGAATATCTTTAAGTCTACTTCATTCTTCAGTTTGCACACATAATGGCCTAACTTCTTAAGATCTGTTTCTGCAGAGTATCTTAAAATCTCAAAACTCACAGATTTTCCATACTTATCAAACATGTGCTGCATATCTCCATCTTCATTAAACCTTCTTATATCTTCTTCCATGCTTATAACTTTCTGTTCTACATGTGCTTCCAATCGTTCACATTCACTATGCCAAAATACTTGACAATCACTTTCTACATCACCTGTTTCCGTATCTTCATTAATCATCTGCACTATTTCATCAATAGGAAGTCTGTTACAGATCTCTTCACATACATTCTTGTATATGCCAATCCCATCAAATGCATAATACAGATATGGAATTAAGGATTGATGCATTCCTACAAGGTACCATTTAGGCATTGATGCATAAAACACTTGAAATAGATATCTGCTTCTTGTCATGTCAATCCCAATCGTTCTGAAATGTTCATGCTCTAGTGTAATGTCAACAATCTCCTCGTCTCCAAGTACTTTGCAAAAATCTCCCATTCCTCCTCTCATCCAGTCAATGCTTCTGTACATCTTCCTATTGACAAACAATGTACGTATCTGCCCATGGCCAAGAAACACTTTAAGCATCTGCAGAATGCACAGTATAGCACCCCTGCTAACAACATCATCCCCAAGAATAAACATGTATCTGCTAAGTATGCATTTAGACTCTTCAAACGAAAGATTTTTTCTTATTGCATTTGCAACCTCAAAGTATTTCAGAATCACAGAATCAGTATCTTTCTCAGCCGGTGCAAACTTCAGATCAACTATCCTACTTCCAATGGCATTTAAATCTACTCCATCCATTGCGCTGAATTGTAAAAATACATCCAGAAACCACAACATCTCTTTGTTGCTGTATTTTACCAAGCTAAACAAACGGCCAAATATACTCAACACCGACTGTGGCGTTGGAAATGCACTCATATCGGTCAGTATACGTCTTATATCCTTGTTCGATGATCCTGAATGCCTGTGAAGAAGAACTTGGATTTCTCTAAGCTTTTGTTTATTCGATTGCATGGGCTTATGTTTATGCATGTGGAATCTTATATCACCCATCGACCGAATGAACACAAAACTTATAGACTTTCACCTAAGTTGTAAAAATGAGTTCAATGCGATTTCAAAGTCATTCAACATCATGTTCTATGGCTATGGATCCAAGAGAGGGTTACTGCATAAGATGTTTCCTTGTGCAATTCATCTCGACTGCAGATCAACCAAAAAGAGTGAGATAATGAAGCAGATTGTAAAGAAGATCGGATGTCGTTCGTTTGACGATTACAAACAAGCTCCTGTATCAATCAAGGAGATAGATGACACAATACGCAATAGAAGAGAAAAGTATAAGTTGGTGATGATCAACTTTGATTTTAGTTTTGCAGAGTTTCTGAACCTCAAGAACTTTGTTGTGCTTGCAACTATGGAGAATGTGAATATAAGGTTTGGTATGGATGAAATAGAGAGATTCAACTTTGTTTTCAGAGACCTTACAACATTTGAGCCATACGAGGAGGCTGCTGATATTGAAATAAAAACGTTAAGAACAGGAATGTCAATAAATGTCGTGAAGAACGTTCCTAGGAATTCAATGATGGTTCTACGTGAAATCCTGACAATTGGAGCAGATAAGACCGATATGAACGAACTGTTTGAACGAATAAAGAAAAAGCTGTTTCTGGCATCCAGATCTTCAATAGTTCCAATGATTGCTGAATTCATTGATCACAGAATGCTGAGAATTAGAAACAATTCAGAGATAGTTATAGACATTCCATCTGTAGAAAGGAAGGAAATTGTGGAGTTGCTGAATAACACATTGTAATGACATTATTGACATGATGGATCATTCAATCAGCAAGATGTATACTTAAATGAATTTACTGCAAATTACAAGTTATACCGAATCTGTTTTATATGAATAAATTGGTGGTATGTGATAAAGAAAACGAACATTAAATTCATTATTTATCCAAAATTTTGCTCAATAGATCAGACACTTGTGGATTGTTAATTTCTTGTCGATAGTAGTCTGCCTTTGGCTTTATGACTGTCTCTACAGCATGTTCTGAGAGTATGCTCAAGCAAAACAGCGCGCCCCACTGTGTAGATTCTGTTTTTTGCTTGTCAAGCCATGCCTTGCTCAGTGTGTTGATGATGCGTGGCGCAAGTGTTTTGTAAGAACACGAAAAGCTGCTAAACACATGCTTGACTACCTCAGAAGCAATCTTTCTGACTTCATCATCCACACTCTTTCCAATCACACATGTAATAAGTGAAGGTAGGATCTGATGGAGATACGGATCAATAAATATGTATTTGTTTCTTAACAATGAGTAGTACATCATTGTGATTGTTCGGAGTTTCTCCTTACTTTTTATGTTCTTAACAATCTGCTCGTTGAAGTGATGTACAAAGTACGGGACAAGCTGTTGAATGCCACTTTCATTGTGTAGACAGTTGATAGCAGTGTCCTCATCGGTCTCCATTGCCTGAATGATCTTGTCGAAGTACATACTCAACTCCTTTGTAAGCATGTGCTTGTTTTGTGACTTCAGCTCAAGCTCCTCTTGGTACATGCCAAGTGTATCCTTTTTGACAGTAGGCTTTTCAAGTAGAATTGGGTTGTGTGGAGTCTGTGGCTGTACGCCTTCAATTGCCAACCAGTGCGATTGGATCGATGGCCTCAGAGGAATCTTTGGTAGTGGACGGTCAAGATATTCCTCAAGATCAATCTCCTCATCAGGCACATAGTATGCGTTTGATGGCAAGCCTCTGAACACAAGGCTCTCCTGTGGATCATATCCAAAGAGTGGATCAACATTCCTGCTGATCAGTGCATAGTTGATGTCTTCGATTGACAGTTTTGATCTTTTAGATGCAAGCATAAACTTCCCTCCCTCTTGGCATACCTCTTTAATACGATACTCCAGGTCCTGGGACAGTACTCTGAATGCATCATCATCGATGTTTGTTATTCCCTTTGACTGTGCAAACGATTTGAGCGTGTCCTTTGAAAACAGCATGCCCAATGCATCTGTCCAAAATTTATGCAATCAAGCCCAAAAATTGCCAAGAAAGATACTTGGGACGCACACTCAGCAATCAATAACACACAGGCATCCATAAAAACAGTCAAGTAAAACACAACTCTTCGTATCCATCAAAGCTTCCAAAATGGAGGATCCGGGAATCGAACCCGGGCCTTTCACATGCGAAGCGAACCCTCTACCACTGAGACAATCCCCCTCACATCAAAAAACCTCCCACTCCAACAGTATCCTCCACGCATTTCACTCATTTATTCGCTCAAATTCAATAATTGATTCTTTATCCTTCGCACTCTTCATTTATTCATTCTAACTCAGGATCTACTCAAATACATCTACTTCTACCTCATTCGTAATAACTAAAAACTTTAATCCTTAATAATATTCTCTCCCGCACGGTCATTCTCAACATCAATGCTCTCAATCACCGATGCTATGCTGCTAGACAGCGTAAAATTCAATCCAATCATGCTTCGTATTTCCTCATCAGGTCTGCTCAGCAGAATCTCAGACACCTTGCTTGCAAACTCAGCCTCGTTGCTCACTCGAAGTGTCTTCCAGTCATTCTTAAATCCAGGTGCTGCTGCAAGTACAAGTCCATATAGCTTTTCAGACTCATTTCCATAAAGCTTCGACGACATCACATGTGCCCTCTCACGCTTAAACCCTCCAGATGGAAATCCTATTCCCTGGTACATATAAGGCATCATAGGCTTATATCCTATATCTGCAAAATCCTTGTCTTTAGCCCTCTCCGTCTTGTTCTTAAAGTAAGTAACCTGCAATCGCTCTCCATCAATGTATATCTCATTCCCACGCTCTACTGCAATGCTTGCTTCCTCAGGCGTCAGGTAGCACACATACGCATACTTCTTCTGTGCATTGATTGCATCAGCTCCAACAAGAATCGATGTAATCATCCCAAACTCCTTAAATATGTTTTGCAGCTCTTCAACTCCAAATCCCTCAGGTATATTAGTCACATACAGGTTCTTCTTGTAATTCTGTCCATGCATGCTCAGCTGCTCAAATGTCTTCCTCAGCTCTTCCACTCTGTCTTCCTTCTTCTGTGCCTTCTGTATATAGAATGGCTCGCTCACATTCTCAAACACAACCTTTCCATGCAAATTATTTATTGCGTTCAGCGCTGCATTATGCGACTCAAAGTTCGCAAATGCAAACCCCTTCGGCTTCCCATCCTCCTTCAATGGGAAAAAAAACGAAGTCACTTTTCCATGCTTCTCCAACATCTCAACCAAATCCACCTCGCTCGCATCTACTGGGAAATTCTTAATAAAACAATTTGTAAAAACTGTAGATGCATTCTGAATCTCCTTAGTCCTCATCTCGGAGTTATATGGCTCAACACTAATCATCTTTCCCTTCAACATCAACCCATCCAGATTGCTGAAGTTCTTAATCACCTTCTTAGCTGCCTTCTTCTCTTTAAACTGCACAAATCCATACCCCTTCGACTTTCCATTTGTAGTAAGTGCTACCTTGCAACTCGTTATCTCCCCAAACATCGAAAATGCATCCTCAAGATCTTTCCCCGTGAACTCCTCCGGAAGATTCTTCACAACAATATTACCTGCTTCGGGTGGCATCTTCTCTTTACTTATCACCTTCAGCAGTCTTATCTGTCGATTGTGCAGCTCGTAGTGCTTGTACTCCTTGATGGCCCTTTCCACTTCTTCTTCACTCCCAAGAGTAACAAATGCAAAAGACGATTCAAGCTTCTTCGTCAGCTTGATATCCAACACCTTCCCAACCGTAGAGAAAATCCGATAAAGATCAGACTCAAGCGTTTGGGTCGACAGCTCGCCCACATATATCGTCAGTGCATTGCCACTCGCTTTATTTCCATCGTTCATCTCCATGGAATGCTTCTCGAAGGGTAATTTTTTGCCATTTTTGTATACATGCCTTCTCTGCATCCTTTATCTTCACTCAATCGCTTCTGTCCTTGCTAATCCTTCTGTATTACACATCCTGCATGCCGACTCATTGACAACTGCTCTCTACCGGCATTCTATCTATCATACAAGCATACACATCGCAACCCCCAAATGCCATACTCCGATGCAGCCAAGTCATGCTTCGATAACAAGGATTACCAAGGATACTTCGAAAACACAAAGAAGCAGTACGAACGAACACACTCTGCAGACGACAAGTGCGAAATGGACAAGGCACAGCGAACACTCGCTCTCCACAAAGAAATCCAAGAATTGATAAGGAGGAAAAACTCAGATTACTACACAATCCTTGGTGTCCAGAAATCAGCCTCTCAGGATGAGATACGACGTGCATTCAATGCTCTTGTAATGAAGTTCCATCCGGATAGGACAAAGATGAGCGAGTCGAATGATGTCACTGCAATCATCCAGAAAGCTTACACAACACTCAGCAATCCTGAAAAACGAAAAGCATACGACAATAAACAGACCAGTCACTCAGCATTTTCACACACTACATTCAGACACAACCATCCAGAGGATATCATGTCGAACATATTCTTCAGTGCATTCAACCAGCATGCTCAAAGAAGTACCATATTTTACTCCACACAGGATCTTTATCAGCACCTGTATTCTAATATGAACAGAAGATACACAAGAGGATATAGAGCTCCTAATATGCAATCACAGGAGCCTACAGATCCAAAGGTAATTGTGGCAATGGTGCTCATAATTCTACTCTTCATCATGCTGCAGTAAATCAAAAACTATCACATGCATCAAATGACTCACCATACAATCTAAAACAAAATATTCTACATGAATATGCATTACTGTGTATTTACTTTTATTAAAAGATTTCTCATATCCATAAATCGATGCATATGGCATAACTAAGTATCTATACCATTTATAACTCAATTCTATAGCATAAATAAGTATTTATAATATAATACAATGCATATGACAAACACCATATATAATGCTGTACAATCAAATCTTATATCACGACTTGCATAATGCTTTTTTACACTCAGAGCATATCCACTCTGTCTTTGGTACGCTGGATATCCCTATACACTCATAATGGAACCACCTATTGCTACATTCATGACTTCCACACATTATCATGCTCTTGAATGCAGGTCTGTTGCACTTGCAATACAACTTTCCATCCATGCTCATCTCCCCTACATTTATTGTACAGTTGACACTTGTGACAGAAGGCACATCTAAATCAAATGGAACCTCCACATCAGCACAAAGTACCTCACACTTACACTTCAACTCACTCACTGCATTTTCTAACATCCTTGAGTTTTCGCAGCTCTCATCTAATAATCGCTTGATCATCCTGCAGCATCTTCCAATCTTCTTGACGTACTTTTCAGTCGGTGTGTGCAGAAACTGATCCTCATACTCCTTTCTTTTCTTCCTCAATCTCTCAATCCTCTGTTCTGCCCTCAGCGTCGATCTTGAAAAGTATATTGCATCCAGACGTAGTTGTTGTATCTCATCCAGCATTGCATCAAATACCTCAAAATGCGACTTCACCATTTACAATGGGTTCTCATAATCTATTTATCATCCATTCCATCAGTCTCCTCATTACACAAGTCAATAAACTCTGCATCTGCTTCTCTATTAGTACCAGGCTTTATTACACATGCACTTCCTCCTCTGGCTACAAATCCAAGGTTAACCACCAGGCTTGGTCCTGCTCGTCTACAAAATCCTTTCAATCTCGACACAACAATGTATATGTCCGGTGCCATTCCCATCATCAATCCTTCTGGTGAAGAATATGACACTGCGCTTCTCGATGGAAATACAGGCACAAAGCTCCTCTGAAACACCAGATGATGTGCCAACCTATCCATTCTGTCTCCCTTGAAAAGAAGCTCTCCACACACATCTGCCACATCTGCTTTTCCAGAGTTATAAAAATATTCCTCAGAGCATATTTCAAGAGGCATATCTAATGATGAGATTGCAATCAGGCACTCATTCACAAAAATTTCACAGGGATTACTAACACAGTATACACGCTCCTCTTCAAAATCAATCGCTTCCTGTGGATACACACTCAGGCATGTAGGATCTCCTATCGATGGCACCAGAATCACTTTCCGCCACAAATGCTTTCCTAGCCACCTTCGAACCTTTGGCATAAAAACATCATTCAGCACACCATACGGAGACTTCCCATCAAGTTCATTTATTGGCTTTACAAATGGACCTATCAAAACCAAAATGTCTGCCTCCATCGCAAGAACCTTCTCAAACACATCAACTTCACATCCTCCAAGTTCACAGCAATAAGGTCCTTGAAATGCAACTATCCTTAGATTATTGAATGTATTATCAGAACTGCTTGCTTCTGTCGTGTTTACATCCACAACTGGAATACAATCGAGTCTCTCAACAATTATCTCGTCTCCACCAACATTTTTTCCCTTTACTGCAACAACTTGGCCAGGAAATACCGAGTATCTATGTAAATGCTCCATATTGAGTCTAACAACAACATCGTTGCTTTCATCAACATTAGATGCAATGCATATATTCGATGAATCAAGCTTTAGTCCTGTAGGGTTGACTATTGTCCCATATGTGTAAAATGAAGATTCAGATATATGGTTGACAGACTCAAATCGCTTGATTTGCAGCAGCTCTAGGAAGTACGGTCGCATGCATTCCAGTCTATGCTTGACATAATCGTACTTTTCGTTTTTCTTTATGTAGAAATTCGATACCTTTGCCTCACGGAATGTGCGTATTTCTGTTTTTGGAGCAGGTCTTACGCACAGTGTCCGCAGAACCTGCTGATCAAAATCCATTTCTGGGGATGTGTTGTCATACAAACTATCGATGCATTGTAGACATGCGCATGATTGCATTGTGAATTATTTTAAATATATTCAATGGGAATACAGTGGTATAAAACAAGCCAAATTTGCATAAATCGAGTAATATTGCAAATTTTTCACCTGAAAAGTATAAAATCATAAAGAACAGCAGGGGTACCAAACTTTCGGGCCCGGATATCGTTAAATTGCTTGAAGTAGAAATGTGTAAGGAGAATATGATAAGTGAATTGTACCCGTTGGTTGCACTTTTTGTGCATGCAACAAACCAGGAAGTGACAAAGGAAAAAATTGCAAGTGTTATGAGAGCGCTTGGTGTGGAAAGCAATCCTAAGATATGTGAATATTTTGAAATGGATGCGCTGAAGATCAAGGAGCTATTGATGGGCGGAGGACAAGGTGCCGCGCCAATGAGTGTGGGAGGAGGACAGGCAGCTGCAAGCACCGCTGGTGCAGCAGTGGCTGCAAAGAAGGAAGAAGCGCCAGAAGAGGATGCTGAGATTGATTTCAGCTTTTTCTGATTAAAAAGACGTTTCTTTGAATTGTTTTAATATCAACTTTATTGTTAAGCCATAGAGAGACTTTGATGCACATATTCAAGAAAATTAATTTATTTTTAGTGAACTGAAGTTGATTGATCACTGGCTGAATAATCCTAGGATCATCACTATAGATTTAAGTTTGAATTCTCAAATAATCTTGTAAATCATCATTACGCATTTTAATCAACAGCTGAACTAAATCATCGAATGTCCCGTCATGCATGAAGGCTTCTCAATTCCCATTAAATTCAGAACAGTAGGCGCTATATCTCTGATCGAGTATTCTGTATCCACATATCCCCATGACTTGCTTTCATATTCTCTCTTCTTATCACACACAATTAATGGTACCTTGTTTGTGGTGTGTGTTTTACAACACATCCCTCGATCATCTTTCATCTTCTCTGCATTCCCATGGTCCGCAGTAATCACAAGGACACACTCATTCTTAACACATGTATTGTACAGCCTTCCAATGCATACATCAACTGCCTCAACAGCTTCCTTCGCAGCATCAAGATTCCCAGTATGTCCAATCATGTCAGGTGGTGCAAGGTTAAGCACAACAAATGGAGTTCCTTTACATATTTCATCAATTGCCACCTCAGTGACTTTCGCAGATGACATCTCAGGAACCACATCAAAAGATTCAACATCAGGGCTTGGCACAATCACAGTCCTCTGCTTCTCAAAAGGCTGTTCCCTACCTCCATTCAAAAAATAAGTCACATGCGCCTCCTTCTCCTTCTCAGATACATGCACATGTTCAATTCCATTTGTATCCAGCACTTCAGCTAATGTGTTAATCACGTCAGCCCTACGGAAAAGAACCTTTACTTGGAATCCTTCATCATATTCCGTCATTGTAATCACATTGTTTCCATTCTCAATAAACTTTCGAGTAATCTGTCGCATCCTATCTGCCCGGAAGTTAAACATACACACACTATCTCTTTTATACACTTTTCCATATACATCAATTAGTGCCGGCTTGATCATCTCATCATATATTCCCTCATTATACATCCTATGCACATACTCATGCATACTTTCACCAATATTCTCACCTTCAGTCATCATCTTGAAGCTAGTATCTGTTCTATCCTCGTTACCTGCCCTATCCATTCCATAAAACCTTCCTGCCACTGACACAATCTTTCCAGTCCCTGATTCTTTACACCATAATTCAAGATCATTCAGGTCGTCCAGAAACACTTGAGGTGCCGTATCTCTCCCGTCACTTATGCAATGAACAAACACTTCCTTACCACTTTCCCTCAACTCATTCAGAATCGCCTTGAGATGGCGAACATGCGAATGAACTCCTCCTTGACTCACCATCCCAACAACATGTATCCGTCCTATCGTCCCCTCTATTGCTTCTTTTATAGCATTACGCATCTCTCCATTTATAATCGCATTGTCTATCCTCACTATGTCCTGTTCAATCACCCTGCCACTTCCTATAGTCAAATGCCCAACTTCTGAATTTCCCATCTGTCCATCAGGCAATCCTACATGGCATCCATGCGCATAAAGCAAAAAACTATCATACATCAAACTCAATCTCCTCATCCAATAGCATTTAGATCCATCTACCGCATTCCCTTCCATATTATTCTCATCATGTCCCCATCCATCAATTACCACCAAACACACCTTCCTCATCTCACACAGCCCTTCACAAACACCTAATAAAAATCACTCATTTATTACTATTTACTTCATTCATCTTCTCATCCGTTTGTTTTACTCAGTTCCTCATAATACCTTTCATACTGCCTGAACAGATACGACAAGTCCTTATTAGACTCAGTCTCTATCACTGTTTGTATCGCCCTTACAAAGCATCTGTTCAATCCACTTATCTTATCATCCATAACCACAGGCTTGGAAAGATTCAACGAACTCAAAACACCCTTCAACGGTTCTGCATTTCCTATCTCCATTCCTCCACCCACTCTTGCCTTTGCACGCTTCCTACTTGATCCGTCAACAGTCTCCATCACAGGCACTTCATCCTCGTTCGCATCAACTGGTGCAGAGTATGGCGATAGCTGATCCTTTGCCTTTCGTTTCTTTCTATCCTCCATTGGGGTTATCTATCCGTACTAAATATATCATCTTCTATCGCTTGCAGCAGCATCACACACTTGCTTTATCACTCCATCTCATAAAATACACTCTACAAGAAAATTTTCAATCAAATCAAACACTATACAATACACAGTTATCAACTAACCATTTATTCATCTTAACATTCAGACCGCATCCATCTGAACCACCTCGTCAGTTCTCTTCTTCCTGAGAACTCGGTTCCCACAATCCGTACATCTTATAGGATCCTTAAGCTTTATTTCCCTCAAAGACGTGCATTGGATACACACATAAACAAATGACTTCTGTTCTTGATTCATCAGGGTCTTCCTCACTTTCCATTTTATGTCTTTTAATAGTTCAATCAACCTCCCTGGATATACTGGAATGATACTCGTCTAGTATTTCTCCAGGAATCCTATTAAGCATCTCCCTTGGAAACGTCCTCAACAAACTCCATGCAATGTCAAGTGACTCTCCTATAGTTCTGCTCTCATTGTGTCCTTGACTGATAAACTCCTTCTCAAACCGCTCAAGAAATTCAATCGAGACTTTATCTTCGGTAGAAAGCGATTCTTCACCAACTACGGCCTTCATTGCCTGCGCATCTCTTCCAATCGCATACTTTGCATACAGCTGGTTAGACACATCTCCATGATCCTTACGTGTCATTCCCTCTCCAATCGCACTCTTCATAAGCCTAGAAAGTGATGGAAGCACATTGATCGGCGGATATATCTGTCTGTTGTGCATCTGTCTATCAACATAAATCTGTCCTTCCGTTATGTATCCTGTAAGATCAGGAATCGGATGTGTAATGTCATCATTAGGCATTGTCAGTATTGGAATTTGTGTTATAGATCCATTCCTTCCTTCTAGTCTTCCTGCCCGCTCATATATCGTACTCAAGTCAGTATACATGTATCCCGGGTATCCTCTTCGTCCTGGAACCTCTTCTCTTGCTGCACTCACTTCTCTCAATGCATCTGCATACGAACTCATATCTGTCATAATCACAAGCACATGTCTTTCCGTCTCATACGCAAGATACTCAGCAGCTGTAAGTGCAAGTCTGGGTGTTATTATCCTTTCTATTGTTGGATCATTCGCAAGGTTTAGGAACAATGCGGTCCTTCCAATCGACCCAGATGCCTCAAAGCTGTTTTTGAAAAAGTTTGCTGTCTCCACATTTGCTCCCATTGCTGCAAACACAATCGCAAAGTTCTCTTTGCTTCCATCAAGTGCATCCTTCTTCTTCACAAGTCCGGCCTGTCTGCAGATCTGCGCTGCTATTTCATTGTGTGGAAGCCCTGAAGCACTGAATATCGGGATCTTTTGCCCTCTTGCAATAGAATTCATCACATCGATCGATGAAACCCCTGTTTCAATCATTTCCTCAGGATACGTCCTTGCATGTGGATTCAGAGGCTGTCCCTGGATGTCAAGATAATCCTCTGCTATAATGCTAGGCCCTCCGTCAATCACCTTTCCGCTTCCATTAAACACTCGTCCTAACACATCCTCAGAAATCGCCATCTTCAATGTTTCTCCAGTAAATGTAACCTGTGTCTCCTTCACATCAATTCCAGCTGTTCCCTCAAACACCTGGACAACAGCCTTTTTCCCACATACTTCAAGAACCTGTCCTTGACGTACACTACCATCAGGAAGTGTAAGACTTACGATCTCTGCATACTTCAAGAACTTTATGTTATCCAGAATTACAAGCGGACCATTGACCCCAACAATCTTTCGATAGCTCATCTTTGGCTCTATCTTCATGTTGCCAAACATCAGGGATTTGTGTTTTCCAAATAATTCATGCAGGTACTGTATTAATATACACGCAAAGATGCATAATCCAAATGTTTATTGTATCAACATAATCGTTCAAGTTATAATTAAACAAATTGAATAATTCATTGAATAGAATGCTTGTGTAAATGTATATAGTCATGCTAATACATCTGAGAGTAAGAAAAATACTCCTGTCATTGTAGTGATCTTTGGTATTATATGTTGCATTACTAATCTACAAAAATGTGCAAAAAGGACTGGTATGGTAACCAGCGACTCCATCCTGCAGGAAGTACTCATTGCTGCGTTTCCGCCCTCATGCATTCCCCTCCGCTTTAATGGCACATGACACACTCCTACAAGTACGTCAGGTGCCTACAAGACGATCGACAAGATCCACACTTACTGTCCAAGATTTGACTGACTTTCATCTAGTCACCCTTTATTTCTCAAGGCATTATATTCAAGCCAATCATTTGTAATATATTTTTCTACGCTCTTATTCATTAGAACCAAGTAGATCGTTACAAGTAATTATATCATAGAGAAATAGATCATAAACTAATCATTCACTATAAAGTAAAATATATCGTCACAAGTAAGTGCATCATAGAATAAGCACTTCTCACAGAACAAGCATATCAAGACTAACACTTCATTACCATCAAATACATCAAGATTAACACATTCAACCTAAGTATATCATTATAGTAAATACTTCATTACATAACACCACTAAACCATTCAACATATTCACAATCACATCTTACTTAATCCAATTAATTTATTCCACCATATCAACCGTATTATTCCTTTCTAAAGACACTCTTCTTCACCTCAATAAACGAATCGATCATCGTAAAATCTTCCTTACCTTCCTCGTTTTTCTTGCATTCCTTTCCAAAAACAGTCTCCTCTCCGCTGTCTTCTTCCATCTCAAGAAACCCTGCAAATCTGTTTCCGCTCAGCATCAATTGTCTCTTATTTGTTTCACTCTTCTTCTTATGTGGTTCTTCAATTATACTCATCAAAATCGTAGACTCATGTATAGACTCATCTCCTTCTTTCTCCTCTCTAGGCATCTCTTTATTCATCTCATACACTTCCAAGCACTCCATTCCTCCAGCTGAGTCCACTATCGTATACTCTTGATCCATCTCTTTCTCTCCTTCTTCAACAAACTCATAAGGGTTCACAGATTCATCTAAGACATCATTGATTTGTGCAATACACTCCTCCTCAACTTCATTGTTCATTTCATTTCCTACCTCTCTCACCTCAGAATCAATAATCGAAAAATTCGCAAAGCTTCTTGATAATTCATCTACTTCTTCATTATTCACATACTCAGATACTCCTTCATTTAGGCACCAATCCATTCCATCATCAGCTTTATTATCTCCATCTATCCCTGATGATTCTTCTTCATTATCCATAAACTCATTTCCATTCGAATACGATTCAATCAAATCCTTTGCTGTCCACTTCTCTTCGTTAACAATCTCATCTATATCCATTTTCAGACAATTACTTTCTTGATCTCTCATTTGATGATTACAATTATCTTCTTGTTCTCCTATTTGATCCTCACATTGACTAGCATGCAGGTTATCATTGATATTCAAACATTCATGCTTAACCCCTTCACTTATATCCCTTAAATTCCCATGCTCCTCTCTATACTTGCTCAAATACCTATCAAGTCTAATAGGTGTAAGATCATCATGTCTCATCTCTCCTCGTCTCTCATTCACAACCTCAGGATACACCGTACTTCTTCGTGCTCCAGAAAACACCTTCTTAGCTGAACATTGCCCATTCATCTCCTTATCTTCTCCTTTCATACACTTCTCATTCACCTTCTGCTTACTAATCTCTGCTTCCTCAACTACCATCTCACAATTATCCCCAATAACCTTACTCTGCTTTCTTGCTGGCGAAAATCCCACCTCTAACTCCTTCTTCTCTACTCCTCCACTGTCAATCCTCACTGGCTTTCGTACCATCCTCACTGGCTCCCGTCGCATTCCATTGATAACATTCTCTCCTTCTATCGCCTCTCCCTTCCTGCATTCTCCACTCACCAGCTTATCCGTAATCCTTCTGCAAACTTCTCGTATCTCTTGGAACGGGTCTCCTCGTCCCTTCTCAACTATCCCTTCAATTCCATCAATCATCCCAATATTATCAATCATGCCCTCAATCCCTTTGAACACTGCAAGCCTTACATTCTTGTTCTGTGATCCACTATACTCGCTTAAAACTCGCACATGCGCTCTGACATCCGCACATCTGCATATCTCAACTATCACCTCTTCAGCTCGCGAATAAAATATTTTGTTGCTTTTACCACATACTTTCATCAGAGACATCAAGTAAACCCCAGAATACTCAAATCCTCTTCCACACAGTCCCACACACTTCTTTGCAAGCGCCATTGCCGTTCCCGCAAGCTTAGACCTTTCACTCTGTACAGACCGGATCACAAGCTCATTGGCAACCTTCAGCACCTCTTTGGCATCACTTACATCTCTAATTCCACTAGCAAGCTTTCCAAGCACTACATCAATCCTAGACCACGAATTCTCATCCTCCTTGCCATTATACAACACTCCTGCTTCTCTTATCACCTCACTTAAGCTCATCCTTGGGGCTTTCATCCAAAAACAATACTCTTCAAAATTACATCCAACGATTTAATCCATGCGCTACTCTTCAACTCAAGTCACTAGCACACATACTGCTATTATCTAACACCCATTTACTTCCTGTCTCAAGCTCGTCAAACCCTTTCTGCATACTCAGCATCTTGCAAACGTGTACATTCCCAAGTCCAAAAAATTCATTCAGGCTTTCAAATTCAAGCCCTTTAGGAAACAATCTCTTAAGTGCTACAAATACCTCTCCAGACTTTCCACTAATACACATCCCTTCGTCATCAGACACTTCAAATACAGGCTTGCTTCCAACATTCCTAATCACACACTTGTACACCATCAACCCTTCTGCCCTATCACCATGACGTAGGTACACTCTCTTGCACACATAATCAATAGGATATACCCACTTCTGACTATAGAACGATCTCATACTTGGCGTAGGCATCTTTCCAAGGTTGAATATCACCAAAGCACATCTCTCATCAGGTACATCCATCAGCTTCCATTCAAGCATGTTTTGCATTCCAGACCTCACTCTTGACTCACATGCATCGCCATCAACATCCATCTTACCATCAAAGATCCTCAGCACATCTACCAATGCATTCCTGTGATCCTCAAACACATTCAAACATTCAGTGGCTTTGTGTATCTCGTTTAAGAGCATCTCTCTCGTCCTCATTGCCTCTGCAAATCTCTTCAACTGCACTGAAAATTCCTTCCTTCCGTCTTCCACTTCCATCTGGGCATTTACAATGCAATTTTCTCTTCAATACTGCAAAATAGCCCTTCTCTCAATTCACTCACACATTCAATCTATTGGTGTTTGTGCTTCACCACTCCTATGCAATGTACAAGCATTGGGAAAAACACCGGAAAGAATATAGAAAGATTGTACTTCAGGCACAGCCTTAAGAACACTTCACCTCCTCCAATATCCATCCTATTATATGTATCTCGTACCTCCTCAATGTCTCCGTCCATAGGAACATAGGTACGCTTGCAATAGTTCACATTATTTATCAGCGCCTTAAGCATCCGCAGCTTCTCAATACTTTCATTTCCATTCTCAAGCATCGCGTTGAATTTAGTTTTCATTATGCTCTTCTCATGCTCCTTCTTCATGTGCAATACCATCATTGGAACGAAATGATACAGAAAAATCAAAAGCAAGGTATTCAAAAAAAGAATCATTCTGGTACTTATATTCATTGATTATGGGTTTAATGGTATTGCCGATATATACAACTAGTTTAAAGATATGTTATCTTGTTGAGTAAGCATAAATATGTCTATGGTATATCATGCATTTGAATATTATACTGTTATTTACAAGTCTAGGATTGTATTTAAATCATTTCTTGAGTGTTTTCTTCTGCAAATCAAATCTGTGCTTCTCTAATACAAATATCTCACTCATTCTCCTTGAGGGAGCTTTGCCCAGTAGATCTGTAATCATCTTTTCAAGAAGACATATCCTGTCATCCGCCATCTTGTTGAGCTCCTCCAATACATGTATTTTGTGGCGTAGATCCTCAATAAGCGCAAACCCAAGCGCCTTGAATATTTCATCAACTCCTGCATTATCACAATGCCCATCAGATTTAGATTCGTTTGATGTATCATAATTGAGTAAACCATTACTTGTCGGTTCAGCATTTACCGGTGCTATATTTTCCAAAACATGTTGTTCCAGGTATTTCTCATTGTCTGTGTTACTTTTTTTCATACAGGCACAGCTGGTGGATGGAGCAATAGGTTCTGCAATGCATTCATTAGGTGCCGCTACTTCTTCAATCTTCAGCTCAAGATTACAAAGCCTTGCTGCAAACTTCAAAGTGCTTATAGACTCATCTATGCAGCTTTGGCTTGGTGACAGCGCACATATTGCAACAAGGTTTGTCCGACCATCTAAAGATGACTGGAGAATCCTAGTAAGCTTTGAATCCCTGAATCCTGTGTATCTACCACAGCCAATGTTGTTAACAACAGTGCACAATGCTAACAAGCTTTTGTTAATAAAAGCACCTTCTCTTCTCCTATCTGTAGATTTGCTTGCACGCTCACTCCCTGCAAGATCAATCATATTGAGTGTTCGTGTCTGTCCATTGCTAGTGTATGTAACTTGAAGCACTGTATGAGACCTACTGCTCTTTTCATTAAACTCTGTTGCACTAAGCCTCCTGTTTCTCTCACATTTATCGATGAAAGGCACTACATCTCCCCATGCATGCACATTTTGTACACACAAGTTCGACATCACGTTTTTGTTGCCAACGCTGAACATATGAACTTCACTGTTGCTTGCAAGATCAAAGAGTTTTTCGTTATATATCTGAAGATACGAAATGCCTACTGGCCTAACATCGAGCACGTCCTTGATTGCAAGTTTAATAATGCCATGCTCAGCGTCACCAAGCATTGTATGTGTTTTCCCAGAGCCTGTTTGCCCATATGCAAATACAGTGCAGTTCTCATCGTTGAGGAACTTTCGGATCTCATCCTTGACGCACAGCTCGTATACATCTGTGTTTGTCATATTTTCAAGAACCTTCATAAATCCGCCATAAAGCGTTTTTCTACCGTTACGCACATGCCATACGGTGTTTCCAAGTGACTTCCACGCTCCGCATCCATTTGGCTCTGGGCGAATTCTTATGCTCACCTGTACTTTCTTGTGCGTTGCTTCCATGTATAACCGCTTGGATGCTCTTTTGTTGGACACCACTCAAACAAAAGTTTCAGTATCTGCAAGAGCTTAGATGTGTTGGTTGGCTGTATTCACAGGCTAATGAAATCCAGTAATGCAAGTACAGGCTATTTTGGTATTGAAAAAATTATCCCTGCAATGGTGAGGGAGAATAAAATCAAGAGGACCAGAAAGCTGCGTGGACACGTGTCACATGGTTACGGACGTGTTGGCAAGCATAGAAAGCATTCTGGAGGGCGTGGACTCGCTGGAGGGTTTAGTCACATGAGGACCTACTTTGATAGGTTTCACCCGGATTACCATGGCAAGAGAGGAATGAGAGTGTACCACAGAAGCAAGGAGCATGAGTATGCAAAGCCAATCAGCTCGGCAAGACTGTGGGGATTGATCCCCAAGGATCAGCGAAACGAGTACCTGAGCAATGACAGAGTGCCTGTGATTGATGTGAGAGAGTTTGGCTACCATGTTGTTACTGGAGGGAAGCTGGCACTTGAAAGGCCTGTGATAGTCAAGGCAAGGCACTTTTCTGAGCCTGCAAAGGAAGAGATAACAAGAACTGGAGGTAAATGGATAATTACTTATTAAAGTTAGTTCGTATGATGTTTCCTGTATGTTTATTTTATGCATTAATCGTAGATTTATAGTTATATACTTGATGTTTATACATTACTTGTATATTCCTGTTTATTTTGTTCACTGTTTATGGTTATAGATTTGATCACTTGTATATTTCCTATTTATTTTATCTATTTCATTAATTGTATATTCCTGTTCATTTTATGCATTGTAGTGATTTAAGATGAATTATTGAAGAAAACGCATGAGAATACCCGTGGGATTATTGTGATGGAGGGGATAGAACGAGATAGAGAACTTTTAAGGAATGCAAAAAGAATAAACAGGGATATAATGGAGCAAATGATTGTGGAGAGCCAGAAAGAAAAGAAAATCAGCTACATTGGAAATCTTGTTGCATCAAGCAAAGTAGTGTGCATGGAGAAGGAGCAACAATATGTAAGCCGATCAGTAATCAGGAACATGAGCACACAATCGATTTTGTGTTTAGCTTCTGATATATTGAAGCGTGTGGACAGAAAGACTGCACGAAGACTCCAGAAAATAGAGGAAGAGCTTGTATTACGTGAAGATCTGTTTGTAAGTATGATAAATCACATTGAAAGAATGCCCGAGCAAAAAGACGATCTATTCTCGTGGTATCCTGGGCTAGACACATGCAGCATGCATGCATTTGTTTTCAAGCTGCTGCCTGATTTTTCAAGGAAATACAAGGAATATTTTGTTAAGGCAATGGCTTCTCAACGGGAGGGAAAGTCAAAGATTCTCGACGTATTCAGAGGACATCTTGGCAAGGAAACACAAGCTTTTGAAGTGATAAGCGGGGATCTTGTGATCTTTGAAGCGATGAGATGTGTTCCGAAGGGAGGGCTAATTGTTACATCGTCATATTGGTGTGAGATAGATGAAAGATGCGATGATGCGCTTGCGATGATTGCAGGAATTGATGAAAATATACGGATAAATGACAGCATTCATGCAGAGCTATTCCATCCGCTGTGCCATGCTGAGGTTGTTGTGAATGGAAAGGAAGTTTTAGTGTCATTCATTGAACTGAATGACCTTCTGACAAGGAATGCTAGATCGCATAAGTTCTGGATGGATTGTGAAGTGGTAGATGAAGCATGGGAGAGTGTGGATCAATAAATTGTGTGGTGTAGTTTATGCAAATGTACTGATGTTGTAGAATATGGATGGCCTAACCCTGAAATGTCGAGATTTTTTGAGTCGATTGATGAAGAGAAGGAGAAGGCAGGGCGAAGCGAGCTAAGAGAAAAAGTATATGATACAGATGAAAAAATGGGCAAGAAGGAGAAGAGGCTGTGTGATCTGCAGTGCAAGGTAAAGGAGCTTGAGGAAGAGAGTAACCAGAAGGTCTTTGATAAGCAGTTGAAGAAAATGCTTGTTGATGTAAAGAAGGCGGAAAACTGCTTTGGAAGGAGAGTGCCGGACTTTCTCAAAATGTTTTTTGCATCTGACAGAGTGGAAAGGTCGACTCATAAGAAGGCAATTGATGAATTTATGTCTAAGTACGAATGCACGGAGGAACCAATTGAGGAGAAGGAGAATCGAAAGATTGAGGAGAAGATATGCAAGGATTTGAGTAAGATACTTGTGATAAGAGATGGAGAAGAGAGGAAGAAAGAGTTGGAGGAGTTTAAGGGAAGTACAAGAGACGAGACGATGAGAACCAAGGCCCTGATGGCACTTCTTTCAATTTATGTAAAGACTGGTAATGGAGCAAAGATGCTTGAGATAATGAACGAGATACTCGATTGCTTTGTGGTTGATCTGAATGCAAGTGCAGCAAGAGTAATGCTGTTAGATAATGTTGATTTCTATCTCGGAGTGATATATGAGAAGCTTGATGAACTGATGTTTGGTATGTATGAAAGGCTACTTGGACGACTCTTGCTTGTTGACAGAGACACAGTTGAGAAGAGGGTGTTGCAGTTTGATGTGTTTAAGATGCATAGAAGTGTTGAAACTACCAATCCGCTGTTTAAGCTTATTTATATTGTTAGAAACGGAACTCAAGAAGAGGCCAACAAATGGTATTTGCAGATCAAGGACAGTATTGCAGGCGGGAAGATTGAGCAAGAGGTGTTAGAAGAATATGGAATACGTTCATTTAAGAACGGAGACTTTGAAGCGTCGTATGAAGTGCTTTCAAAGTGCCATCCTGCAATGTCCACTGAATGTAAGCTGTATGTTGAGCTTTTGTGTGTGATTCTGAACGATAGGATCCGAGGAAGTCCTGCTCACAAGAGATTTGTTGAGGAGTTTATGGAGTTCAGCGAAAACAGGTTTTGCCTGAGATCTGGTAATAGTAGAGTGGAGGCACAAAGGGCGTTTTATCTGCTGAATATGTATGATGTTGACGGAACAGCAGAAATAATAAGAAGGCATTGTAAGTGCTTTGATGAGAATGTATGGCTCAGAGGGTTTGTGAATACCAGATTAATAGGCTAAGATATGCATGGAAGGCCTGAATGGGAATGCAATCAATAAGACACTTTTCAAAGCATATACATTACATTATGTATGCATTATGGTCTGTAGGCCCTGCATTGTCATGAAAATTTTAGTGACAGGAACACCAGGAGTAGGAAAAACAACGTTCTGCACAAGAGTTTCTGAGGTATTTGGAATAAAGCACATAGATGTCAGCAAATATATAGAGGAAAACAAATTGTATGATGAGTACAGTGAAGAGTATAAATCGTTTGTATTTGATGATCAAAAAGTTAGGAATGCGCTTTTATTGGATCTTTGTGAAACAGATTCGTATATTGTTGATACTCACTGCTGTGAAGTGGCAAGTACACTGGACTTTGATATGATTTTTGTTCTGACCTTGCCTATTGAAATATTGTACAAGAGATTGAAAGACAGAGGCTATGACGAATCTAAAATCAAGGAGAATGTCGAGTGTGAGATATTTGGTATTTCAAAAGAGGATGCAGAATGTCTGTTTGATGTGGAGATGCATGTGGTTGGCTCTGAGCACGAAGAGATGAGTGTTGATGATGCATTTAAAGTCATAAAGAGCAAGATCAAGAGTTTGAACAATAAATAAAATTCTTCTATGTTTATTGATTTATGCTTGCATAATAACATTTGCATGCATTATTATATCTAAACCATGCGCACAAGCCCATTCTTGATCAGATGAGTCACAGTGCCTTTTCTGATGAAGTATATCCTGTCCTTCTTAAGTTCAACAACATCATCAGCATCCATTACAATTCCACAGTCTTCTAATGTGATGATGCTAACAAAAAAGTCTATTGGGGGCATTGATTCTGTGAAGTCAAGTACCGAAAAATCAAGCAGGTAGTCTTTAAGAATGCTGTTATATTTGCTTGTGTATTCCAACTCATCAGAAGACAACAATCCTGCATTGCATTCTCCAGAAAAAAAGCAACGAAATAAATGCAATGACCTGTGGAACCAGTATGCCCTTAGAATCCTCTCATTACGTTCCTTCGTATATTTCAGCATGATGTAGTTGACTGAAAGCTCCTCTGAAACTTCATTTCCAGCCTTCCTTTTCAAATCGTCCATCATTTCGCACAGTAACTTGTTTTCATCACACAATGTTCTTGCTTCTTGGTGCCTGTATGGCTTAAGTGTATTCGACCTGGCATCTTCAAGAAGACGAAGCCCGGCCTCTCCAAACTGCATGGGATTGAAGTGCTCGTGATTTTTCCATTTATATTACTCTAACTAAGCATTGCATAATAATCAAATGCCATATTATAGCAATTCCAAACACATCAACTCAACAAAACTCTTTAATCACACAGCACTGCAATATATCTCACAGAACTTCATCTTCAGACTTATACTTCGATGCATAAAGCTTAACCCACTTCTTCGCCTTCTTCTCATATTTCTCTATGTTTTTGCGGTATAGCCCTGCTGCCTCTCCATTAAGTGGATCATCTGGATTCGGCTCCTGCAGAAGGACAATAATCGACAACAGAACTTTGTCTATTGTCAGTGCAGGTGTCCACTGATCCTTCAGAATGTCAAGACACACATTCTTCTCAAATATGTTGCAGTGGAATATCCGCGTGTTGAATGTCACTTTTGGTGGACTGAAAGGATAGAACGGTGGAAACACAATCTGTAATTCAAACATTCCATCCTCATAAATAGATCCTGGAGGCCCCATTATCACCGCATTCCACTTATCAAGTTCATCGGGATTCACAGGCCCTGCACTGCATCCAGGTGGTGGGTTCTTTGCCATCGACTCCATCTCAATCAACAGCCTGTTCTTCCCACTGATTGTCGCCATTGAACTACTCGGGGTCACAACATTTTCAAATATATCCATTTGTTGTCATACACAACACTATCAATAATAAGCAACTGTTTAATCTCAAATCGTTTCGCACTCATGAGGAGCACATAAAGCACGTCTCATCTCCATCATTCATCGAAGACAGTGTCTTTTCCGCAAGCTTCTTGTCAACCGTAAACTTAATTGCCGACGTTATTGGCCGTGTCCTCAGATAATACATTCCCGTCTTCAGTCCTGAATGGAACCCGTAGAAATGCATAGATGTTATTTGAGAATACGTTGGCTTTGCAATAAAAATATTCAATGATTGTGATTGATCAACATATGCCTGTCTGTCTGCTGCAAGATCTATCACTGCCTTCATCTTTATCTCCCATGCCGTTTTGTATATATCCCTGATCTCCTTGGGTATCGACACTATGTTCTGTATAGATCCTTCGTTCTCAATAATCAGATTCTTCATCTCATACGACCACAACCCAATTCTCACAAGGTCATCCACAAGGTACCTGTTAACAACCTGGAACTCTCCTGCATGGGTTCGTCGTGTGTATATGTTCGATGTGTATGGTTCAAACGCCTCGTTATTTCCAAATATCTGCGATGTCCCTGCCGTAGGCATCAGTGCAATCAGAAGGCTGTTACGTACCCCATGTTTTGCAATCCTTGCCCTCAGCTGCTCCCAGTCCCAGCGTTCAGATCCATTTCGTTCTGCAAGTTCAAAATGGAACTTTCCTTTACTTATGGGCGATCCTTCATACGAATCAAACCGTCCTTCTCTTTCAGCTATCTCACAAGAGGCATCTAACGAAAAGTAATACATCGCCTCAAAAATATCCTTATTCAGCTTCCTGGCGTCTTCGCTATCAAAAGGAAGTCTCAGCATCGCAAAAAGATCAGCAAGTCCTTGAACCCCTATTCCAATCGGGCGATGCCTTAGATTCGACCTTCGAGTCTCTTCAACAGGATAGTGGTTCTTATCAATCACCTTGTTCAGGTTCCGCGTTATAATCTTCAGTGTCTTTCCAAATAGTTCAAAATCAAACCCTCCGTTCTTCACAAACTTCGACAGGCATACAGACGCAAGGTTGCAGACCGCTGTCTCATCAGCTGCTGAATACTCTATAATCTCTGCACATAGATTTGATGATTTGATAGTTCCCAAGTGTTGTTGATTACTTAGTCTGTTGGATGTGTCCTTGTAACACATATACGGCGTTCCAGTCTCAATCTGCGATTCAACAATCGCCTTCCACAACTTCTGCGCAGGTATAACTGTCCTGCTTATTGTCCTCTCATACTTGCAATACAGCTCGTTAAACTCCTTTCCCCACACATCCGCAAGGCCCACTGCTTCATTAGGACAGAATAAAGACCACTCCTCATTGTTTTTAACCCGCTCCATAAACAAATCACATACCCACAGCGCAGTAAATACATCCCTGGCACGCAGCTCCTCTGCACCAGTATTCTTGCGCAACTCAAGAAAGTCAAATATCTCCATGTGCCACGGTTCAAGAAAAATAGCTATAGATCCAGGTCTTCGCTCAGACCCTTGGTTCACATACCTCTTTGTAGAGTTCAAGACCTGGATCAATGGAATAATCCCGTTGCTTCGTCCACCAGTACTTCTTAGTGCAGACCCTTTGGATCTTATTCCGTGCAGATTCAATCCAATTCCTCCCGCATGCTTCGATATTATTGCTGTCTGATTGATCATGTCATAAACCCCTTCAATCGAGTCTTCCTTCGGTGTTATCAAAAAGCAGCTTGCCAGTTGTGGATTCTTCATGCATGAATTATACAACGTAGGCGTTGCATGCGTAAAGTAGTGCTCAGAAAGCATCTCATACGTTTCCTTAACTCCATCAAAATCCTCTCCATGTATCTGTAGCGCCATCCTCATTAACATGTCTTGCGGTCTCTCAACAATCTCATCTCCCACCTTCACCAAATAAGACTTCATCAGTGTAAGAATCCCAAAATAACTAAACCTAAAGTCATTCTCATAGTCTATCATTCGTTCAATCTCATCTTCACGCCTCACAATCAGCTCATACATCTCTTCAGAAATTATTCCCCTGTGCTTTTGTATATACTTGATCTTCTCAACAAAGGAGTCCATCGTCACCTCATTCAGATGCATCATGACTATCCTCGAAGATACCGTTCCATACTCAGGGTGCTTCGTTATCATGGCTGCTGCAGTCTCTCCACTGTAGTAAACCATCTCCTTCCAGCTCATGTCTTCACACCATCCAGAGCGTATCTTCTGCATAAGCTCTTCAACATCCACATGCTTCAGATCCAACCCACCAACAAGACTTTCAACCTGCTTCCTAATCCTTTCCAATCCAGGCTCCTCAACCTTTGTCCTCTTCGTGTTCTGCAAATTCTCCATTTATGGGTCCTGAGTTCCGCCAAAAAATCCTTTCTATTAAAACTCACGCTTGTTCACATGCATAAAATAACACTTCATTTAATAATAAAGTTATCATCAATTAACAGATATCACATCATTTAATCATTTAGTCATAAACGCCTCATCAATCTCCCGAGAAAAATACATCTCAATCTCATGCCGCTTTTTCTTAGACGTAGGCGTAAGGAACTCCTGTCGTTCAAAACTATCAAACCCTTTGCGTATAACAACTACATTATGTGGAATCTCAAGCTTTGTCACGGCCTTCTCCCAAAATAGCTTCTCCCCAATCCCTTTCACATGAGCCAAAATACTAGCCTCACTTCTACGCTCATCAGGACATACCACTATCGCCACTATCTTGTCACTATCAGTCCTTCTTGGTATACACACATCCATAATAACATTTCCATCCGTATACATATTCTCAAGCTTCTCAGGATCAATATATTCACCCTGCGACGTTTTAAACCCATCCTTAATCCTGCCAACAATATGGAACATTCCAATCGTTGGATCATACATTCCAATATCTCCTGTGCGCAGCCACCCGTCCTTGCCAAACAGCGCTTTCGTGTCATTCGGTCGCTTGTAATAACCGCTTGTGATATTATCTCCCCTCATCATTATCTCCCCAACATCCATACCTGGATGTCTTCGGTCACACTCCTGCTGAAACTCAGGCGACATCTTCTCAAGCTTAATCTCATTCGCTGGATACGGAATTCCAACATTGTCGTAGTCATTGCAATCAATAGGCTGCAACAGCCCTGCTCCAATATTCTCTGTCTGTCCATATCCCTGGAAAACACGGCATGAAAACACAGCCTGAATAAAATACAGCACCTCAGGTTTCAATGGTGCTGCTCCACACAATATCCATCGGATCTCTCCTCCAAACTGCTTAGACACTTTATCAAATATCATCCAGTCAAGAAACTTGCTACTCATCACTCCCTTCCGCTGCTTCCAAATCTTGTACTTCAGTGCAAGCTTAAAAATTCCTCTAACCAAAAAATTCTTCTTCCTAATTTCAGTCTCAATTCTATCCTTAAACAAATTCAAAACCCTAGGCACAGATGCAATAAATGCTGGCTTGACCGTCAGAAAGTCCATCTGGAGCATCTTTGCATCTCCTCGATAAAATCCCACTTTTAATCCTGCAGATATAGAAATATTCATGCACAGCCTCTCCATCACATGCGCTAGCGGCAGGTACGACAGATACACCCCTTCATCATTCACAAACGATGGTAACTCTTCCTTCGTAGATCCTCTGTAAAACGCTGCTATCGATGTAATAAAGTTACTGTGCGTTAGCATCACACCCTTAGGCCTTCCAGACGTTCCACTCGTGTAGCACACAGTTGCAAGATCCTCTCCTTTGGGATAAAACTCCACATTACTTGTTCCTTCTACATTTGCAAGATCTTCAAAATAATTCGTGTTCACTCCAGCTCTGCGCAACTTCTCGCATACATCCTCGTCCTTGTCCATCATAATCACATGGAACTGCTCCCCTCCAGACACCAAAAACACATTCTCAAGCAGCAGCTTTGCCTTATCTGCAGATACAAAAATAACCTTCATGCCCGTCTCCTCAAAAACTAATTGCACCGCAGAAGGCGAAAACGTCGAATACAATGGCACATTCACACATCCAGACATATATCCTGCCATCTCTGCCGCAATCCATTCGTATCTATTCGGTGAGTATATCCCAATCATGTCTCCAGGCTTTGTTATTCCATTCAGAAAGCTCGAAATGTTTTCTGCTTTGCTTTTCATCTCATTTGCAGTCAGATACATAACCTCAGATCCAACTATCGTCCCCATCATTGCATGCTCTCCAAGCAAGTTGCATCTGTTCAAAAACACTTCTAGAATCGTCCTTGACCCATCAGGCGTACACTTGACATCCTTCTGGTAGTTGATGTGGCGGAAAGCTCCTTCCTCAGAAACAACAACTCTCTCAGTCATCCTCATCTTACAGGGTTCCCAAAAATATCTCTTCTCAAAACAAACATTTAATTACCATTCATACCTTATACTTACCTAATAATCAACTCTCCTTATTTGTACTGTATCTATCTCAATTAAAATATATTGCATCTATCTTCTTAATGTACTCTTTTACCTTACTGCACATCTCTGCATCCCCATACACATCAAAACCTGCAACATAAGCCTCTTTATATCCACTCACCACTCGGATTCTGTCTGCTTGTTGCTCAATCACAAAGTAGTTCTTGAGCACCTTTAGCAGCAACTCCTCCTTACCCATCATGCTCAACTTCGCTCCTCTTGCTTTTTTACCAACATCAGAAATTACCTTACTAACCGCAATTGCCAAAACATCATCAACATAATTGCTCTTCCACTCAAGCACCACTTCTTGCCCCTCAAGCATCACCAGCACATTGCCAACCAGAAATCCATTGCTAACCTCAACAAGCTCCTCAAAACTATCAACAAGCACCTGCTTTAGAAACACACCAGTTGAATTATATGGAATTCGCTGTCGCTCATACACACTCACCTCTTTGTATTTAGAATCCGCTAGCTCACTCCTTCTGTATATTCTGATGTCATCCTCTGTTCCTATCACAATCCCTTCAAACTCTCCCTCAAATCCACTGAATATCTTCGCTTCATTATCCTTAATAACATCAAAACTCGCTTCTTCACCGTTCCTCAGTGTATAAAGCGCCATCTCCACTCCGTTCTTCTCATTCCGCTGCTGTATCACATTCCGAAGCCTCTGCATCTCATTAGCCTCCCCGTGCACAAAGAACAAGTGCTTTGGTTGACATTCATCAATAAACTGGCTATTCTGAGTAAAATCAACATGTGCACTAAATGAAATATATTCCACTGTCATATTCAGTCTTAGTCTCTTCCCGTTCAGTGCATCTATTTCCTTAGGTTCACTTAGAATCTCCTTTGCAAGTGTCCCATCAACACAATATCCAGGTATTATCACTGCATTTTTTGCATCTGAGCACCATCTTTCAAAAAGATCCCGAGAAAGACCGCTCTGCAACATTCCAGGACTTGCCATTATCACACACGGCCCCTCATCATCAAAAGAATCAATCCCTTTCAGGCTCTGTACATACTTAAATGCAAACGGATTCCTAACAAGACTCAGTCGCTGAATCCTTTCATTCATCATTCCTATATATGTCTGGTAAACTCCCATGCATCTCTTCGCTAATGCCGATGCATAATATATCGGAATCTTATGAAGCATCGCATTAGATCCCCAATGCTCCTCAAGAATAAGAAGCAACTCCTGAGCCCTTCCAAGTGCAAAAACAGGAAGAAGGCATCGTCCTCCCCTTAAGACAACATTCTGTACAACACTCGTAAATCTACTTTCCCTCTCAACCCTCGGAAGATGGCATTGCACTCCGTACGTGGACTCTGTAATCAGTGCATCAAGCTTGCACTCTGGTGACTCAGCTGCTTTAAGATGTCGATCCTCTTCTCTGCTAAAATCTCCAGTGTACAGCAATTTACTCTTCTCAATCTCTATCAGGAACATCGCCGCGCCAAGCACATGCCCTGCATTCAATGCCTTAACTTTTATTCCCTTCACATTGACTTCCTGGTGATAATCAATTGGAATAATCCGGTCATAACATCTGGTCAGGTCTCCCTCAGTGTAGAAGTCAACATCAGAGGATGCATTGATGATCCTTATGTAATCGTTCAGTAGCCACTTAAGAATCGCTTTTGTTGGATGTGTCATGTACACCTTTCCTTTGAAGCTTGTCTTTTCCGTCAGAAATGGTAACGCAGCTGCATGATCAAGATGAAAATGCGTAATAAACACCGCATCAACCTTCGAAAGATCAATCAGATCCAAAAACGGAAGCGATGCCGTTCCTGTGTATGCCGGATGCACTCCACAGTCAAGCATCAGCGTTCTACCTGCACACTCAACAATCACACAGGATCTTCCTACCTCATTTCCTGCTCCAAGAGGCATCACTTTTATCTTCTCACTGAAGAACATTCAGGGGACTCAAAACATCTCTTTTTACAACAGTTATATAAATCACAATATGTTAATCATGCTAGATTACAAGTATCGTGTAATTTTATAACCACAATTCATTCTATCATGCTATATTACAAACTCATGAATTTTCAAGTTTGCTATTTATCAATACCTAAGTCATTACAAACACACTGTTAAACCATATAAAACACACATAAATCAAAAAACATCCTTTAATCGTTTATCTATCAGATTCCATGTATTCCTTCTCAAATCATATACGAACCCCTCAATGCATTCTCATCCTTTAGATCCTTCCCTCTTCATCGCTCCGTATATTGCTATCGCTACAACCACACTTACAACGCCTCCTGCAACTAACATATTCCTTCTAGACACTTTGCTTCCCTCTTCAGTCCTCTTCTGCGTCCTGATAAACTCCTCTTCCACTTCAATAACTTTCACAAACAGATCATCATCAACTTTTTGTATTGCTTTCTTCGTAGATATCTGCTCATAAAACAGCACAAGTAGAATAAACGGACAATTGTTGGGGCATGCAAGAATTATCTCAAACATCTTGTGCACATCCTCCACACTCGACAGATTCCTCAGAAAAAACGTCAGGATGCTCTCCATAAACCGGAAGCATTCCATCTCTGATATCCTTGTCCCAGTCCTACGTCTTATCATCTCCACAAACACTTTCATATTCCTTCTATACTCCTTAAATCCATCAGCCACTATAGGTTCAAATTTCCTTCTAAACACATTTATCAGTACCGTCCTGAGCACATCATTTACTTCTGAATTTTTTTTGATTATCTCCTTAATCTTTGTCTTCTCATCTTCCCCCGCATCTATAAACCGTTCAGAAATATCAACCGAATCATCCTCTTCTTTATCTACATGTTCATTCGTTTCCTCAGTATCCACTCCAATCTCCTTCCTAACAATGTCTTTGAAATAGTGCAAAACAAATACAGATGCTATTTCGCTCATTCCCTGCACATATTCAACAGAAATCGTGCACAGGCAATCAAAAAGAATCATCTTAAGAACACTAGACTCTTTAGAGACCCTTCTAACCCCCAGGAGCTGTGTCCGCTTCACGTCGTTTTCAATCAGTTTTCTCTCGTCGTATCCCTTCTTCTGCTTCTTGTAATCCTCTCCCTCAGTTTTTCCCTCAAACGACTTCAGAACATCCACAAACTTCACTCCCTGCATATACAGGGCATTGTAGAGTCTTTTATTGTTTAAGGCATGGCTTAGTAAACCAATCAGGTCATGTTTATGCACATAACTACAACAATTCAGGATTGTGGACGTCATTCACATCCTAATTGGTTCGCTAACAAACATAATTCGTCAGTTTATGCAATACGCATGTTCTATAGAATATAAACAAAAAGAATGTCATGCATATGGTAATCGGTGTATTTCTTGCTACAGCCCTTGCAGTTGTGATTATCAGGTATCTCTACTGCAAAAGACGGAATAAGCTTGGAATGAGCTTTGACAAGGCCCCGTCACTAGAGTGGGCACCTTGCAGTAGGGATGAAACTCTGTGCAGATTAGAATCGGAATCTTTTGATCTTGTTGTTGTTGGTGGCGGATGCACGGGTGCAGGATGCGCACTGGATGCAACCACGCGAGGACTCAAGGTGGCATTGATAGAAAGAATGGACTTTGGGTCTGGTACAAGCTCAAAATCCACAAAGCTTGTACATGGTGGAGTAAGGTATCTTGCAAAGGCAATTGCAAGCTTTGGCTGGTCACAGTGCAAACTTGTATTGCAGGCATTAAGTGAACGGACAGTAATGTTCAACATTTCACCCTACTTAACAAACACAATCAAGATAATTGTTCCAATATACAGCAAAGCATGGGCACCTTATTATTATATTGGCCTGAAGCTATATGACTGGATGTCTGGCATAAAGTCATTAGGTAAGAGCTACTTTATTAGTAAAGAGCAGGCTGTGCATGCATTTCCTCAGGTAAACAGACACAACCTGTATGGTGCAATGGTATACTTTGATGGCCAGCAAGACGATGCAAGAAATAATGTGATGCTTGCAGTAACTGCAGCATACCATGGTGCAGCGGTTGCAAACCACGTATCTGTAATTCAATTGATTTTTGAGTGCTCGAAGGTTGTTGGAATTAGATGTAGAGATGAAATAACAGGTAAGACAATTGAGATCCGTGCAAAAGGCATCATCAATAGCACAGGAAATCTTGTAGACACACTCAGGATGATGGATGAAAAATGCAAGGATAAAATTGTTGTACAAAGCTCAGGAACACACATTGTTCTTTCTGGCAAGTACATTCCAAGAGATATGGGATTTCTTGATCCACAGTCTAGCGATGGCAGAGTAGTTTTCTTCATGCCATGGATGGGAAAGACACTTGTTGGATCGACAGATGCAAGAACAGTTGATGGAGACACGATACCAACCGAAAGTGATCTTGACTTTCTACTCAATGAAGTTGGATCGTACTCTTCTGTGTCACCAAAACCAACGCGAAGAGATGCCTCAGCAGTATGGACAGGAATTCGATCACTTGTGAAAGATGGCTGTGCATCTGATACAAGCTCAATTGTAAGGAAGCATTATATTGGCATCGATGACAATGGATTGATCACAATTACTGGTGGTAAGTGGACAATATACAGGAAAATGGCTGAGGAAGCAATCGACATTGCAGTGAATGTGTTTTCTCTACAGCCTCAGAGAAGATGCGTAACAAGACATGTAAAGATTGTTGGAGCACATGGATACACTGAGGATACGTGGAAAGAGATTAATAAGAAACTGAAAGTTCCCGAGGACATGGCTAGACGGTTTGCCAGGTTTTATGGAGCAAGGGCATTGAAGCTTGCAGATTACATTGCCAATGGAGAAAAGAGGCACGTGATGTCCAGAAAGTATTCATATCTTATTTCTGAGGTTGAGTATTGCATAGACAATGAATTGGCAGTCAGCATATGCGATGTTCTTTCGAATAGACTTATGCTCAGTCTTTTTGATGTTAGAGAGGCATATGAATGTGTTGGGCAGGTTCTTGATGTGTTCAGAAGAAAGCATCGCTGGGGTGCAGATAGATGTAATAAGGAAGAGATTGAAGCAGTTAAACTACTGAATACGTATGGCCTGAGCCTTTTAAGAGAGAAGGATGGCTGTGAAGATACTGCTACACATATTGAATGTCCGCTGAATCGAGCCAAGAGGACAGAGTAATAAACTCGAGTGAATGCATCGTATTTAATGCCATACAGTGATTAACTTTAAGAACTTTCATGCGGTATTCACATTAGTTTACTTTTTGCTTATGAACATAGGAAGCCTTGAAAACAGCAGGTTCTTGAGCACAGACCTGAATGTAGGAATGCAGTCTTTTAGCATCACAAATAGTCCAGAAGCTTCCAGAACAAATCCAAACGCACAGAATCCATAGATCAGAAACACGATTCCCATCACAAACAAAGCCATGCCATGCGCTTTATCGATGCTCAATAATGCAAGTGATTTGGATCGCAACAGCAGTCCAAGGCCCACAACTATCAGGAGGTTCCCGGATATCATCAATGCCTTATCCATTAGCAAAAGCATTCCTATTGCAAACACAGACATTCCTATTGATACGACTGCGATTCCGGACTCTTTGGGATTCATTTGAAAGGCAGAGGGTTTTGTATGCCTGCAAATATGCTGGTCAGAGGCCCTGTGCAATGAGAAGAATAGCTGATGTTAGGACACATTGCAAAAGACAGGATGTGGGCAAAGACAAACATGTGGGGGTAATACTACATGTTCCGGTTGATGTATTGTACATGATATCGAGGTATGAGCGGCGCTTGAAAAGTTTCTGCAGAAATGCCCGAGAGAATAAAGAAGTGTCTTTGAATGCACCATGGAAGACGTCGTACGAAAGGAAGGCATTTCATGACAGCAAGATGGCCTTTGATGTGAATTTGTGCCCGTTTGTGAATCTGACAAACTTGAGCATAAGAAATACATGCTACTTTGATATATGCTCGATTAATGGGAGTGTGATAAGAGTATTGGATATGGAGAATGTACTAAATCTGGATGTAACAAGGACACTGTGCATGATTTTAGAAGAGATAAAGATGAAGAGATGTACGATATCGTATAAAAGCCTGAAATGCATTTTAGGCATAAAGACATTGGTAAGTGTGTCATTTGATGGAGTTGTTATAAATGATCAGGCTGTAAGTCCAGATAGATTTTACAGCGATGGAGTTGCGCTGCATAGTGGGGTTTTTATTGAAATGATTGAACAGATGCCTCGACTGAAGCGAATTGAATTGATTAACATGGAAGTGGATATAGAAAGGATAGTCAATGCATGTGTTATGAGTGATATTGGATGGTTTAAAATAAGGAGCAAAGATGTGCATGTGGAGGTTGGTTTCTGTGCATTTGCAAATAGAATCAGATGCTTTAATGGCATGAGGTATTTAACAGGGATGGATCTGTGCGAACCTGAGTCTGTGTATATGGAAGGCAATGATGTAAGGCATCTGATTGAGAAGAATTTTCCAAGAATAAGTTTTCTCAGCCTGCGCAATGCGGAAATAGACAGCAGACTTGCAAGAACATTGTGTATGAGATATTCTAAGCTTGTTGGGATTGAGTTCATAGGATGCAGGTTTGAAGGCGCAGTGTTTTATGAAATAAGCGCACATTTCAGAAGTTACCTAAGGTATATGAATTTGATGAGATCAGACCTGCCTCACGACTACATGTGTTTTTTGGGAAGCACATTGAGGCACTGTGTTGTAAGATTGAAGAATGGAGAGCGAGTGGTTGTGAGAAGGATAGGGAATGTTGATGATTAGGTTTTTAGGTGTGTAGTGGATTTGATGTTTAGATGATTTTATGAGTAGTGGATGTTTAGATAATTAAAACTTGATGTTTAGATGATTTGATGTGTAGATGTGCAATAGATTAGGTGTTTATGTGTTTAGGCTTGTAATAGATGCTTAGATTATTAAAACTTGATGATTAGATGTGTAGATGGTTAAATGATTAGAGCAATATCATTGGTTTAACAGTCCCTTTTTGTATAGATGGTAGACAGAGCAAGAGAAGTTTTGAATACACTTCTTGGATTGGACAGAGATGTGTACAAAAGCACAGAAAGACGTTCAATTGATGAAAGCATATGTAAATACATGCTTGTATGTTTCTGTCCTTTCAAGCTTTTTGAGAATACAAGGAGAAGCATTGGAAGATGCAGATACACAAGTCATGAGGAATACTACAAAGTTGAGTATTGTCGACAAGGAAGTATTGGGATTGAGCAGCATGAGTGGGAATTCATACGGTTGCTCGTAGAGATTGTGGTGTACACAGAAAGATGTCTTGAGAAACGGAATGACGAAGGCAAAGATATTGAGCTTGCAGATAAAATTGCAGAAGTTGAAGAGACATTCAACAAGCAATACAACACGATTGAGCAGCTTGTGAAGCAAGAAGGGGTGAGTGAGGCATATGATGCATTTATGAAGTGTGAGAAGACAAGGATGAACTTAGAGAAGCTTAAAGAAGCACACTTTGCAAGAAACGGAGGCTCTGGAATGGATAAGTGCATGGTATGCGGTTCTAGCGTGGTTTTAAGTGATACAAAGTCGAAGAATGCCAGTCATATAAATGGAAGGCTGCACAAAGGACATCTTCTTGTTAGAAGGAAGTTGGCTGAGCTGCTGAAGAAGGTTGGAGTGTCAAGCATAACGGAGATTTTTCCAAATGGATTTTCATTTGAGCATTTGAAGGTGTAATTTATGCAAATGAATATTGGAAGACTGTTGAATAAACGAAGAGCGTTAGAAGAATTAATTGAAGTTTTGGAGTATGAAGCACAGAATGTGCGAATTCTGTATATGTGGATGGTTTTATATAGTTAATGGTTGGCATGCGTTAAACAATCACAATGCGCATGTGTATTGGATGTCTAACGAAGAGTTATTTTTGTATTTGAGCAATACCCACAGATGTCTGACGAAAGCATATGGCGTAGCATATGCGGAAAGAATTACTGTTCGTTCAAGATGAGTACGGAAGATAAACTGCTGTGTAGAAATCCAAACAATGTTACTGGGATATGCGAGAGGTTTTCGTGTCCACTGGCGAACTCTAAGTATGCAACTGTAAGGGCGATTGGAGAAGAACTGTATCTTTTTGTGAAGGAGCCTGAGCGTTTGCATGTGCCCAAAGACATGTATGAGCAGATAAAGCTGTCTATGAACTATGAAGAGGCGCTCAAGGAGATAGATACGAATCTTGAGTTTTGGGATGATAAGATGATCCATAAGTGCAAGCAGAAGCTCTCGAAGTTTACGCAGTATCTGAGAAGGCTTGAGTACTTCAAGGAACATGGGAAGGCTGAATATATGGTACGCAAGAAAAAGATGAACAGAAGGGAGAAGCTGCGTGCACTCCGATCGCTTAATAAGGTTAATTTTGAAAAGAACATTGGGGATGAGCTGATGATGAGGTTAGAGAGTGGGATATATGGAACGGAGTTGAAGGACAGATTCCACATAGCCAACAAGGAGGTTACTGCAAAAGAGAAGAAAATGAAGAGGAAGAAAAGATATGTTGCAGAGTTTGAAGAGAGTGCCCATGTGTCTGATGATGAGGGAGATAAGAAGACAAAGAAGAAGGTTGCCATGATGTGGTAGTGCTAAGCATGGCAAGATATACTTGTTCATGTTAATCTAATAAATCTCGATAAATAAACTAATTGATGAATATATTTGGAGTGTTATAGTAAAATAGTTGTAGTTATTTATAGAATGTTGACTAAGAATACTCGTGAGTATTGGATTAGGTAAATGATAGATTATAAATCAATCGGTATGTGAATTTGCCTATATTCATGTGAGCATATTGCAGTGCATGTTATCATACAAAACCATCATGTAAAAATATAATCTAATGAACTTATCATATAAACTCATCTAATACAAACAACATTTAATTAATGATCTCATTGCATAAAAATCATTGCATTGTATAAAAATCATCATGCACAACATCACCATGTAATTCATCATGTAAAATCATTGAGATTTACACTTGATTTGTACAAATTCCACTAATATCCTTGTAAACCAAATACAATACACACTTCCTTCTAGCACTTTATTATACTCATAGCAGACTCTATCAGCTCTCATCACTTCTCTGATGACTTGCTACTCTTGAATATTCCAACAATAACCGCATGGTCCTTCTCAAATGGATCAAGCGTTATCTGCTCTTTTGGTTTTATGCCACACTTCCTCAGCACATTCACCTCATCAGCAAAAACTGTCTCAGCAGGAACCGCCGAATTCACACAGTTCGCCTTGATTGACACATCTATTCCTCCGCTCTCCTTCAAAAAATACTGTGCATTCAATCCAACTATCCTTGTCTGGTCTGGTTGCGACACATCAGAAAAAATACAGTCAACCATCGGTACAAGCATTCTGTACCGCGATGGATGCCTTGCATCCTCTATGATCGGCACTACATTCGTCCTCTTCATACACATGTTCACTAGGTCTCGTCCAGACCTCTCGCTGAACTCAACCGCATACACAACTCCTTCTTTGCCAACAATATCAGACACATGCGAAACAGTCGTCCCAGATGACGCTCCCAAATACAGCACTTTGCTTCCAGGCCCAATATGTATGTCCTTAACCCCACACACTATCCCTGCTGCAAGCTTACTTCTATATGCATTCCACATCCTATACTCAACCTTCTCTCCATCACATTCAACAACCACTCTCTTCTCTCCATACACACTCACTCCAGGAACCATGTTCTTAGTAAGCAGCAGGTCTTCCTTGCCTCGTGAAATATACACTCCAGCAAATCTTGGATGCGCTTCAACCAACACTTTCTTGTCACCACCCTTCACTGCACTCCCTTTCTTCTTATTCTGCATTCTATCCTTTCCTCGCATATCCTTCCTGTTCACCCTTCCCTTAGAACTCATCTTATCATTCTTCTTCCCATCAAATCTTGTATTTCTATTAACGTTCTTCATCAATCCTTCAAGAGGGCAAAAATTATCAACTAAAATACCTTCGTGTTGTTTTATTGATAGCAGTTTACTTTTCAATTATTTCACTCATCAGCTATTTATCATAAACCCATCAGTTACTTCATTTATCAATTACTTTTTATTCATCATAAACTCATCAATTACATTATTCATCCACTCAGCATAAAATCCATTATTTATCAATTAATTTTTATTCATAAGCAATCACCTTTTTATCCACAATCAGTTATTCATTTACTCCCATATGAATGTCAATGCCAATCACACTCTATACAAATCATCCTTCCACTAATCCTCTAAGCTCTTCAACCTGCGATTGTATCAGCACATACACATCACTCATCGTGTTGTAGAAATTAAATATCATCTTGCTAATCTCCTCACGTTCATAATTCACATTGTTAAACGTCCTATCAAGCTGAATCCTTGCCTTCTGCAGCTTCTGCTCACTCATAAGTAACGACGTGCTCGATTCAAGATTCAGCTTCAGAAGCTCATTCTCCAGCATCTCCATCTCCGTCTTGCTTCTTCTCTGTCCACTCTCTGATATCTCCTTCTTCTCAAGATAAAGCTTCCCTGCCGTCACAAGCTTATCATTGCAATACTTAAACCTATTGCCAAGCTCATTCATCATCCCCTCCTTCTCATTATTAGTCTCCTCAAGAACATTCTTGCTCATCTCAATGCTCACCATGGCCTCTTCCTTCTGTGCCATCTCATCCTCCAATTGTACAATCACTCTCGATATGCCTTCCTCATACACCTCTCCATTCGCCTCATTAACAATCTTACCCATCTTTCCTTGCTCAGTCTTTCCTTCCTTTGCATACCTCAATGAAATATCATCCCTAAGCCCCTTCAAATCAAAGCATAACTTCTCAACATCCTCAATCATCTCATGCAACTCTCGCTCCTGCATCCCAACATACTTCATCAATCCCTCCTTCTCAGGCTTCATCCTCTCCAACTCTTTGAACAGTTCAATCTTCTCCACATTCATCTCCTTAACATCCTCAGGATTGATCCTTTGTCTAGTAATCTGCCCCCTTAGTTCTTCCTCGTCTCTACGTAGACACTCAATCTCCTCTTCAACCTTGCATATCTCATCACATATCTTCTCAAGCATCATTGCATACTTCCTCTTCTTTCCTTCTAACTGCTTTTCAGATGCTATTAACATATTCAGATCATCCGCAAGCTCTTTCTTCTTTCCTTCTAACTGCTCACGCGATTCAAGAGCACTTCCCATCCCTGCTATTTTTGTCTCTATCATCCTCAACTCCTCTTTTCGCTTATCTATCCCACTAAACATTTCTGTATATATCTCCATAACCTTCCTTTCAAACTCTTCTTCATCTCCCTCATTCTCACCTCCCTCCATAAACCGCAGATATCCTTCACACACATACTCAAAAAAACATCCGTCAACTCCGCTTTCTCCTTCCTCATTCTCCATACTTCCCATCTTCACAAGCTCAACCAGCCAATAACACATGCTCAGAATTACTGGCCATGTGTGCGGAGTAATTGCCGCAAGCTGACTCTTCGTTATCTCTCCACAATACGGATACCTCAGACTCTTCATCACATTCACTACATCATCCTCAAACCTCGTCGAAAACACAATATCATCAATAAACCCATATAAAAACTTGAAAATGCTCTGGAAGTCCTTAGATGATGGATTGTGAAGCACCTTATGCGAAATAACCCCCTCATATCCATTCTCAACAAGAAAATCATGAACTCCATCAACACACTGCTGTACATATCCCTTCTCCCTGACAACCCTCGCATCCCTTCGGCGTACCTCTTCTGCACCAAGCGAGTGTCTTGGAAACGGTGTAGCCTTCATCCCTGAAACTGGCGTCTTAACAGGATTTCTAGAATTAGGCGTCATTGTAAATCTCCTCATCATGGGCTTCTCCTCCAAATATTTTTGTATCTGCATATATTCAGCTAAGCCACTTCCTTCAATCAAGCAATAATCTAAAACAAAATCTCATCATATCCAGTTTATTCCAATATTCATCACTTCATAATTCTCCACTAGGCATCCTTTTATCCTAGCATACTGCACATTACTTTCTACAATCCTATACAACATCTTTGCAATCTAGACCCATCAAACAATGCAGGTCACAACAACAGATAAACTCGAAATCGTAAGTGCATTCTCTAACTCTAATTCAAGCTTACAAGTGCAATCACTCTCATACTCATGACAGCCATGCTTTCAAAGTACTTCTTTGCAAGTCAGGTAATCACAGGCATCACAATCTACTCTCTGCTTGTATCTCTTGTAAAGCCAGTCATCAAGAAGGACAAGCTCCATCTCAGAGCAATCAATGGTAAGTGCCATTCACTAACTTAAGTTGCGCATGTCATTGCAAAAATACTCACTCTAGTTGCATTCTTCATAGTTATCGACAATGTCTTCGTAATGAAAACTGGCAATAAAAACTGCAGCTCGTGTACACAAATGTCTGCGCTGGATATCGCATACTCAATCGTATTCTTGATATATTACTCAGCATACTCATTTGCATTCATATTCTTTTCATACATATCTGAAAAATAGCATAAATAAATATCGCATTGCACTGGTATTCATTTAGGTTCCAAACAATCATCTCTTCTTGTACATGCATGGTATAAGCAATATCGGCTTCTTTCTTCTATTATTCAGCAGTTCCCTCTTTTTTAATACGTACAGTACAAACTGTTTGCTAGTTACATCAACATACTCAACATCAAAACCAAATGATTCAAACCTCTTACCCAACATATTCACGCTTTCTATCCTGCTCCTTACCTCTGCAACATACCAGTATCCCTCCTTTTTCAGAATCCTGTTCACCTCCCTCGTTGCACTTGTAATATTGCTCATCATCATGCTCAAGCAGCACACTGCTACATCCATGGATTCATCATCAAGCGGAATCTTCTTAGACATGTCGCAATGCACCACATCGCTTGTAACTGGATGTATATCAAGTGAAACCACATTCTTGAACTCCTTTGCAATTCTTGCCTCTCCACATCCTATATCTGCAATCGCTAGCTCAGAATTCATTTTCTTAATCCTTTGTATAATCACATCTAGTGGATTCACAGGCCATTTAGTCACTTGAGATCCATACAGCTCATGATATAGCTGCAGGTTTCCCTTTCCGAGACCTTTTCCACGGTACATTTTCTCATTTAGTAGTCTGAATTTTCCTCCATCCAACTTCCTGTTCAGCTTCTCGCTTAGACTCATGCAGGGTGTCCAAAAATACACGTTCTCAACACATATCCATATGTGCAGCAATAACTATATACCAACCACCACATACAATTCATTACTTTCATGCATCTAACTAGATTTTATAGATGCATAATAATACTTTTACATGTTTCATACTGTTATATTTCAGCGCTCATACACTCCCAAAATATTCTATCCGCTCAATTCCATATTCTCTACAATCGACATCCTCAGCCGGATCAAATAATGCTTCGTAGCCTTCAAAGTCACTTTCAAGAGCATCAATATCTGCAAATAATGACAATAATTGCTCACGCCTATCAATAACATCTATTATCCTTTCTTCTATACACCTGCTCCGCTTCTTATTGGTAGCCAGGTTTTCCATCTCCTCATCAATCGATCTGAGTATTTCCCAGTAACCAAAGTATTTGAGCCTGTCCTTCAGTTTCTTCTCAAGAACCGCCTTCCTGTTGTTATTAACAATCACTTGCTTCTTGTAAAGCATCTCAATACAACGGATGTTATCAGAAAATACATCGGAAGGTGTATCATCGCATAAATAACTGCATAAATCGTTACTATTATTAAAAACTTGATTCATGCACAGCGTATCATTAATCACAGTCTTTGAAACTACAGCTTCAAATGCTTGTGCATCCATTTCCACGAAGTATTCTTGAATAATGTCCAGAAATACCTGGTGATCAATCTGGTTGTTTACCTGTTGATTTGCACATTCATTATTGATACCTTGCTTTTCTATATAATCACAATCTTCAGCATAAACTTCTTGAGATTGTGTGCCTGTAGTTCTATGCTGTGGCTCTGAGCCCATGAAACTGCAGATTTTTGCAATTCAGAAAACACAATGCGTGTAATACAATCTGCACTACATTATAGACCCTGATGATATGGATTGAAAGATACAGACCAACTAGATTCGAGGACATGGATGGGCGAAAACAGATAGTGAATGCATTGAAGGGCTACACAATCGAAAACATGCCACATATTATAATGCACGGACAATCTGGAAGTGGTAAAAAGACAGCTCTGATGTGCCTGATCAGTCATCTGTATGGAGAAGCTCCAGAAATGAGGCCTAGAACGATCGAGGTTACAAGCGGCTCAAAAAAACTGGAAGTTGCATACACAGACTCAGATGGATACATGGAGATATGTCCTGCGAAGTACGGTCATCACGACAAGGCAATTATTCAGGGCGTGATAAAAGAGATGGGACAGACGAAACCAATACTCTCAATGTTTGGAGGAGCAACTAAAAAGACAGCAATCAAGCTTGTTGCAATAATGTCAGCAGAGCAACTGTCTGTGGAAGCACAGGCCGCATTGCGAAGAACCATAGAAATGTACAGTGGATGCCTTAGGATTGTACTTGTGTGTGAGGAACTGTCAAGACTAATTGAACCAATAAGAAGCAGGTGTTTTTTTTTAAGAATTCCAGGATTTTCGAATACTGAAATGGTGGATGTAATGAATAAAGTACTTGAGAAGGAGAACTACAGTGTACCTGTACAGACATTGACTGAGATATCTGAAGAGTGTGTAGGAAATATGCGCAGAGCACTGTGTGTACTTGAGCTTTTTTGCTTCAACATGGCTGATGGAGATGGTAAGAGAGTAAAGACACAAGATAAATGCATGAAGCTTGAGTGGGAACTGATTATATCGTCGATTACATTGATTATAAAATCAAAGCAAACATCAGACGGGTTTATTGAGATCCGAAAGTTGTTGTACACTCTGTTGAACAGCTGTATTTCATCAAGAACAATTCTTCTTGAGCTGTTTAGGCAGCTTTCTACTGGAGTGGATTCCAAAATGCTTCTGCTGCTCTGTAGAAGTGCATTGATGTATGAGGAGAGGATGAAAAAGGGTACAAAGGGAATCTACCACTTGGAGGGATTTGTTGCATCTTCAATGTGTGTGTTTGCAGGAGGTGCATAGCGTAATATATAAGCTCTGCTCTTAAACGGTAAGGATACATTAAATGCGTATATAAATACATTCAAATACATTTAATCTTCGTTTTCAGTTGTTGTATAGCTTGATTCATACTCTTCATCATGGCTACTTTGCGGATGTGTGCATACGACAGGTGGCCTGCAAAGCTTAACGTATTCAATTGCATCAGAAAGTGCATCTTCCATTATTGGCAGTGGAAATACCGATGACTGCACAGTTTCAGGCGCAATTGAATTCCTAAGTGCATAATAGACTTTTTCTCTTAATCTTTCTTGACTCCTTAACAATTTCAACCGATTTATGCGGATCATGATGTCGAGAACCTTCTGATCATCAATGTTGCTTTTTAATAAGGACTCTACACTTGCTCTAGCATTCATTTCTGCACCCATGCTAAGGCCTGCAGCATCACTGATGCTTCCATTTACATGCATACCCATCTCTGCATTGTTGCGAAGCGTCTGCAATCCTTCGTTCAACAGATACAAGATATGCAGTTCAATCAGTGTGTTTGTTTTTGTCACTTGCTCTGTCCTGAGCACATGGTTGTTGATTCCTATCGAGATGTATTTTGGTTGCATCTGCAGCATTATATCCATGTCTGCCTTGATCTTTGGATCGATCACGGGGGCATCCCCATAGCTCTGCATGTATGCAAATGGGTTTTCATTATTGAGGTACTCTTGTGGTATTTCGCTTTGGCTTCTGGGAGCGTTCATTGGGGGGCTGTGTATTTTGAAAAATCATGGTAATGATAGCAAATCTGGAAATGGGCAGGCGACATACCCCAAACATCTTACGCATGGATGATGAGTTTGATGAACATGTAGCGAATGCAAAAATGGATTTTGAAGCAATTAGAATAGGCAGGAATGCAGAGGGTGATCAAGGGTATGATGTAAGCAGGAATGTGCCGATGCAAGGCCGTGAAGGGACAGATAATACATACCATAGTAGTGAGGATACGCATAAGAGTTCTCAGGCACATGATGGTGTGGATGATATAAGCGATTTGAGGTTTCTTGAGCTATTGGTTGAGGAAAAGCCGTATGAGTACAAGCTGAGGAAGTACAAAGGAAGGAAAGTTCCTAACGAATCGATGGAATATGAGGTGGATGATCAAGCAAAGTTCAAGAACAGCACAGCATATGCACGAGATGATAGTACGACATTGCAGGCGCTTTCAGGGTCTCTGCGTAGCAGTGGATTAAGGCAGTATTTCAAACGAAGGCAGCTTGAAAGTGATTTGATGAAGAGCAAGGCATTAAGCGATGTTTCAAGCCAGGCTAAGGATGTTAAGCATCCTTTTGATCTTGTGGAGTGGGAGAAGGATGTGATATATGAAGAGGCAGAAGTGAATGTAAATGCAAACAGGAGTACTATAATCACTGAGCTTGTTGATAGCATTCTTGAGGATGAGTGGGAAAAGTATGTTGCTGTTGATGATGAGGATTTGAAGAAGCACAGGGGCTTTCTTACATTGTATCTGGATGACCCGAATTTGATATTTGAGAAAGTTGATGACAAGAAGCAGGTGAAGCAGAAGAAGAAGCAGAAGGAAATATTTTCTGTTGACAAGCCATTGAAAAGCAAATACAATATATCGCATGATAAGTATTATGGGCAGGAGTCAAGGACTAAGAACAGTCTTGGTACATTTGGTGTTCAACACTCACTTCCAGCGCTTAGGCTTGAGCCAATATTCTATAAAACAAATCATACGAAGGATGAGCTCAGGAATTTCCACAGACCAAGGTTTGGATTACATGGGAGTAACATAGAGTTCAAGGCGATCGGGAACACAAAGGTTAAGGCACAGAGCATTATCAAGAAGGCTGGTGAGATTACATTGAAAGACTCAAGTCCGTTTTCTCTATTTGAGTATAGTGAGGAAGAGCCGTTTTTTGTTGTGAATCCGGGGATGGCGAGTTTGCTGAACATTTACTACAGGAAGAGCAGTGCTCGTGACGAGTATGCGCCTGACCAATCGCAGTACACGGTGCTTGATATGGAGGATCCTTCACCGTTTTTTGGGTTTGGTGACGTTGCACCTGGGACATCAATGCTTGCATTAACGAACAATTTATTTATTGCGCCGGTTTTCAAGCATAATTTGCCTGATTATTTATGCATTGTTGAGGAGGAGGAAGGAATAAGTGTGTGTATGTTTAGAGAAATTGAGAATCTTTACTGTGTTGGACAGCAGTTTCCGTTAGAAGATGTGTATGCACCACACTCAAGACGACTGAATATTTTCTGCAAGAACAGACTGAAGGTTGCGGCGTTCCGATTGTTTAATGGAAAGGATGGAGGAAGCAGGGAGTTGAAGATATCTCAGCTTGATGAGATGTTTCCGTACTTTAGCGAAGGAAGCAAAAGAAAGTGGTTAAAGGAGTATGCAGACTGTGCAAAGAAAGGCAGGGATAATGTATGGGTGTTGAGGCCAAGCTCTGCATTACTTGGAGAGGAGGATCTGCGCAAGCTTGTTACACCTGAGAATATATGTCAGTACGAAAGTATGCTTGCTGGAGAGCGGAGGCTTCAGGATTCTGGACATAAGATAATTGTTGAGAGCGATGATTCTGAGAATGAAGAGGAGGTTGTTCCGCCTTCGTGGTGTTTGAGTAGGAATTTTGTAAATGCATGCAATGGACGAGGGCTTCTTGAGCTGAATGGACCTGGGGATCCTACTGGAATTGGCGAGGGGATAAGCTTCCGCAAAATCCGGTTGAAGAGGGGCAATGAGGTTGAGAATAGAAAGATAATTAACGAGCACCAGATGCGGTATAAGGAGGAGATTGAGAAGATATGGAGCAAGCAGCAAGCGTCACTTGGATCTACCGAAGACATACAACTTGATGAGATGCACTTTGCAAGGAAGTATCAGCAGGAACGCAGGAACGACACATTGAGTGAGACAACAATGCAGTCTGAGGATGTGTGTCTGACTATCCGTAGGATATATGAAGATGGACAGGTTGAAGAAGAGAAGGTCTACGATAGCCGAGTGATTAAAGCATATTTAAAGGCACGAAAGAGAAAGAACCTTGATGAGAAGAAGGGAGTTTTGAAGTGTGGTAATTGTGGGCAGGTTGGGCACATGAAGACAAACAAGACATGTCCTAATTTCACATCTGCAGCTAAGATGACTAAGAAGAAGATCGAGGCTGAGAAGAGGAAGGCAAGAGTGTATTTACAAGAGGTGATGCTTGGGTTGTTGACAAAGTTTTTCCAACTGCCGTATTCGGTTGCTTTCCACAAGCCAGTATCCACAAAGAAGTTTCCTGACTATCTTCTGATTGTGTCCGAGCCGATTGACCTGACAACGATTAAGACAAAAGCCAGACACAACAAGTATAAGAAGTTTGAAGAGTTTCTGCAGGATCTTGAACTGATGAGCATGAACTGCTGCAAGTACAACGGCAAAGGTCATTCATTAACGAAGATTGCAGAAGAAATACTTGAGGAGAGTCGTAAGGAGTATGAAGTGCGGAAGGGTGAAATAATGGAGGCAGAGAGTGTGATTGAGAGTTTGTTTGGGGAGTAATTATATGATCAATAAAGATGTGTGATTGAGATGATATTTTGTGTTTTAATGCAGATGTTAATTGATACATGAAATGAATAAATGCAATATATGAATGAATAAATGCAATATATGAATGAATAAAAAGTATATATATGAGCGATTTAGTAAGCGCATGAATTTGCTGTATCGATGTGGAGCACTGCTGATGATTGCGAATTCGGCAATGAGTAGTACGGGCTCGCATCCAAGAATCATCGGATGGGATGTACAACATAAGTGTACTGAGTTTGAGGATATGACTGCCAATTTTAATAAAGCGATACAAAAGCTGAATGCACATGCTGAACATGTGAAGAGTGGAGGAGTCGAGAATATTGGAGAGTGTCTTGAAGAGATCAAGTCATATGATGGAGATCCAAAGAAGTATGAAGCAAAGGTGATGGGGAATGAGGTAAAGTTAATAACTGTGCATGATGACAGGTATACCACGAGCTGTGATTATAAGAATAGGCTACATGTGTGTGTAATGATGGATATTGGAGACCTGAATGTAGGATATTCGTTACCTTATGAATGCATGGGAAACACAGCTATGAAAAAAATCCGTCTTATTTACAATGATAAGAGAACAAAGTTCCGAGATATTCCCTACTCAGTGTTTAAAAACTACTGGTGCGAATTCAACAGTGGATATGGCGTGTTGAGGTTTGATAGTATTGTAAATACGGATGAACTGTTTGAAAATATGAGTGTTTTGCTGTCTGTCTTTAATGATAATATTGACAAATTGAATGTGGAGAATCCAGAAACACAGAGCCTGAGCAGTGTGTTGAAAAGATGGAATGAAGAATATCATTGTTATTATGAGCCTAATCCCGAGGAAGTTGATTTTGTGTGGAGCAAATTAGTGTCTATGTCTGACATAACGATAGTTGCGATTGGAAACATTACCGAGGAAGTCAAGAATACTTTGAATGGAATGGCATTGGCAATAAGATCAAGCAAATATAACAGAGATGAAGAAGAGGCTGAGTTATTGAAACCAAATGTATGCACGCATCCGTATAACATATATACTGATGAATACGTTCCTGGCTTGCCGTTTATCCATATTAGCCAAGGTTTTTACTCGGATCAACGTTATGTTATATACAAGGGATCTGGGGAAGGGAATGTTGAGAAGATCTTGCCAATTGTGCTTGAATTCTTTCAATCGTTTATGAAATCCAAAATCAATGAAGATGAATGTTCTTGTTGGCTTGAGAAGATAGGAGGTTTGAATGTTCATTTTTTCCCTATCAGTCGAGAAGATCCTGATAGTGCAAGGATAATTGTGTCCCAGTGCAATAATAATTGGATGAGCTACAACGATCAATATTGGGGATTACAGAGAGAAGAATTCAAAAAGGCTTTTGAAGCATTGATGAATCATATTGATTTCATATGTGCAATGGAGCCAGCAGATCGTAAGAAGTACTTTGTTGAATCTTGTGATTTAAGGCTATCTGCATCAGATCGTCATAACGAGTCTAGTCATTATGAAGGCTTTCAGAAGATGAAACAACTGGTTCTTGGATCATTTAACTACCCATCAAAGGACTATCTAAGGCATGGGGTTGATGACCTAACTGATGAGGAGATCATGGATGTCATGCAAAAGCTGAGGAAGCCTGAATCATGGTCCTTAAAAGGTGCGTGATATTGATATGAATAATTAAATCAATTATTTAAGTGTTTTATGCTAATAGATCATGATTTTGAATGATTTGGTTTGAATTATGATGGTGATACCCCATATGGGATTTGTTTTACTGAATCAAGTGGGGGAGCAGCCGATTGAGTTTCTTCCGAAGAGCGGAATATACACAAAGGGAAATCTTTATGACTGCAAGAACGTGGAGATAAGCAATGAGATTGAGTGTGAAGTACTGCAGGATGCACGCAGAGCGGCTGAGGCCCATAGAAGGGTTCGATATAAGCTTCAGCAGAGCCTTAGGCCAGGAATGAAATTTCTTGAGATTGCAGAGTGTGTTGAGGAGTCAACTAGAATTCTTTTGAAGGGTGAGAAGAACGAAGGGATAGGATTTCCTGTAGGAATGTCTATGAATTCGTGTGCTGCACACTACACTGTGAATCCTGGAGAAGCAGATATATTCCTAGGTGAGAATGATGTGCTGAAGATTGACTTTGGAACACACTCCAACGGAAGAATCATGGACTCTGCATTTACAGTTGCATTCAATCATGAGTATGAGCCACTACTTAAAGCAGCAAAGGAGGGCACAGAGACCGGAATCAGGTCTTTAGGAATTGATGTGAGAGTGTGTGACATAGGTAGAGACATTTGTGAAGTAATGTCAAGTTATGAAATGATCGTTGATGGAAAGACAGTGCCAATAAAGCCGATTTCTGACTTGAATGGACACTCAATATGCCAGTTCAAGATCCATGGAGGAATATCAATCCCTGCAGTTAACAACAAGGACACAACAAGGATTGTTGGAGACATGTTCTATGCAATAGAGACATTTTCAACAACAGGAAGAGGTACAATAGATGACAAACCACCATGCTCCCACTACATTTTGAATGCCAATAAGTCCAGGAAGTTATACAACAAGGATCTGATAACGATCTACGAGTTCGTCAAGAAATCATTTGGAACACTGCCATTCAGTCCAAGGCACCTGGAGCATTACAACCTGATAACTGGCGATGTACTTAAGAATGTAAATCTGCTGACAATGATGGGACTGCTGATTCCATATCCACCACTGAATGACATCCAAGGCTGTAAGGTTGCTCAGTTTGAACACACCGTATACCTGAGTGAAATGGGAAAGGAGGTTCTCACTAGAGGAGACGACTACTAAAATAGCCAATACTATATTAAATTGATGGGCTCGTCTTTATTTCAAACTACAACAGACTTTCAAAGATTGTGCTCAAGCACATACAAATACAACATTTCATAAATAAATGCCTCAGTCATGCATATTTTCTCATCTGGACATTGTAGAGGGTGGGTTTTACTCCCTGCTGACAAGCCTCAACTGATGCATTTCATCACTGGCTGTCCACTGTATCACATTATCTGTTACAACAGCAGACCAGGGGTTCACCGAGCACCATTAAATACATTTCGACACATTATTTGTTGTAAATAATAACATTTATACTCCACATGCAGAACATGATTAACATTTAGCTGTGCCATAAGTCCTCAACTACCGTTCAAATAACTCATTTGAATGTACTGATGATATTACTTTACTCTTTACATACCTGAACATCACTTTGTAGCTGACCATCATTTCCCAACGCACTCCAAGCCGTGGCACAAGCTTACTTTGATGCACCTTGTAATGATTCGAAACAATCACTGTGGCATCATTCACATAAATAAGCTCCCACAAAATATTGTATATTTTTTGTGCATCAGGTACTTGCTTGTCTGCAATAAAAGTCATCGAATCAATAAACAGCACAAATCCCTGCCTAGATCTCAACGAAAGTAAAGTCTTGACAAGCTTTCTGTAGCTCAACACATAAATAGCATCTGTAACAAACCTCAGGTTCCCAACAGTGTCCACAAACACTGCATCTGTAACCTGTCTTCCTATTTCTGCCATAATTCTGTGTACCATCATGTTTGGCAGTACACACAACTCTATGATCGAATTTCTCCTTAGTTCATGCCCATCCACTATTATCATGCACAGCCTTACACAAAATCAAAATCTTTATCACTGCATTCTCTAATACATCCATTGCTAGAAGCACAACCAATTACACAATTTTCAAAACTAACAACAAAGTCCATCAAAAAAGCACAACGAAAACTCAAGAGACTTTCCAAGCTTCATCAGAAAAGCAATCTCTCTGCGAATGCATCCATTAACATACACAGAAAGATCGCTTCTCACCGTAACATCATTTCCTTTGCATAATCCTTTCCAATATACATCTGTGCTTGAAATACATTCAAATGTCTTTCTGCATAATGCTTCAGAGTTGATATGCACAGCAAGATTCAGATTCATTACCACATCCACGCAATTTCCATTATCACACTTAACAGCCATCAATGCAACATCATTTTCATTTGAATGTTCAGGAATTGCAATTATTGTTCCTCCTGCATATAAGTGCCGCTCAAGTCTATGTCTATATATGTTGTATACTGCTGCTCCACTCAATTGCACAATCTTGCTGAACGGAACGTTTGCACAATACTTACCATCATAGACACATCTGCATGTGTCTGTGCATTTACCATCCAGTAATTCATCATAACCCGTCTCCATCTTTGCAAACATTTTGAGATAATAGTAGAAGTTTACAAGATTCTTGTTCGCAAGAAACTTACCCAAATAGAACTCAACATACCGGAAGCATTCAGAAAACCTTTCTTCAACAAACGTGAGCTTCACTGCAGATTCTGAAACATCTATGATGAACGAAGGGCTTGCAAGCGTGTATACACGTTGCTCTGTGCCCTCAAAGAAGTACTGCAATCCAAGTAATGTGCACATCAGATTGAATACCTTATCCATATTGCTGTTTTTATGCTCAAGAATCTTCAAAAGTATTTTCTCGCTGATTGGCATAGGGCACACCGTGCAAGGCTATTACATCACTGAAGATGCACCTAAGAATAAAAATTGTACAATGCAAGGATGCAATGAAGGGGAAAAAGACACTACTGGAATACTTCGACATGTGCAATGAGATATCTATAGATCTGAATATTGGCACGAAAGACGCAAATCAGCATGAGGAAGGCAGTTGCACAGATACCAATCTTGAAAATCTTGAGCATAATGTGAAGAGAGCTTGCAAAAACACTAATGATTTCAAAATAAACGACAGTATGATTAAAGATACAAAATCAAATAAAATTCATGCAAGCATGAATAATGAATATGCTCATGAAGACGGTATACTTGAAAGTATATTTGTAAATGCAGATAATACAAGCATCAAGAATAAAGTGAATGCTGAGATTATGGGAAGATATAGATTTCTTGTTGATGTTAGAGATAAGGATGGAAAGAAAAAAGGAGAACAGGGATATGATGGATCAACACTTTTGATACCTGAGGATGAATATACAAAGCTTAGTCCATTTGAGAAGCAATTCTGGAGTATAAAGAAGGACCACTTTGATACCGTAGTGTTTTTCAAGAAAGGCAAGTTCTACGAGTTGTATGAGGATGATGCTCTTATTGGAGCAAGGCTGTTTGATCTGAAGGTGACTGGCAGGGTCAATATGAGGATGTCTGGATTTCCTGAGGGAAGTCTCGACTACTGGACAAAGAAGTTTTTAGAGAATGGATACAAAATAGCAAGAGTTGAGCAGAGCGAAAACATGATCGGAAAGCAGATCAGGGAGAGAAGTGAGAAAGAAGAAAAAAGAGCAAGCATAACGAAAGAAAAGATTATTCATAGGGAGTTGAAGGAGGTTATTACACAGGGAACAATATACAGTGCGGATCACATGAGATCTGTAATGCCGATGTATTTGATGAGTGTTGCAGAGGATAATACCTGTTATGCTAAGAGCTGTGAAGGAAGAGTTCATCTATCTGTGATGCTGTACGATGCAAGTGTTGGAGATGTGTATTTGTCGTCATTTTGCGATGATGAAGATCGAAATATGCTGAAGACGATACTGGCACAGTATGATGTGCGTGAGATGATATCGAGGTATGAAATTGATGGGATTCCCAGAATTGTACCTGATTGCACAGTAGTAGTATTTGAACGCAAGCATGTATTTGAGAATGAGCGAGAGTATGTGTGCTTTATGTATATGCAGAATTACATGGTGAGACTTAAAAGGCCTAGTGCGTTAGATGATGCCCGGATTCAGCGACTTGGAGAAAGCAGCGGAAGGATGGTGATAGATGGAAATGTGCTAAGGAGCATGGAAGTATTTAAGAATAGCTATGACGGTGGTGTAGAGAAGACCTTGTTTAATGCAGTAAATTTCTGTGTTACTGCGTTTGGACAGAGATTGTTGCGAAGGTGGATTTTGCAGCCTCTGATGAATGAGGCAGAGATAATGGAAAGACAGACAATGTGCAGAATAATGAAGAAGATAAATGTTGAGGATTTGAGGAAATGCATGAAAAAGATTGGAGATGGAGAAAGGTTGGTTACGAGACTCTACAATGGAAGTCCAAGAGTCAATGATCTGAACAAGTTTCTTATTTGTGTTGACAGTAGTAAAGAGTTTTTATCTATGCTACTAATGAATATTGAGAATATGGTTAGTTATATAGATGATTTAGAATGCATAATGATTCAACGTATAAAGAATTCATGCATAGAGTATGTGAATAATATTGATGAAGTGCTTGAAATGCACAAAAGAAAGTATGAAGTGAGTGATACGGATATAGATGTTGGGAAAGAGGAGGATGAGGAACTGTGTATGCTTGTTAAAGAAAAGAATGCAATTGAGAATGAATTGAACGAGTATTTAGAGAGGCAAAGAACATTGATGAGAAACAAAGATATCATATTCAGAGATATAGGCAAGGATGTTTTTCAGATTGAAGTGCCTAAGGAAGTGACAGTTCCTGTTGGTTATGTGATTTTTTCATCAACGAAGAATGTCAATAGATACTACACTGATGATGTTCGAAGATTAATCAGCAGATATAATGAATGTGAAGAGCGAATATTCCAGTCGCGAGGGATGCTGTTAAAGAGAGCAATAGATGTTCTTATTCCGCATGTTTTTGTGCTTAGACAGATTTTTTCTTATATTGCACAGATTGACTGCTATGTTTCGTTTGCGATGTTTTCGTTAGCAATGAAAGGAAGTGTGCCTGTTGTTTCTGAGATACTGAGTGTGAGTGGGATGTGGAACCCTGTGTATGAGGGACATGTAAAGAATGACTATAGAGCGGAAAAAAAGGTTCTTATGCTTACAGGTGCGAACATGGGAGGGAAGTCGACGTTTTTACGGACTGTTTGCATGAATGTTATTCTTGGTCAGGTTGGAATGGATGTATGTTGTGAAAGGATGGAGACCCCGCTGTTTGACAGGATATTTACGAGAATAGGTGCTTCAGACAATCTTGTGAAAGGTGAGTCTACCTTTATGGTTGAGCTGAGTGAGGCTGCAAGTGTCTTGAAACACTCAACAAACAGATCATTTGTGATAATGGATGAGCTTGGAAGAGGGACGTCTACAAAGGACGGAGAATGTATTGCAGTTGCTGTTATTGAGTTTTTGAAGCAACGAGGATGTCATGTGATGTTTTCAACGCATTACCATAGGATGGCTCGAAGAATGGAAGGAGTTATGAATGGATACATGAGCTCGGTTGTACGAGACAAAGATGTGATATTTCTGTATAAGCTTGTGCCAGGAGTATCTGGGGACTCACACGGATTGAATGTTGCAAGGATGGCAGGTGTTCCTGAGGATGTAGTTGCTAGGGCTGAAGAAATCAGAAATGCAATAGAGAGGAGATGGCATGATGAGAGAGAAGGTGGATTGAGAATGAATGTAAGAGTTGGCATGGCAACAAAGGGCATGAGTCTGGAAGATAGTGACGCAAGCCAATCATAATGAGCATGAATGCAACCTATTGGATGAGTTAAGGATAAACAAAGCAACTGAGCAAACCCTTGAGTCCATGGAGGCAGTGAATATCAAGAAATTTATCAGGGAGAATAGAGAGATAGTGCTGCTGATATATGATTTCTATGAAACACGGCACATTCCAATGAAGATGACTGATTTGAAGAAGAATCTGTCACTTTTTCCGGTGGCAAATGTGCCGTTACTTGAGTATATCTTGTCGAGTCTGTGTGATCAGCAGTTTTTTAATGTGATTCTTGCAGGAAGCGGTTGTAAAGAAGTGATTTCACATGCAATAAAGATAGATGTGTCTGGAAGGATGAATATTGCAACGCTTGATTGCGAAGGCAAGTCCCTTGGAGATCTGATGAGGTATATTGATGATAATGGACTTGATTTTGATGATTTACTGGTTATCTATGCAAACCACTATACAAACTATCCTTTGAAAAACATTTTAGAGAGGCACAGGAAGGGAAAGGACGTTATCATGACATTGTTTCTACATCCAAGCGAGAGTAACAGCAATGTGTCTCATCTATATGGATTGGATTGGAATGAGGTTGTGTTTTACAGCAAGTGTGTGAATGAAGTGTATGATGAGAAGAAAGTGGTAGAGGCAGTGTTAGAGAATGGAACGATTGAGTTTACTGCAGGTCTGTCGTCTCCAACTATTGCTGTTGTGTCGTCGAAGATATTTCCGTTATTTACTGAGAATTTTGACTTTGGAACCTTAGGTGATTTAGTGAAAGGAGTTCTTGCGTTTAATGCATATAATTTCAAGGTGATGTGCTGTATTCAAGGACAAGCAGATGGGATAGAGGAAGGTATTTCTGGAATGGATATTGAGAGGAAGAGTGGGTTTTACAGCAAAGAGATAGTGACGCTGTATGATTACTTCAAGTTCAATGAGGATGTGAGAGAGGGTAAGGCAGTTGATTTACGGAAATTCAGATGGAGAGGTACAGACAGATTCCAGAGTTTTGTGCAGATACAAAGTAATTTTTTTGATGATGAGCCGAATGAGCCTGATGCTGAGCTGTATGAGCCGATTTCCAACACAGTAGTTGGATGTGACCTGAAGTTTGTTATGAATCGTTTTATTCGGGATTCTGTTGTTGGACATGGATGCTTTATTGGTGGGAATGTGGACAGATGTATTGTATGGGATGATGTATGTGTTGAGGATGATTTTATGGATCACATTATGTTTTCTGAGGGACAGATGTTTCATTGCAGTCATCTTGAGGAGGATGAAGAAGAGGAAGAATACTGCAACAAGGAAAGGACGTCTTTTTTTGATGATGTGCTGGTGTACATGATGGATGTTGCACAGAGAGATTATGTTGAGGAGATTGACATTGAGGATGTTGTTAAGCAGATAACGCTACTAAGGATTATGTGGAATGCATCAGAAGTTGACTTGATTGAGGCGTTTTCGATATTTTTGGTGGAGATTGTTGAAGAGGAAGATGTGGACGGGAGTACTATCAAGGGATCGATGTTTTTCCCGGTGATTGAAGAGCACATGTATGAGATAGAGAGGCAGGAGATGCTGATGAGCCTAGTTTTGCAAGGATTGAGTGAGTATTCAAAGATTGTACGAAGGAATGTTGTGAACAGGTATGGATACTTACTGTTTGATGATGGAATAATATCTTGCTCAGTGATGAAGAAGTATAATGCGCTTGTAAAGTGATAATGGCAGCTTAATTAAAATATTAGATGGTGATGTTGTAAGTATGTAGATGCTTAGGTAAGTGTATGATGATGAGTTAATAGATGGGTGTAGGTGAATGTTTATGATGGTAAGTGAATGAATGGATAATAGTAAAAAATAACATTAATATGCAAATGTTAACATAAAATTCACGTTCACATCCATGCTATATACTGCTTCAATGTAATGATTAAATTCAAAATAACGATTGTTCCTTGTTATGGATGGAACAATGCACAGTCTCAATATGAATGTCAAATTGAAAGAGGATGTCAAGGAGTGTGGATTTGATGTGATGACGGAAGTGCAAAGAGCATGTATTCCAGAGATGCTGAAGGGCAAGGATGTCATAGTGCAGGCACCAACTGGAACAGGAAAAACAATGGCTTTCCTTACTCCAATCCTTGACTACGTGTACACAAGCGTCACTGACAATGCAGAAGTGGTTGCAGTTGTGATTGTACCCACAAGAGAGTTGTCTCTACAAATCAAGGCGGTTGCAGACATGTTCAAGTGCAGCTGTGAATGCTTCATTGGTGGGATTGATATAGAGGATGATTATGCAAAGATGCAGAAATGCATTCATATTGCAGTGGGAACTCCAGGGAGGCTTTTTGAAATCATAATCAAGTATCCAAAGCAGTTTGCCAAGGTTAGATACATTATTTTGGATGAGGCAGATAAACTTCTTGGATATGGATTTGAGGAGAAGCTAATGCAGATAATGAAAATGCTCCCAAGAAGTAGAACAGCTGGATTGTTTTCAGCAACGATAAATGAGTCAGTGGATAAGCTCTCTCTTGTTCTGCTCAGGAATCCAGTAAAAATCAAGGTTGGAAGTGGAGCAATGCCTGTTTGTCTTGAATACGTTGTAATAAAGCCAGTGGATAAGATATTGGCACTGATGGAGATTGCTACAAAGCGACGATGCATTGTATTTTTTGCAACTTGCAGCCAGGTTGACTTTTTTTCGAGCCTGTTTGTAGAGTTTGGAGTAGCGCATGTAAGCAAGATCCATGGAAAGATGGCTCAGGAAGAAAGGAGTAAGGTTTATGAGCAGTTTGTTGCTTGCGAAGGCATGCTTTTTTGCACAGATGTTGCCGCAAGGGGCATTGACTTCAAGGAGGTGGAGCTAGTGGTGCATTTTGATGTTCCAAAGGATTACAACAACATAGTGCACCGCAGTGGCAGGACAGCAAGGAACGGGAGCAAGGGCGAGTCTGTTCTGTTTGTCATGCCGAATGAAAAGGCATATATTGAGTTTCTGAAGCTCAAGGGGATTTGTGTGGCAGAATGCAGTAAAGCAATTGATCCGTCTGTGATCTATGAAGACATTAAGGCAAAGATTACATCAGAGCTACTTGATGCTGGTGTGAAAGCATTCGTATCTTACATTCGATCGTACAAAGAGCATATTGTTTCGTATATTCTTGATTATAAGGGATTGGATTACAACTCTCTTGTGGATCTTTTCTTCCTTGAGAAGGTTCCTGGGATGGCTGAGCTGAAGTATGTGAAATTTGATAAGTTTGAAAAACCAGATAAAAAAGCACTCAAAGACAGCAGGGACGTAAAAAAGACCAAACTGAACAGAAAACGTAGCAGAAAACAAAATAAATAATATCCTGATTTATTCGAAATGTGTTCAAGGCGCTCAAATCGCTGTGATATTTACGAATCGTTCTCTTCTACAACCACTCGTGATCCAAGACTGTGATGTTCCTCATATACTGCTTGCCACCGCTGTATAAAAGACTTTCAAAAACAACATAACAGTTAGGCTCTGCTAAAACACTGTCCTTAGATATAAATACCTCTTCACCACGGAAGAAGTACGAGTCAAGTGATGGAACAGCAAGTCGATCTGCAAATGCACGGTATATGATGTTGCAAATCCTAGAGCACTTATCAGGTAAGATGTTGATGCACAGATTGCTCGAGTGTCCTTTCATTGCCAGTATACGTTTGCTCATTTTCATTACCTCAATCATTGAAGTGTAGTTCAATCCAAGACGCTGACAGAATGATTTTCTAGCTTTGCTCTTGAGAAAGTCATTCAGAATAGCCAGTTGCACCATGAAATCACTTTTACTGCTTTCAAAATACATTTGACTCTCCTTGGCTCTTCGAATATCGATTCCAGATGAAATCAGACTCACTATACAGGCAAGCTCAACAAGTACGTCTTCGCATCCATTCACACAAAGTAGTCTTGCCAATCTCGACTCAACTGGATATCTAGACATTGTCTTTCCCATGCCTGTGAGTCTTGATGAACTGTCCACTGCACCTAAGCTCTTTAGATGCATGATTGCCTCGTCTATACACTTTATGCTGGGTCTTGATACAAATGGGAATTCATTTACATTCCGGATCCCCAGCGATAGAATAAACAGCACAACATCATCAAGAGGAGACCTTAGTATCTGTGGTACACTAAACTCATAGAACTTTTCATATGTTTCTCCACTATATAGCCTATAGCACACTCCAGGTCCTGTACGTCCTGCTCTCCCCATTCTCTGTGCAGCACTTGACTTTGTTATGAAGTCTATTGAATACCTTGCGAATCCCTCAAAATCCATCACCTTATTCTTCACCCTTCCAGAGTCCACTACAAAAACAACATCCGCAATTGTAATGCTTGTTTCTGCAATATTTGTTGCTAAAATAACCTTTCTGTACTCGGTCTTCCCAAAAACCAAGCTCTGCTCATCCTTCGATAGCGAAGAATGCAATGGAAGCACAGTTATGTCCATTCCAGAACATTCAAGCCTATTCTTTAAGTCATATATATCTTGCTTGCATGTAAGAAATACAAGAATAGCTGCATCCTTGTCATTCTGTACATTGGATCCAATCACATCTCCTCTACCTACTCCATTTTTCTTTCTTCTTGATGTACTTCCACACCCCACAATTCTTTTTACTCTTTCATAAGCCATACTCAAGTAGTCTTCATCAGTCTTTTCTTCGTAGAAAGTATTTACTTGGAAACTCTGCTCAGGACATCTCAGAACAGTCATCTCTCCAAATATTCTCTTGAACTCATCAACATCCCCTGTGGCACTCATCAGTACAAGCTTCAGTTCATTTCCCATTCGCTTCCTCATCTTCACAACTCTGGGAAGAATCGCAAGCAACATATCAATATTGATGCTTCGTTCATGTATTTCGTCAATAATTATCACTGAGTATTTTTGCAGCATAAAATCCTCCTGTATCTCCTTCATCAGTACTCCATCTGTCATCACTTTAATGCGTGTGTCTGATGTAACAGTCGATTCATATCGTATCTTATATCCACAGAGATCCTCATTGATCTCCTCGTTGATTCTACTGCATATAGACGTTGCTGACACTCTTCTTGGCTGTGTAATTCCTATAATGCCATGAATTGCAAATCCTCCTTCATAAAGAAACTGAGGAATCTGTGTTGTCTTTCCACAGCCTGTTACTCCTTGTACAAACACAATTGACGAACTTCGAACGGCATGGATGATCTCTGCCTTCTCGTAATATATCGGAAGTTTCTTTCTGTTCTCTTCAATCTCTGACTTTCTTTGTGCAAACACTCTTGTTTCATACTCTTTTGGTATTAAGTGCTTAGCCTTATCTGTTTGTTCGTCATCTACTTTATCATAATTGTCAATTGATAACTGTAACTTCTCATCATCTACTTGACGGCAATTATCCATGCATAAATTTAACTTCTCATTATTCTGTTTACTGTTTAATTCATTCTCAAGCAAGCAATATTCGGGTATTATAATGTCCACAGCATCTTCATACTTTTCATATACATCCTGATCCTTCTTATCTAAATCATCGCTACTGTTTGTATCTTCTTCCCTTGTATTACCAATCATTTCATCACATTGAGATTGCACTTCTCCAACATCTTCATTAATATCAATACTTATGCTATCTTCCTCAGCATATGTCCTGCATTCAATACTCTGATTGCCAGCACCAACAACTTCTGCTCGTCTTTTTTTGTTTGGTTTGCATGCATCATCAGCTGCTCTCGGTCTTTTGAGCTTTGCTATTTCCTCATACAACTCGTCTCTGCTTCTCTGTCTCTGCTTCTTCTCAAGATACTTCTTCAAAAGTCTTTCCTTCTTGCTCATCTCTGCACAATGGGACATTTCATAATTCAATTACTTGCTGCAAGCCTCAACTTACAATAATATCACAACAACACTATAAATATCAATACCAATTTATATATCTCATAAAGCATGCACCTCATCACGAATATACAATCCTGCATCTACCTGTCGTAGAAGAACAAGTGCATGGCCCTTCGCTGCTGAGTATGCTTGTGCACTCAGTGAGGTTACTCCAAACCCAAGAGGAACATCATTCTGATTATACACCACCACACCTGCATTCTGAGGAATTCCTTCAGACAGCCGGAAAACATGCGACTTCAACGAGTTATTGCCATACAAATAGCACATTTCAGCACTGCTCTTAATCCAGACTCTATGGATTGCATACCGCGATAAAATATGCAGTGAAGATACTCTCAGTCGGAACTTCCCAGTCTTCGTAAACTTGCCAAGCACAGTCCCAGCTATTGCAATACACTTCCTGGGAATCATAGATGTTGCTGCCTTAACCTTTTCAGAAACAAGCATCACACGCTGATTGTGTAAGACTATCTTGTTCTTCTCGTCGATTATCCTGTTCACATTGTCTCCAATAAAAAAGTTCAACTTCTCAAGAACATCTTTCTTCTCCTGTGGTTTCAAGTCTCTCATCCGGAGGGAAGCTGAGTCTGTTTAAAAAATTTGCACACAAGCCGCATAAAAAGACACAATGAAACTCGAGGATGTCTGCATAGGATTCAAGGTCCCTGTAAGAAAGCACGTTGAGGACAAGCTCGTGGTGTTGAAGGCAGAGATTCTTGGCAAAAGAACTGGCAAGCACTCAATGCTTGAATTCTATGTCCACTATGTGGATCTCAATAGAAGGCTTGATGAGTGGATCGATGGGACACTGATTGACCTGAGCGATCCTGCCCTGGTGGATGTGCCAAAGAAGAAAACTGAAAAATCAAAGGCAAATAAGCAACGTAAGCATTCAGAAGATGGTAAGGAGCACGAGGTTGTAGATCCAGTTCTTGAAAAGCCACCGCATGATGAAGAATTCAAAATAAAAAACATCAAGAAAATCATGATGAGAAATCACCTTGTGGATGCCTGGTACTTTTCTCCATATCCAAAGGCAGTGGCTGAGAGTGACATTGTTTATATATGCGAGTTTTGTTTATACTACCTTGCAACAATGGAGAGCCTTGTAGAACATGCAAAGAAATGCAATCTTAGGCACCCTCCAGGACGAGAGATATACAGAGACGGTACCTTAAGCTTTTTTGAATGTGATGGCTATATACAAAAGAATTATTGTAGGAATCTTTCGCTACTATCAAAGCTGTTTCTAGACCACAAGTCATTGTACTACGATATAGATGTGTTTATGTTCTATGTGCTATGTAGGCTCGAAGAGAACGGATACCAGATAGTAGGATATTTTTCGAAGGAAAAGATCTCAGAACAAGGTTATAACCTTGCATGCATCCTAACGCTTCCTTTTGAACAGAGGAAGGGGTACGGGCGGATTCTGATGGACTTTTCTTATCTTCTCAGCAAGCGAGAAAAGATAATTGCAGGGCCTGAAAAGCCACTGAGTGATCTTGGACTTCTGAGCTACAGGGCATACTGGGTAGAGGCGATTGTTGAGTATTTCTCGAGACACGAAGAAGCAAGCATCAGCCAGATTTCGAAAGAAACATATATTGCTGAAGACGATATAATAGGAACTCTATGTGCATATAAAATGCTAAGGATCCATGGACAAGACTTTGTTTTTACATACGATGAGGCACAGCTGCAAAAGGCACTGAAGACAAGATCTAAGAGTGTCGATGGCTCGTTACTGAAGCTTTCATAGTGAGGCAATTGTTGTAGTATTCAAATTAAACATCTTTATTTATTTAGAGCAGTTGGCATGGCCCAGTACAGCATGTACATTTCTTTTTTGTTGATGAAGTAACTCAGGTCAACCTTTCCTGAAAGGCCTATCAGCATGACTAGAAGATAGTTTATCAAATATGCTTTTGATACATCTGCGATCTGCATTGATATCACATCAGCTATTTGCTGCTGAACTCTGTAATGCAGATGCTCAAGATCATCATCAGCAATATCAATCGTGTCTTCATTTGATACAATAACAGGAACACCGTGATCTTTGCAGGTTTTGTATGATATAAGTTTGTAAAGGCAGTCTTCTGGACTTTCAACAGCAATTTTGAATGCTTCTATTCCCATCTTAAGCTTCATGTTAAGGAGATCAACATTCATTTGATTCTTGTTTATGCTCAGTTGGAAGTCACTTGAGAATAGATCTCGCAATGAATTATATTCGCAATCGATTGATCCGTTATTAACCACTGTTTCGTGGCCATTTGTAAATCTTATTGTTATTGTTCCTGTTATTATATTTACAAAAACATTGAGTTTTTCTTGTTGTGCATTCTTCTCATTGTTAATTTCTAGGCTAATTCTCCTATCATCTGATTCTTCTCTGTGAATTAACATAGTGTAGCAATACTCAGTTATTATGATTGCATCTACTGCATCCTTGTTTATCTTTCCATGCACTAAATACTTAATAGAATCTCTTTTCTTTTCATTTATTAATACAATGTACTGATTTATTCTATGCTCTACAAATGCTCTAAGTTCATCGATATCTACATATTTGGATTCTGCAACACACACAGTCAATGCATCTCTTATTTCATTCAGGTTCATTCCGATAAACTCGTTCATTTCGCTTATTGTCTTGTTCATTTCGTCAACATGCATTTCTCTGCTTCTTCTCAGTGTTTCTACATCCATTACAGGGATTGTTTGTTGACAGTAGTGCCTATTGCTATTCATTGCATCCCGATATACCCTTCATGCATACAAACAATCCATTTCTCGACGCAATATGCAATGCTGAGAGTGTATTTGGAGGCCTTTCTGGTGGCTGGTGGGTTCTTGATGCCAAAGGAAGCATAAGCCCATACACATCACAGCCAATTAATAAAAGTTCATGCATTGTCAAGGCAAGCAGCCAAGGATTGCTGATATTCAAAGGTGGGCATGAATTTATGCATGAGGCGATGTCAGGGTTTGTTGAGCCAGCAATATTGTCGATCCTCAGGGCAGAGATGCCGTTTGTTGTGCACAAGGAGGCACATGGATTGCTGAGGCAGCTGTCAAGTATGCTTACAAGAGAATCTGAATCACAGGATAAACATGGAGCTGGCACTGCAACAAGCATCCGAGAAATAGAGCAGATATATGAGAAGTACTCATGTATTGCAGACAGTGGAATTGAAATTGAGTTTGTGCTTTCAGAAGATGAGCTGAGTACAGTGTGCAAAGTGTGTAAGGTATGGGTAGCTGAGATAAAGAAACTGTATGAATCTGTCAACACAAGAAAGAAGCAAACATTTGCAGAAGAAAAGATGTTTTGGCGAGAGTTTTACATGCAAATGTGCTATGCATTTGAGGTTTTCAGAAGCAAGATGTTTGTTTTCATGTGTGATGTGCTTAGAAGCAGCAAGAAACTTGTGACCTTGACGACTCTACACAGTTTATCATCATCGAACAGATACTTAGATGTTGGACAAAAGCTTAATGAGTTCTATCACAAGATGGACTTTGACAGGATATACTCAGCAAAGAGCCTGGTTGAATTTATGAATGCATTTGCGAATGTGTTTATAGAAATTACAGGCTCTATTCAAAACCAGTCACGGATTGTTAGGAGATCTGTTTTCACACACATGAATGGATTGATTGCACTTGTGGCGGATAGAGTACTTGAATGCGAATCTTTTGAGATGATAAAGTGCTGTGAAGAGATGTTTTCTAAGTGTATAAGCAATATGAAGTTACTAGATGAGCATATTGAAGATGATGCCACAGAGACACAATCATTAGAATGCATGCACATTGATGATGGTAATTGGATGTGTGCATTTCAACAAATACATATGGATTTTATTGAAGCAAGAGATGCACTTGCATATCTTTGGATATTCAAAAGTATCGGAAAGATGATTTTTGGAGTGCATCCATCATTGAATGATCCAGATGGATTAGAGATGCACAATCACCACATCAATCAAAATGAAGAGTTTAAACGAATGGAAACCGAGTTCTACAGGCTAACTAGTGAAATGACACTTCTATTCGGAATATCTCAAGATAGGATTGAGTTTGTGGATGTTTGTAGAGAGACATTTAAGAACAGAAAGTTTACAAGAATAGATCTTCGGGATTATGAAAGGCTTGTATCCGATTCTTTTAATTTCATTTGTGATCAAGACCTTTACTTCGATATTAATGCATTTTACACCTGTTTTCCTTGGACAAATGGCAAAATGAATGATATACCAATAAGTACGATGATGGAGAATGCATCAGGGTTTTCAAGATTATACAAAGTTATGATGTTTTTCAAGCCTTTGGTATGCTGCAGTGTTTTTTCAGAAAGGACATTCGAGAAGCGCCTGAGGATGATCAATCATTTCAGGTTTCTATTTGAAATTGATGTGATACCTGTGCATGGAGAGTTTTCGAGGCGAATTGTATATCTTTTTAGACTTTTTGGAATGTATGAAGAGGCGTGGGCAATCTTCAAAGCGTTTTTTGGAGATGAAGAACAAAGTATTGCACAATTATCTGAGTATGCAAAGAGAAAGAAGGCATTGGAGATGTCGATTGCACACGAAATAAGACAGTGGCTAATGAAACATCCGGAATCCTACGGAATTGAGCGCAACATTCTAGATGTAGTAAATAGTCCGGAAGGTCAATGGAGGATTGAAGTAAGGCTTGATATGCATGTTGTAAGGCTGATTAATGAGTACATGGTTTTGATGTCTATGGACAGAATAGATGTTGTTGGACTATATATGGCAAAATCAATTATTGAGAATATGGATGTATTAGTAAGGATAAAACCTGTGTATGAAAGATTGAGCAGTGGATGCGATGTATTCCATGATATATTGGAATGTATAACAGATGATATGGATATTTTCTGTAATGAGATTGACGCAGTATTTGAGTCATTGAGTAAGATAACGAATATTGAATGGAAGAGCGTGGCCTGTAGAGATTTGGATGAGTTTGAAGCTAAGATGTTGATTCTTGAGCAAAAGGTGTATGCATATAAGTTTTTTGTGAAGAAGATATGTAGAGGAGGAATGAAGCGGGTGTTTTCGATGCATCTTGATTCTGGTGATATGTTTTCTACTGATTGCACAGCATATCTGCGATTTTTTGAGTTTTATGATAAGGATATTGTTATGCGTACCATAGAAAGAAGCATGAAGAATGTATTTATTCAATATCTTGAGAATGTGATTGAATGCTTGCATAAAGTAGATGTGAGACTCTTTATATCTAAGCATAAATTTATGAAGATCAAGAATAATGGTGGTTTAGAATGCAGTGAAAGTGCTGAAGAAACCTGGACTGTGATTGATGGATATACACTGAGTCCTGGCATTGATGAGTACTTCAAGATTTTAGAAAGGATATTTCCGAGTGAAGAGCAGTACTTTTTTAGCAAGGTTTTTGAGAAGATCAGCGCTGGAGATGAAGTTTGTGTGCTTATAGAAAAGATTATTGAGAAGGTTGTTGAGGGATATGAAAGATGTGTTGCTGTATTGAATAAGTGTGTTATTGAGGAGCTTCCCTCTGATCTTGTAACAAGATTCAATGTGATTGCAGAAATGAATGAATGTGCTAAGAAGTTAATGAATAACACGATTCCGTTTTTTGTTTTTGAGTCTGTTGACGTGACAAAATATCTGTTGATGTTTGAGACGGTGTGCAACGAAGTAAGCAGGTATGTGGATGTAATGAATGGAGTTGTGTGTGAGAATCTGGAGTATGACGGATGTATCAGAGAAGAAGATGCAAACAACATTGATGTATTATTGCTATCGGTGTGTAATGCATTGTGTGTGAAAGAGTACATTGAGTCTGAGGATTTCAAATGCATTGAGAGATTGAATAATATTGTGTGTGAATATGAATTGGAAAAGCCCAGAATTGGCCGAGAAGAAATAGAAAGGAGAAAATACAATGCGGTAATGAATAGCGAAATGATGATTGAGCGGTTTGTGAGCAATGTTCCGCTTGATTCGATACTTACAAAGCGATTGATGTTACAGAATGAGATGAACTTGGTGTGTAAAGAGTTTGAAGTACTAATGATGGAAAGAGACTTGGATGTGTTTGATCGAATGCTTGTGTGCATTGAAGATAGGAATCTCATATTAAGGGCTGAGATTACGAATATGAACAAGGTTCTAAGAATTATGAGTGCAGTAATGATTTATAACGATGTTGATCAATGGATGAAAGATATAAAAAGCAAACGAAAGGATTTTGAGAGGTATTCTAATATTATTAGGAGGTATGAACATCAACTTATTGATGAGATTGATGTACTTGAATTTAACACATTTTTAGAATCATTTGTACGTATTACTGAGGATGATCTGAGTAATGGAGAAGCAAATACAAATGTTAATAGAAATAGATGTTGTAAATGGTATGAAGCATTTATTGAGAAGATAAACATATACAGAGATGCTTTAGAGTATTTTGATGATATCCTAAGTGATGGAATGAAGAAGTATGAATATGGCAAAATGTGCTTGGGAGAGTTTGTTAGACAATTCAATAGGAATGAAATTGAAGAGAAGATACATGAGTGCAAGATGGAGGGTGAAGTTAGAAGGTATTTGAATAACGCATTACAGCGTTTTGGAGAAGTTTATTTAGAAATTTCAGATGTGCATGAATTACCAAGAATAATGCTTCTTGATGAAGTAGAAAGTAAGCTCTATGGGATGTTAGCGGAACATGAGTCTGTAATGAGATTCAATACCCGAGGAGTTTTACAGGATGAGGTTGATGTGCTTAATGAAAGCCTGAATGGATGTATTGAAACGATTTGTTGTGTTAGACAGGTATATGAAGGGCTGCAGGGATTGTTGAATGTGTTTACAAGCAAAGAGCTAATGCTTGAGGCAGAGCGATACAAAAGAATCAAAGAAAGGTTTTTTTATGGATTACAGAATGATGGATACAATATCCAAATGGCATTCCAATCAAAGAAGATAAATGATTCAGATGAAAGAGAAAAGTGCATTGTTGCAATCAAAAGTTTAATTCCTTTGCAAAAGGAGTTTGTAAAGATGAAAGAAGACATTGATGAACTTAAGAAGGGATTATGCAAGTTTCTGGATATGCGCAGGCAGAATGCACCAAGACTATATTTTGTTTCTGACGAGAACCTGATCCGTGCATTGAATGACAGGCTGTATTATGGTGAGATACTCAGATTGACGTTCAATGTAGACATGATGCATCAGGAAGGGAAAATGATAACTGGATTTGTAAGTGGAGGAGAAGAAATTGAGTTAACTGATGAGGTAAGTACTGAGAAGGATATAGATGAGTTTGTGATGAATTTTGAAAATGAAATACAAAAGAAGATGAGGAAGAGTTTTGATTATTGCATGTATAATCAAGATTTAGATGGCATTGAGACAAAGGTTCCAGCGATTGTATCTGAATTAGTTGATGAACTCAGATACTTTGAAGGAAATAATCATGGAAGAAGCACACCGAAAATCATGCTGCTTGATAATGAGATGAAAAACAATGCAGGTGCATTAAGAATGTATCCGAAGCCTATTATATTTGAAGGAGAAGTGTATGTGGAGGCATTTAGCAGAAGGAAGTATGGATTTGAGTATTACCCACCGACAGACATTGTGTTTACACCGTTAGTTTGTAGGATTCTATGCACGATTGAAGTCACGTTGAGAAAGTTGTCAGGGCTAATCTTGTATGGACGGAGTGGAACAGGAAAGACAGAGTCTGTGAAGTATTATTGCAGAACAATAGGTGTGCCTGTGTTTGTGTTCTGCTGCAATGCCGAATGCAGCTTCAAGACATTGGAGAGGGTTATTAGAGGAGCATGCCTTGTAGGGATGTACGTGTGTTTTGATGAGTTTAACCGACTGAGTGCACAGATAATGAGCGGAGTTACTGAGTTGATTCTCGGAAGTAAGGAGAAGACCAAGTTTTTCTTGACAATGAATACAGGATATAAGGGACGATACGAATTGCCAAGGAGTCTGAGGGTGATTTTTGGAGAGACGAGGGTTGATGTACCTGACAGAAAGGAGGTGATTGAATATTATTGTGGGCATGAGTCTACTAGGGTTTATGAATTGATATGTAGATTGGAGTACAATGTAAGTAAGAAAGCGCATTATGATTTTGGACTGAGGGCGATACGAACTATTATAAGAGGAGTTGAGACAAATATTGCAGAATGGATGGCACGATTTTATATGTCTTCGTTTGATAGTGCAGATAGGAAGATGTTTTTGAGAGAGTTCAAGAGCGTTTTTGATAAGGACTTTGATAGAAACCTGAAGTATGAAGATCTGTTAGTACATGGATTGAGCTGCATGAGAGCAGCACTTGTTTTTGGAGCAAATGGAGTGGGTAAAAGTATGATGATCAAGAAAGCAAGTAAGATGAGGAATTCAAGGTGTTTCTACTACAATCCAAAAAACATGTTATCTGTATTTGGAGGATATAACGATACCACTGGGGAATGGCAAGATGGAATTTTTTTGCAAGATCTAAGGCGATGTCTTTGTATTTGTTCTGGAGATGAATGTTGGTTTGTATTTGATGGCCCAATTGAGTCTTTATGGATGGAGGACTTTAATTCTGTTCTTGACATGAGCAAGGTGTTATGCCTAAGCTCTGGGGAAAGAATAAGGATTCCAGAGAATTTTAGGTTTATATTTGAGAGTGTTTGTATTGAGGAAGTGACGCCAGCAACGCTTACAAGAGTTTTTATTGTATATGTTGAAAGGAATTGCGATGTGATAGAAAATGTAATGGATATGAATGAACAGCATGCTATGAGTGGAAGGTGTATAAGGTATGATGGAAGAGATGTTGAGAAGTATGAGTTTGTAAATCTGGTTGGAACGAGGGAGTTGATTTTTTATGCAAGATGTATTTTAGATCTTGCAAGAGATGAAAGAGTGTTTTTTATTCAAGGTAAGGAAGGAGTGGGAAAACAAGCATTGGTTCGAGAGATATTTGGAGAAAGAAGTGTACATGTATGCGCATGTGATCTTACAGTTGAGAAGTTGATGCAGATGGTTGATGGAGAGAGAAAGAGACGTGCTAATGGTGAGGAAGAACATGAATGGAGGGTTGTGATGTATATTTATGGAATGGAGAAGAAGAGTGTGAATGCAACTGAGATAGTCAGAGAGTATAATGAGTATGGAAGGATAGGAGGTTTAAAGATAGTTGGGTTGGTAATTATATGTGGATTTAGTACTTATGATGGAGATATGCAGGAAAGTGTGAACAGGGTTTTAAACAAAGTTATATGTGTAGTGATGGAAGAGCCAAAGGAGATAGCCAGTGTGTTTAGAAATATATTGCATAATGCATTGAGATGCACGAAGCATTTGAATGAATTTGAGAAGATTATGGAGATAGTTATGTTTGTTTATAAAAAGATGAATGTGTCGATTAAGAAGATGGTGAAGTTTATTAGGATGCTTGGCGAAGTTTTGAAGGATGCTTGGCAGATTGTAGATTTGATTTACTTTGAGGCAGGAATGCATTTTAGAAGAGTAGATGAACTGAGAGAGAAGATACATGAAATATTTGGAAGTGTACCTGAAGAGATTGGATTTGATATAGAAAGCAAGAAGTTTGGAACATATTTTAGATTGAAGGAGATATCTATGGTTGGATCTGTTTTGTATAGGGGATGCAATCTGGTGGTTGAAGGACCAAAGATGAGTGGAAAACATTGGTTAGTTGAGGAATGTATTAAGAAGTTGGATGTGAGTGTGAAGATGATAGAATGGATGGATGAGAAGGTGATTGATGGACAAACTGTGATTTTTGTTGAGGATAGCAAGTTGTTGGATAAGCAAGTTGTAGATGAAAGCTTTGTATTGAAATTGCAGAGGTTATTGAGGTATTCGATAGATTTAGAGAAACTTTTTTTAATGATTGGAGATGGACAAAGAAATGATTGCATAGAGCAAATTAAGAGTTCGTTTGTAGATAAGAATGGAGTTGACATTGATTTATTTTTCGGGGAGAATGGATTTGAGCAGGTATCTGAGGCACCTGAGATTGATGATATTGTAGTACGACATCCTGATGAGTGTAAGCATTGTAGTGTAGTGAGCACGAAATCTTATTGTAAAGCGATTGACTTTGGAATGTGTTTTATAAGGATTGCAGAAGAATTCAGGTGCCAAGAGGTAAAGAGAAGAAAGTTTTTGAATGATGGAATAGTGAAAATTGAGGAGTTTGAAAGAGAAGTGATATTGTTGAGAAAAGAGTCTGCAGTAAAGAAAGAAGGATTAGAGGATTTGAAAAAAATAATCGATGTGAAGCTTGAGAAGATAGCAGAGGAGCAGTTAAAGATGGAGGAAGAAAGGGGAAGTATTGAATTCAAAAAGAAAGAGATTGATGAGTTTCTTGCGCTTAATGTTGGAAGACGAAGAATGGTTGATGAGAAGATTGGATATGCTAGAGAATCGCTTGAGGAGTCTAACAAGGGGATTCGAGAGATATCTAAAGGAAGCCTGTCTGAGATCAAAGCGATGAACAATCCACCGGAGATAATCAAGAATACGGTGGAGGCAGTTTTTTTACTGATTGAAGGACAGAGTAGGATAGAGAGGCGTATTGAATGGAAGAGGCTTGTGCAGTACATGAAAGGAGAGGATTTTGTAGCGAAAGTTATGACCTGTGGCGACGTTTGTGTTTGCATTATGCTGGAGAAACTGATTGAAGATCCTGGATTTACATATGAAAGGGCCATGAAGGCAAGTAAGGCTTGTGCACTTTTATTTTCATGGATTGTGGCAAAGCATCGACATGCAAAGATTCTGCAGGAGATAAAGCCATTGGAAGATGAGATAAGCGAAATAGAATGCAAGATTAGGAGTACTCAGGAGCAGCTGAATACTGAAGAGAAGCGGCTGCAAGCTGTTGAAGAAATGATTGATGGGATGAAGAGAGAATACATGGAACTTGAGTGTAAACTTGATGATATAAAAACCGAGGTTGAAATGATTGATATGAAAGCAGTGCAGATTGATTGGGTTGTACAATCATTGAGTGATGAGATTGAGAAGTGGAGGAGGAATAAGAATGAATGCCCGATAGTATATATGCTAAGTAGTAATGAATGGATGCTTAGCCATTCCAGAAATGTGTTTGTGCGAGATTGTGATATTGCAAGGGTGATTGAGGGACGAAGGCATGTTTGCACACGTGTTGGAGACAAAAGCTGCAGACAGGTTTTAATGAGTAGTGAAGAATATGGGAATGATGTTGTGGTGTATGGATGTGAGGTATTTGATAAGGAGATCTACAAAGCTTTGAAGAGACAGATGCGGAATCGAAGGAGTGTGATAATGCTTGTATCTGAGACTGATAGAAATGTGTATGCGGAATACACATATATGTGCAATAGAGAAGAAAGGTTCAAAGTTGAGGAAGAGACGAATTTGGAGGAGATGGAAGAGAACCTGATTGAGCTGATTACAGGAAATGGCGGATTAAACGAGATATTTGAGCATAAGAAGAAGATGGACGCAGCAAGGGAAAACAAGAAGCAGAATGCATGTAAGAAGAGGATGTATGCGATACTTAATGGAGTGTTTGATTTGAAGAGCAAATATTTTTTTGAACGGTATGCAATGAGGCTTTCATTTAGGATATACAAGGAGTATATTGAGAAAGTGATGTATATGAAAGTATGTGAATTGATGGGAAATGAAAATGAGATACTGAAGCTGTTTGAGAATGATACGACTGGAAAGGTTGAAAGGACGGTACGTGAATTTGCAGAGTATTTTTACTCATGGATGGGTTCTAGATCGATGAGGCGAAACCTGGATGTAGTGAAGGAGATAAAAGAAGGTTTGTTTGACTATACATTGATGAAGGCAAGTGATGAGATTATATACGCTATTGAGAAAGAGATAGATGTATCTCAAACGATATCTGCAGGATGTGTAGAAAGCAATATAAGAATATTTGAAATGCTGTCTGAGAGATGCACTGAGGAGAAGATATACTTTGTGAAGAATATTCATTTTCTTGGGGATGTAAAGAAGACGGGCAACTGCAGGTTTATATTTACGATTGATGAAGGACAAAAACATCGATTAGTTGATGACACAAGGTTTATATTTTGTAAGATGGATGTATCGAGTGAAGAGATTAGAAGATATGTTCTTTCTACAGCTAGAGCAGATGATGAGTTGGTAGACTTTCACATGAGGATGGTGAATATGAATGCAGACCTGAGCATAAGGGACCTTATTCTGTATGCAGAAAGCAGGGATGAATGTAATGAGGAGTATCTAAAGACATTGATATATAATTGTAGAATAGATAGTTGAATGATTAATGAAGAATTGAGATTTTTTGTTTATTAGTTTATTTTATCTGATGAATCTTCTAAGGAAGTTTGAGAAGGTGAAGTGAGCCTTCTGCTCAAGCACTTTATCAAGATTAGTTCTGAACAATGGGCCAGGCATTCTTGACTTTTTTTGAATTGAAGGTTTTATATGTTGTGTGTAAGTACTTGGCCTGAAGTGCCTTGGCCTGTAATCAAGCAGAAGTTTTTCCTGTGATGTACTGTGCATGTGTTTATGGAGCATGAAAAATTTGAGCCCAGAATGAATCAGCTTTTTGTGCAAACGGAAAGAATAGCGGATCCTCGAGAGGGGCGTCTCCAGGTAGTATCGAACATAGATGTGTGTGTGAAGATAGCGGAGTTTCTTGGAAGCACACTTGGACCTTATGGAATGGATAAGCTGTTTTCAGGGAAGGAGATGGTTGTTACGAATGATGGAGCAACGATTCTGAAGCAGATGAATGTGAAGCATCCTGTTGGGAAGCTACTAGTGGGACTTTCTGAGGCACAGGATAATGAGGTTGGAGATGGAACAACGAGTGTTGTGATACTAACTGCTGAGATACTGGATAGTTTGAAACCTTTGATAAAGGAAGGATTTGAGCTTGGAGTGATTAGAGAGTGCCTGAATGAGCTGCAGGCACTTTGCGTGAAGCACCTAGATGGATTAGGAATGGAGGCGTCTGAAGAGATGCTGTACAAGCTAGGGGAAACGTGCATTACGTCTAAAAGCATAAGGAATGAAAGGAAGCACTTTTCGAAGATGATAGTTGACACAGTCCGGCTTGTTGATGCAGATGACAACGAATCGATTGGTGTGAAGAAAGTGCAGGGGGGCAGCATTGGGGATTCGTTTGTGGTTGATGGGATTGCGTTTGAGAAGTGTTTTACATATGCAGGGTATGAACAGCAGCCGAAGAGAATAGTGAATCCACGGGTGCTATGCCTGAATGTTGAGCTTGAATGGAAGAGCGAGCGGGACAATGCGGAAATCAGGGTTGGGAATGTTTCTGAGTATCAGAAGGTGGTTGATGCGGAGTGGACAATAATACGAAGGAAGCTTGATGAAATCATAAGCAGTGGAGCAAATGTGGTGCTAAGCTCTTTGCCTATTGGAGATTATGCAACGCAGTATTTTGCAAGGCATGGGATATTTTGTGCAGGCAGGGTGATGAAGGACGATCTTAACAGAGTGGTTAGGTCGTGTGGAGGAAGCATTCTTGGATCTACAGAATATTTAGAAGGAAGTGTTGGAGGATGTACGCTTTTTGAGGAACGACAAGTTGGAAAAGCAAGATACAACTTTTTACAGGGAGGAAGTATGAATGCATGTACTATGATACTGCGAGGACCTGGAAATGAAGTTCTTGAAGAGGTTGGAAGAGCTGTGAATGATGGAATATGTGCAGTCAGGGTTGCATTGAAGACAGGAAGAGTGGTGACTGGAGGAGGCTCGATGGAGATGGAGCTTTCGTGGATAATCAGACAGCGATCGCTTGAGTACAGTAACAAGAAGATGTTTGTTGCAAAGGCGGTTTCTCAGGCATTTGAGAAGATACCACAGCTGCTTGCAAAGAACTTTGGATTGGACACTATAAGTGTAGTGCAGGATCTTAGAAAAAGACATGCGAATGGACAGGATATGATGGGGATATGTGTATCTGGGATTGGGGATATGAAAGACCTTGGAGTGTATGAGCCATTGGAGGTGAAGAGGAATATGGTCAAAGCGTCGTTTAGCGCAGCTCTGTCAATTATCATGATTGACTCGACGATAGTTGCAGAGAGAAGTCAATAAAAGGATTTGACTGATGATGTTATTTAGTGAATAGTGGATGTGTAAGATATAACATATGAGTAAAGATTTTTTAAAAAATGTTTAGTGCCCATATGAACGAAGAAGCTTGTAGTCTGTTTCTTCAGACAATTGATGTAGACTCACGTAAGAGGAATGAAGCAGAAAGGATTTTGATGGAGAAGGAGAAGGATCCTGTGTTTGTTATGTCTCTGATTAGGGGAAGTATGATGGACACGAACGCAATAGTCAAGAGGGTATCATCGCTTTATTTCAAGAATGCAATTATCAACCAGTGGAATAACGATGCATATGCACTAGCTAAGAATAGATTGATTGAGGAGATTCTCGATATGTTTCTATATGGGGACGATGTGACGAGGGTTTCTTACAATGCGATTCTTGTGCATATTTTCAATAAGGAGAAGAGTCTCGATCGAATTGAAGTGCTTTTTGAAAAGGCGTCGCAATTCCTGAAGGTTCCTGATGTGAATCATGTTTATACAGCATTGAACATGTACTCAAAAGTTTTTGAGGCAGATGAGATACGATCAAACATAGAGAGTGCTTTAGAAAAGATATATGGAGGATCTGGCAGGGACATTCTTGAGAAGGTGCATATGTTCTTTGAGATGGGGGACTATGTGATGCTGAAAGTTGGATTGAATGTGCTGGTGAAGTCATACTGCTACTACTCGATTCCGAAGTACTTGTCATGCATAGAAGCATTTTCTTATGTTTTTGGACTTGCATTGCGAACGATGGGGCTGGAGAACAATGAAGTTGAGGGAGTCCTTGATTGCAAGGAATTGGCAGCGAATTTTATTTATAGGGAATACAGCAAGGGACTGAAGAAGTTTTACAAGAACAACGAGCTTTCTGAGTATGTTAAGGATGTTAGTAGACTTCGCGAGGTGTATCCTATGTTTCTGAAGGTTGTGCAGGAAAGAAGCAAGCTGAGGGAAGAGATTGAGGTTTGTGCAGTGGATTTTTTTGCATTGCTTGTGTCTGATGCGACTTTTAATGAGTATGTGGAGAGGGACATACCGTATTTGGTGTTTGGATATATACTACCTGTTTACTCATTGTCTGAAGCAGATGAGGAGGACTTTGAGCAGGATGCAGAGAAATACCTGCGAGAGAAGTATGGGTATTTCAGAAGCACATTGCGAAGCAACTTGAACGGACTGTTCCGAGAGATAGTGTCGAAGATGAAGAACAATGAAGAGAAATTTAATGAGATGTTGAAGTGCCTTGTGTCAGTGTTGGACAACTGTAAGGAGAATCCAAGCAAGGAGAATTTGAGGATGGCATATGGGTCTTTTTTTCTACTGGCAAGCATCAAGAGCACGCTTATGAAGAAGGCAATGAATGTTCTTGTGTATGTGGTGATGAACCATGTGATACCGAATTTAAGAGGAGAATGTTTGGTGCTAAAGTCCCAGGCATGCTATTTTTTGTCGATAATTGAGGAGGATCTGCCGATTGGTACTGAGGCGATTGGACTGTTAGATGAGGTTCATGCATTGATGATGTCGAGCCATCGAGTGCTGTATGTTGAGGCAACGCTTGCAATGTCCTTTTTTATGTCGAATGAAATGGCAAGTGAGAAGTTTAAGCAGCTTATTCCTGTTGTGTTAGAAAGTATATTGCGACTGTTGAATGCGTATGATCTTGAGCCATTGACTATTCTACTTGATACGATTACTGAGTACTATCCTGAGGAGATGGTGAAATATGCGCCTGAACTTGTTAGATCAATTTCTGGGATTGTTATTACACATCTGTCAAGCACTGAGGAGCTTAGTGAGGAGAAAGCGATGCTGGTAATGGGATTTTTGAGGAACATAGAGAGCCTTATTCTGTCACTGGAGCATGGCTCTGTTGTTTTGGAGCATGCATACATGAATTCTTATGATGTCCTGTATTTTATATTGAATGAGGGGAAGGAAGACTTCTATCAGGAGATGCTTGATATTCTGAACGGATATGTGTTTATGATTAAGAGGATAGAAAGATCGATGTGGGGATTATTCCACATGGTTTTGAACCTTCCGATTGATGATATTGCAATATACTCTTCGAATGTAGCAGATCTGATAGACAACTTTGTAACGTATGGGAAGGAAAGTGTGATGAACACAAGCATCTTAACTGGGATATACTCAGTGATATCTAAGTTCTGTCTTTGTAATGAGGAGAATTTCTATGAGGACGAGTTTATGGATGGGTGCAGGATTATTGAGTCGATTATTCTGAACATAGGCAATGAAGTAGTGAATGCAGACCCGTCCAGATTAGAGTTTTTCTTGAATGTTGCGATCTCTGGGCTGTCTATGGTTGATGAGGCAGGAACAGCAATGGTTTATGTACTTGAGGTTGTGATGAACAGCTTTATTCTGCGACCAAATGATACTATAAGGATACTTGTAGAGCATAAACGACTTGAGGAGATTTTAAGGAATCTATTTACACAGCGCAATAACTTTAAGAGGGTTCATGACAAGAAGATATGCATGCTATTTATTGGAGCAGTGTGTGGACTGAGAGATGGAGAGATTCCTGGTTTGGATATGCAAGGGTTTATTGGATTCATAGTGGCTGTTGTGACATCGCTTCCAGCAGCAATCAAGTTGAGGAATCAGATGAAAGAAGAGGAGGATGAAGAAGTGGATGAATCGTATTGTGAAGAAGAAGAGTATGCTTCAAGCGATGGGAGTTATGGAGATGTTTTCTTGGAGGAAGACATATACTTTGAGACATCCCTGGACCACTTTGAGCCTTTTGGATACATATCATCCATACTGAGTCAGCCTATGCCTGGATCCTATGCAAGCAGGGCAGTTCATGAAATGTCTGAGAAGCAGAAGAGTACGATGTTTAGTGTTCTCAACACAGAGCGAGTTATTCAGAAGGTTTGAGCATTATATTAAACTTATGGCTTATGATTTGTAATATCTCTTCTGCGCTTGAGTATGCAAAGCTTGAGTATACAAATGCAGCTTATCTAAGTATTACAATATTTGTGGTAGCATTTAGTTATATGTTGAGACAGATGCCAAGAACCCTGGGCTTGTTAAGCAAATCATCCACAAACACATCGATGTACATAGAGAATCTTGTATTTTGCTCGTTGACTACAGTGATTTTCCTGAAGTCTGCTTCAAAGCACTTTATCAGGTCTCTGTATTGGTGAAAGTTCACAGATAGCCTCAAGTACAATAAAAACGCAGTCAAGAGATATACATTCCCTTTAAAGTCATTGGCTGTCAATGATGGACCTATGTGTCTAGGCTTCATATCTTCCAATGCTTCTGCAACAACATCATCTATCAAGGAAATTGAGTCTAGTTTATGAACGAGGCATATAAATCTATGAGGTGTGTTCCTGATCATGCCGCCTATTGAGTTTAGTTTGCATATCTCATTGACCAGGTCGCTGTATGTCAGTGATCTCATCGCTCTGAATTCTTGAGACTCAATTATTTTTTCCCTAGCTATCTTGCCGATCCTTTTGTATTGCATGCACAGGGAGTTTAAACCAAATTATAGATTATCAATTATGATACAATTGTACTGATTATCACGTGAATGTACGCTAACTTAAAAATACAAGCAAATATCAGTGATATCAAATGTTTATTATCAAATCTTTTCAATTAGATCAAGAAGCCTTTTGCTTTCCTTTGATGTATCTAATTCGTTTACATTCAATACAGTGTATCTCATTCTGATTTCATCATTGTAATTGTCCTGCTTTGACTTGACCTTAAAAACATATTCCTTGAAGTACATTCCCTTGATCAAGGATTGCAGGTCTGCAGGTGAGTCCTCACTCATTGTCTTCATTTCTTTCGCTGTTATTCCAAATAAGCTTGTTGCCACCTCATCAAACAAATTCACCCACATCTGTCCGGTAAAATCTCCAAGATGCATGCTAACCATGTATCTATAGTTGCATTCCTCATATGCCATATTGCATCTCTCACATCTATAACATCCATTCCCCTCCATAGCAACTTTCTTGTTGCATCCTTCGCCAGGACATGATGCATACCACAATCCATCTTCCTTCAGAAACATTACAGTCCCTTGTATGCTTGAATAATGCAGCTCGTTATCCTTCACTTCCTGTATCAGCTTTTTCTTTTCTTCTCTTTTGGGAAGCACTATCTGAACATCCTTGCCTACAGTTTGATACCATCCTGCAAGTTCATGCGCTTCAGAAATATCCGGATTAATTAATACCTGAGTATTTCCAGCTGTAGACACTGAAACCCCACTGAAGTCACTAATCTTCACAGACTTCATTGCAAGTACCATCCCGCTCTCAATATCAAGTTCTGCTTTGGCTCCCCACAGCGTCAGTCTCACACTTCCACTCTCATCAACGACAACCGCATCTCTTTTAAGAAGCTCATTCTGTGTACTCTTGACTACTACAGTAGACGATGGATATACATCCTTCACAACGCCAATCACATCACAGTAAGACATCTCCGGAGTCAATTCTGAAATCTTAACAAAATTGAAGAAATATCTTGGCGATCCATCGTCAGCTGCATGCCTGACCTCAGAGTTCTTGTCAAGAACAATCTCGTAATCAAATGGATTCGTAGTGTATTGCTTGTTTGCCATTTTAATTGTTCCTTTCTCAATACAGTATACTTTTCCTATCTCAACGATTGGATAGAAAACATCCACAGTATCTGAAAAACACGTTACTTTCACTTGTGCCGTTCCGTCTGATACTTCAAAGTTGAACAGCTTTCCTTCTCCTTTCTGATTCGTGAATCTCCTTATGTCACTCTTCGCCATCACTCGTCCCTTGATAATCCATTTGTTGTGAAACGGATTCAGCATGTTAATTGCTGTAAATCCATCATCAATACTCTCTGTCTTTGTTCTCTTCTTTTCAGCATCATAGTCTATCTCTTCTTTGCAATACTGCGTTACAGGTAATCCGTTCTTGTGAACTCCTGGGCCTGGGCTTGCCTGGTTATCGCTGAAAGAGGCATTCCCTGTGCTTATGTTGACTGGCTTTCCTATCTCTACATTACAATCCTCATACTCAAGAATTTCCTGGATGTATATGTACACGTTTCCATCCTTAGACCTCACGCTAAACTTGCCCGTTTTTATCAGACTCAGCTTGTTGATCAATCCCTGCTCAAAATAGTGTGTAAGCTCGCTTGAAAAAATGCCTTTCATGTATCCCACTCCATCAGATACATTGACACGGTATCTTTGCTTGTCTCCAATTACAACTGATAGTTTACCCAACGATGTTATCTGAAGCACAGGATTCTGGTACAGTGGATTGTTTATTTGACTGTTGTACAGTGCCTCAACAGTTCCTGGCTCAAGCTTCATGAAGGGTGTGCTCAAGATACTGAAATACCTGTGCAAATCAACTCACACAACGAATATATAATTCAATGCATGGGTGATCATCCAGTTGTTTCATACAGACAATACATTAAATAACATAATAAACATTCATGCACAAATTCAAAGAGTTTATTGATGATATAACAAACTGCAACATCACAGATACTGACCCATTCATCAATAGCATTTATAGAGTATTGAATAGCGGATGTGAACATGCAATACATGAGCTTTCAAAGTATCTTGATGCAGATAATTTTCCTAACATGCAGATATACTTGTCATTCATTCCTAAATACAATTCAAATCTACAGCTACCATCTGAGCATCAAATAACCAGGTTCTGGCTAATCAGATTCAAATGCCTACAGCAATGTGATTTATTTAATGCAAAAAAATTCAAAAGAACATCTGGGATTGATATAACACATGGTTTGAATCAACAAGATCATGACAGTGCCTATGAAAATGCAATATGTGAATTCACACAATATGAAGTCGATAACCAAGTGCTTGATACACTGGAAGGCCAACTACGCCTGATCAACCAAGTTCGCAAGATATACAGGATGACATCCCAAGGATCACATAGGACAAAGAAGCAACGAGAATGCAAATTACACGGATCGTTATATTTTCAGCACAGAAATTCAGGTACAGGCACTGATGCATTCTCATCACTATTCTCTCCGGTAAACACAGTAGATGAGATTCTTGTGCAGGATACGTCTGTGTTTGCATCATCGACTTTTCCAATTCTTGTGCTTCTACGAGCTGCAAGCAATATTTGTAAGATAATATACAAGCAAGGAGATGATTTGACAACAGACATGTTTGTTCTTGAGACAGTCAAGTATTTTTCAATGCTGCTGAACATCCAGCTAGTGACATATACCGTTATTCCATTGAGTAGGACTGAAGGATTAGTAGAGGTTGTTGAAGGACTTGAATTTTCAAGAATACACAGCTGTAGTAAGCTTGAAAAATACATTGGTACACACTCAGATGTTTTTATTGAGTCATTAAGCACGTATTCCGTTATCTGCTATGTATTAGGTATTGGCGATAGAAACCCAGGCAACATGATGGTAACTGCAGATGGATCATTTCTACACATTGATTTCAGCTATGTGTTTGGGAATGATCCAAAGCCTTTTTGTGCAAAGATCAGCATCTGCAGACCAATATGTGAATATCTTAAGAAAGATGCCAGAGCGTATCATGCATTCATTACAAACTCTGTTGATGTGTTTGTGAAAATAAGGCACTCTTATGGTAGAATCATTGCGTTCTGGTGCTTACTAATTAACAGTGGAATATTCAAACTGGATTTGAACGAAGCAGTAAGATTTGCAGCAGAAAGACTCATGCTTGATTACTCAACAGCTGATGCATCAAGGATCTTTGAGCGAAATTTAAAGAGTAGCATCGGATCGACCAGGACATTGGTTGCACATGCAATCAACCGTATTGCAACACTCCTCCGGAAATAAACAGGTTTAGATCATTGCGAAGCCCTTGATGTGTTATGGAAAAAGTATATTAAAAACATTAACTGAGAGAGCCAATAAGCAAAGCATGCCTGGAATAACGCCTATGCTCATATCGCTAGGTATTGGAATTAGTGTCCTTGGAAGAAGGCAATATTTAGATGTAGATGATAGAACTTGTATAACTGGATATATAAAAAGAGCAGGAAAACGTGTTTGGAATATGATGTCAGGAGAAGAAGATGCAGTTGTAGCCATTCCCAAACAAGAGCAAAATAGGCCTGTATTGGTGTTTGATAGTTCGAACCTTTTGCTGAACAAAAAGTTTTTGCCTTTCAAGATGGACTTTTTTGTCTCTAGAAGAGCATTTACTGACGTTTTTCTGTTTCATGCTGCACATCTTTATGAGCTGATTCATGTGTCTGAGTCATCGACGCTGTTTGATAAGATGATGATGCATAAAATGGACCCGTATGGATGCATTTCATATAAGGTTTATTGCAAGGACAAGCAGAGGTTTGAAGGGAAACACTTAAACAGGTCGTTAGAAAAGGTTGTAGTGGTGTGCACTAAGGACGATGAGTATCACAAGGACTTTTCACAGAACGTTCTTAAGTTGAATAAATGGAGCGGAGAACCTGAGATGGGATTATTTGGATTACTAAACTTTTTGCATAGCTTATATTTTTCAGGCATAAACGACTTTAGACCAACATTAATGTCATATACAGGGAAAGATTTCCACGAGGCGTTTGAGAAAGTCCAGAAAGCGGTTTTTGTGAGTAGAAACATGTTTTCATGGAACACAGGAAGGAAGTATGAAGGAAGAGTAGAGGAAATCAACAGATGTAGGATCAATGACTATGAATCTGCAAGAAAAGTAATGGACAAGGATGTAAATAATGTCAATTCCGATGAAGGTTTGCTATCTGTTTTTGGATCGATTATGAACCTTGTAGTTAGAGTATTCTTATGATACAACAAGCAATAGAGTTTTGATGTGCGAAGTAATTTTTGATGATGATACCCAAGAGTAGTTTTAAATTGAATGCGGTATTGATTCATGCATAATTAGTGCAAGAGGATGCTTATATGAAGTAGTAATTATGCATTTGTAAATCTGATTCATGCATATAGATATATGGCAAAGTAGTAGTAGACCCATAAATGATAAGGAAGCAAGATATCATGTGTGTTGAGAAGATATCGTTTGGGCCTTTCTGGGAAGAGTTCCTTGTGTTTGTGGAGATACAGGACGTACTTGGTGGAATGTACAATCTACGAGTGATGAACAAGAAGAAGATAATAGAATATGGTGAAGAGGATATGGTTGATCATGAGTATGTGATTAGATCCATGATCAGGCATCCATTTCTGATCAACACGGTGTGTAGCTTCCAGGATTACAAGCATTTATTTCTTGTTGAGGAGCAGTCAAAGAACTATCTGATGGAGCTGATAAGAGCCGAGGGAAGGATATCTAAGAAAGCATGTCGGTTCTACATAGTGGAGATACTGCTTGTGATACAGTATCTGCACACCAAAGGGCTTTGCTATGGATTTTTATCACCCAGCAACATAATGATAGGAGATGATGGACACATCAAACTGAAGTATAGCTTTCTGAATGAAATAGATAGTGTTGTTGGAGGAATAGACAGCAATATTGAGTATGCATCTCTTGACTATCTGAATGGCTGGGGCCTTTCTTGTATGTCTGATTACTGGTCCATTGGGATAGTTATGTACAAGATGCTTGTAGGAATTACTCCTTTTGCATCACAGGACATGGCTTCAACAGCTGCAAAGATGAGGGAAGGAAAAGTTCGTTTTCCAGTGTTTTTTGATGCATGCACCAAGGACCTGATATCAAAACTGCTTGTGATTGAACCAAGAAAACGACTTGGATATATGGATAGAGACGCAGCAGCTATCAGGAGGCATCCGTTTTTTGATGGAGTAGACTGGGACAAAGCGTACATGAAAGCTACAAATCCGCCATTTCTATTCAATACCATCAAAAGCAAGGAGCAGCTGAAACCTGCAAATCTTGGCATTCTCTACACTACAGATTATCTTTCCGATCAGAAGGATGGCTATGGACGCACATTTAGACAGTATGGATCTGCACATATACCTGAAGTTTATAAAGGTCTCTGGAGAAACGGATATATTTAGATGGTTGGGTTTGGCTTACTAGATGTACGGTAATCAATAATGCTTGACGAGCATTGGTAATAAATAATTAACATATGTTTATACTTGTTTTCTGTTTATCTGTGGATAGAACACAGATTTTATTATCCTTGCAAGGAGATCTTGAATGAAAAGAGGCATGATTCTGAAGATGTGGCTGATGGGCCCGAATATCCATGGCATGAAATCTTCTCTTGTTCCGTTTTCGATATCTTTTACAACTCTGACAGCCACTGCCTTTGCATCGAGTGCACACACGTCTCTTATTTCGTTGAATAGTGTTGTATTTATCTTGTATGGATATATGATGACTGTATCTTTACCTTCGCGCCTTAATGATTGATTGAGTGTGTGGATGAATGCTTTTGATGCACAGTACATGGAGTATTCAGGTAATCCTTGTTGGGACAGGACGGAATTGATAAACACAAACTTTGTGTATGAGATGTTCTTGAGCAGCCACAGCTGTAGTTCTACATTCATTTGCAGCATGCCAGTGATCTCCTGGTACTCCATATCACAGAATCGCTTGTTGCCAACACTTGTGCCAAGGTTTGAGATCACAATATCAAATGAAATGCCAAGATCAGGCTTTTGGAGCTGCAGATCCATCTGATGATATGTAAGGTTTGGATGGAAGTATGGCTGTGAGGACCTTCCTATAGCATGTACATATGCACCTCTTGCCAGGAGCTCCTTTGTGATTTCGAGTCCAAGTCCTCTACTTGCACCAGTCACGAATACAGACTTTCCTACTAGATTGAGTGCAGCCATGTGTAAGGGTAGCTAACGTTTGTTCTTGATTGTCAGGCACAAGCATGGCTATGAAATATTCAAATGATTGTATTTTCTTAAGTAGAATTTGTATTTTATTCATGTGCGTGAATGTTTTTAAAGCATTAGCATGGGATAAGTAACAAGGATAGAGTAATAATATAGAATTGCAAGGTTAGTGTTTTGGGTGATGAGTTTATGAAATGAGGACTGAGCCCCTGATGACAACACAGGAAGAGATTTCGAATGTTTTTAACAGCGAAGGAAAGCTCCTTCAGATTGAGTATGGACTTGAGGCAGTGAACCATTCGTTGCCTGTAATCACTGTAAGGTCTAGGGACATGATTGTATGCGCAGCAAAGAGAATTATGCAGGATAAGCTTGAGGATGAGTGCCTGTCGAGCTTTGCAAGGGTTTCTGAGAGATGCTTTGTGGCGATTACGGGGCTTCCTGGAGATGTTGAGTATATTGTGCAGAGGATAAAAATGATTGCGAATAAGGAAACGTTTTCTCTTGGATTTGAAGTGACACCTGATATCCTGTGTAGACAGTTCGCAGACAAGATGCAGAAGCTGATACAGAGTTCAGCGGAACGACCAGCAGCATTTAGTGCGTCTATTTTTGGGTTTGATGCAGGAAAGGCGATGGTCTATCAGACTGACATGTCTGGGATTTGCTATCCTTGTTATGCTACTGCGGTTGGAGAGAAGCATGGGAAGATGAGCAAGTATATTGAGAAGAGCTATGTGGAGGGTGCAGATAGCCGAGAGCTTGTTGAGCTAGCTGTTGCTGCACTGCTTGAGTCACTTGGAAACGATTCGGTGTGTTCTGAGATGGAGGTTGCATATTTGAATGCAGGAGAGCCATTAAAGTATCTGAGTGCCGAGGAGATTGATCGGGTGCTGCAGGAGATAGCAGAGAAGTAAATTGGTCTTGTAGGTTTTTTATTATTGGGTGTTGAAATCTGTTGTTGAGAGGATTTTGGTTATTGGTAATTGAGTGCGCCGCTTCCTAATATGGAAGAATATGGTATGGGATTGAAATAACTTAATTTAAGCGATTGTAAAATAGAACGAGAGATGTCAAAGTGCAGTGCATGTTGTGAAGGAATGAATTATGCACATCAAATGGTGTTTGTGGATGGACAGTGCAATGAGACAGATTTCGCGTTTTAGTGGAGGACGTCTCATTACCAAGATAGGAAGATGAATTTTTATATTGATAAAAAAGGAAAAAGGAAAGCCCCAGAGATGGGAACTGGAATGACGAGTCCTATTATACAAGGAACAGAGAAGAATGAGAACTTAATGAGCCTGAAGACTGAGGATGAGATTGAACAGGAGGCATGTAGTGGAAAGATATGGCCGGCAACGAGGATCAGAGTAGCTCGATGTGAATGGAAGCTATGGGGATCGATGGCAGCGATCTTTGCGATACAGGTGTATGTATATTCGTTTGCAAGGATCTTGAAAGACTCGTTTGTGGCATCTAGACAGCTACCGGTGGCGATATCGTATTTGAAGACGTGTGTGGTGCTTCCGGTGTCTATAATAACGACTGGAATTGTGCAGAAGATGTTGATGAAGAACAGCATATCGAAGGTGTTTGACTACACACTGATATTCTTTGCAATGGTGTTTATACTGGTTGGAGCAGTTGGCTTTCCATTTTCTTATTGGCTGCAGCCGGAGATGTACCGAGCGAGAGATATATTTGCAGATGAGAAGATGTCTTGCAAGGGATTTGAGTTTATGTTTGCGATCTCACTCATAATGAATGAGTGGTTGACGAGTTTGGTGTACTTGCTCGCTGAGCTGTTTGGATCACTGATTGTGCAGTTTATGTTTCTTGCATTTGCGAATGAGGTATTGACGGTGCGACAGTCGATAAGATTTACACCACTGTTCTACATTATGTCTAACATATGTCTGATGCTTTCTGGAGGAACAGGAAAACTGTACAAGAGCTACTCTGGCCGTTCGAATTATGAGATGAAGAGCTATATAGCGAATTCATTTTTTGTATTGTTTGGAGGACTGACTGCGATATCTTATTTGATCAAGAAGTATATGGAGAATGGGATTTTGAAGAAGCAGTTGTTTATCAGAACTGAGGGGGTTAAGAAGAAGGTTGGGAAGAAGTCTGCAGCCAGCTTTTCTGAGAGCATTAAGCTTATGGCACAGTCGAAGTTTTTGATTGCAATGGTGTTTAATGCATTGTTCTACTATGCAGGGACTAACTGGATTGAGTCATCATGGAAGAATGGGCTGAGTGTGGCCGCAGAGGCAGAGAATAAGAACAAGGGTGAGTATGTGTCTAACTTGATGTCTGGAGAACAACTTATTGTTGGAGCGATTGTTGCATTTGTGCTGTTGACTCCGATTGCCACGCTTGTGCAGACGCACGGATGGGCAATGATGGCCATAGTTCCACCGATTGTTGCGATGATCTCGGCAGTAGTTGTGTTTGGATCTGCATTCTACAATTATCCAAACGGGTCTACGTACAAACCAGTTCTGTTTTCATCGGTATTTAAGGGATACACGCCAAACTTTGACATTGAGGCAAAGTGGGGAATGTGCTGTGTGAGTGGAATGAAGATTGCAAAGTATGCATTCTATGACATTGCAAAGGAGGCGATTTCTCTGCAGATTGATCCTCTGTACAGAGCAAGACTGAAAGCAGTGTATGATGGATTAAGTGGAAAGCTTGGAAAGTCAATAGGAGCGTTCTATGCTATGTTATGGTCGTTTATGGGATATAACGATGTGAGAGCAGCAGCGCCGTTTACGCTTTCTATATTTGGGGTGATCTTTCCTATATGGATCTACATGATTACGTATCTGAACAGAAGTTATAGCAACTCTATCCAGACATCCACTCCTATTGGTCTTGACTTGATTTCTGAGAAGAAAGAGCAGCTTTAATAAACCAGTAAGCTATTTATTTACTATAGTTGATGATTTACACTTGCCAGTTGATTGGGGACTTTCTGTGTGAGCAGAGATATTTGTTTGCCTTTGAGAAGTGCCTGCATCCAAAGAACATCTTCGAGCTGAATGGGCTTGGATGGCCACATGCCAGTACAAGATGCTTGCGCTTATCTATGGATTTTCCTTTTGCTTGTGCATGTCTTCCCCATAGCATAAACACAACGTTTGTGCAATGATTGTTTATCAGCTGTAGGATTCTATCTGTAAATTCCCTCCATCCTATGTCTGCATGTGAGTTTGGCTTATTTTTTGTGACAGTAAGAACATCATTGAGCAATAAAACACCACGTTCTGCTAGCTTTGAAAGATTGCCATGAGCTGGAATTACAAAGTTTTCAATATCATTCGCTAGCTCAGCGTATATGTTTCTTAGACTTGGTGGGACAGGCATGCCTACAGGAACTGAAAATGACAATCCCATTGCTTGTCCAACATTGTGATATGGATCCTGACCAATTATGACTACTTTTGTTTGTTCTAATTCAAAGTAGTCCATGAAAGAAAATATCTTGTTAACTGGTGGCAGGTGATCCGTGTTTTCATGAAGAAATTTCTTTATTCCCATAAAATATTGCTTTTCAAACTCATCTTTCAGGTGATGTCTCCATTTTGAGTTTATGTTGTGATCTAACCTGCAATATTCACATTTATTAGAACGTCGGTTGTTTATGGATTCTTCACAAGCACTCCGAGCAATCTTATTGCAGAAAAAGACATCTTCAAGGCTCAGTTGTCTTTTTGATACTCTTTCACCTGAACTTATAGAACAAATAACTGTGTTTTGTAGATCTTTTGAAGTTTCTTGTGTATTTGAGACAGATTCATGCAGAGAAGTGTCTTTTGTACTTGAAATGCATTCACTAGTTATGTTGCTTAACTCATGCTTTTTTGAATTCATGCAACGATGCATAATAATTTGTCAATTTACATTGCTATGCATGAATAACACATTCAGATTTACAAATCAGATGTAATGCCAGATGGAAACCATAAAATACAGGCAAGTGATGGTATCTTTGTATGTACATGCAAACAGATCTTAAATCTATATCCATATAAGTGAAATTTGTAGTTTGTTCCAATAGGATTTGAATGTGTAGAGAAATACACGTGCCATTACATTCACAAGCCATTTCCGGCAATAAAGTGAATTGGGTATTAAGCAGTTACAGTTGATTTATTTTTATCAGTGGGTAGCGCGGCCCCAAATGAGCTCAGCACGGTCGTCTATCTCCAAGGACGAGCATGCTTTTCAGACAGAGGAGGAGCTTGAGGAGGCCGTATATAAGAAGACGGGAATCTTCAAGCATATCAAGATCGCAAGGTGCGAATGGCGCCGGGTGCTGTATCTATCTGGTCTCTTCGGAGTGATAACGATGGTGCATAATATAATGGGAAATATGAGAGAGATGGTGGTGATGGGTAGACAGGACCCGATGTCGATTTTCTTCATCAAGTCGATCTTTCTGCCGCCGTTTTCGATTTTTTTTGTGTGGATGATCCAGATAGGCCTTGACCGCTTTTCACCATCAAAGGTGTTTGATATTGTTCTGATGTGTTTTTCTGGATGTTATGTGGTATTTGGGCTGGGTTTGTGGCCACTAAAGCACCTGATACAAAAGGACGCATATTGGGCAAGAGACATGTTTGGAGACGGGAAGATGGAGTCGATAAGGTCACACTTTTTGTTCCCGATTTTTCTTGCGCTCAACGAATGGACGTCATCACTGTTTTTTATGTGCTCTGAGATGTGGGGCGCTCTAGTTGCGTCGTATCTGTTCTTTATGTTTTCTAATGAGGTGTCGACAGGCAAGCAGACACAGAGATACATATCTGTGTACAATATATCGAATGCATTATCTATCTTTACCTCGGCCATATTTACACTTGTGTTCAACAAGTGGAGAGACGGCGTGACTTTTGAAATGAAGGAGACTGGATTCAAGATCCTTGTGCTGGTTTCTGCGGTTATTATTCTCGGGATACTGATGATGAAGAAGTACATGGAAAAAGTGATTCTACCTGTGCCTGTGTTTGCAGCAATGGAGATCAAGAGTGCAGATATGATGCACAAGAGGACATCTAAGAAGGATGCAGGAAATGGCATATTGAACTCGAAGGTTTTGATTGCCATATCACTGACAGTGCTGTTCTATGGGATAACGTCAACGCTATGTGATGCAACATTCAAGAATGGGCTTGCTGCCAGCTCGAAGTATGGAAACAAGTCGAGAGAGACACTTTCGAACTTTTATAATGGAGTTGAGCAGCTGATCATTTCGATATCACTGTTGGTCATAGTGAATAGCCCGTATTCGTCACTGATCAAGAAGGGAAGATGGATGTATGTTGCAGGCATACCTGTTGCTGCTGCTGCATTTTCACTTTTTTCAATCTTTTTGATTGCTTTCTATAACGTAGGAGCAACAAATAGCGGAAATATTATTTTTGGGTCGCTTTTCAATGGATGGACACCTCTCCTAGCGTTTGAGAATAGTCTGGGTGTGCTTTCCATAGCGATTTTTAGGTTAGGCAAGTATATTGGATCTGATGTGTCAAAAGAAGCAATATCGATGCAATTGGATCCTCTTTACAGGGCAAAGTACAAGGCGGTATATGATGGGCTGTGTGGAAAGTTTGGGAAGTCGATGGGATCGATTATATGCATGGCAATGACGGGGATATGGGACATAACGGATGTCCGGAGGATGTCGAGTGTTTCGGCACTTATGATGATTGCTATAATTGGCCTGTGGGTGGTTCTGATAAGGTTTTTGAGCAAGAAGTATCAAGATGCAACAAGTAGCAATAAGTATATTGTGGTTGATGAAATAAAATAAACGGTATGGAGTTTGGATGAGATATGGGTACGAATTGAAGAGTGATTAAAGAATTATTGGTTTGATCGATGTGCTTTTTGGATTGTATTTTGCTTGTAGTTGACTTGGTGTGCATTAGATTAAGAGTTTTATTGGATTGGCTGTATGCCCTTATGCCATTGAAGAATCAGTTGAGAATGTTGAAAATGAATAGAAGAGCCATCCATGCAGAAGTAAAACGCCGATTAATGTTTGGAGAAACAGAAGATCTTGATGATGAAAGCATTCTTGATCTGATACCTATAAAGACTGAATACACTACACTTAAGAGTCTTACTTTTGATCGCCAGAGACAGACATGCAGGCAGGAAGAGAAATTCAATGCGAAGTTTTCTAAATTTGTTAGAGATCTGGTGAGATACGGGAGTATCAAAGGAGTGGAGTATCTGTTTGAGTATCTTGTTCGGAGGTACATGTGTGATGCATTTAATGCAAAGGAGATGATGTTTGCACTCTTGCCGTTTAAGAAATACTACTCGCATGTTTTATGCTTGAGCAGTAGGACTGAGTTTAGCTACTTTGAGCAGCAGATCGTGTATTCATGCCAGTTTGTTGGAAACATGTGTCTGAAAGACAAGCATTTTTTTGATTTTTTTGTGGGATATTTTGATTATGTCAAGGAGGATGATATACGAGTGTTTTGTGAAGATGTTCTGGAACATGTTTATGCAGGGATAGGAAGGACTGGAAAAGACTTTTCGATGCAGTTTTTTGAGATTGTTACGTGTCTTGTTGATGTGGGAGAATGGAAGATGGCGGTTGATGTGTATAATAGGATCAAGAAGCATGTGGAAGCAGCATGTACTGAGTTTATTGAGGTATTGAAGCCATATTGCGATCTGAATAGCCTTGATATTCATGTGAATCAAGATGATTTAAATGGAGTAGATGAAATGAAGCCGCATGATGAAAATGAATACTTCAAGAAAATGCATGAGGATGGAAATGGTAGAGAATTTCTGAGTAATATGGAGAGATGCAAGCGATATGTACAGTGGATGCTGAGAGAAAATATACGTGATGGATCATATACCGACTTTGAGCTAAATATGCTTTTGAGTCTTTATGGGGGGGTAAATAATGAAATTGAAGGACAGATAGTGGATTATGCGAATTTATTGAATGAAATAGGTGATAAAAAGCGATTGATAGAGAGATTATCTAATAGTTTTGGTAAATGCATAATAGAGTTGGCTAAGTATATGAACAGTGATGATAAAGCCTACTTGACAATGTTACTACCCGAGCTATGGAGAGGATTAATGACTGACAGCAATCACTCAATGGTGATGATGAGCATTCCAAAAAGCATTTTTAAACGAGAAATACATGATATTATGAAAATGTGCCTTGGATACACAAACTATAATGCAAAGTTGTTTGTGAATGAGCTGAATAGTAGTATAATTCTGATATTGCTGAATGAATGCAGCAGGGATATTGAGATACAAAATATTATTGCGACATCAAGAATGATTAGAATGGATCTAAAACCATTTATTATTAGCGAGAGGTTATATGTGATACCTAGATATTTGGATTATCTTACAGAAACGTGTAAAGAAACAAATTCCGAAGCAAGTTTTACGATAGTTGAGGAATTGAAGAATGAGATTATAAAGATGAATACTGGAGATAGAAATGCATCGTTATTAGATTCTATATGCAGATACTTACATCATTCAAAAGATGCACAGTCTGTGAACCAGATGATTGGGATGATTATTAAGGTTGAGTACACATCAACTGTTTTTTACTCGATGTTAAGGGTGCATTCTGAAGTGCTTACAATGGATACCTGTGAATTAGTGCTAAGTATGAAAGGAATTATAAATGAAGTGTATTGTATATTAGAAAGATTGTATTCATACAAAGAAGAGGTGATTGATGAGTGTCTTGAAGAAAAGATGTATGATGCGCTTGTGTCTCTGTGTATGAGCAAGGGAATATCCACGGTCTTAAATGGTAGAAAATGCAAGGAGGTTGAAGAGTTTATGAAAGTGATGTGTGAATATGATCTAGATGATGAAGAGATGAATGAATATGCTCAGTATTGCTCAATCCTTGTGGAATATGGGTCGAAAGAAATGGTTGCAGTACTGCTGAATGAGAAATATATGCCTCACCTGATGAAATGTGTAGGAATACCTGGATGGAATGCAGCAAAGGCCATTTTAATTGAGCTTATTAGACGACATGAAAAAAGCAGACAATGGTGTTTTGAGTACTTTGTTGACAACAGTAATAAGTTTGAAGATGAACTTGATCTTTTTGAGCAGATAGTTGTGGATAGATGTGTTTACATTGATGAGAATGGATTTATGGAGATGATTCTGCGATCATCAGTGTACTTTAGATGTGGGATTATGGACACAGTAATCAGAAACGGCCTTTTTAAGGATCTTCTAAGATACATTCCTTATGTTGTTCCAGGCATGATTGAGTTGAAAGTATATTCAGTACAAGTTTTTTTCGAGAAGTATGGAAGAGTGATGGGAATGTATGTAAAAGATGTTCTTATGAAGTTTCCGGAAATCGCAGACTGTATGCTGAACATGGATAGCAGACATCTTATTCTTGGAGGAATCAGAGCATATGAGTCTGGTGTTGAAAGCGGATGCGCTGAGTTTTTGCACAAAGTGATTAACAATCCTGGCGTAGAAGTTTGCTTACAGGTCTTGAAAATTGCTGAGAAGTTTGTCGAGCAAAATATTATGGATCTGAGTAGTAAGTTGATTGTGAGAATCATTCTGCTGTGTCTTGAAAAGCAAGGTGAGCTTGGGAATGATATGACTGAACTTTTGATGAAAATGTATGAAACAAGGAGGAAGGAGTTTTTTGAAATATCAAATGCAGGATTTTCGATATGTAGCAGAGTTTTCAAGCCTTATATGCATGCGATGGTTGAAAATGCCAGCAATAATGATTCTGAAGCGATTGTATTTGTAACGAACTATCTTTATTGGGACAAGGAATATATGATTGAACATGGAAAATTCGTGAGATTGATGTTTGATTTCTACTGCAGTGAGCCAAATGCGATATATGCAAAGTGTATTGGGAGTCTGTTGAGACACAATGTCGATGAAATTCAGGCAACGAATGATTTAATTCTCGGATGCATGAAAGGAGATCGTGTGGTCATGATGCTTGAGTTGCTCCAAGTATTATATCAAAAAGTATATGAATACAAGAGATGTCTGGTCAAGAGCTCTCCGTACTTTGCACTTGTGGTAGACAGCACTAACAAAGAGATTTCAAAAGCAGCCAGGAAACTTTTGAAAGTGATTGAAAAGAAGCACAATAAGACTGGATATCAGATACTTCAATCATAGAGTTGTTTTTATGATTGGTTAGCTGGGTATACATTTGATTGTGCGTTATTAATGCATGCATACTTTGTGAAATCAAAGTAGATTAATTAACCATATTTGATTTTAAGATGTTATCTGATTAATTGCGAATGTTTAATTGGATTGTTATGCTGTGTTATGGAATAAACTGAAATATGCATGAATAGATTATATTATTAAACAAATCGATTCAGTTACTTTTTATTATGAAAGATATACAATATCCAAGCATACTGATATCTATTTTATTTGACATTATGATGTTATATATTGCTTCTGAGTAAAAACTGTTTATGTTTTTGCCAGAGTCGAATCTTTTGTGTGTTTCTTTAATCCCGACTTTAATTGATTCTTTCTTCTCAATTGAATTATCACTTGCTGATATGAGCGTTGCCTTATAGAAGCATCTGATTTCGTACTTTTTGTGATTTGCCTCAAGAAACAGCGAAGCATTGCTTTTGAAATAAGTGTTTAGATAAGAGTATATAATCACGGCATCTGATACTCCATCAAGCATAACTTCATTGTAGAATAGCTTTCTTATGCATGCCGTGTTCTTTTTACAACATTCAGGAAGATCAACGTCGTTGATGAGCAGGAAGAAGTCCGAAACAAGCACGCCTTCTTTTCTAGGCCTTGGCTTTAGATCCAGCATAGTCTTAAACTCACAATTATGGCACGACCAACAATCAACAAGTTCCTCCCATCCCTCCTGAGGCAGAGTATTTATTGATCCATAAGCGATTTCTCTGCCATGAATGCACTTGAATGCATATGAAGCATTCTGTACCACATCTTCATCATCAGTCCACAGAAAACTCTCTTCCAAAACTTTCACTGCCACAACTTTCATATCTTCATGCACTTCTGTGTACAAAAATTCAATATCCAAACAGTTTTTGAATATTTGCAAGATCAAGTCATCTTTAGCATACAAAAACCCCCTTTTAGTACCTGCAGGGATCTCTAACATAATGGGTCAGATAAAAAATTATTCATCAAAAGCATCAACGGTAAAATAGTATTTATAAACAATGCGATATTCTCTATTCAAAGTCCATTTCATAGTAAATGTTTTCAGACTCGAAAAAACGCCTGAATATTTGTCTAAACTCCTTGGTCTGCTTTTCCATGTCTTCATAGCTTCTTGAAGGTCTGCTTGCTGAGTCAAGCGCACCTTTCGCATAAATATCGTCGTTCCTCTCAAGATCATTTGCGATTCTTGGGACAATATGAACATGCACATGATGCACAGATTGTCCTGCACATGGACCATCCTGCACACTCAATGTAAACCCATCACACATTGATCTCAGCGCCTTCATTGCAATCCGGGCAGTGTTGAACAAGTCCGAAGTCTCCTCACTGCTCAGGTCATACAGCCTCTCTTTCTTTGATATTGGAGAAACAAGTATATGCATTGGAAGGAAAGGCCGTATGTTGGTAAATACATAGGAGTGCCGTGTTCTGACAATCACATGATCACATGGAATCAAATGGCATCCAAAGTCCATCTGCAATGTGGGTATTTTCTTTCATAAATCAAGATCCATACAAAATGATCAAAACAATGCAACAAATCTGCATCAGAATTGTTAGAAAACAACAATGGCGTTGCCAACAAAACACTGGGCACCATCGAGAATCGAACTCGAGTCTCATGCACCCGAAGCACGTATCTTACCACTGGACCATGGCGCCTAATTTCTAGGCGTCCAATTCTGGGATGGAGCTCCATATTCATTTGTTATTTACATTTATTCATTAAACTACACATATTCATTAAACTACACATATTCATTAAACTACACATATTCATTTGTTATTTACATTTATTCATTAAACTGTACTCTATACATCTATTACTTTCTAATCTAGGCATACTGTGCTATATACTGCTATACTAGGTAAATATATACGAATTGAAATGCTTGATTCCTTGTTCATTCATCTCCTTTTCAAACATGTTCATCAACTCGTCACGCCTCTCCTGCGTCTTCTTAATGTCTTGGAAGTTCGACTGGTGTTGTATTGCAAAAGTAATCTTCACATTCTCCATAATAACCTCAATCCTCTTGATGTATATTTCTCCAGAGAACGACTTACTGTTTTCTAAAAGCAGCTTCCCAACACTGTCTCTCAGACTCTGTGCTTTCTCAAGCGGCGTAGTCTTCTCGACAAGTATTGCAACTTCATCAAACTGCTTGCCTGATCTTCTTATGTTATGTATCTTTGCATCGAATAAAATTGTTGTGGGTATGTAAACCAATCTTCCATTCACTGCAACAAACGCCGATGACATCAGATCAACAGATGACACATAAAGCTCTTGTCCATCAATCACCACCCAATCTCCATAGTCATACGGATGGCTCACAAGCAGAAACACAAAGCAGTTGTATAAATCCTTGATTGAGTCCGAAAATATCCAACTAAACGCCATTAGCGAAGGCACTATTGCTGCAAGCAGTTCTGTATAATCTATCCCTAAAATCATCATCACAGTAATCGCACCAATATATCCTGCTATAAATACAAGTATTATGTCAAGCTTGTTGATCACATTGTCCTTCGATTGCAGAGTCTTCGAGATGTTTACTCTTTCATAATAAAGCGCCTCTGCTCTGGTTTTAAGATCCTCAAATATAATCGGTGGATTATCCAACTCAAGAATCTCTTGCCTATCAGATAGGTACAGATAAACCTCATCGAAGTTTCCCTCAAAAAATGTCTTTAGTTTTTCATATGGAAGCTCGTGAATCTCTAAAAACCCAAATATAGACTTCGCAACTGTCTCTGCTGCCTCTACTGAATTCAACTTTAGGTCATTGTACTTAAGATAGAACCCCTGGTCAATGTCAGGCTGCATCTCATCAGCTATCTCCTTTCTATCAGCAGGATCAGCCTCAGATATTGCTGCAAGCTTCTTAAAAACAAAAGTTTTGTAGTTTATCTCCCATATTCTATTTCTATACTCTTTCATTCGGATCTCTGAAATAAAAAAACACATTATTGCCTTCTCAACTAGAATTATCGTCATGAAGATCGAGTACATAAGCATCGATGTAATAAAGATGTACCAGTAGGTCACGTCGCTTTCCTTGAACTTGTATGTCGGAGAAAAGTACGACATCGCCAAAAACACAAAGAGCGCAATAAAAGACTGCTTCCAACACCAGGACGTAGAGTTGATTATCTGTACCCCTTCTATAACGGTCTCGCTAGGTTCAACATTAATGAACTTCAGAAAGTCAACCATTATATATATGATATTATTTGCAACTGACGAAACACACACAAATATCACATAGCACACCAGTGCAAGGAAATTAACCCTCATGAACATATACACCTTCCCTTCGCCCTCAGCTTTCACAACCTCAAGCATAACTGGCATTACATCCCATCCATTCATTATCAGTGTAAATCCAACAGGAAATCCCATAAGCAGTATCGTAACTATCAGTATTTCTAGAATTAACCGGATAATCTCAGCAACCGTGCTGTACTTTTGATGCAAGTATTTGTCCATGTTCATCAGTGAAAATTGCTCCTCTTGAATAATCTTTTCCTTTGTAAATGCCATCTGGTTCTCATCCGTTGGTATATCGATCGAACTACTTGCTATGATATCATTGATCATTTCTTCCTTCTTATCATCACGGCCCGTTTCCTCTACATTCTCCTGTTTATTATTTTCATCCGTCTTGTTTTCTTTATCATCAGGGCTCACTTCTGCATTCTCTTCCTTCTCCGCTTCATTGTCTTTTTCTGCAGAAGCCATTCTATTGTGTTTCCAATCACTTAAAATACTTTCTATTGCAGCCAATCTAATACAAACATCAATTCATGACACAAATTCAGAAACTCTGTTTTAAGTTGTAACATACAGGAAAAACCAATTTTATCATAAATAGCACATTTACACATCTATACATCATTCAAATCTCAATAAACTCACACTCACTAGGCATAATCCAATAATATTTATTAACTCAATAGCACTTTTATTAGGCGCCCTATTTATGCTTTCTTCCTGTATCTGTTTTTTGACTTTGTTATTTGTTTCAGGTCGTCCTTCGCTGCTTCCACTGCCTCCTCAACCATCCTATTATCAGAATCAGAGCACCTAGATACTTCAAGCCCTTCAAGCTTCTTTCCCAATGCGAACTCTATCCTCTGTATTTGTTCAACATCATACTGAGTCACAAAAGTAACTGCTGTTCCACACTTACCAGCTCTTGCTGTTCGTCCTACTCGGTGTATATAGTCCTTCCCATTCTTTGGAACATCAAAGTTTATTACAAGACCTACATGGCATATATCCAGTCCTCGGCTTCCCACATCAGTGCATACAAGAACATCAAACTCATTCCTCTTGAACTTGTTTACAACCATATCCCGCTTCTCTTGCTCAAGCCCTCCATGCAATGCTTCTGAATGAATCCCAAGTCTATTCAATGCCAAGCATACAATCTGCGCAGACACACACATTGAAACGAATACAATTGCTGCCTCCCCAGGATGCATTCCAAGCATCTCAACAAGACTCGAATTTTTCCAATTCATTGGCACAAACACATAATACTCCTTCAGCGTCTCAACAGTCTCATATCCTTCCACAACCTTAATGGTTTTTGGATTCACTAAAATCGACTTCGATAGCTCACACACTTTATCAGGCATTGTTGCAGTAAACAGAAGTGTCTGTCGTTTACTTCGGAGACTTCCAAAAATCGTGTCCAAATCACTGCCAAAATCTTGCTCAAAAAACCTATCCGCCTCATCAAGCACAACCTTCCGCACTCTGTCTATCTTAAATGACTTGGTCTTCAGAATATGCTCTGCTATTCTTCCAGGCGTTCCAACAACAATGTGTGGATGCTTTGCAAGCATACTTGTCTGTACCCCAAAGCTCACTCCTCCAACCAAAAGACACGTTCTCAAGCCAGTGGACTTGAACATTCCAAGACACTCAACTATCTGTGAAGACAATTCCCTTGTTGGCGCAATTATTAAGCAGTAAAACGAACGATCTCTGGACAGTAAGCATGAAACAATCGGCAGAATAAATGCAAGAGTCTTTCCACTCCCTGTCTGCGATATAGCCACAACGTCTCTTCCTCCCATCGCCACCGGTATCACCTGCTCCTGTATCTTTGTCGCTTCAACAATCCCGTTTTCTTTGCATGCATTAACTAACAAGTCATCAATCTTTAACTCATCAATCCTCATCACTCAATAAGGCCAACATGCATCTAGAAATAAATTTTATCCAAAAGTTCTTCTCATCAAAGACGCCTGCTCATATTTGTGCTGTTAGAAAATATATCCCTCTTCCTCCTTGTCTGACACAAGCTCTTCCTCATCATAAAAATTCTGTACATAGTCATTGTCGCTTTCCTCGCTTTTTGATTCTGATTCATCATCTATAGCTTCTTCTGACGAAGAGCTTTCAACACTACCGATATCTTCCACTTTTCTTTCTCTTTTCGCCCCAAACACTTTCGATATCTCTGAAGGCATTAGTTCAAGACTCACAGAACTCTTCAGCATGTCCTCAGTAAGGAGACTTACAAAATACTTGTCGGAGTATCTCTCAAACACGTTTTCTACCTGTAGATTCAAAGAGTACTGTCTTATTTTGCGCTTTATCATTCTTTCAACTTCAATAATCCTTTCGTTATTCAAATCACCAGCACCTTCAAATATAAGTTTGTTCTCATCCCTCGTCATCTCCCAGGATTACATCAAACAGACTTTATGAAGAGCAATGCACTATGGCACACAGCCATTATACAAAGTATTATCTGTGCATAAAAGCACAATGCTTGAATTTAATATACTGACATAATGATAGAGGAGCATAAATTCATGCACCATAGTAGCCCCAGAATGTCTGAGAATACTAGCGACCTTACAGGATTGCTAGAAGATGAATACATCGAAAGAAAGACTCAGTACAAACAACAAAATGTACAGCCGGGACTTAGAAGGCCCAGCCAAGATTTAGTTGTTTGCATTATGTTTGGACTGCTTTTTGCATTACTTTCATATATTGACGTATTTCTACACATCCTTGGAGATATGGTTGTGATGAAGACGCAGATTCCAAGCTCAATATTGTTCATAAAGTCTGTATTGGTTGTACCGGTGTCTTTCTTCTTCATTGATGTTGTTCAAAGGAAACTAAAAACTCTAGGCCCTTCAAGAATGTTTGAGATCATCCTTCTGTGCTCTTCTGCATTTCTGCTGCTTTTTGGAACTGTTATCTGGCCAAATAGCAAAGCTCTTCAAATAGACTTCTTCTGGTCAAGAGACATATTCTCTGAGGGTAAGATGAATTCAAGACGACTAGATTTTCTTTTTCCTACATTTTTAGTATTCAACGAATGGATCTCTAGTGTGTTGTACCTTATTTCTGAGCTCTGGGGATCTCTGATTGTGTCGTTTATGTTTTTTTCGCGATTAACGCATCAATGCACAGAATCACAGTTAAAAAGGTTTTTTCCAATGCTTTCGCTGATTTCTGGAGTGGCCATGCTCTCTTCAGGTCTTTTGATAAGGAATTTAAATAAGCACAGAGATGGGCTGTGCTTTGATGACAAGGAAACTATGTTTTCAAGGGTGTTTGTAGTAGCTTCGATTCTTGGATTGGTTACAACGGGAATGAGTTTTTTTACAGACAGGTTCCTTACAAAGCAGCAGAGTAGTATGAAGGATGTGGCGCATATAGATCAAAAGATGACGCTTTCGATGTCATTGAAACTAATGCAAAAGTCAAAGCTTCTTGCAGCCATGACAACCATTGTGATAATGTCATCTGTATGTTCTGGTGTTGTTGAGGCAACATATCGGGGAGGAATAACACTGGGTGCTGCGCAAGCATCCACCACGATTCCTTCCTATGTTAACAGACTGAATGCCCTTGCACAGATAATAACATCGATTTTTCTGCTTGTAATTTTTTTCAAGCCAGCAGGCCAATTCATAGACAAAAAGGGATGGCTGCCTGTAGCAATTGTTGCGCCTGCCATGGTAGTTATATCGCTTCTAGTTTTTTTTCCGATTGTTTTTGTAAACCTGAGGAAGGAGGAAATTGCAAGGTTTGTGCTTGAAAATTACATTGGGATGGTTGTTGTGTCATTGATTAGAATATCGAAGTACTGCTTCTTTGACATATCGAAGGAGGCGGTTTCCATCAGGATAGATCCTATGCACAGGCAGATGTTTAGAGGAATACATGATGGCCTGGGAATAAATGTTGGCAAGACAATAGGATCGTTGTACTGTACGATTGTAACCATGATATTTGATGTAAGAGAGATACGAAGCATGGCACTAATATCCTCGGTGTTTATAGCAGGACTGTGTATTGTGTGGATCCGATCGATTCTGTGCATAAATCGGAGCTATAAAGAGTCTATTGTGCGAAATGGTTTTGCTGATGTAGGAGCAATAGCTCATTGAGGCTGTGAATTAACTGAGTTCCTGCTGACCTGGTTAAGCTATATTATTAGAATGAATTTATTCTGTTTTTGTTTCTTATTGTGTATGGGAGTGAGTGAGAAAAAGTAAGGATGTGAGTGTGAATCAATGCAAATAAATTGGATGAAGTATATTTGAGTGAAGTAAGTGAATGAGGCAATGTGAATAAAGTGGATGAATCAATGCGAATAAAACATATACTTTATATGAATAAAGCATGAATTATACATTTTGAACTTGTACAATATTTTAGCTTAGAACACCCCTTTGTATGCCTGAAACTATTGTTGTGATCTTTGATAATGGAATGTTTTCTCAGAATCAAGATTACCTTCCAAGCAGGTTCGTAGCACAGCAGGAGGTTGTAGAGTCATTGATATCAAGAAAGTTTGAAGATAACCAAGAGAATACAATAGGAATTGTCCCTCTAGTACAAGTCCAAGCAAATGATATTGTGACACCAACTAAACAGAGATCATATATAAAGACCTTCTTGAATAAGATTATGCTCAATAGCAAGACAGACATTATGAACTGTCTGTCGCAATGTATCCACATATTCAACCAGAGAGATGCACCTGGATGCACATTAGTGGTTCTTCTTGGAACAAAGATGAAGGATGTGCCTACAGATGAGCTATTTGCAAGGATTTACGAGATACTGACACTTGGGATCAACATCAAAATGGTGTTTTTTGGAGAGGCATTGGGAATGTCTGAGTCGTTCAAAAAGATAGGGCTAACAAGCTTTTCTTGTATAGATATTGAACCTAATGAAGATTTATCAACTCAGGCACTTTCTTTTATATGTGGAGGTGGCATTTCTGATGAAGATGATCCGGAGCTTGCAGAAGCCATCCGACTTTCTCTTGAAGAGCATCAGAGGCAGAAGAAGTAAATGATCTGCAAAATTCACAAACATTAAAGAGATTGGATTGTTGATTAACTTATAATATATACTGCTACATCTTTGTTATTTGCTTTTCAGAAGTGGAGTCATGCTATGAAAAAATCACACCAAGCTAAATAATGTTGTAATTAGCATGAAGGTTATTATAGATTACATACTGGAAATATTTAATTACTTCGATGGTTTTTCCTTCTTTCCTGTAAATAATGCATGCAGAGACACATTCTGTACCTTGCATACCCTGAACCGAATACCTGGGATGTCTCCCACACTCTTTCCCTTCTTACCAAATCCCTCAACAGTCACCTCGTCGTTGCTCTCGATGTATGTGATGGATCCGTCATATGGAACGAATGCAGTTATTTTCTTTCCTGTCGCAATCAGCTGGCATCTAACTGCTTTTCTAATAGCAGAGTTCGGTTGTTTGGCTTCCACTCCAAGCTTCTCAAGAACAATTGCCTTTGCCTGTGGTGCCCTGCCAAGTACACTATGTTTGTATTTTGTACCAAGTGCGCGCTTCCTGTATGCAGTGTCTGCGAGTCTCTTCGTCTTCCTACTCTTTATTAGGTTGTTAGCTGAAAACAGTCCTTTCATTAAGGGGGCGCTCTTTGTTTTTTTCTAATCGCGCATAATAAATTTTTTATCCACTGCTGTTTGTAGACATGGGCAGCATCCAAGAGCCAGGGACAGGCCAAGCCTTCAATGCAGTAAATGTAATAAACAAAACATATGCCGAATCAACAGAGTACGACCTCAACGACTCACTGGTATTCCTTATCGGCTCAATAAATAAAACCAGAGCCAGGAACAAGCAACTGGTAAAGCAGCACTTTGGAAAGTTTGTTCAGTGCAGGTCCGTACTCGAGGATGTATGGACAAACATCAAGCAAAAAAGATACGACAAGGAATTCACAACAGAGCTTGAAAACAACATTAAGGTTGTAAGGAATAAATTCAACCAGATAACATCTAATGTTTTGGAGGATAGCAAAAGTGAAATCAATCGGCATAGAAAAGAGTATTATATGAATAAGTATTCAGATCTGTTCAGTATCAAGGCTACACTTCAAAAGAACCTTAATAATCCAGAAAGATTTGTTGATGTGTATGAAAACGCAAGAGGAATCTACGAGCACTTGAAGGGATCTGAGTATGTGCAGATAATCTGGGGATCGATTCACGACGAAAGATGCGAATTTTTGGAGAACATTTATAGGCGTATACAGCGGCCAAGGTGTACATTCCAAGAGGCTTCATATTACTTTCGATTGTATTTCAGGATATGCAAGAATGAGACAGAGCATAAAATAATGAATACTCTTCTGGTCAACTTCAAAGAAAACAGCATCAATGCACTGGAGATGTTTGCATTAGATGACACACTGTGTGCGGATGAAATCACAAAACAATACCTGAGTCTTATGAACAAAGTTGACGAAGAGATCCAGATACAGGGGACCAACCATTACTTCTACTGCATGGGATGTATAATGCATGAAAAACTACTATTATTCACTAAGATATGCATAAAAAGGTTGATAGACAACATAAAGGTTGCAAAGTTACATCCTGGTTCACAAAGTGTGTATTTTTCGCATCTTAAGAGAGTAAAGATGGGTTTTATAGATAACGAGCTTGAAAGATGCACTATATCAATATCTGATCTAACATCGCTTGAACATGCATTAGAAGATTTGAAGGAAACCTATATGATACTCATTGAGATTGCATCTAAGGAAGAGCAAAGTTACATCCGAGAAAGAACGTTAAAATTGTTAGGAAGTTACTATGAAAAGATGAAGCTTGAAGATTTTTCTGACATAGAACATGCAATTAAAATTATTCATTCTATGGCGCCATTGATTGGAAAGCCAGGATCCAAGGATATAAAAAACCTGAATGCAATGATCGGTGGATACATAAATGATCACAGCAGCAAGGTGGTGAAAAGGATTGAAGCCATGATCGCCAAACAAGATAATGATATATTGATACTTATGGAAGTCACCAGGGTAATTGAAGAGATTCCATTGGAATACGAACGCATTATAAAGCAGATAAAACCATTGGTTGAGTCAATTCCTGTTGTGGCATACTACTTGTCCAAAATATTCAAAGCAGAACATCAGCAAATGCTATCAAATGATGTTAGAGAAAGAATAGACGAGATTAGATACCAATTCGGATTTTTACTTGATATTTAAGCCATTTGCTTTCTGAAAACAATGACTTCATAAATTCCAACAACTTCTGCTTCATCGCTCTTGAGCTTACACAAATTCATTCTCTTCAAAAGCTCAAGGTTTTTATCACACTCTGCTTCATAGAAATCAATAAAGCCTTTTCTACTAATCAGGTCTATCTTAAGCTTCTGAAAGCCTTCGACCATCCTATCAAAGTCTACAAAGTATTCAATGCAATTATTCACAGAGTCTATTAATGTGAAGCGATACTCCTTGGCCGTTTCTAGTGACATCTTTATGTCCGTATCCAGCTCAATCTTGTAGAATTCATTATGTAATCTACCCTGTTGATGTCTCTGCAGAATCACGTCTTTTGATGGCACAGTTGCAATAAAAAATCCCCCAGGCTTCAAATGTCTTTCTACATTCTGCAGTGCAACATCAAGCAGCAAACTGTCTGAAAATGCATAGTGAAAGCTAAACTGTGAGGAAACAAGATCAAACTGCATCCCAAGATCCATGTGTTGGCCATACACATCACTAACACTAAACGACGCTTTAAAACTTTTCTTCCTACTATCAAATCTAAGCTTTGCATCGTTTATTGACACGTCAGCAATGTCAATTCCATGATACACTCCAATCCCAGCCTTTTCGTATTTCAACAGGTCTCCTCCCTTTCCACATCCAAGATCCAACACCGAGTCTCCTCTCTTAACATACATCCTTATCAAGCATGCTTTGATAAAGTTGTTTGTGTTTCTTATGTTTATTGCTTTACTCTGGCTTCTTCCTCCAAGTCCTTTATCCTTTATGCTGTTATAATGCTCTTTGATTTCTATCTTGTGCTCATCCATTAGAAAAGGCTCTCGCATTTTTTCATAATAATATTTCATCAATCACCTGATATTATTGATTTAATATGAAGTAGATAACAAATGAAATGCATCACATGAATAACATGCTTAATAATTAAGCCTACTTCTTTTTCACAAGAACTTGCGATCATTCACTTTGTCATCGCACTTACTGTTCTCAAACACACGCAATAGATGCTTGACACAGCCATCACTCAACATGCCTAGCATCTTCTTCACTTCTTCATGTTTCTTTGCACTTCCAGCTCTTTCACTATCAATGCATCTTTCCATACCACTAAACACTTGAACCAATGAATTAAATGAAAACATTCTTTTTTCTTTGTTAGGCACATCTTGGCCATTTGTAATGCCTACACTCGCTTCCGCTTTATTTTCTTCACTTACTTGCATTATAGGCACATCTAATACTTTGTTTATAGATTCATCATGTGGTGTATCCATAATTATCATCTGCGTCTTATTTCTTGTGGATCTTCTCAAACTCTTCACTCCTTTCTTACTCATCACTCCCTGATCCATTAGCCCTGTCCCATACAAAATACAAATATTTTACAAGACCTTGCACATAATCTTCTCAAAACAAATAAGTCGTTTATTATTTCATCCGCAAAGCAGTACATTTTTCTACAAAGTTATCAAACTCAAGGTCTATCTTCCTCTTGATTGAGATGTGCATGGAAATATTAAGCACATCCTTCAAGTTCAGTGCATTCGTAGAATACGGCACATTCTTCTGAGGAGCAAGGTTTTCAGGTATGTACGACACCAAGCACAGCGTCTTCTTCTGAATCCTGTCGTCATCAAAATAAACAAAGTCGTATATTGCAAAGCACGGCACATTATCTTGAACATTAGACGAAAACTCCTCAAATATCCTCCGCAGCTCCTCTACTGTGTACCTCTTGTTGCCACCCACCGCCTCTGCACATCCTCCGCTCTTTACAATCGACAGAGAAGTGGGCTTTTCTTCTGAAAGGCTCAGTATGGTGTACCTCTGTACTCCACTCATTATCTTCTTCAACTCGGCTCGCACAACATCAATACCTGGAATAGTTATGTCCATTTCAGGGGTTCATATTTCCATGATTAAACCATGTCATTGCTCGTTCATCAGATGCTGTTGTGCTATCAATCGAATTTCACCTGGTATACACATCTGCAACCCCAACATATGCCAAGGAAAATAGCCGAGGAACTCAAAAAATGCATGAATGATATAAGAAAATATGTTGAAAGCAGCAAGCCGCCAAGAGAGCAGATAAACTTGAAGAAAAAGAAAGTCGGGCTCTTGGGAGGATGTGTCAAGAAACATCGTTTGCCATTCAAACATGCAATCAGAATGATAGAGAAGCGTAAAGAAAAAGTAATTGCAAAGCGTGAAATGCTGGCATCCATAGGCGTGTCTAAGAAAAGATCGAGATAGCACATTCAAATGACTCTGATGTATTCAATTGCATAATTGCATCTTGAATGATATAGACATGAAAAGCAAATAATGTAAATTAAAGTACACCAATCAGTGAATATCAAATCTAACCAGTGATTTTGTATGCGGTTGTATGAAGAAGATTTGTCAAATTGGATCTCCTTAATCTGCTTATAAATGAATTTCAGTGCAACATCCAGATGATTGTGGACGGCAATAAACAGAAGGCAGGCAAAGTCGTTGTAGTGGGAGATGGTGCATGTGGAAAGACATGCTTGCTGGAAGTGTTTAGGAGGAATCAGTTCCCGAAGGTTTACATTCCCACAGTAGTGGATAATTTTATAAAAGACATTGAGGTTGAAAAAGATAAGCAAGTCTCGTTGGCTGTATGGGACACCGCAGGACAGGAGGACTATGACACAATACGGCCTCTTTCATACAGAGAAACAGACATTGTGCTGCTATGCTACACAATAGAAGACAACAAGAAAATCTCAAATATATCAAGAAAGTGGCTGATGGAGATACGGAACTACTGCCCGAATTCAAAGTTCTTTCTGATAGGATTGAAAAAGGACATGCGAGATACCGAAGATCCAACATTCGATAAGTCTTCGATGGTGACTGAGGCAGAGGGTAGAGCATTGGCCGAAAAGATCAATGCATTGAAGTTTTTTGAATGCTCAGCACTTACAGGCGAAAATGTAGATCTTGTGTTCCTTGAGGCTGCAAAGTATATTTGGGACACGAAGAAAATAGCCTCAGATGCTGGATCATGCGGATTTCTTCCTTGTATTGGATGTTGTTACAGATAAGTGCTCCATGAATGAATAAAATAGCTAGTATTATTTCGCTCATTATTTTTATATATAAATGTATGCTTTATGTGCCTTGCCTTTCAAGGACTGTATGCTAAGTATCTAGGAATGGTTGATGCATTGAATGCCAAGTGCAGATAATATTTTGATCAGAGCTTCTTCATCACCTCCGTACTCTTTTGAAAACTCATCAATGCAACACATAAAAAACCCCGCAGACATGACCATGCACATAGAAAGCATTCTTCGCGCTTCCACACTGCAGGACACTTTCATTTTCGAAACTATCTCATCTGCAATTGATGGATCTTGCAAATCGCTCACTTTTATCATAAACTGGGGATTTTCAGCTCAGCATTAACATTACCATATCCAACCTGGGAAGTATATTTTTAGCACTGTAATAAATGTTAATGAATTACAAATGAACACACTGTGATAAATACACTACATAATACGTTGTATTATCATGCATCCTAAGCAACAACATATACCAAATCCCACTTTCATCTTATTTAATAAATTCAAACTGATTCAGATACTCAGGTACCTCCTCATCAGACAGCTCTTCAGAAATGATTGTAGGCGGCTCACTTTTATTTTTCAATGTAGAGTTCTGCCTGCATATCCCTACTTCCTCCTTTCCATTTATCATCGCACTCCAGCTTTCATGCGCCCTTTCAATCACTCGAATAGTCGCATCCTTATCCATGTACTCACCATTCAATGCAAACTTATTGCGTTCTTTTCCATCTGGAACCTTATAGTCCCTGAACCAGTTTATTGTTTCCTCAAGAAGCCCTCCAAACTCCCTTCGGACATCCTCGATTCCATTGATCTTGCTTGCCATCTCGTCCTCAAGATCAATAACAACAACCTTCCAATCACATTCACCCTCGTCAATCATCGCTATGCTTCCAATCACCTTTGCCTGATAAACCTCACCAATTCCCTTTCTCCTACGTCCTATTTCAATAACATCGACAGGGTCATTGTCTCCCTTTGCACCTGCATCCTTGTCAACCTCATTCGGATCCTCCCATGTCTGGGGAAGTGCTCCGTAGTTCCACAAATATCCTTTCATTGGAAAGACATTCTTCACAAACCTTGGCTGCCCTTTCTTAATATCCTGCATTATAGGATTAAAAGCTTCCTTCTTGCTTATCTCAAACTTTGCGCTCTCAAACCTTGGTATTTCATTCACCACACTCACCACGTCTCTTTTCCCACTCGTATACAATGAGATGTCATGGAACGGTGACACCACTCTTCCTTCGCATGCCACATATGCCTTAAATGACGCAGAATATTTATTCCCTACATTAAGTACCGTGTATGTTTGCATTCAATGGGTCGTCCTCCAAATGTTTTTATACAACCTGAAACAAAAGATCACTAATCATGACGTTTGACGTTTGAATCATAAAGCTGTCCTTTGTTAACATTGCACGCCATATCTAGAAATTATTTACTGCATCCAATCAGGTTTGAAGTGTTGCTGATGGTTCATAGAAAGAGAAACTTTTAGCTGGTTTTTGTTGTTAGCTGAGATCCTTTGTTCTTCTTTACTAACCCTCAATGAAATTGCATTTACTTTCTGCTTTTCATTCTTCACAACGAGTCTGCTTCTACTCGCATCTTCTTCACCCAATTTATCAAGTATCAGTTTCTGTGCACCTTTTCCAACTATCACTCTACCATCCTCCAATATCAAACTTCCACTGCTAGCTACTGTATTCCTGTGTTTTCCAGATACAATGTGCATCTTTAGACACTCATCCCCTACAAATCCTTCGTGGCACACATAGCAAGTATTGCTTTTTATGCACTCAATCTGATTATCAGTCATCCCATGCCCTTTGTAATGAGCATGATCAGCTTCAGCATCACAAAATATACATCTTACTGCATGTGTCTTTATATTTTCATTCACATTGATCCTTCGTGGATATTTGGCATCTGTTTCTTGAATTTCACTTCTCTCTGCATCTCTGCTTTCGTCGTCTGCTTGTATTTCATCGATTGTTGCTGGAGGCATGCCGTATATCTGTCTCTTCACATTTATTCCGTGAATTTCAGACAAGTAATGCTCCTTGATGTGGCCATCAACATCTATTTGGCACGCTGTGCATTTCATCAAAGGGTGCCAAGTCAATATTATACATACGCTATCTGATTCAAAAATCTCTTGCATCGAAACGCATTGAACTACTCATATAATCTGCATCCAAGTCTAGCATTGTAATTCATGCATATGATGTGCACTGCCTTATCAAAACATTGGACTCAATCGCATTAACGCCAAATGCACAGACCCTTTTAAATGGCAGGCTCCAGCATTCCACACAGAATAAGTGAACTCAAGGCAATATTTAGCGATCTCAAAGAGAACATCGACGAAAAGATGACGCAAAGGCCAAGAAAGGACTCGGTATTACTCGAAATATGTGCACCTGGATGCTGTGAACACAATGGATGCATAGAATCCACTAATAACAGAGAGATTGAGATCAATACGAACACTAGAGAACGAAATCGCAAGACATGCCGCATTCAGAATGCATCCGAGGATGGATTGCTAAATCCAGAGCATTATTTAGAAGCACATGAGGATATGATCAGAGAGATACAATCTCTAAAAGATAAGATTTATAGATTGGAGGCAATAAACGATGAATTGAAAAAAAAAGATTGTGAGATGAACCAGATTATTGAAGAGTATAACAATAAAATCAAGAAAGCAGAGATACTTGAGAATGAATGTCTAGAACAAGCAAAAATTGTATCAAGGCTAAGAAACGAAATAATCAATCTGAAGGGATCAACAAGAGTGCTCTGTAGGATCAAGCCAAGCACTGGAAGTAGTACTGGTTCAAGGATTGAGATGACAGACAGATGTCTTGAAATATTCGCGCATGAAAAGAAGCATAAATTTGAATTTGACAAGATTTTTGGGCCGGACGCAACACAGAGAAATGTATATGATGAAATTGCAATGATGGTTCAGTCTGTGCTTGATGGATACAAGATATGTGTGTTTGCCTATGGACAGACAGGAAGCGGAAAGACATACACAATGGAAGGGGATGAAGAAGAACATGGATTAGTGCATAGAGCAATGATAGAAATTGATAATTCGATTGCAATGATGCGCAAAGAAGGATGGCAATGCTTAAATACATGTAGCTATGTTGAAATATACAATGAGGAGATAATTGATTTATTTTCAAGCGAGACAAAGAAGATATCGATAGTTCATGATGGTGGAGACACAAATTTAGTGAATTGCACAATTATGAATGTCGGCAAGATATCAAGCGCTTTGAAAGTATTAGTGGATGCAAGCAAGAGAAGAAAAGTGGGCAGTACCGAATGCAATATTCGATCGAGCAGGAGCCATACAGTCTATATTTTGAATGTGAAGATGGAGAATACACTTATAAATGAAAAACGAGAAGGTTCTATGATCTTTATTGATCTTGCAGGCTCTGAGCGATTGAATTCATCGAAAGCTGAAGGCGCCAGACTTAAAGAAACACAAAACATCAACAAAAGTCTATCTGCATTAGGAGATGTTTTCAATTCAATTCTAAGGAAAGACAGCCACATTCCATTTAGGAATTCAAAGCTTACGTATCTGTTGCAGAGCTTCTTGTCAGGAAATTCTAGAACTGTAATGTTTGTTACTATTTCACCTGAAATGGAACATTTCAACGAGACAATATGCTCTCTTAGATTTGCAGATAAGATTGCACAATGTAAGCTTGGAGTGGCACAACGCAAGGCAATCAAGACCTTCATGAATGAGAATCAAAAATAAGTGTATATGCAGAACATAAGCAATTCAAGCATGATGAATGGCATTCCGATATGTAACATCTATTTTATTAGAATATAAAGCCAACCTATTAGTAAATATGTTTATTGGTATTGGCATAAACACTTTCAATAGACATCTATGAATAATTTGTGCTTCATATATGATAAATCAATACTATAAATCTAACATAAATGAGCAGATATAAAAGCTCAAGAGCGATAGAAGAAACACTGCTATGTATTTTATACTAAAGTATATTCATTTATATGTCGGACTACTGCCTTACATTTTGCTTTGACAGTTGCAAAACATTCTTGCATTGGTATCCTCCAGTGAATCGCTAACGCTCTTGTGGTTTGTCAATAGAAACTTCAGCTCGGTCTGTGGAAGCTCCTTGAGCCTCAAATACTCTTTAAGCACCTCATTCTGGAACTTTTTGTATGGAATGGCTGCTTCAAAGTATAAATGGTTCCTTGTTGATGTATTGTCGATATTCTCGTCACAAAGATAAAATTTATTCTTATCTGTCTTTTGCTCGTTCTTGCAGAATCCCTTGGATGCCATTTTCTCATATGTTATCAGATACGCCTCACCCAGCATCTCTCTATCTTTTATTGCCGGTCTGCTCTTGAGCAATCCATTCCACAGTGTGTTTTTCAGTCCAGCACTTTTGGAAATAAGCATTTTGACCCTGTGTGAAAACTGTGTTGGATTCTCTCCCTTCATGATCCTTACAGGCTGCATCCATCTTACCTCAGCCTCCACTCGCCACCTTGTCATAAGATAGAACATGTGTGTTGCAAAACCATTGACTCTTCTATTCCAATACGGATCAAAAAGGCCCCTTTTGAACTTTATTGCAACAGGACAGATCGCCACTCCAAGCTCAAAAGCCCCTTTCTGGAAAAGCACTGAAAATTTATTGTTAACACACGTCCCTTCTGGAAAGATCAGCATCGGTGCCTGTTGCGTGTTCTGCACATGTAACTTCAACTTCTCAACAACCAGTCTTCTATCTACTCTTTCACTTCGTTTGAAAGCAATCGAGCCGTTACGTGTTAGAATAAGCTTAAACAAAAATGAAAACAGACCTCCATGATTTTCAGAGACACATGCATGAGGAAATTTATAACTACTGAGAAGCATAAAGTCAAAAAAGGATGTGTGATTTGCCACATAAACATGAGGCTCATTCAACCTAACCTTTTCCCCAATATGCTTGATCTTGGCATTTGTTGACATCATCAGCGATTTGTTTATAAACATGAATGCACTATCCAGATGCTTGTTGTTTCCTGTGATTGTGTATCTCATCACCATCAAGCAGAATATAGCCATGCATGTTGTAAAGAATGTAAGTCTGACTGGAAATAAAACAAAATACCTTATCAGAAACGAAAATGTATAGAATATCCCACTTGAATCCATCTCGATCCCAGATATTGGCTGGAAGCATCTTGTAAAATCATCGCTTTCGAGTGTATGGCTCCCCATTGATATCATGTCTATTGCATCATGCAGAAATGTTCTTTTTCTTAAAGCCATTCTTTACCCCAAAGCACTCATTTATTTTTATTGGTTTAATCAATTTCAAAGCTCTACTTGCATAACCATATCACTGTGCATCATATAGATGGATTATTGTATTTTTAGCATAACGCATGTCTTATTAATCGCAGTGACAAGTTACATGCAGTGTTTTTTTATGTATAGCGACCTGTAGTACAACAGCATTACAGAAGGCTGGCCTATCACGCAAAACGTGCCCCAGAAAAAAAAGTTTGCCAAGGATGGAAATCGTCTCTTGAACGACTCGGTTATGTGTATGAGAGGAATCTGGATAAGCATGGTTATGAAGAACCATCCAGTAAATTTCTTTATCGATATTGAGATGACATATTCATGCACAAGACCTGAAACCACAAACACCATAATTGCAGCCTTGTCTCTGGACACGCCTTTGCCGATCATTGCTGAGTAAACATGCTTCTTGAGCCATATGTACACGGGTCTATTCCACAATGCCCAGAACTCCTTTGCTGACGATGCATTCCACCACTCTTGATAGAAGCATGTGTCATAGAACAATGTTATTTCTGCAATTGCTTCAAGAAGGCAGTAGAAAACTGTGTAAAAAAACACGAGAAACAGTATGATTGTGCTTATTGAAAAGTTGATTATGTTCTCAACCACTGTTGTTAGATCACTGAATCCTGCTATTCTATATATGCTTGGAATTGCATACTGGTCCATTACAAATACAAAAAGAAGAAATCCAAGCGCTAGTTGGGCAAATCTCCACATGATTTTTCTGATGTCTCTCCTAGTTCTGAGTGGGAATTCAAACTCAAAGCAAAGAGTAGGAACTGCCAGGAAGTACGAAAAGTGCTCTAGTGTAGGTGGTACATGATTTGCGCCAGACTTTCGTTTCGATTCTCTATTTACAAGATGAAAAGATATCAGTTTGGCCATGCAAACAATATCGAATATCATTGACCATCCGGATGAGTATATATGCTTTATATGTTTTAGATTTACATATGCAATTATAGTCTCCATGATAATAATGTTGATGTAGATGTAGTAAACTGGCTTCTGATTGGTTGTTTCGATATAAAATCCAATGAATGATCGTGTTAATGAGATTGCAATGGTGATGATAAAGCAGATGCATTCTGAGAGGGAAAGCGTCTGCAGCGGAAGAGACATCAGAAACCCAAATTCCTTGTTGTTGTCTATTATGAACCTTCCAACACTTAGAAATGTAATAATTATTGCCAAGTTCTTTAGCCCGTACGTTCTACTGTTTCTCCTACCTTTTAAATGAGACGAAGATGCCTTTATGGCATTACTCTTTCGGACAGGACGGGTAATGTCATCCATCGGGGATGTGATAAACACTTTAATTATGGTGCAATATCAAGGTATTAGTAATATGCAGCGCAGCTTAAACAACAGAGCATTTGACGTGTTGAGCAAAAACGACTTCGGCGAGATTCGAACTCGCGCTCCCAGAGGGAAATAGATTAGCAATCTACCGCGTTAACCACTTTGCTACGAAGTCTCACAAAGTGAATCAAATTGCACTCTGTTTCTGGACATATATTTATTCAAATTGCACTATCTTGCTGAAATGTATTTATTCAAATATATTCACATGTGTGATTGTTCTACATGTTTGGTTTATATGCAATTGTTAGTTGCTATGCATTAACTTATGATTATTTCATGAATCTCCCCATACGTCAGCCTCATGGTATCACTTATAATCATGTGTCAATTCATACGCCATATAGCATAATCACTTCATATACCATATCAAATGATTACTTGATAAATCAATTCATTGAAGGTTGCGCTGCCCTCATATGGCAAAATATTTCTGTGAGTTCTGTAACAAATCTCTTCCAAACGACAAGCCAAAAAGCAGGAAGATGCATTTCCAGGGTGCAAGACATAGCCTAATGCGAAAAGCATACTACATGGAAATCTTTGAGCAAGATAAAGTGACTGCCGAAATAAACACCATCCTAAAAAATGTAAAGGTCACTACTGGTGGTAGATCGAATACCGAATTCATTCTTCCACCTGGTATTTGCTTGAGTGAACTCCACATACCTGAAGAGCCTCTGGGATTTAAACTTCTGCCAGGATTTGATTTCAGCAATCCTGCAAACTTTCCTAGAACAATCGAAGAAGTTTTACAGAAATACCGATGAATAGCCAAATAAATGTGAAGCCCAGAGACACAATCGATAATTTACCCCCATGATGAAATAAAATGCATTGAATAGCATCCTTTATCAAATGACATCTGTGCATGATGGGACGATTCAAAGCTTTTTTGAGATGAACAGCAGAAGAAACCACAGATCGTTTGTAGCAGTGATGGGGGAAGGAGGAAAAGACAAGCTGGGACAGATACACAAGGCATTGCAGGACAATTCGTTTGGAACAGTTGGCGCAATAGTGTGGTGTCACAAAAACGATGTGGTGAAGAAAATGAACAAGGAGGCAGAAATAATGAAGAAGCAAAAAAGTAACTACGCCACAGATGAGTGTAATGACGATGTGTTTTCATTCATAAGATCAAACGAGATAGACTTTATTGAATATAAAGAAAGTGAAAGAATTCTTGGTAGAACGGTGGACATGCTAATTTTGCAAGACTTTGAAGCTTTGTCTCCAAATCTAATAGCAACAAGCATGGAGACAGTAAGAGGAGGAGGAGCAATCGTTTTATTGCTTGATAGCGCCACCTCAATAGAAGCTCTTGTCTCTCGTAGGACTGATGTTCATCTCGAGATTGGCAGTGCTGAAGAATTCAAGCCAAGATACAACCGGAGACTGTTCAAACTGTTGATGAGTTCGAACTTTGTGTTGTTTGTTGATGAGCGACTGAATGTATTGGATATAAGTAATGTTGATCTCAAGGCAATGCATAATGATAATTCTGGTGAACGTTCAGTCGATGTAGCATGTGTGGATGAACGCCATGCTTTGAAAAGACTCAGTAAAACAAATGATCAGCTAGAAGTAATCAAAACCATCTTTGATGCTCTTGAGAGCTATAACGACCGAAGAATCGTTTCAATCACTGCATCCAGGGGACGTGGAAAGTCTGCAGCACTTGGGATCTCAATAGCACATGCAATACACACCGGAGTCATGCATATATTAGTCGCATCCCCAGTAGTAGAGAATGCTAAGACTGTGTTTGAATTCACAGTGTCTGGGCTTGAAGCACTTGGATATACAAAATATGTGGACTTCAAGATAATCTATCAGTTCCGAGGAAATCAAAGGCTTGTCCACAAAATACAGATAACAAAGACAAAAAAACAGATTGTGGAGTATTTCAATCCATTAGATGATCTCAAGAAGTACCCGGAGATGATGGTGATTGATGAAGCAGCAGCCATTCCACTGACATCTCTGATGAAGCTTGTGAATCCTAATCTTGTTGTGATGGCAACAACAATCAGCGGGTACGAAGGAACAGGAAAGGCATTTTCTATCAAGCTAACTGAATTCCTCAGAAAAAGCAGCATGGATTCAAGCACATTCATATATAAAGAAATATCAATGAAAGAATCAATAAGATACGGTGCCTGTGATCCAGTGGAACGTTGGCTGTATAAGGCTCTGTTACTTGATGTATCTGCGCCAAAGATTGAAGGATGTCCTGCGCCATCTGAATGCAATCTTTTCCATGTTGATAGAGATGCATTGCTTTCTGGTAAGGCATCTACTGAAAAATTTCTGAACAATACATTTTCTCTGTTTGTTTCCTCGCATTACAAAAATAGTCCGAACGATCTTCAGATTCTTGCTGATTCACCACGGCATGAAGTATTTACACTTTTGACGCCGATGAAGGATGGTGGAAAGGAGCTTCCAGGCGTAATGTGTTCGATTCAGATTGCATTTGAGGGCAAATGTAAACGAACAGGCCATCTTAGAGAAGGTAATCTTATACCATGGGTTGTCTCTGAGGAGTACCTTGACACATCGTTTCTGGAGAGATATGGGATTAGAATTGTCAGGATGGCAGTGCACCCTGAATATGCACGAATGGGATATGGAACTATGGCATTGAAGCTGTTGATTGAATCTATTTCTAATAGTGTACTGGATAAACTGAATAAAGATACAAGGAGTGGTTTAGATGATCCAAATAATCAGCCAGTGATGAGGATTCGGAATAATGTAGAAGGAAAGATTCTATTACATGGGATGGACGAAGTCATATTCCCATATGTAGACTGGATCGGTGCATCCTTTGGGATTACAGAAGGCTTGCATAGATTTTGGTCAAGAAATGGATTTTTGCCTATTTGCATAAAGCAAGCGATTACTCACGAAACAGGAGAACATTCTTCTATATTCATTCGATCACTGGATGTATTTGAGAATTCATGCATTAGATCATACAATAGAATGTTTGTGCACAGATTCATTAGGCTGCTGTCTAGTAGTTTTAGGCATTTTACACCAACTCTGTCTCTTTCATTGATAGAAATGAATGCAAAAGAGCATGAAGTAAAAGTGCCAATGCAGCTTTTTTACGAAAGCGACGTGCCAAGAATGAAGCAAGTGGCAGCTGGGAAAGTGGATGTAAGCATCGCCATTGATCTCATACCTGAAGTGTCAAGATTGTATTTCAGTGGACATTTCAAGCAGGAATTATCGGTTCTTCGGAAATCTGTGCTATTGATGGTTGGGTGCCAGAATAGAAGCATAAATGAAACGGCATTGTATCTTACGCTTAAGCCATTCCAAATTTCAAATATATTGGCAAAAGTATTAGAAATTCTTATTGAAAGCATTCAAAAGCACACATATATTAGCAATATTGAATCCAATGAAAGATAAATAAAACATGATGCTAAATCTTGTTTATTGTATGAACTCCCGAGGCAATAAATACCATGGTTCACATGCGTTGCAATCCATGGAGATCTTTAATCAATCAACAAAAGCTTTGGTTTCAATGCAAATGCCTGGACATCTTTGACATATTGAAGAAATTCGGCAGCAGTATTGATGCAGGAATCCTCTATTGGTCCAAATGAGTGTCCAAATGACATCTTTCCATCGGCATCAAATACAAAAACCTCCTCTTCATAGCCAAATGAACTACTTGCATAAAACATCGTTCTCAAAGGAATGCCAGAGTCTACCAATGCCAATAAAGCAGCATTCACAGCACAAAACAACGTGTTCCTTATACTTCCTGCTACATTCAATACTATTTGGATTGTTTTCCCACCATCCAATTCAAGAATAATATACTTCGACAAAATATTCGTCACAACACTAGAGAAGTACTTGTCATATATTCTTCCATTGATAACCACAGGGTCTTTCCATCTAACATCGAGTGCTGCTTTTGAAGGATCGCTGTTCCTTTGAGTACCATCCAGAGGGCCATGTACTACACAAAACACCGTTGTGCCATCATAAGATAATTTCGATGATCCTGTGCACAAAGGCACCACAGATACTGCAGAGTCGATTTCCTTCATCCTTCAACAATTATTAAGGGCTTCCACATCCTTATCACACAATCACACACGCATAAATTTAATCCATCTATTTGAACATCCAGTTACACAAGAATCACATCTGGCCATATCCAAACTCTCTAGGCGAATACTTTCTAACTCTTTCGCTCTTTGCAAGCTCACGGTATTGCACATAATACTTTCGAGAAAGCTCTGCATAATAGGGCATGTCCAGCTCATCCATCGCCCTTATCAGGTCTTCTCCAGTAATCGTCTTTCTTGCCTCAGACTCACATATCTCCTTGGCCCTGCATGTTATTATTGCTATAAACTCACTGGCAGACTTCTGCATTATTTCCTTTGCATCTTTAGCAACCTTTGCATCTCTAGGAATGGGTTTCTTCATTATCTTTGATATATTCGCTATTGGAAGCGTTCTGTCCGTAGGTTTTAGCCTTGATCCATAATCTTCCATTGCATTTGGCTTCACACTCACTTTTATACATAGGTTTTATTTTCGTATTCAGGTTTCAAAGGCATAACCAGTTTCATATTGATAAGGATGATGCATGTTAGACATGATGTTTTGTATGTAAATAGTCAAGAAATATACACCAAAAACTACATTAGCTATTCATCATCCATCCTATACTTTTACTAACATTTTTATTCTTATTCACAAATCTACATTCAGCATATTTCATAGTAAACTATTTATTTGTCAAAGTTGATCCTAGGCGCAATGTTCATTGCCATAAGCTCTTGAAGAAGAAGCTTGAATGCATACGGAATCTCAACCATGCTTATATCCGTTGTATTGTTGCAACCTTTGCATTCATTCGTTTTGTTTCCTCCCATTGCAAGAAGCCCACACACATCACACACATAGCACGAATATGCATCACTAACATCCATAAGCCTTTCCTTCAAAAATGCAGATGCTCCATGTGAGATTATGCAATCTCTTTCCATTTCTCCAAAACGCAGTCCTCCATCCCTTGATCGACCCTCAACAGGCTGCCTAGTAAGAATTTGAAGAGGCCCTCGTGCTCTTGCATGAATCTTATCATCAACCATATGCTTAAGCCTCTGATAATATGTAGGCCCAAAGAATATCTGCGCCCTAAGCTTCCGGCCTGTCATTCCATTGTACATCACTTCCAATCCCCTCTGCTGATAACCATACATCTTCAAACGTGCAGATATCTCATTCACTGTAAGCCCACTAAATGGCGTAGCATCTCCCTCCGTTCCATCCAATGCACTAACCTTTCCAAGAAGACATTCAATCAGATGCCCTATGGTCATTCTACTTGGAATCGCATGAGGATTTATTATTATGTCCGGAACAATCCCATCTGCAGTAAACGGCATGTCTTCTTGCCTCAGCGTGATCCCAACTGTCCCTTTCTGTGCGTGTCTGGATGCAAATTTGTCTCCCATCTGTGGAATTCTTCCAGACCTGATTTTCACTTTTGAAAGCTTGTATCCTTCTTTATTTGTAACAATCACCGTATCCACTATTCCTGTCTCTGTTCTTCTCATAGCAGTGCTACTGTCTTTATACACATAAACAGGTGCCTCCTTAGTGCTTCGCTCAGGATCAAGAATTGGCGTAATCTTACCAATCAGCACGTCATCTCCAGTAACCCTCATCCCAGGGCTGATGATTCCATCATCATCAAGCTTGTTGTAATTCAAGTTCTTCATCCTCAGCACTGCACCTCGCATAGGTTTACAAAACTCTTCATTGATACCAGGCCTCGACATCGCCTCTTGGTCGGTATATGTTCTGTAGAAAAAACTTCTGAACAGCCCTCTGTCAATCGCACTTTGATTCATGATCACACTATCTTCTTGATTATATCCAGAGTAGCATGCAATCGCAACCATGGCATTCTGTCCAGATGGCAGCTCCTTGAACCGAAGATAGTCCATGCTTCGTGTGGTAACCAATGGCCTCTGAGGATAGAACAGAATATTGCTCAATGTGTCCATCCTTAGAAGAAAGTTTGTTGCATAAATGCCCATTGCCTGCTTTCCCATTGCACTCTGATAAGTATTACGAGGACTCTGGTTGTGATCTGGGAATGGAATTGTAGATGCACAGATTCCCAAAATCAATGCTGGATGAATCTCACAGTGTGTGTATGAAACAGTCACTTCAGAGGCTCCCGACAACTCTCTCTGCAGTGCATCAGCATTCATTGCTATCATGCACATTTCTTCCTCCTCAACATCCAAAAACTCAATCAACCCTTCACTAACAAGGTTATCCCATTTCATTATCCCTCGTTCCACCTTTTTGATGATTTCCGGTGTTATCATAAGCTTGTTGTCTTTAACCACCATCAGTGGTCTGCATGGCCTTCCTGCATCTGATTGAATTCGGATCTCCTTCTCTTTAATGTCTCGGATAATGCTTACTTCTTTGTCCATTCCGAGGCTTCTTCTGAGTAACTTCAATGAACTAACCAGTTGTGTTGGATTCGAGTGAATTCCAACCCACATTCCATTCACAAATACCTTGGTCGCTCCACTAAACTGAAAGCTTGACACTTCTTCTAATGACTCAACTCCGCACTCTTGTAAAAACTCAATAAGAGGCCCTGCAGATACACCAACTGAAATGTAAACCATCAATGACAGATTCTTAACAAGTCCGCATGCCTGTCCTTCAGGCGTCTCAGAAGGGCAAACCACTCCCCAGTGAGTGTTATGTAATTGCCTTGGTGCTGCCAGCTTTCCTTCTTTCTCAATCGGAGTATTCACTCTTCTCAGGTGACTTATTGTCGAAACAAAGTTGTATCTGTTCAGTACTTGTGCCACTCCTGCTCGTGTTTGCATCGCCTTTGCCTGGTCTCCCCAATTTCCAGTTGCAAGTGCATACCTAAATCCTTGTGTAATAATACTCGCCTTCAGCCCAAGGGCAATATTAAATTCCCTTCCATTTTCAATGCATTTCTGCATATGCCTTGCTGTATCAACACATACCTTCTTAAACAGCATCCTGAAAAGAGATGCAAGGAGAGGCCCGTTCAAGTCAATTCTCTTCTTCCCATAATGGTCCCTGTCATCACACGCTCTTCTTCCCAATGCCACAAGCAGAAGCCTTTGAACAACGTACCCAATAAAATATGCTTTCTTAGTCTCACAGAACTCCTGCATCCCAATGTGTGGGAGCAGCTCCTTCGCAAGCAGCTCCTTTGTCAGTCGAATCCTCTTTTCCTTAGGTGTGCCTATCGGTGCGTATCTTTTCCCAATGTAATCAAGCGCCATGTTCTGGTCCTGTATAACAACTGCTTCTTCAACACTTTCCTTGAGCATTCCAAACATCTCCTCATCATCCTCATACAAAATATGATCAAGAATCTCTTTGTCTGACAAAAACCCAAGAGCCCTGTACAGAATAAGCAGTGGAATGTCTTGTTTCACAAGAGGCAGGGATATCCTTATAACCCCAGGTGACTTACACAGCTTCATAGACAGTGTGCTTGGATTCCTCGAGCTCTTTTCAGGCACAGATCTTATCTCCGCATAATGTGTATATGTTGCAGGCTGTGCCTTCTTGAACACATACACTGTATTGCTCGCCATTCTTTCCTGTGCAACAATCACCTTTTCAGACCCATTTACTATGAAATATCCTCCTTGCTCATACGGGCACTCTCCAATATCAATAAGGTCCTTGTCATGCAGCCCATGGGAAACACAATATGATGACCTCAGCATCACGGGCAACGATCCAAATGGAACTCTCGAATACTTGTGCTTATCAACTACACCCATTTCAGACACATTCTCCTTAACTACGTCAATAAAAAGTGGCGATGCATATGTCAAGTCTCTTGTCCTTGCTTCATTTGGAAACACTGTAATCGTCCGTCCATCAGACTCTGTATAAACTGGTGGCTTGGACACATACACCTGTCCAAACTTCACCATTATTTTCTTCTGCATCTCACTCCCTGCTGTAGGCGCAGACTGGATTATTATGGCAGGACTTTCGTCTATAACCTCCTGCATCTTTGTTTTGACGAACTGATCGAACGAATCCTGCTGCTGTCTTACAAGTCCATTTTGTTCAAAGAATGAAGATACCACGGCCCAACTATGCTCTTTAGTGAACTCGGGATGCATTGTATAGGGATCTGGTGTTTGTAAAAATATATGACAAGTACAAAGATCGCTTGTAAAATGGCTCTTGGGTGTATTGGTGCATGGGCAAAGTAATTTGTACAGAACATTCTTGTGTGTTAATGCACAGCAGGAATAATTTTTTAACAGGTGTGGAGATAAACCCCAAAAATGCAAAAGCAGATGCCTCGGAAGCTTTATATTCTTGTGCCTGATAAGCCAGCACAGATTCAGAATGAAAGTGCAATTGCAGCAAAGACAATTTCTTCTGTGATCAGAACATGCCTTGGGCCAAGAGCCATGCAGAAAATGGTGCTTACAAAGATCAATTCTATTGAACTAACGAATGACGGAAATGCGATATTAAGGGAGCTTGATGTTGCACACCCGTCTGCAAGGTCGTTGATAGAACTGGCTAAGACACAGGATGATGAGGTTGGGGACGGTACAACGTCTGTTGTTATCCTTGCAGCTGAGATTCTTGGGGAAATGAGAAATGTGCTGGACAAGAATATTCATCCAATAAAGATATGCAAAGCATTGAGCAAAGCACTTGAAATATGCATAAAGACAATTGAAAGTGCATCACTTTCATTGGACACATCGAATGACAGTACACGACTGATGATAATACGTGGAAGCGTAGCAACAAAGGTGTGTGGTGTTCTTAAGATCCCGATTGAAGAGCTTGCTCTTGAGACAGTGAAGAAGGTGTATTCTAAGGAAGACAATAAATGTGACCTTAAGACAAACATGAAGGTTGAGAAGATATTGGGGGGGAATTTCCTGGAGTCTGAAGTTTTAGATGGGGTGCTGATCAACAAGGAGATTATTCATCCTCAAATGCACAGGAAGATTGAGAATCCCAGGATAGTTATGATTGAGTCTCCACTTGAGTATAAGAAGGGCGAAAGCCAGACGAATTATGAGTTTTCGAAGGAGGATGCTTTTACAAAAGCACTTGAAGTGGAGGAAGAGCAGGTAAGGGAAATGTGCCGTGAGATACTTGCAGTCAACCCTGATATTGTTGTATGTGAGAAGGGAGTTAGCGACCTTGCATTATCAATTCTGTTTGAAAATAACATTACGGGACTTAGAAGGATGAAGAAGACTGACATGTCTAGGCTTAGTAAAGTGTGTGGGGCTAGGATAGTTAACAGAGCTGAAGATCTTGATGAAAAGCATGTTGGAACGCTTTGTGGAAGTTTTGAGTATGTGAAGCATGGGGAGGAGTATTACTGCAAGTTTAGTAAGTGTGCCAATCCAAAGGCATGTAGTGTGATAATACGAGGACCTACGAAGGATATCCTGAATGAGCTTGAGAGGAATTTTATGGATGCAGTCAAAGTTGCAAAAAATATTTTTGTGAGTCCAAAGTTATGTCCTGGAGGAGGTGCTATGGAGATGGCGATGGCAAGGGCATTGAAAGAAAGCATTGGAAAGGATGAGGCAGAAACCGAGGTGTTTTCAAGGATGGCGTCTGCACTTGCTGTTATTCCTTCGATACTGCTTGAGAATTCTGGCGTGTTTAATCCGATGGAGGCGATTACTGTTTTAGAGCAGAAGCAGAAGGAAGGATCGTTTTATGGGATTGATGGAATAAGTGGGGAGGTTGTTGATACGAGAAGCATTGTGCTTGAACCGTATGCAGTTAAGAGCCAATGCATTAAGTCTGCAGTGGAGGCTGTTTCACAGCTTCTGAGGATTGATGGAATAATTGAAAGCAAACATTGAATAAAGTATAAGGTTATGAATTTGTAAAATGTCTGTGAATGTTGCTAGATGAATGTTTGGAAAATGTGGGTGGATGAAGTCGTGAACTAGTAGAGGATATAGTTGAAAGTAATTGATGACCAGTGTATTCGACTATTGATTATTGCGGTATTGATACTTATACTTGATGTTTTTGAATGCCATGTCCAAGTCTAGCTTAATACGAACTCACGATACAAAGCTAAAGAGACAGGCACAATATGCCCATTGTGATTGCATAGATGATTTTTATGCAAGAAAACATAAAGGAAAAGATAGATTCCATTGATGCACTGATGAGAAGAATGAACGGAGATGAAAGGGTTTCTGTGGTGGATGTGTTGAAGGAGGAAATACATAAGCTCAGGCGACTTAATGAGGAGTATAAAAGGATACTAGATGCTAAGAGAGTGGTACATAAGGATCAGCTTCAGAACAAGATAAGGTACTACTTGAAAGATGGATCAACTTATGTTGTGAAGAGTAACCAGTACAGATATCTTTACGATGCAAAAACTAAGGTTGTAACCTATGAGTTTGCAAATGGACAGATTGAAAAAACTTTTCCATCAGGATTGAAAGAAATCAGGCACCCGGATGGAAGTATCACGATAAGAAATGGGCCTAATGATCATGAATACATTAAATGACATATGATATTTAATCGAAGCAAGTAAAGTTTGCCTTGAAGAAGTCTTGGCCAAATGCCAATATGGAAATAGTTCCCTCTTCTCCTCCTGAGCAGTACATTGTCCCACCAGGATGAACATCCACGGAGTTTATTGTTCCAAAGTGTGTGCTATATGACCCTATTTTTTCGCAAGTAACCACATCAAAGAAGTTTGTGTCGAATGAGGACTTTCCTTTTGTTATTGTGACATCTCTTGCATTGATTCCACCAACACAGATGGCCTTATCGTTTGTATTGAAAACAACTGCACAGTTTACAGGCTCTTCACATGCAAATATTTTCTGGACGGATAGATCGGTAAAGTCGACTATTTTCGATTGAGAATCCATCGATGCGGTGATGAAGAAGCTCCTGCATCTGCTTGCCCGCATTCCGTTTATTTTTGATGAGTGTATCTTTGATTTCTTGATTACTTCAGTCTTTCGAAGATCAACTGCACTGACATATCCTGATGTATCTGAATACACTATTGTGTTTTCTGAAGAGTTGAGCAGGATCTTGACTGGAACAGATGACGGTGAAAACACTTTATTTGCAACTCCTTCTCTTAGATCGAACGATGATATCTGCGGCTTTACTCCCATAATATCGTCATTACACATAAAACACACATTTCCATCATTGCAGAAGTCAAGCGCCTTGACAACCACATCTACAGATGCCTGGCACCTGACTTTTCCTGTAACAACATCCCAATGTATGATTGTTTGATCTGCGCTTCCTGTCATCAGTGATGTGCTCTTAATGTCCATAGCGATTGAAAAGATAGATCCTTTGTGCTCTTTGTATACGCCAAGCACCTCTCCATCCGTGCGGAGAAGAGTGCAAACTGAATCCTTACCTGCCGTGTAGATAAGGTCTGCATCGTGATTGAACCTGATGTCTATGATAGGCCGTTCATGGCACACTATGTTCATAAAGTAGCCATTCTCTTCATTAAGCCTGGCATTCATCAACCCCCATATCTGTGCCTATGAAATATAAGTAAAAATTTCATAAAACTTCCAGAAATATCAGAGTAACTGTTTGGCTTAGCTTTGAGGAGTATGATTTTCAAGGCAAAGTAAGTATTTAGAATAAGAAAGCGTTGTGATATAATATGCTTATAAATTGGTTTATTTGATCACTCGATATCTATTGATTGCCTCAGAGTATAGCTTTTCTGCTTTTCCATCAAATACAAGAATGTCTGCAATCACTTCTAGGTCTCCATGCTTCAAGGGAATTGACAAGATATTCAATTTCTTTATGTATTCCAGAATATCATCTATCGTTGGATTTGCTTCATACTCTGGTAATGTCTGTCCATCCTCAGATGTAGTGTTTTTTTCGAGGTACAGCAGAACTATTTCAAGGATCTTGGATACACATTCGAAGTCGACGTCGTTGTCATGGAACCATGTGCCTCCTGTTATTTCCTCTGATGGCGTCTCGTCGTATAAAACATACATTTTCCTGTTGTTCTTCAAACACTTGACTGATTTAATGATTCTCTTTGCTTCCATGCTTCGGAGAACTTTTCCAATCAGAGTGTGCGGCATGTTTGTTTTGTCCTTTATTGTCTTGAGCCACACACCTTCACCTCCATTTTGACTCACAAGGTTGTATATCATCAGCTCGTAGTCATCGCCGCTTATTCCTAGAGACTTGTAATACAAAATGCCATTTTCTCTGAACAAGCTTATTTGTTGATGTTTGAGGCATGCGTTAAGTTCTTTAGCGATCTCAGTCTTTGAAAGTAGTGGGAAGTTTTGTGTGATCTCTTGTTCTGTGACGCCCTTTGCATGATTTTTTATGAATTCTAGTATGCCTTGCATGATGGGATTGAAAATCAATCTATATCACTACTTGGATGGCCTGTGTCATTGATGTTTGTAATTTTATTTTTCTTATGCTGGATTCTTCCCTGCCGCCTTTGCCTAGTTTTTAATCCGCCTCTTTTTGTGATCTTTCTTGCCAAAGGGATTAGTAGAGGAGATTCATTCTTCTGAGGAGCATGTTCAAGATTATCCAGGATCTCCTGCATCTGCTTGTACAGATCTATCTCAAAATTACTTTTGCATATATCGAATTTTACAGCAAGTGCGACTTTGCAACATATCTTTCTAAGCATTTTTTCCTGGTTGGTGAGTGTTGCAAGAGACACGAGCGAATGTTGTAGAAGCAGTGGATATCCGTATTTTTTTACTCCGTATTTTTTTATATCGGATGGCATATTCTTGATTAATGAGGAGATCGTTTCAACTTCTGCCATGAACTTGAAGAAAAGATCTTCTTGAAGAAGGTTATGTAGATTTTTGAAATTAAATTGCAGAGTGTTCATGGATGCTCTTGATTTTTTGAAGTGTACCTGTGCTTCTTCTATGAGTATGATGAGTTTTTTCTTGTTTTCCAGATCGATTGATCTGTATGTGTTTATTATCATTTCTGCATCCATTGTGAGAAGAGAAGATGGTTCTGTATGTTCATGAATGCAGGCGTTAGAAAGCACTTCAAGGATATATTGAAGAGATTCCTGAGATTCTAAGCATGTAAGATCGTACTCAAGTGAAAGAAACGATTGGATTTTGTGTTTAGCGGAGTGTAGACTTTCTAAATTGTGTTTGTATTCTCTTAGGTCCTGATCCATGCAGGGATGGGCTGGGTTTGATATTGATGGATGACGAATGGATTTGATTGTATGGTGAATAAATGATAGTGTAATTGAAGAGATGATGATAGTGTAATGTATTTGAAGATAAGTGAGCTGAATACAATAGAGGTGATGCGAGTAAAGATAAGTGAAGTGAAGTGAACTGGATACAATAAATAAATAAATGTGAAAGATAATAAAGAAAAAATGAAATGAAAGCAATGGAATAAGACAATGTAAAACATTAATGCAATAGAAGTGATAACACAAAGATATATTAGAAGAGCATTCGTGTCATTTTTGTTGATGGTGATGAAGCCCATTTTAAATGGGCTTTTGTAGTGTAGTGGTTATCACGCATCCTTCACACGGATGAGGTCTCCGGTTCGATCCCGGACAAAAGCATTCTGTTTTGTCAGAATGAGTAATTATGAATCGCATATTATTTAAGGCTTATATATTGTTAACTACTAACATGTGTTACTGTGTGGAGCATAAAACAAAGGTATACACAATACCCATGGACTTTGATTTCAGAGAGCCAAGGTTGTTTATACATGACCTGATACATAAGACAAAGATCGGCAAGGAAGGGGCACGTGAACTACTCGAGAAGGAAATGACAGACAAGTGCATGTATGATCTTTATGTACATCTTGCAGAAAAGGGAATTGTAAATCCAAGCAAACAGTGCCTAGAATCTTTGAAACAGATGAAGGAAGCAAGGATTGCAGAGATTGAGAGTGAAAGGCAAAAGGATGTAGAGAATGAAAGCCATATCAAGGAGATAGATCGTAGAATTGCAGAATTCTACTGCCAGACGATGGATATGAAGAAAGGGGTTGAATGGACTACAAAGATAATGCGAGATGATGTGTCATTGTCGCTCCGAATGGATGTGTTTTTGTGTAGGATTCGGATGGGAGTGATCATGGGAAGTAAAAAAGTAATTGAAGAGAGTGCAGCAGAGGCGATGGATGCATGTGAGAGGGGATGTGATTGGGATAGAAGAAACAGATTCAAAGTGTACAACGGATTGCTTTGCTTGATGCGTGGAAAGTTTGATGAGGCGGGAGTGATGCTGAGTGATTCGTTGCCATCTTATGATGCTGGTGAGGCTATGGATTACTGGCGTGCAGTAAGATACGTGATTTTCTGCGGAGCATTAACTTTTGAACGCCCTGATCTTTTAAAACGGATTCTACAGAATGCAGATGTTGTTGGAAATAATGAGGAAGAAGGCATGAGAATTATCAGATCGCTGCATGAATGCCATTATTCGAACTTCATGAAGGAGTTGTGTACATTCTGCACAGTTATAAGCGATGATGTGTTTGTTGGAAAGTATGTGAACATGTTTTGCCGCGAGATGAAGTTAAGGGTATATGAGCAGGTACTTGAAAGCTATCGATCGATGCATATTGAAAGGATGGCAGAGACTTTTGGATTGGGCGTAGAATATGTTGAGAACGATTTGGGGGAATTCATAGTTGAAGAAAGATTGTGGAGCCGAATAGATAGGGTTGACAGAGTGATTGAGATGAAGGAGCGTAGCAGCGTGGATGTTTCTAGTATGATTACTGAAGGAGATGATGTCATTCGCAGGATAAAAAGGTTTGTTAAGTAAATAAACGTGTGTTTGTGATGTAATGTAGAGGATTTAATCTATTGACTAGTCTTTGTATATATTTGCCTATAAAAAGCATAGATGTTAATGTATATGATGTATTCTTGGTGCAATGTAATTGGAGGTTTTCTCCTTTTTAGCTATTTGTTGCCTGAGATGCATGGGTGATATGGAGAATAGTATGGATACAAAGATTCTCAAGTTTATCCAAGGCAAGAAGGTAATAGGCATTGGGACTGGCACAACAATATCAAAGTATATAAATATACTGCCTAACACAGCAGTTTATGTTCCTTCTAGTATTTCCACGACATTGCAGTTAAGCAAGAATGGACTCACAATTTCTACGGCATTGGTGCATGAGCAGATTGATCTGTACATAGATGGCACAGATTACTTTGATAGCAATGCAAATTTGATAAAGGGACTTGGTGGCGCATTAACTAAAGAAAAGATCATTTGCTCAGCATCTAAACAAACGGTGATAATAGCCCAGTCGTATAAATATAGACAGACATTTGATGGATGTTTTGTTCCGATTGAGGTTATTCCGATGTCTCTCCCGAGGATTCTTTCTATCATTAGTAAAAGAGGATTGGGATATATTTTAAGAGAGGATAGCCGAAAGATAGGACCTGTCATGACTGAACTTGGAAACTGTATTGTTGATGTTGAGTATGATAAGGAATTTATAGATTCATGTAAAAATATTTGTGGAGTGGTAGAGCATGGATTCTTTGAGTCCAATGGATTCATATTGATGGTTGAGAAAGATAATTGCGAGTAAATGCTATGGATTCATTCATCAAGTATATGTATTTGTTGAAAGTTTTAACATAAACCTGTGCAGCTCAAGCCCTTGAATGGGATACTTTTGTGTGTTTAGCAAGAAGGGCCTGCTTGTACATGAAGAAGGAAACAGACCTGATAACTTGAACCAGATGATAATTTCGCTGGACATTTCAAAACTTGGTGGATTGAGAAAAGTCAAAGACCAACTGATGGAGTATGAGATAAAAGGACCAACAGTGTATCTGAGTGTTTCTAAGGAAGCTAGTCTTGAAGAAAAGATCAAAGCATATCTTGGAATTAATAATGAGAAGCCAAGCGCACTGAATCTTAAATATCAAAAGAAGATTGATAGAGAAGGAAAGTGTGAGGATGTAGAGAAAGAAGATGAACTTAACTATTCCGAAACATCGAGTGTTGTGGGATCCTTTGTTGACAGTTTTAAGAAGACAGCAATCAGGAAGGCTTTTGGATTATTCAAGAACCAAATAAAGGTGGATGAGTTGAAAGATAAGATGAGAACGCATTTAATAGGAAAGAATGTGAGCTACCAAATTACAAATACATTAGTTGAAAGTGTAATGCTTGAGCTGAACGAGGATGGTTTAGAGTATGTTTCTGAAGAAACATTCAAGAATAAACTTGCAGAGGTTTTAGGCAAGTTGATTCCATCTGTAGATCATGACAGGATGCTAAGTGGAATAAAAAGTCACAAGGGTGTGTTTTCTATATGCTTTGTTGGAGTGAATGGAGTTGGGAAAAGCACATCGCTTGCGAAGATATGTTATTGGCTATTGCAGAATGGATTAAAGGTTTATATTGCAGCCTGTGATACATTCAGAGCAGGTGCAATTGAACAGTTAAAAACACATGTGGAGAGATTTAGAATGGGAGGACATTCAGTAGGATTTTATGAAAAAGGGTATGGTAAGGATGATGCGTCTGTTGCAAGATGTGCGGTACAAGAAGCTCAGCATGAAGGTTATGATGTTATACTGATTGATACAGCTGGCAGAATGCATAACAAGAAGAATCTAATGGCTTCATTGACAAAGCTTATGAGAATTAACAAACCCAACCATGTTATTTATGTAGGTGAGGCATTGGTTGGATCTGATAGTCTTGATCATGTGAAGGAGTTCAACAGAGCTGTTCATGATGCAGACGAGTCCATGGAAATCAACAGTATCCTGCTTACCAAGGTTGATACGGTGGATGATAAGATTGGGCAGATACTGGATATGACCTTTACTTCGAATGCACCTGTTTTATTTTTAGGAATGGGGCAATCGAATGCAGATTTGGCAAAGATAAGTTCTGATGATATTGTGAATAGTCTTATGTCATAACTTTATTATGTACGTTCCTGTTTAGAAGTGACATATAAATTTTTAGTGTTTTTACTTACATGTGTTGTTTAAATAGTTGAGCTTGGTAAGCTTCAATAAGATAAAAAAGATTTATATTGAAAGCGAAATAATTTTATTCAGATTATGCCAATGTTTGATGCTATCTGGAGTGCAACACCATCCTCTGCAAACCTGACGTATGCTTTCTTGCCATGCTTGTTTATGAGTGTGTTGACCTTTTTGATTTTTGCAGAGTACAGTTCAGCGATTGCCTGTTTTATTTCTGGTTTAGTTGATGTCTTCTTGACGTAGAAGACCATCGTGTTGAACTGTTCCATACATCGTGCGGCTTTTTCTGTTGATATTGCATACAGTACGATGTCATGCGGACTGTTTGATGCGATCTTTGGGACTAGCCTGGTAGTTCTAGAGGTTTTCTCAAGGGTATCCATTGGGGCAATAGCGAGTGATAATTTTTGTAGATGAACATAATGTAAGATAAGATATGGATTGGGAGTATTTGTAGATGTTGTATGATGTATGCAAGATATGGATTGAGAGTGGAATAAGTGAATTGGTTTCTGTTAATGTACAAGTATACAAAGATTATGTGTACAAGTGGAAGATTATTTATAAGGTGTATGGTGTTATCTAACACATAATGTGAATGAATAAATATCCTATGGTATGAATGAGTAAATTAGTTCATAATGTGAATAAGAATCTGTTATACATAAAACAACTAATTGATTATCTATGTAATATAAGATGATGTGAAGTGTGTAGTAAAATATCATGAATAAAGATTATTGAAAGTGTTAGGTATTTTGACCGATACTTTTTGGATGAGCCTCTGTAGCGCAGTGGTTAACGCGTTCGGCTGTTAACCGAAAGGTCGAGAGTTCGAGTCTCTCCAGAGGCGTACTCTTTTGCTCCGCATCACCCATGAGCTACCTGAATCACTGAATTACACTACACATATAAAAATAACATTTTCAATAAATACTTAGTTGTAATCGCAATGGAATCCCTCACAGATGAATCCAAAAGACATGCTTGTTGACAAGGTCGACATATTTTTCTTATTGAAGCAGCCAAAACTAGTTACAAGAAAGGAACTTGCTACTCTTTTGCCAACACAGTCATACGATGATTATCGAGCAAATTACTACAGAAGACGCGTTCCAGAAGTCTTCGATATAAATATTACAAAGGAATGGTTTGTCTACAGATACTTAGATTCTTTCTATGACGAAAGAAAAAAATCTATATTCAATATACACACTTTTACAAAGCCTGATGTGTGCATAATAGTTAAAGGTATGGACGAAGATCTTCCAGGTACAATTCTGCATTCATTGCCTTCGAAATGCTTGAGCATCGAAAGACTTTGGATTCAGCAACAAACATGCCAGAACAGATTATCAAGGATGTGCTATATTATACTGAAGAAGGGATCTGATATTCATGGATCAATAGAACTTATGAAGTCTGCTTTGGAAGCACATCCGAATATTCGGTTTGAAATATTTGATGTTTCCGATGTTGAAGAACCTGTTATTTCATGCAAAGATACCGATTATGGCTCTGCTAAATCAATGTTCAGCTCATTATGCAAGATTTTCAAAGTTGATGAGGAAGAAATTCTCAAAAGATATACAACAAACATTCAAACTCAAGGAAACACTATACATGAAAATGCAGCTGTCTTTTTCTGCAATGCACTCAAAGATGTTTTTCTTTATTGCTACACATGTGCACACCAATATGACGATCCTCTTGAGATGATGATGGGATGTAGAAATCACAAGTCTACAGAAGCTTCAATTCGACGAAGAGAGTTTCTTTTAGAATACCAAGGACTTGGAGATATCAAGATAACTACAAAGGAAGAAGAAATTAATAAGATGATAACCATGGTAGAAGAAAATCACTACAAATGCGAATATTGTGGGAAAGGATTTAAAGAAGAGACATTCATATTTAATCATTTCAACAACAAGCATGAGGATGAAATCAAGAAGATTGATAAATCTATAGAAGAATTTAAAGAATTCCTTGATAGAGTTGATTGCTTTATGTTAGAAATGCTTGATGGGACAGACGATGACCGAGTTCCGAGATTTATTCAGCCAAGCATTAGGGATGAACGAGTTATATACGACATGGACCGCGTATTTAGTGGAGACATAGTTATCGGTAAATAGTTACTATAACGTGATGAACAATGACACATCTTGTTGTGTATCAGATTAAATACATTTCTAAACATATGTTCTACTGTGTATTTGATGTAAGAGGCATGCCCACCACAAACAATGAGCCAAAGAATTGCAGTATTTCCAACAAGGATGAACTTAAGAACGATGGAAATCAAGCACAAGAGTGCAGAACGAGGATATTCTCTGCTTAAAAGAAAAAGTGATGCATTGAAAACAAGGTATAAGGCAATAGAGGAGGAATATAGAGAAAAGGAATCACAAATAAATCAGAAGATCAGAGATGCGTTTTTCAAGCTTACAGAAGCAGAGTTTCTGGGAGCCAACCTCAAAATGTTCATACATGAATGCCAGAAGCAAAGCCTTTCTGTAGTGACTAAAGTTGAGCAGGTTTCTGGAGTGAGTCTTCCCTTGTTTGACCTTCAGAAGGAAAATATCAATCCGATTTTATTTCTTGACAGAAGTGGTCAGTCGTTGAACGAATGCAGAGCAAGTTTCATAGAAGTACTTGAAATGCTGGTTGACTTATGTGCGCTAAAGAATTCGTTTAAAATCCTGGATTATGTATTGATGAGCACAAACCGACGGGTTAATGCATTGGAGTTCAGCATCGTGCCAAGATTGGAAAGTACAATAAGTTACATAAACTCCGAGCTTGATGAGCAGGATCGTGAAGATTTCTTCAGACTCAAGAAGATACAGAACTTGAAAAGCAAAAGCATGGATTAATAACAGTCTTTTTATATCACTCGATGAATATTTGACACAGATTATAATGTGGACGAATATAGTAATACCAAATCTGTCATTATAAAATAAATCTTAAAATGGAGACCATGCAAAACTTATTAAATATGAAAGTGTTTATCATTTTATTACTTTGCTATAAGACAATAGCAAGTCAAGTAGTAATTGAGAAAGAATGCGAAGGCACAGTTGATGATTCGTTGTTTATATGTAATCCTGTCCAGAAAGATTCAACGCTACAGGTATGTCAAGAAGATGAGCAAGTTGTCAAGGATAATAAAATTGTAGAAAATGACGAGAATAAAGTAGATCAGATTCATACTCAAGATGAAATCGAAGAAATTAATTCAAAACAAATTATATCCTGCAAAAGAACCAAATCCAAAATAATAAGTTTCATTTCTGAGAAGTTTAAAGCATTCAGAAATTACACATCATCGTTCTTCAAAAGACGCCCAAATTCCTCTAAGGCAGATGCTACAGTTGACATTGAACAGCCATTGCAAACTTGCGAAGCAATTGAATCTTTGGAATCACAAGAATAAAATTTATTCTTTTCAACTCAGTATTTGTGCTTTCTGCATATTTAAAAACACAATAAATTCTTTTATTTATATGCATGCCTTAGACTGTTTAGCAAAAGCATCCACAAGTGATATCCACAACATTCTTATTACACATTGTATATGCAACAATTCAAAGCTTGTACTGTCTTACAAGCATAAACACATTAATTGTAGAATGCAGGTTGTCCTTCTCCTCTCTCCACAACCTTCGAGTATGCTTCCTCAAAGTCCTTCTGCATCACCACATATCTGCTTCCACGTACCGCAAGCATCCCTGCCTCCTGGCACACAGAGTTTATGTCTGCACAGCTGATCCTCTCAGGTCGATGCACAAGACTCTCAATATCAACATCATCCCCAATACTCATCTTCGATGTAATTGCATTCAGTACAAGCCTTTTCTGTCTTCTATCCGGATATGGAAACTCTATCTTCCTGTCAAGTCGTCCAGGTCTTAGAAGTGCTGGATCAATCGTGTCTGCCCTGTTCGTTGCCATTATCACCTTCACATTCGTTGACTGATCAAACCCGTCCATCTGGTTCAGTAGCTCAATCAGTACTCTTTGCACCTCCCGATCTGCAGATGTCGATGCATCAAACCTCTTTGTTGCAATCGAATCAACCTCATCAATAAAAACTATTGATGGCGCTCTTTCCCTTGCAAGTCTGAATACATCTCTGACCATCCTAGGTCCCTCCCCAAGGTATTTCTGTACAAACTCAGACCCATTCACCCTGATAAACGTTGCTTTTGTATGATTCGCAACCGCTTTCACAAGCATTGTCTTTCCTGTACCTGGCGGCCCGTACAGCAATACACCTTGCGGTGGATCTATTCCTATCTGTCTGTAGAGATCAAACTGCAATAATGGAAGTTCCACTGTCTCTCTGATCTCCTGCTTCTGCACATCAAGTCCTCCCACATCTGCATATGTCACATCAGGTTTTTCCTCATCTCCAAGCACAGGAATCGTGCTATCCACCTCTGGAGGAAGTACATCTACAATTGCACTAGAATGCCTGTGTAACGCAACCGTTGTGTTTGGCTTTAGCAATTCCCTATCGACAGTTGACAAAATCTTCACAACAAAGTTGCTTCCTGCTGTAGAGCCAACTATTGCTGTGTTTGCATCAATTGGCTCCAGAAACTGCCCCATGATTAGTGGCACACTCTTCACTCTGTTGAGTTCATCCTTACTGTGACTCTCTTCTCTCTTAAGTGTTTCTATTTCTTTGCGCACATATGCCTCTCTGATTTCAAGCATCATGAGCTTCCTTTCGATTTGTTTGTACCTTATGAATGTGCCATCTGGCAAAGTGCCTGCATGCATTGAAAGGGCAGTTTTGTATTATTTATGTATGGATGTGTAAAGATAAAAAGTGGCATTGATAGGTATGTGCTAAACAATGAGTATGTAATGAATTAGATTAATGTAATGTGAAAGTGTATTACAAACAAATCAATATATGCAGCAATGTACTGGTTTATCACATGATATTATTTTACTTTATACATTTACTTCACTTTACTTCATATTCATTCATTTATCGCGTGTTAGTATTTCACTTCATATTTATTCATCACATATTATGGTATGATATTATTCCAATTCACTCATTACTATTCCACTTGATATATTCACCTCGTATTCATTCATCACATGATGTTATTCTAATCCATCCACTTAATTCATTACTACACCATATTCGTTCATTCATTCACCTCTTATACACTCATTCATTCACCAGGTGATATGCATAAATGTATAAGATTAAATCAAAAATCAGCAAAGGGTGCATGACATACGAACAGATCCCTGCTACTGATATCAAGCACATCATGTTCATTGCACAGAAATACACGCCAATTGAAAAGGTCGGGGAGGGCTCGTTCAGTGTTGTGTACAAGGCATTAGACACTGAGTCAGGCAGACATGTTGCAATCAAGGCAATAACAAAGACAAGCTCTCCAGCACGTATTCTTGAGGAGTTGACGTTCTTGAAGACACTCGGTGGAAAGAAAAACTGCATGGGATTGCTAGGATGCTTCAGACAGGAAGATCAGGTTGTTGCTGTGTCACCATACTTCGAGTCGATCGATTTCAGAGAGTTCATCTCAAGTGCAAGCATAATGGACATCAAGAAGTACATGTACAATCTATTGATAGCAATAGAACATGTACACAGCAACAACATTATACACAGGGACCTGAAGCCTAGCAACTTTCTTTACAACAAGGATATTGGAAAGGGAAT